CTACTAATCTATTTACTTATAATTGGTTTCTTTTGACTTTAAATATTATTTTGCTTAAAAATGCATAAAATACTCAATAGTCTTATTTAATTTTAAAGAATGTATATTTATTTTTTAAACAATCTCACAACACAAATACAGCCAAATTATTCAAATTGAGGGCAATAAAATTATTAAAAATTATAGCTATAAAATTGACAGTTTTTAATAGAAAAAAATGACAGATTTTGACAACTTTAATATTAATAAAGAGATGACAAGTGCAGCCAAAGAAAACCCGATGAGAATTGACAAGTGACAAAGATATTTGTATAAATAATGCCTTGCAAGGCTACATGGATCATGTAAAATGAAACCGTTGAGATTTTATTTCGTGGAAAATTTTAAAAGTGCCATATATAACAATTTAACTATTAAATATTTTATAATTTACATAATTATGTATATAAAATTTTCTATAATTTAATTTATAAATATATTATTTAAAATTTCTTTATTTTATATTTTAAAAATATATTATATATTAAAATAAAGTAATGCGATAAAGAATTTATTTATTTCGTTCTAACTTACCGTTTGTTTTGTCTTTATTTCTTCTTCTTTAAAAATGTGAAAAAGTATTGAGCAGTATGCAAAGGTACTAGTTCACATTCACAATCTCACGACCATTTCTTCAGACAATAAATTGGGATGAGAGACTAAGCACGATTGAAGGTTGTTTTTATGAACCACTCTAAAACCTCACTAGGGTACACTTTTCTCTTGCAATGGCACATGCCTACGAGACAAAAATGACTGTTGTTTCTTCTCCTTCCCATCACCAAAGGTTGGAACTCGAAGGGGTCTCTTACGGCCAGCCTAAAACTTCTTGACGATTCTCAAGAGGAAAGGTCTGTTAAGTGGTAATAAGATAGAGCGCTACCTTTGTGTTAGAAGTCGATGATTCACTGGAATCCAATGCCAAGTTAATTGCGCCGGCAATTCGGTCTACTCACCAGAATGTTTATCCCCATCACCTCCAGCATTGGCCTCGCTTAGGTGTTCCTCCGACATCAGCCTCTAGCGGCATCCACATGTACAAGAGCCCCCGATGTCTGTCTGGGTGCTCCTCTCTAGCGTGGCGTTCGTCGTCTTCATGATGGTGGCCATCAAGGCCGGTGATGAAATTTATCGCCAAGATATGCTCGCCGACGAACAATGACAGGGACGAGAACCCCATGTGTTTGAAGTTAACGTGCGTGCTGGTGTTCAGGTTCATAATGGACATGATTGGAATCCATTTGATGTCTACGGCATTTGCGCTCAGGTTAACGATTTTGAAAGGGATTTTTGCAGAGAGGTTGATAGGGAGGGTTAAGGACTTTGTGGTAGGGTTGTTGTTCCAGTTGTATTTTGCATTGAGTGGGTTGCATATGGACATGAATACGACTATAGGAATTAAATTTTAAATATTTTTTATAGGGACTAAATTTTAGAAGTGCAATATAATAAAGCTTTTTATTTTTTATGAAATTCTATAAAGGTAATGATTATTCTATAAAAATTTTAAAAAATAAAGTAGATTAACAGGTTAGCTCATTCAAAAAATTAATTTAAAAAATTAGAATATTATAAAAATAATAAATTTAGCTCTACTTTAGAGAGCTAAACCGAGGCGGGTCAGTGGACTGAGAATCCTAACTTGAGCCACCATTTTAGTTGGTTGTATCGACCCCATATGAAGCCCATAGATATTTTGTATCACTAACTTCGTCTCGTAGGTTCGCCTAAAAAGTCTGTAAATTTTATTACATAAATTTGGAATATAAATAATTTTTTTTCTATCAATATTTATAATTGGGCAGCTTTTTCTTTATGTCATAATTGGACACCTTATGCGGACTACTCACCTCAACTAAATGATACTGTTTTCATTCATTTGGTAACCCAATCCTTAATTTAGTGTTTACACTGTTAATTTGTACAGATAAAATAACATTGGGAACCTCCTCCATTACTTTATGTTACATATAATTCAATATGAATATTTCCCTTTCAATGTATCATAATTTTCTCCTTCACAAGTGAATATAATGATAACAATGATGTACCCCCTGCCCTTAATTTGAGTTGTATCTCTTTCTGCGAATGAAGGTTCTTAATTAAATATTGCTTATGGACCAAACCCGACCTACTGAGCATTAATTATAATATTTGTGCCTTCATTAATTGGAGGATTTGGAAGAGCAAAATGACCTGGTTATATAAAAAAAAACCGTACGTATCTTGATTGGAGATTAAGCCAGCTGGTTTCCTTGTATTTTTCTGTTTTTAATTTTATTTATCCATGTGCTTCTATTACCATTTATTTAGAAAATAAATAAATATACTTTAAAATGTAAATATCAAGGCAACCTAAGCTTAAATTTTACAAGTTGAGAGAGAGAGAGAGAGAGAGAGAGAGAGAGAGCAAACTTAAAACTTAAATTTAAACACATTTTCACATTCAAAAAGTTTTACTGTTCTAATTTTTTAATACAAATTAAAAATGTATTTTGATAAGGTATTAACAGTGCGAAGAGGTGTTTAAAAAAACTCGAGTATGATAATCTAGAGACAATTGTAAACATATTTAAGTTATCGAATACTTTAGTTGATTAATGAAAATTTTGACGAACAATTAAATACTAGTCGTAACCTAACATTTTAAGTAAACTAATATAAAATTTTATATTCTTCCATTTTTTTACGCTATCAATATTTTCATAGACTAAAGAAAAGTCTTTAAATTTTAACTTATATTGTATCTATTTTTAAATTAAATTTCTATAAAAAATTAAATCAATTTCTAGATTTTTGTGAAATCTCAATTCAACTCTCCCTTTCTCTTATTTTTCTAACCTCCACTTCAACTCTTTTAATAAACACGAGAGATATTATATAACATAGCCACAGTATTAGAATTTATAAAAATCAACTTGTTTGACATCTAATTAGTGTAAATGTGAAGATACATCACAAAATCAACAATTCACTATAATAATACTCAGTGTAAACAAGATAAAAATAAAAATGTCAAGTTAGTTAAAATGTTTTAACTTTTGATCACTATTTCTATTGTTCACTCAAACATATTTTACTGTCATTGGTGGATCTAAATTTTTAAATTAATTTATTTTAATATTTTTTTTAACTTATTCAACGTTACACATAATAAAAATTTATATACAATAATGTTTTTATTAAAAATTATTAATTTAAATGTAATTTTATACATTAATATTATTTTTTAATAAAATGTTTATTTATTAATTTTTTATTATGTTCAAGTTAAGGTTTTTGTTTTATAAGTATTAGTCCAGTGATATTAGATGTAAATCTAAAATACTTACACTAAATTTTAACTATACAAATTAAATAATTTAACGGTTAAAAAGTTACTTAAAAATATATAAAAGATATATAGAACATAATAGTGTATTATTAAGTGTTCCGTAACCTATTCAAACCTATGTATGACTTATTCTTAGCAGTTACAGGAAACCGATTTTACTATCCATAATTATTGTATTATTAAATTAAGCAATAATATTGGAACGCTATTGAGTTGGCGTTTTTTGTTATGAAGATTCGTTGGGCCTAGTAGTTTTGTCCTTTTTTCTGTTTCTATTTCTTTTTCATTTGTTTCCCATGTATAAAAAAAATAGATTATGCATCACAAGATAACACAGGAAACATTCGCGATGACACAGTATTTTTCTCCTACAACAATAATGAAGATAAATTACTGATTATAGTATAATAGGAAATTCAAATATCCATATGCTCATTTGAGTTGTAGAGATTAAGGGACTATTTATCAACAATAATTTATAATTCTTCTTATAAGTTATTTTTTAACTTATTTCAATAGACTTATGTATAACTTATTAAAATAAAGTATTTTTAACTTATTTTAATAAAATTTATTGTTAACTTTATGATAAAGGTTATTTTTTGAGAAAAATTATTAAATAAGTGTTTATTTAAATTATGTATTCAAACACATTTGTTATATACATATATATATTTTTCCCCCAATTATCAGCACACTAAATTTTAGGTGAATGACCCAATTCTACAACTCGCCAAAGGGGGTTCCAGAGAATTAGATTATGAAATTAAAGTAGGGGGAGTCTGAAGAATAGCCAGAAAGTTAGAAAAATAAAAAATAAAAACTAAGAGACAACACAGTGGCAGAGAAGAAACAAAATGTGAATTGCGTGGGTTATAAACGATAGCTAGAGGGGGTATGGGAATGACCACGACGTTAAATTTTAAAAGCACACTTAAATTTTCATTCAACTAGAGTACTATGGTGAAATTATTTTAATATTAATAACACTGGTTTTATTTAAATCAACTAGTATTAAGTGAATTATTAAGTATATAGTTAATTATTTATTTAGAGAGGAGATGAGTTTTGTCGTATATATTTACTTATAAGTTTAAGATAATATAAATTGTTACTTATTGTTGCTCATATAAAAATTATAAGTACAACAAATAAAATATTTATACAAATTATGAATTAAAAAAAAACAGTAATCAAGTTTTAAAAAAACCAAATAATTCAACAAAATGTTTAAATTTCTATATTTGTTTAGCTCCTTTTTTCTTCGAAAAAAAATAAAGATAATATATTTATTAAATAAATATTTTCCTTTTAACTCTTTAATGTCAACTTGATGCATTATATTCGTTTCCTACTTGTTTTGTTTATAAAAGGTCCAACTCCCACCTCAAATTACAAGCACACCTTCAGGTGGATCCCATAATTGAGAAGGTATGTCTTAGTGTGTTCATTGAATTTTGTGATTAGTTCAATTCACATTGTGTCTTACAATCCCCTAAGATGTCTTGACGATGTATTCGAAATTTTATTAATCAACTGTGAAGTTAGAGCAACTATCTGCTTAATATTTGGCATGCATGCGTTGGTTCTCAACGGCTAATTGTTAGAAAATCAAAAACGAGAGAAGATGTGGAAGCTGAAACTTTCAGAGAGCAAAGAGGAGGAGTGGGTAAACAGCGTCAATAATCATATTGGAAGACAGTTCTGGGAATTTGATCCACAACTTGGAACCAAAGAAGAGCGAGACCAAGTGGAACAAGTTCGTAATCAATTTAACGAGAACCGCTTCAAATCTAAGCACAGTTCTGATCTCTTAATGAGACTCCAGGTGCAAGCTACTGTTTATAAATTTTAATTATTTTGTTGTTCATCTTAACACCAAATAACAAAGAGAATCGTTACAGTTTTGTTTTTTCCTATGTCTTTTATGTTGTTCTTATACGTAACTGCTGACACAATAAAATAATAGGGTTACTGTTCTGCTTAATATTTTACCTTTCGCAGTTTGAGAGGGAAAAAGGCTTAAAGGTGAAACCAAGAAAAGTGAACATTCAAAACGGAGAAGATATTACTGAGGAAATTGTGGGAACCACACTGAAGAGAGCTTTGAGAGCTTACTCAACACTGCAAGCTGATGATGGTTTCTGGCCCGGTGACTATGGCGGCCCTTTGTTTCTTCTACCTGGTTTGGTAACCATTCATATCTCTCTCTGTTTCCTTCACAAAACGAATCAATTCTCCTCTTACGCTGTAATTTTACGTATCAAATTGAATGTCTATGTTTTATGTTGTTATCGGAATCAATAAAAATAAATAAATGCAATTTTTTTTATTATTAGAGACAAATGTTAACTCATTTCAGTAACTGTAGGCACACAATTCAGATAATTAACTCCTCTCAGTAAAATTACAGTATGAATAATAGCTATACTAATGCATAGGTGATTGGATTATCGGTGACTGAGGCCCTTAATGGAGTCTTGACACCGCAACATCAAAGCGAGATGCGGCGCTATCTGTTCAATCATCAGGTATATGTACAATTATATAATTGCTTAATTACTTGACAGTGATATTCTTAATTATATTTTAAGAAAATTTGTTATCAACAGATCACTTAAAAAATGGATTATATTTGGGGCAACATCGCGTGACTAAAAAAACATTGGTTAACGAGGAAGGACAAATCAATATTAAAAAATGAATAATCACGAGTTATTGTTTTAATAACTTAAGCTGTAACAGAACGAAGATGGAGGGTGGGGATTGCACATAGAAGGGCCAAGCACAATGTTTAGCACTGCTCTAAGCTATGTCACCTTGCGATTGCTTGGAGAAGACATCGACGGTGGAGATGGCGCCATGCACAAAGCAAGGAGATGGATTCTCGATCGTGGAGGAGTCACTTTTATTCCTTCCTGGGGGAAAGTCTGGCTTGCAGTTACGTACTTTTTAATATTTTTGATAAAATAAAATAAACATAAATTTTATTTAATAATTAGAGATAGTGAAATTAAGATAATTGGAGTATATACATACAGGTGCTTGGCGTATACGAATGGAGCGGTATCAAGCCAATTCCGCCAGAGATATGGCTGCTTCCCTACATTGTTCCTTTGCACCCAGGTAAGCTAAGCTTCTCATCGTTTTCTTTTCAACTCTAAGAAATTAAGAAAGGTAAGTATAAAAATGGCATGATCCTGCTCGCAGGAAGGATGTGGTGTCACACACGACTGGTGTATCTACCGATGTCGTTTTTATATGGTAGAAGATTCGTGGGTCCTATCAACGCCATTGTTTTATCCCTCAGACGAGAACTCTACACCCTTCCCTATCATATCCTTGACTGGAACCAGGCTACAAACCTTTGTGCCAAGGTAGTCTCTGTCTGTCTCTCAGTAATTTTCCTTTTTAATTCTATTCTTCATCATTTTTTTATTTTTTTTTATTCGAATTTTTAGAGGGTTTGCATTGGAAGTGAACTATAAAATGATTTTGAAAGTGTAAAATAGAAAAAATGAACAACTTTCAAATAAATTTATAAGATTAGATATTAGAGTCTGCATTTTTTTTTTGGTTGGTTGTTTTTTAATAAAAGATAATTTAATCAATTTATAAGTTAAAAAGTATGAGTAAAAAACAGAAATTAGAAGTTTTAAATAGAATAAAATAAATTAAAATTAAATATGTATGATTTTAAAATTAAAAGAAGTTAATTAATTAAAAAAATTGAAGAATAAAATATATAATTAAATCTTTATGCACGTATATACATGCGTAAATACAGTTTTTTTTCTGTTATAGCATAACTGGACGTCATATTCTTTTATTTTTACTTTTTAAATAAAAATACAGAAAACGATAAAAAGTTATATAAAATTTCTTTAAATAAAATTATTTTTGTTTAAACAAAAATAAAACTAAACGTTTAGTTATGTGACAATTAAAAAAAAATACCTCAAAATATATATTCTGTGTATAAATATTCAATTTAACTACCATACTATCACGTCATTTTCCTCTCTAATATTAATATCATTTGACAACAGAATACTTAGTTAATGTTAGCAAAATTGTCATTTTGTGCATTTTGTATTTATACAAAGTTATCTTGAGTGAATTTTGATAAGAAAGGGAGTTATTCAAAGTAAACACAAAATATAAAAGAAAGAAACATAATTGAGTCAAATAAAACAACTAGTAATCTTATTATAAAGGAAATATATATGGGCTAATTATACTGTGTAATTGTTTACTAATTATTGCAGGAAGATTTGTACCATCCATGTCCAATGATCCAGGATCTTTTATGGGGTTTTCTTCACAGTATAGGTGAAACTCTTCTTCTGCACTGGCCCTGCTCCAAGCTTAGGCGGAAAGCACTCCATCATGTAATGCAGCATATACACTACGAGGATGAAAACACAAACTACATCTGCATTGGTCCCCTTCAAAAGGTAATGGTCTCAGCATTTCCATACTACTACTTTAAAATCATCTTAATTGTCATCGGCTTTTAAAGCTCATATTGTTAAGATAATACAAAAGTAATTGAAACTTAAAATCATACTCAATAAAAAAATACATCCGCACTATAATGATTCTTAAAGAATTGGACTTGAGTTCTCTAAAATAAGATGTGTAAAGTGAATATTTATTTATCTTAGATTTTTAGTTATGCTTAAAAATACTTCTTAAGTTCAAATCAATGGCGGCATCTTGTCACTTTAAAGGAGTTAAATCCTTAAAAATTTACCAACAAGCATCCTTCTATTAATCTTCAAACTTAATTACTAGATTAAAGTTTTGAATGGTTTTTATATTTCGTACTAGTAATTTGAATGAAGACAACCAAACTGACAAGTCCTCTAAACCAGGTATTGAACATGCTTTGTTGTTGGTTGGAGAACCCCAATTCTCAGGCATATAAGCGTCACGTTTCAAGAATCAAAGACTATCTCTGGGTGGCTGAGGATGGAATGAAAATGCAGGTTCTACATCAATTATATATATTGTTTTCCAGCAGCATTGTATTAAGTTTTAATAGGAAAAATAAATTATATGTGCCTACAGAAGATGACAAATGCATATACATCAAACTTCAATTTAGATTTGTGATTAAATATTGCCTGAAAATTCTAAAGATGGTAGATCAATGTCAGGGATACAATGGTTCTCAATTTTGGGATGTCGCTTTTTCTGTTCAAGCAATATTGGCTACCAATATGGAGGATGAATACGGTTCAATGCTTAAGAAAGCAAACAATTTCATAAAATGCTCGCAGGTATTGTATATTGCTTGAAACTTAATCAAAAATGTTAGAAGGAACTAAGAATATGAAATTCTGATTATAATTAATAAATACATGGGGCTTGGCTTTGAAGATTCCAGCAAACAGCTCTGGTAATCCTAGTGACTGGTATCGCCACATTTCTAGAGGTGGTTTTCCTTTCTCAACTACAGACAATGGTTGGCCTGTGTCAGATTGCACTGCAGAAGGCTTGAAGGTGATGAATGGATTCCCATTAATTTCAATAAAATTTCAATTTGTCCAAGATTAGTGTTAGTTCAACTATGAAACAAAAATATCCCTTGCCCAAAAAAATAGCTTTTGTGTTGGGACTTCACCCCTATTTCAAGCATTCTTTTGTAGCAGAAATTGGGATGAATTATGTGCATTGGAAACGTATGCAAGTTCTCCCATGATACTAGTATAAAAGAAAGGGTCTCATACACCAGTGTCGCAAGGGCACAGGTTAAAGAATCACAAAATAGAAAATTTTTATTGGAGCTCATGTTCAGAATGCATTAGAAGTCACAGTGACATTGTATTTATGATATTTTTAAAAAAATTCTATTTTTAATCTCTTAACCAGTCTTAAAGACACCTGTTAATGTTTTCATGAAAAAAAATCGTACATTTGACCATTTTGATTGAAGTTCAAGGCGACCTATAATTTTGGAAAGCAAATAAGGAAATGAAGTTCTTTTGGCTGGTTAAAGTTTTTCATTTGAAGCTTATATAAATAATGATGGTTATTTATATGCTCAAATAAAATTTAGATAAAGGTTGAACATACTCAAAGCTAAGCTGCTAAAGTCTTAAATCATTTTGTTATACGAAATCAATGGTCTTGTTTAACCAGTTCATGTTCCTTTCAGGCAGCCATTCTGTTATCAAACTTACCATTTGAGACTGTTGGGAAAGCAGTGGAAAAAGAACAGTTATATGATGCAGTTAATTTGATTTTATCAATGCAGGTACCCACTGTTCATAACCACCAGATTTGTAACAAATTCAAAGTAATGAGATGCTTTAATAGGACTGAAGAAGACTAAGATATCAAACTTACCAGAGAGGCTGTACAAAGTGGAATTCATTCAAATGCTTCTATTGCTTAGACATTTTCATGCATAAGCAGTAAATGTCAATTTTTCTCTTTTCAACTTAAACAGAAGTAAAAAGAAAAGGATGAAATCTTTAGCATTTAGTGATTTCATTGAGTACTGGTTAACGAGAAAAGTGATTCTATTTAGAACTTTAGCATCATCATCAGTTTGATCTTCTATTATTGCAGAATAGAAATGGTGGATTTGCATCCTACGAGCTCACAAGATCTTATGCATGGCTAGAGGTAAAGCTTACTTCCTCTAAATTGACAATAGTAAATTCAAAATTTTTAACACTCTTTGTTTTTGTCAGAAAATAAATCCAGCTGAAACATTTGACGATATCATGATCGATTATCAGTACGTGTGGCATGTTTTCTTGTAACTTCGAGAGTATTGTCGTTTGGAATTTTGATAAGTAAATGAGTCAATAACTTTATTGTAGGTACGTAGAATGCACATCAGCGACGATTCAAGGTCTTGTCTCGTTCACGAAACGATATCCCGAGCACAGAAGGAAGGAAATAGAAACTTGTATTGCTAAGGCATCAAACTATATTGAAAGCATACAGTTAACTGATGGCTCATGGTTTGTTCCACTTGTTCACAAAACTCACTTCTTCTAAATTCTAATACATGCAAACTAATTCAAGAATGGGGAAGGATTTTGCCAATTTAAATTTTAAGTAGAAAACATAAAAGAGAGTTTTACTAATTTGTGCGTGGGATAAATTCAAAGGGTCAACAAATTTAATTGCGAATTGACCATAAAATGATGTTTTATAATGATAAACATTTGTAACTAACTAGGTATGGGTCATGGGGAATATGCTATACCTACGGAACATGGTTTGGAATAAAGGGACTCATAGCTGCAGGTAAGAGGTACCAAGATAGCCACAGCATTAGAAGAGCATGTGAATTTTTGCTTTCTAAACAGCATCCTTGTGGTGGGTGGGGAGAGAGCTATGTCTCATGCCAACACAAGGTAACTAACATGAAGCTTAGTTCAGTCCTTTTTAGCAATAACTATACTAAATTACTAATAAATGGTACAAAACTACATGCAGGTATACACAAATCTTGATGGTAACAAGTCTCATGTAGTGAACACTGCGTGGGCTATGTTGGCACTCATTGAAACGGGGCAGGTATAACAAAGTTCATTGTGTAGAATTTAGAATAGAATCTACTCTTTTGGAATGAATCATAATGCTAAAAAGTCGTTTATTTTATGGTTTAGGCTCAAAGAGATCCAACACCGTTGCATCGTGCGGCCAAGGTGTTGATCAATTCACAAATGGAAAGTGGAGAGTTTCCACAACAGGTAACGAGTCACAACCACAGTTATGCACTATATATACTGATATTAAAATGAAAAGACAATTTGGTATGCCCTAAAATTATAAATTCTTTCAGTGTTTCATACTATTTTTATATAAAACTCATTAAAAGCTAAATCCAGGTCAACTGTCTCATGTACAACCAACTGTAAACTGTGAACTTCTAGTTTTTTTATACATATAGGCTCGTTTCTCCAACCCGGGTCAATGCCCCATACCTCTACCGTAATTGTGTGTATTTAACAAATAACTAATTATCTTTTTTAGGAAATCATGGGAGTCTTCAACAAGAATTGTGCTATCAGTTACTCTGCATATAGAAACATCTTTCCCATATGGGCCCTTGGGGAATATCGAAATCACGTACTGCTTTGTCGGAGCAAAGGGTCAAGAGCAAGTGCATAATCATGTAAAAATTAGTTTAAAGACTTATATTTTCTGCTTTTATATAGTTGTATTTAAATAATCATCTATGCTGCTGTCTGTAAAGGAGGCTAAAAAGGTGCATAGACGCTGGTAATTTCTATTGAATGAAGCACTGTTGGAATATGTAAATTGCAGTTTGGCTGATACAAAAATGTGCGTTACAAAATTGCTCTAGTATGATGAGTATACCATAATACTTTGTCCCGTTACAAGAATTCCCCGTCATGATCACCCTCAAAATCTTGATAATGAAAAAAATAGCAAATCTCATTCACCAGCTTTAAACAAATCTTCTGCCCTGGTTTTTCTGTCAATCCTAGGAAAAGAAATCTAGAACAAATTTGTATCGTTCTTCTGCCTTCGCGATCATACAGAGGATTGGCATTAGCAAGTTGAGGGTTTGTCACTCCTAAATTTGGGAATTACTAAGAAACGCAACCACACACCTCACACTCTGAAATAATTTATCTACCCTCTGCCATACCATGCACTGACTATCCAGAAGTTTCCTAGTCTTTTCTTGTAAGCATGACTGCTGCCGAATAGTCTCACCATGTATCTGGAAGATGAAGAAGCATTGTAAACATATAATCAGGGAAAAAATCACATTCATTTGAACTCAATAAACAGTCAAACCAACCAACATCGAGAGAAGTCCCTAACCTTCAAAAACAGCCTGATGACAGCTTGTAGAAACTCAAAATTATTTCTGCAGGAAAGCTCATGAATAAAATAATCAAGAAGCTGTTCAATTGATGCCAACTCAGGTCTCTTCTCTGCTTCTTGCTGCTCAACATCATCAATGATCTGAAAAATTCGAAGTTCCATATCCAGAGTTGATGGAGATAATCCTTTGATATAATCCGTGAATGATGCATCTGCAATATGAAATGTTAAATGTTAGATGATTGCAGTAAAAATTTTCACAGAAAAACTAAATTCTTATTAATTGATCACAATCAACATAGAAGATGCAAATTAAAATACAATAGTTAGATTCTCACAATTGTCTGTCTCTTTGGAACATTGAAGAAGATACAAAAAATGGGACGACGGTAGCATATCCAATTTCTTTGTTTGTTTTCCATCACCTGCTCCATCATTCTCCTTTACTGATACATTACCAGACTCGAACAATATTTCCCCAGAGAGGGATGGAACTGAAGGCAAGAAGAACGGAGCCTTTTCAGGTTTTTTGGGAGGCTCGATAGGCTTATTGCGAACCTGGAATTGAGTTCATATTTCAACAAGCAGGACAAAATAGAACTTGTTTATGAGCATAACAAAACTGAAATGAAAATGAAGAAAATGTTTCAAACAAAAGTTCATATCATGAGAAGGAAGCTGCTGAGAATTGAGGACCTTTATAATGTCTAAATTGATCAAGCTCTGCCACTGGCTCTTAGGCAGCAATGAAAGTGTAACTAATTCTGGTATTTGCTTATCTTCAGCTGTGAAATCCAGAGCATTTTTAGGTTGAGAGGCATTCACCAACTCATCAGAATGCTCAACTTTAGAATGTTCTGTCGAAGAGATAGATGGCAACTTGACACTCACAACCTCTTTTCCACTTGCATATGAATCAACATTTGAAGTACTAGAGAACATTGCCTGGTTTACCCTGAAAATTTTTCTCACTATAAAAAATGGCCTCTTATTGACGTGTTCAACTTCATTTTGCAATTAACACAACTGTTGTTCCATTCAATGTCCTTTAAGTCACACCAGTAACAGTTTTCCCATTCAGTATTTTTTGTACCTTTCAGAAATTAAACAAAACCAGTCTTTTGCTGGTTCTAAGGAAATAACATGATAGTGAAAAACCTTTATATGGATATTGTTCTGTCAGATAATCAAACATCTCCAATTATTCTAGAGAATGACCTTCACCTTCAAGAGAAATTATGCATCCTCACCTTCTAATCAATTTAGACACCCAATATCAAAAAAGTGTCTGTCAAATGCAATAAAACGTGTGTACTTTTTGACAAGATTTATATTGGTTGTGGAAGGCCTAATACAACCCTCCTCTTTTATAAGAGCTTGGGATTGACTATGGGACCATCGGTAGAGTTTGTCAGTTACAATTAACATATGGAAAAAAAATAAATTTTGTAAACTCACCATAGGTATACCCCATTTTGCTCAACATGGGTAGTTGCTAATATATCCATGTTTGGGGACAAAGATAGTGCCGTGATAGGTACATCAACTTGTATTGCATCTATCTGTCTTGCTAAGATTACATCCCAAATTCTAAGACTTTCATCCATACTACATGACAGAAGCCACTTCCCATCCTCACTGAAGCACAAATCTGTTATACGATCAGTGTGACCTTCAAATTTACGAACAAGTCTAAGAGCCACAACATCAAACAATCGTATTGTTAAATCATCTGCTACTGTAGCCAGGAGACCTGAAAGTCATTAAAACTCTACAATCACTTCAAGACCTAAGAATACGAATTATACAAAAGGAATTCTACTTCTCTCTTCATACATTATTTTAATAACCAAACAAAAGAATTAGGAACACACAAACACATAGATAATGGAAAATAAGAAGTAATAAAAATTCAGTTTACCATTATAACGATGGTAAACAATCTTAACAAGAGAACAACCAATCTCCCATCTGGATTTAAGACAACATTCTTTGAAATCCCAAACCTGCAATTAAATATATTATATACAAGGATTTCCAGTAAAATGTAGCTATGCTAACCAAAGTTTATAATGATTGCTCCTTATTAGCTTCAACCAGAGACAATTAAAGTCTTCAAACAAAAAATATGAACCTTTATATCTCCTTGGTATCCTGCACTTATCATGAGAGTATTTGTTGAGTCACACGCAACTCCAACTACTTCACCATCATGAGCACAACTTCTTGACTCTGACATGTCAATGTAAGCACCCCTGCGAATTCCAGATTGAAGGTTAAACCTTTCAATCCAACCACCTGCAGTCCCTAGAAAGGCAAAGTTGCCACAAGCACTGATGGCACAAGCCTGTTACAAGATGAAAGAAGTGATCAGCTAGAACCCACCCATGGTTTGTCAAAATGATTATTAATATTAAAACCCTAAGAGAGATATGCCTCATGTTTGTCTTATTATAATGCCACATCCAATGGTTTTTTTATTATGAAAAGAAATTCGAAGCAACAAAACTAAGGTAGTAAAATAAGCAGAAGAATTCACACATCTTTGAAAGCAATGATTGTCAGGAAACAAAAAATATTGAATGAAGCAGAATTCCTAACCTTTACAGGTGTTGGATTTTCAGGGCATGGATTCAATATATGCTCACCAAGAACAAAATTCTGGAGTCTCCACACATAAGCCTGGGCAGTATCCATATGACAAGTAACCACATTGCACCAATCACGTTCTCTAATTTCAGCTGAAGTTTACCCAAGAAAAGAATATGTGATACTTCTGAAAGCATATTATATACAAATTCTTCAGCATAGAATTCTTGAAGTGCAATAATAGAAAAATTACACACATCTGTTTGTTTAATCATGACTCAAGGTATTGGTTGGTTTTCTTTTTTTTTTTTTGGATAATTTGGCTATTGGCTTCTATTTGGTGTAAAGGAAATGGTCTTTTGAGGGGGTCGCCTTAACAGATAAGCAGCATTGATCCGTTGATGTTTTCTCTTCTTCTTTGTCATTTTATTTTTCACATTTTTTTGTTATAGACAACCCCTTATCGTCCAAATTCAGAGTAACTTTCCACTCTGTTTTAATGATTTTATTCTTTTATCAAAAGGAAAGAAGAAAACAAAAAGCAACCTTGATTCCAAAATTGTGACCAATTAATAAATCTTAACTGAACTAGGCAGCAAGCTGGAAAGTAACAAAAATATTATCATTCACTATTCACTTCTTTGTATGTATGGCTATATGGTACAATACCCATCAATCAACTATCAGCTATGCTTTTAATAAACCAAAAGAAACAATTCATATAAACATTAAGCCATTAGATGAAGTTCCACATATAAGTTTGGTCTTCAGCACAATTACACCTGAATGAACAAATACCAAAAAAAGAATTTACCGCAATCAAATGCAATCACGGGCTTCAATTTTATTTCTTCCTCCTGAGCAACACACATACACACAAAACATGAGATAAGTAGATAACTTGAATTTAGGTGTGTAAAACACAAGGTGCAAATTTAGAGTTCATACAAGAAGCAATTACTCAGAAATTCCATATAAAAAAAACAATTAATTGCATCATAATCATTGAATTGAATAAAGTCAGGTTGCAGCAGGAAAATACTGACACTCTGACAGATACTTCCAATATAATATGAATTGTTCAATGTTCACTAACCCAAAGAATACCCAAAAAACAAAAATAACTAAAGAGTACCATACACTTTTACTCCCATCCCTACCCATGTTGACATCTACCTTAAGCACACTGGAGCCATTATCACCTGGTTAAATTAACATTTACAAAGCTGACTGGGATAAACCCATTAATGATACATAGCCAGGAGCTATAGAATTTAAATAATAACTAACTACCTTTTACCAACATTCAAGTTTGAACATGGCATTCAAGAATCACAAAATACAGAACCAAACAAATACATGACTTCAAAATAATGTACCTCTAGCCAGTGCAAATATTTTAATCAAGTGCCTTTGAACCTGAACCTTTAAAAAATATGATTTTTCTCTATTCCCCAACAATTTTGTTTAAAGCAATTGAGAAAGTTAGGGTTTGGAAGAGTTATAATATTTGTGGGAAAAAGATAGAAATTAGAGAATATAGTCTGTAGGTTGAAGCACTATAAGTTACTTCTGTCTTAGACATATTTTTACTCGAAGAGTATATATAGAAAATCCAAAACTCAACAGAAAGCAAAACATAAAACTCAACCCAGCAGAGAACCTAGGCAACAAGAACTCCCCCTACACAACATAAACCCCAGCTAAGTCCTCTACAAATGGCTCAAAAAGTCTTCAAACTTTTTTCTAAGTGGACCCTCATTGCTCGACCCTCTACTGTTAATCTCTACCATGAGTCTCATATCACCAACAACACAATCAACTCCTTCACTATCATCCAAGTCTTAAAGGAAAAACTCCATTGACATCAAATAATTAAAAACATCGCGCAAAACTAGAAAAACACAAAATAATACTTAACGAACACAAAATATCAGCCAAGTCATACAGTAGGTCTGCAAGACCCACCTGTATCTTTTATGAAATATATTCACTCCTCTCAGTTGTATTCAATAAAAGATAATCAGTTAAGATAATGTACCATCCAATCATAGGAAAAACCAAAAATCACATCCAAATATAGTGCCTTGATATCCTAGGATGCTCTTGCACCAGTTTCAACCAAATCATGATTATTAAAGTGAATGGCTTCCGTGCTAGAAAAAGTTATTCATGAAAAAAGAAGCTATTCAGATCAACATCAAATCCAAAATTTGGTCTCCAAGGATCTTGTAGAAGGTTATTTCTTGCGAAACAGAAATTACTCTGTAGTGTATGCACATGCATGCACAAGTGTGTATGTGCAAGTGTACATAAACACACACACAGGAAATAGTAAAGGAGCACTGCATGCCTATGCTCAGTTAAACAAAAGTCAGAATGAGAGCTCCAGTCACACCTTCACTTTAAGTTTCTTAGCCCGTTTGGAAACATGCCGTTGAGACAGCTCCCTGCTTTGTTGATCCTATTAAAATTTCAAAAAATGCATCAAACTTCTAAAAGTGGGGAAAGCAATTGAGTATATAATCCTCAGCAAACATGCACAAAAGATTAAGCCATAAAGTATAGCCAATATGAGAGGGAAAAAATAAATAAACATGCCAACCAGCATAGAATGGGCAAGGGCTGGAGAATTAAAAATTAGTATATACATAATATCTAAATGCACATTGACATTGGATTATTGCATCCAAAGAACTAAATAACCAATTAGCCATACAAGAGAGACTAGAAAAAAGACAATTATTTTAATAGGCATTACCAAGGGACAAGCTTTGATTGCATCCTTGACTCTTATAGAGTAAATTTCCAGGATGATCTTATTAGGAAAAAAAAGTTGTGCACCCACATTGGCAGTTTCATGCATACCATTTTTCCCAACAGTATCAGTTACATAATAAAATGAAACAAAAAGCTGTTTTATCCAAATAATTAGGGACTTTTGGGGAAGGGGTGAGGGGGAGAATTCTTATAATCAGAACAAAATAAATATTTCCCTAGATTAGAGAAATATCCCCTATAAATGAATTATAACTGACCTGGACTATAGAGAAAAGGCGAAAGGCACGATCCTGACCAGCAGAAAGAATATGTCTTCCATTAGCATAAAACCTGCCACATAATTTGCAGGTGTGACTAAGTGATGGTACATGCCCAATTAAAAGTGTAAAACCACAACCATTACTTAATAAGGTCAAAATACCAAAAGTTAAAAAATGGTGAATAGCTTAGCTTAATTTAATCCTTATGATTAACATATTTCAAAATAATAAATCCTTCACAAAAATAATAAGAAATCCAGCCACAAAAAAGGAACAAAAAGAATCGCAAACAAAACTGCTACTATAAAATAGCTCTACATTTGCTCAACATGTCAATCAAGGGCACTTCACTGAAGAATCCATATGCAGAACATCATAGAGGCCAAGAAAACAATATTTCTCCAAAGCATGAATAATGATCAATGATTCAATATAGACCTTCCCTCAAAAATTAAGAATCCAATTATTACTTTCTGACCAAATTCACTGCAGTACAGAAAGAACTTATGTCCAAGAAAAGGCTGATAAATGGAAATAGAGGGCAGCAGATGATGGAATTGAAAAATTTGTATTCATGACAATTTGCATTTAGTAATTACGCAGACATTAATGTATACAAACAAAGTTGATCTAAAGTTCCTATATAAATTAACACCTGGAAAATAATTATTACTTTATGCAAAGGGGAGGAGCACTGTGCCCACATCGAAAACGCAAAAGGCGAGGATCACCATCACTTGTATCAAAAATCCACATCTGGAAAAAAAAAAAAGAAAAGAAAACCAGACATATTCTCACATAATTAGGAAGAATGAGTAAGTAGAAAAATCTGCAAGACAAATCCATACCAATTAAAATCAGACTGGTAGCCAACAACCATAATTACTCCAGATAGAATACTAACAAAGCTTAGGTCACTATAGTCACTATTAATTTATACTGTTAAATTAAAAAGCCATTGTCATTAAGGAAAATCATGTTATATTGCTAGCAATTGGCATGATAATGCAGACATCCAAACTTACCAGTTATGTTTCAAATATCTTTGATACACAACTTTTTTTATATACAAATTTTGAAGGACAACCATCTATAGTTACACTCAAAAGAATACTACCAACATGTAAGGTTTTGTCAAGAAATTTAACTGCATGTGAGCATCTTCTTTAAAATTGACTCTTACTTTTATAGAGTTGTCTGCTGATGCACTCATTAGCACTGGTTCATTAGCAAAAAAATGTAGGGACGTGATTGCACTATCATGAGCCTCTCTTACAACTGACTGGAGCCTTTGTTTTTCCAGATTCCATATGCTTATAACACCAGATGAACCTCCGGAAGCTAGAAGGGGCTGGCCATCTAAAACAGGTAAAGAAAATAAACCAGTAAAAATAAGAACATACCACTAAGTTGACAAAATATAATATATTCTTATTGGAAGAAGACAAAAGATCAGTTTCCTCGGCAAGGAATAGACACTCATTAAAGAAATATACTTCATAAGGCAAAGAATTCAGTTGATTAATACCGCAACCATTTTATAGAACATCAAACTGTGCATATTCAGTTTAAAGGGGGTCATAAGAATTCTAATATTATGACTGGAAAAATTGTCAATTCCTCAAAGATCACAACAGAAGCACAATTAATTTGACTTGGAGGCTTCAAAAAACAATATGTATGAACAGTCATAAATTAAATAGGTACCTTATTCAATTTTGCAGCCAGTTAGCAAGGAGCAACAAAATTTACTAAATGACTTCATTACGAGTCAATGGTGGAAATCTTAAAACTTATTAATTTTTTCATTTAAAAAAAGAAAAAAGAAAATACCAAACATGTGTTTCTCAAGACAGAAAAAAACCAGACAACTTACTTCACAGTAGTAACAGGATTGCAGCAACTGCAATGCATTAATAATGAACTTGAATAACAAGCTTACTGCTCTTACCAGTGCTGAAAGATAAGGAAGTCACAGAACCACGCGTAGAATGTGTAAATGTAACCAACTCTTCATCATAACGAATATTGTGAACATGAAGCCTTCCATCTGCACAGCCAACAGCAACAACATCTAGGGCAGGGGATGAAACACAACAGGAGATAGGCGAATTCCATCCCTTAAACTCAAAAATTTTTTTCTTCGTGCTAATGTTCCAAAGCTGCAAAGGACCTTGCTCACTTCCAATAAGAACCTGCACACGTGCTTCTCAGTCATAAAGGAACTCGTACAATTTCTACAAATCTTCTGAATGGAGAAAGATATGTTTACCTTATTTAGGTAAGTATCCGGATGCATTATACAGCTGGGGCTAAATTTCTCATCCAGTGTAATATGCCCAAATGGAACAAGGTTCTGATCAATTCCCTTAAATGCCCACAAGAACATGTTCCCGCGAGTATCAACACTGACTATATGTTCTCCAAACAACAGGAGCAATTTAACCTTAGCATTATGGCTGCTCCAAGTTGCAACCTGAAAAGGTAACGAATGTTAAAATCCCTAAACGCTCCTAAAGAACAAAACAGCCAGATCAGAACTATGTAGAGAACCTGATGGGCACGCTTGAAAACTGCAATGTTGTTTCCATATGCAGCAAAAGTGTATTCCCGGTAAGAAGCTAGAGCAGTAATCTTCTTTGGCATTTGAGGACCTTCATGGATAGTTACAAATTTTAATAGAACCAAAAATTTAAGTAAAAAAAAACAGGAAAAATGAGAATCTTACCAACGAGAACCAAATTGAGCTTTGCACACTGCAGAGAGCAAATCCCTCGTCAACGGTGAAGTTGATTGAATGTTAAATAACCAAAAGGATAGTAGCAATAGTAATAATCATATGTTCGATTTCAAAAACCAAAAAGAAAAGAAGGGATGTGCGTGAGGTTAAGAGATTACGTTATAAATCTGAAAAGCTTTTCCAACGCTGACAGTGACGAAAGTTTCAGTGCCAAGTCTCTGAACAGAGAAGGGGACGGTGCTTGTGACGCATCCAATTGCTCTGTAAGGTTCAAATATACCCATTTGTTCCTTATCCCTCTGCTTCTTTTCTGTTCTATTCTACGAAGATGAAGACTTAAGCCTAACCCAACAATACTCTCACGGCCAGCTCTGCCTTCACTTCTCCCTCTTCGAGGTTTTGGCGTTAGGGTTTTAAGTTATCTAAGTCAAATGAAAACCAACACGCACCGTTTCTTATATTGGGATTTTGTAATGCATCGCTTGTATGTTTTAATTTTAATTATTTATATTATAATTTAAATTTATTTTTACACTCTCTTATAAAAAAGTCTTTTCATTTCACATATGGAGAAATATTTAATCATTGATTTGAGATTCATAAATTTTTTTAAAATATATTGTAGAATATATTTAAAATAGTGACAAGCTTTGAAAAAAAAAAGTAAAATAGATTATAACTTTGAGATTTAAAAAAATAAATAAAGGTGCACATTTTAAAACTATTTATTTTACTGTTTAAATAAAAATATTTTTTACAAATTCACTTTTAAAATATTAATTTTATAAATAATAACATCATAAATATATTACAAGTTAGTAAAATAAATTTAGTTATCAAATACTTTCTTTCATTTTATAAATTTATAAAATAATTAGTGTAAGGATAATAATAGTAGTAATACCTGTACTAGAAATAATAATAGGATTTTAATTTGTTTATGTTATTAAATAATATGATATAATCAGGTTAAAAAATATTTTTTTTTAATAAATAAAGACCTATACTATGTTATGTTTGATTGTAAAATTCATTAATTAAATAAAAAAATTATCTTTCTCTTTAACATAATTATATCACATATTATATAAAATAAAATAATTCAAGTATGTTTCTCTATTAATGTAATATTAATAAAAATATTAACAATAATAGTATTAATTATCATTTTACTCAGAAAAATAGTATTACACCCATAAAAATAATCATATTCATCATTAATTTTAGACCTTATTATAATAATAATAATAATAATAAATACAAAAATTATAATTATTATTACTATTAATATTATAATAATTATTATTAAATTTATCATTATTCTTATTATAATACTAATAAATATATCTATACATTACACAAGTTTTTAATTAAAATAAAAGTAAATTAATTTTTTAAATATAAAATAAATTTAAATAATTATTTATTAAATTAATAATAATAGAATTAATAAAATTAAGATAATATTTTAAAATTATAAAAGTAATAAATTAATTTAATAATAAAATTAATAATATATTGCATCTTAAAAATGCTTACAAATAAATAAATAAAATTTTAATTTTTTTAATATATATTATTATTTTAAAATAAATTATAATACATAAATATCATACAGTAATTATTATAATAAATTATATATATTATTTAAACTTTTTTTATTAATTTAAACATTTATTAAATTTTTATATTTAATTTAACATTTTATAAATTATTCGCCACTATTTTAACCAAATTATAATAGTATTAATATATTTTTAAAATGAAAAATACCATGACATGTATAGAAATGAAAATATAGAATTTTGACACAGAAAAAATAAAATAAAAGACAAGTATATGAATTAAAATAAAACTAGTGTAAGAAATAAAGACTAAATTTAATTTTATTTGAAGTTTGATAAATAAGAGGAACTAATCTGTCACTGGTTATTTATATAAAGATTAAAAATTAAGATTTTTTTTTAAATTAAAATTAAAAATATTAAATATTAAAACTAAAATTATAATTAAACTTTAATATTTTTAAATATTAATATTCTTATATCATATAATAATTGTACGTATAAAATATGTTTGTATCAAATTTATAATATAAAAAAATAGTAAAAAATAACTGAAAAATCTTAAAATATAAAATTTAAAATCAAATATTAAAAGGAATTAACTAATTTAAAAATCATTTAAAATATTAAAATTAACAATAAAATGTTTTAATAAACAATTATTGAATGATATACCTGCAAAATATATAATGATTAGTTAATTAAACCCATTCCTCATTGTTTTTTGGGAATGAAACGTGAATGGACATGATTGATAATTTGGGTTTCACGGTGTGGACGCAAGCGAGATGAAGATTGCAGGATTTGAGTGCTGAGTACAGTATTGATTGTTGGTTCAACGGAGACGATGGAAATTAGGACTGAGTCGGACTCGGACGCCGCCATGTGGAAAGAAATTGAGGTTTCAGAGAGGTAACTGAATTTGAGAACAAGAAATGAATCGGTGAGTCGTTTATTATTACTATTAGGGTACAAATACTTAAGTTACGATGCGTTGCAGCTACCTCGTTTGCTCCATGTACGAAGAAGCGGCATCATTAGCTTCCTCTATTTTGGAACGCTTGCGTGATGCTGAAGCTGATGCTGAGACTGATGATACTCAAGATATGTTGGAATTAACCGCTATGGTGCTGCTTCAGGCATTCAACCAACTTGGCAGGTCTTTTCTATCACTCCCATGCCCATTCCATTATTCTCATATTATTATTTAATTCTAAACTTAGTATCATCAATGCTGCAGGACCCCAGAAATTCTTAATCAACTCAGACTTCACTTCATTTCAGTAAAAGCTATTCCTGTCCGCGTTCTACTCACTGGGTGTGTATGCTTCCTTTCTTTATAACAATTTGACATCCACATTATGAGAAGTTTCGACTATTATTATCTCGTGTGATTGTTATTCTTTATGATATGAAGACTTTTTTCCTAATTCCTATGCAACTGAGATAGCTTATTCATTCATGATCATGATCCTACATTTTGTGCTTGCCTGTATGAGTCTAGGATTTGTATCCTTGCGGGTCACACTCTTTATATAATTCATATAAATGTGCCTTCAAACATGGTACTGAAAATTGACAATTTATTATTTTCTCTTTTGGTTCAGAGCTTGTTTACAAATAGCACAAGGTTCTGCTTTTGGCGTTCAAGAATTTCTTGAGGAGTTTCTTAATGGATGGAATCTTGAGGATGAACAATATTGTGCTGCCATTACAGAAGCAAATGTAGAGAGTGGACGTAGAGATGAAAGGCAACTTGTTCTTCGAATTGATAAATATTTAGAAGTTGTTGAGGTCTATGCTGTCACACTACTTGGTGGAGTTTTAAAAGATGTAGATCTTGCAATTTCCTGGGTTAATAATGCTTCATTGCCCGAGGAAAATCGACAAGTAAGGATGTTCTCTGCATTCAGTTTTATATAATTTATATAAATCAAGATTAAAGGTTTTGTAATTAGGCTTTGAACTACAAATGGGAAACAAAGTTATGGTGTGGTTTTGACTGATTGGAATGCACAATTTGCCAGCTTTTATGCACCATATGAATGGTGGATCAAGTGAATTTCTCTGCATGAGTATGACACATATAACTGAAATGGGTGATGCGGTTGAGTGGCAACTGAGCATTAAGTTATCATTACACGAATCCTAAAAATTGATCACAGCATACTTGCTGTGGTTTTATACCAATTTCAACAATTGGAATCAAGGATTTTATTTCCTCTTTGTTCTTTGTTGTTGTTGTTCTCTGTGCATGTGTTCATGGAAATTGGAAAGTAAATTGCACTAAGTTGATTAAAGGTTACAGAGATATTTTTTGGGCTTTGAAGTCTAAAACATAAAGCTTGGTAACAGATTTTGCTCTGGGTATGTTTACTGATTCTGATCCTATAGTTTGTTTCTCTATATAAAATTTTACTTAAATTTTGTTAGCCTCTGTCGGATATGATCTCTTCTTTACCTTACCTCCCAAAACTTGTAAGTTGTGCATGTTCATCTTGTTGTCACTGGTGAAGGGGAATCAGATTTAAGCTTTTATCTGTATGTTGGATTTATTAGTCTAAGCTGACATTTGGAGTTAACTGTCTTTTCTCTGATTCTGTTCATTTCATGATAAATTGCATATTATTTGTGTCAAATATAATTATCATAAGGATTAATATTGTGGATTTTGATTTATATGCATAAAAGGGAAAATTTATTTTCAGATTCAGAAACATTTAATCGAATATTTACAAAAGTGGACCCTTTTTTCAAAAAAAATGTAGTGTGATTATTTTGTTGTTTACAATGGTTGTTTCATTGGTATAACTTAGTCCCTCGAAGATTAACCTCTCTCTTGTAAATATGATTGCGAATGTCTGCGGCATAATAGCACACTCTCTAGTTTCTGCAACATAATGACCACTATCTGGCCCTTGACTCAAAATTACAAAAAATTATTTTCTTGTAAATATTGGCCACCTTGTCTTAGGCAGTGTGATTTCTCCATTCTTTACTAATTATTGGTATGCCACTGTATTTGTAGGGACTTCTGAGAAGGTTACACTCTATGCATTCTCTTAAAAGTACTGTTTTGTCTCAAACTTCCTTTCCACTGTCACCTACAAATAGCAATGGAGCTTATTCTTTGAAAGAAGAAAATGTTTGTGAAGGATCACCTAAAGCCTTGAAAAGTAAACATGCAGACAATAAATGGTATAGGTCCAAAGAAGCTGTTCCCACATTGTCTGAACGAATAGAAACATGTTTCTGGTGCTTCCGTGCAATCAATTTGAAGATTGGCAATGCTAAGTTTGTCATAACTAGTGGGAAGATTATGCTTGGTTGTTTGATCGTGTTCCTCTATTATGTTTTAAGAAAGAAGCAAGCCACTTTAAAAAGGTACTCTCTTATATTTATGGCTCCATAGTATAATGTATCCATAACACATCAAGTATTTGTTTTCATATCATCTCACCTTAGAAGTTACAGTCACCATTGCGTATCAAAACTATCAATAGTTTAAATTAATCTTTCTTGTTTTTACCTTTCTGGTTGCTGTTGTTATTTTTGAGTTGCGTTTACCGGGCCTCATGAAAAGCTATGGAAATATTTAATTTTAATAGGCGTCGAGGGCTTGTGGACTATCTTATATTGATGCATAGTTTGTACGTAGAAAACGGATAAGGGAATATGATAAAGTTAAACTTGGAATGGAGTGTTTTAGCTATACCTAGGACTGATGGACTGCAAGATTCAGAATGGGTAGCTTGTAAGTTGCTATTATGATGTTTGCCTTCAAACACTTGTGATTCCTGGTGTGACGAAATTTTTAGGATATTTTGCTTGAGAGGGATTTAGTTGTGCTGAACGTTTTCATGGTTTAGGATTGTAACAAGACAAGTAATCGCCGTGAAGAGGGCTTTGGTGGATTTGTGGCAGCTTGGGTTTTCGTATCAAGTAAATCCTCTGGCAGCTGTTCAACCTCTTCCTGCTGCAACACGTCAAGGTCAGTGATGCCATGATGGAAATGTTGACCGAGCATTACCTTATTCGGGAGCCTGTCACAAGGAATCCTCAGTATAGCTTTTTTCACTACCCTTGTAGTTCTAGACAGGCAATATTATTTTGTTCGAAGATGCGCTTCTTTGTGCTGATCAATAACCTTTACATGCATTTAAGTCATTTTGAAAGGTGCACGTCAATACATGTATGCTATTCTCTCTATTAGGAGTGTTTGAGATTAACATACTGCCATATTATATAAAATTGTAAAACAGCGATCTCATTTCCACAGCAGAATGCACTTCTTGTCGTGATCAGCAAGTTGTTATTGTTACAACAGAATTTTTGCTACGCATAGGAAAGCAATCAATTAATTTGACAAGTCTTATATTTTTTATTTCCTGCTTTTTTAGATAATTATAAAACTTTGTTTTCACTAAGATTTTAAAGATTTGTACACTATATAACGATTTTTATTTTTTCTAAAAGCTAGAGACATGAATTGGTAATTGAAAAGAAAAACAAAAATAAATTCATATTAATGAAAAGGTAAAAAAGTAAACTCAAATGAATACACACAGATTTAACGAAAGGAGCATGACGATTGCAATATTTTGAATAAGAAAAAATGATTAACAGTTAATGAATCAATGGAATCAGCTGATAAATGTATCTTGTTGGCGGTAGCAGAGAGTGAGATATGTTGCTGAGATTAAACTAAGAGTTAAGAGAAGAGCTTAACCGAGGTGGTAGACAATATGAATGGAATGAAGTGATGATACAGTGGGGTGGGGTCAAGGCAGAGTCAGACAAAGGCTGGCCGTGTATTTCTGACTAAGAAGAGAACATTCTCACGCAATTTGATTCAAAGAAATAAATAAACAACAATTCTATTTTAACACCTAAAATGGGTGTCCACCCTGGACCCAATATATTTGGGTGCTAAAATATTTTTTAATTATTTTATAGTCTTTTATTATATTAGTATCATTTAAATAAATTTATATAAAAAATAATTTTAAAAAAATATTTGAACACCCAAATATATTAGGTGTGTAGTGTTTGACACTTGGGCGTTAAAATAGCATTGATCATGAATAAAAGGACTTGGTAAACGTAAACCCCTCTCTCTCTAATCTTTATCCTATTATTGGCTTTTCTCTTTTCTTCTCTCTCTCTCTCTCTCCCCTTTCAATGCCATGTAAAGTTCTCCACCCTCCATCTTCAAGCCTTGCCTCCTTCACCAATCACCATCTCCATCCATTGCATAGCAGGCCCTTCTCGAGGGCGCGCACGACGCACCCTTCCTTGTGCGTGTGCCAACCCTTCACCTTCTTCACTATGGCACTCATCACTCCTTTAACTTTAATGCCACCATTCCCATTCTTAATATTATTATTTGTAGTTGCATTCTCCACCATCCTCTCATCACATGTCGTTTCAAGTGATTCAGAAACAGATTTGCTCCTCAAATTCAAGAACTCCCTTCAATTGCAAAATGACAATAAATTATCTTCATGGAATGCATCAACCCCTCCATGTTCAGGTGATGATGCCAAATGGCCTGGCGTTTTGTGCTATAACGGACACGTGTGGGGGCTGAAGCTTGAGAATATGAAGCTCAAGGGGAACATTGATGTTGACTCCCTCAAGGAGTTATCGTATTTCAGGACCTTAAGCTTGATGAACAATGATTTCGACAGCACATGGCCTGAGCTTAACAATCTATTGGGTTTGAAGAACATTTACCTTTCAAATAACAAGTTTTCCGGGGAGGTTCCTGCTCAAGCATTTCAAAATATGCAATGGTTGAAGAAAATTTTCTTGTCAAACAACCAATTCACAGGTACCATTCCATTTTCCCTTGTATCATTGCCTAGGCTCATGGAGTTGAGATTAGATGGAAACAAATTCACAGGCTCCATTCCCAACTTCAGCCAAAAATTTAAATCATTTAACGTAGCTAACAATGAATTAGAGGGAGAAATACCAGCCAGCCTCAGCAACTTACCAGCTTCATCTTTTTCTGGTAATGAAAGGCTATGTGGAGCTCCATTAAATACATGCCCCTCCAACCAAAAGTCATCAATTGTGAGTATTATTGTGGTTGTGGTTCTTGTTATTGTGGCACTCATTGTGATTGGAGCAGTAATATTAATGGTCCTTCGTAGAAGAAGGAAACAACTACCAACAGTGTCAAGGGAAAATCAAGAGTCCAGCAGGCACAGCCATCAAAAGAAATCAGGAAGTAGGGAAGCTTCGGATGAAGGAAGTCACAGGTCTACAAGGTCCCAAGGTTCAACCCACAGCAGCAGAAGAGGAGACAATATGAGATTGTCATTTGTGAGGGATGACAGAGAACAGTTTGATTTGCATGAACTGTTGAGAGCCTCTGCTGAGATATTGGGCAGTGGTTGTTTCAGTTCTTCCTACAAGGCTGCTCTTTTGAGTGGCCCCGTTATGGTTGTCAAGAGATTCAAGCAAATGAATAATGTTGGAAGAGAAGAGTTTCAAGAGCACATGCGACGTATTGGAAGATTGAATCATCCTAATCTGCTTCCTCTCGTCGCTTACTACTACAGAAGGGAAGAGAAGCTTTTGGTTACCGACTTTGTTCACAATGGAAGCTTGGCTGTTCGCCTTCACGGTATATTCATATATATCTAATCTCATTATCAAATCAAGCATGCATGAACGTCATTTTCAATTCAACTTCTCATCGTATAATAATATAATACTGTGAGGTGTGCATGGTTACATGTTTCAGGATACCAAGGTCTAGGGCAACCAAGTCTTGATTGGGCAACCAGGTTGAAGATTGTGAAAGGCATAGCAAAGGGTCTAGAATATTTGTACAAGGAGATGCCAAGCCTAATAGCGCCCCACGGACATCTTAAATCCTCCAACGTTCTTCTGGGTGAATCTTTTGAGCCAACCCTCACTGATTATGGGTTGGTACCAGTGATAAACCAAGAACTTGCTCCTGATATAATGGTGATCTATAGGTCCCCAGAATATTTGCAATATGGCCGTGTTACAAAGAAGACTGATGTGTGGAGTCTTGGGATACTCCTTGTGGAGATTCTTACTGGCCACTTACCAGCTAACTTTCTACAACAAGGCAAAGGAAGCGATCAGTTGAGTTTGGCAAATTGGGTAAATTCGGTTGTCCCTGAAGAGTGGAGTAGTGAGGTGTTTGATAAAGATATGGAGGTAACAAGAAACAGTGAGGGGGAGATGGTGAAGCTTTTGAAGATTGCATTGGCATGTTGCGAAGTGGACGTAGAAAAGAGGTTGGATTTAAAAGAAGCTGTAGACAGAATTCAAGAGATAAAGGAAACAGATAACGAAGAGGATTTAGACTCTTCTAATAATGCTGATGTTAAGTCTTCTTCATAGGCTTTGTCAGGTTTAATTTAGTTCAGTTTTTCCACTGAGGCTGCCAAGGCTTGGATTTCATTTCTGTCTCCCCTCTAGCTATGGCATGAATGCATGCAATGCTTCGTCCACGTTACATTACTGGGTCCAATTTTTGCTCTTCAATTTTTCCCAGTACTGTAAGGGGCTGCAAATGGACAATTGAGGGGAACAAGATCCTAATGCCAATCGTGCATGTGATGAGATGGATTTGAGGTTGAATCAACTCCTTTTTTTTCGGTGATTAATATATCTTGGGATTTGCTTTGCCATCCATATCTCTATCTCTCTCAGTACTTAATAGCTAGCTATCCTAATTTTCACTAATTCCAACTTATAACAAGCTCATCAGTTTTGAAGCTTCTAATTTCAATGTAGGTTTAATATTACCCTTTGAGTTTTTAACATGTACATTAATTTAGGAAGGACAATAGATTTGTTAAATTCTAACGTACCCTTTTTTGCAGAACGAATGCATTGTCATTACATATATATGTGCATTGTGTGCTCAAATAATGTTTCATTAAAAATATTCTCAAGCAACGATAACCGTGTCTAAACACTTATTATGTAATTATTGCTAATAAGAAAGAGAAAGAAAAAGAGTAGTAAATGAATTTGGGCGAAATGCTAAAAAAGAAATGAATCTATTAATGACAGATTGAACGTAAATATTTGGTCTCCTTCTATAAATGGTTATAAAATTAAAAATTAGAATTAACTAAAAATAATGCACTCATCCCCACACACACACACACAGAGAATTGCAAGCCAAAATCCTGCTGTTAAAAACTACATTTTTAATTCAGCCAAAATGTTTTTTTATGACATTATTACGTTTGTGCTAAAATTAACATGAGCATCAATGCTGCACAGTTTAATGCCTATTTCGGTCTCTAAATTGGACTATACACTAAGTTCGACTGAGAGAGAGAGAGAAAAGTAAAACAAAACTTTATAATATAATAAAATAGGTTTAAATATTTTTTATTCCAATATTTTTAAAAAAATTATTTTAATATTTTAAAACTATTTATTTTATTTTATTTCATTTCCTAATTTTTTCTAATTCTTTAGTTTTAATTCCGTCATTGAGTATCTTTATAAAAAAAATTAATATGAACGATTTTTAAGTCAGTCACGTTAGCCAAAAAAGACAAAAAAAAACTAAAGAATGGATTTCTAACATTCTTTAGTGTTTATTTGAATAACTATTTATTTAAATACTTATTTAATAATTTTAAAAAAATAACTTGTCATAAATTTAATAATAATATTTATTAGTATAAACCAAAAACAATTTATTTTGATAAATTATATTAAGAAACTTATTAAAGATAAGAATTTGAACAATGATAAGAATAAAGCTTGAAACGTCTGTCAAATAAATTATGTATCTTTTTAAGAATTATAATGAGGATAAAACTAAAAAAATAAATTAGACATTAATAAGTTCAAATACTGCATAAAATAGTGTTTTAAGAAATGCTACAAAAACGTTATAAAAGACTAAAATTAAAAAAAAATTAAATTATTCATATCTTCGATGCTGGCTTAAAAGCTTGAGCACATACATTTAACTAGTTTAAGAATGTATTTGACAAAACAAATCAACTAGTTTATTTTCAAATAATTTTGTTTAAAAATTTGAAGATAACAAAAAATAAGAGATTATATTACCAAAATTATTCAATCAGATTGTATACTTTATTACTTTCTATGCTTTAAACATAAGTCTCGATACAAAATTAAGATAGAAAATTTAAGAGGAAGGCCATTATATTTCAACCGATACAAAGGGGAAAATACAACCACAAATTAACAAAAACAATCATCAATGAAAAAAGGTTAGTCCAATTTAAGAGAAGATGGGAAAGCCTATTAACGTGCGTTTGATAACGCGTTCCAAGACGCATATATATAATTGTCTCAACTATAGAAGTTATAACCCTTCAAAATATCCTTTTTAACCTAATGAGCCAATAAGATGCAACTTTATTTATAACCATTAACCACTCAATAAGAGCAAATAACTACCCAAAAAGAAAAACTACCCAAGAAAAAGTAATATTAACTTGTAATTTTCTTCCTAACTTTAGTTATCTACATGTGTAACTTATTTTGTATATAGCTATTAATTAATTATCACTCCACGAGAACAAATATAATCATTAGCTAACAAGCAATGACTATTTACAAACTTCATCAAAGAGTATTTGGTCTGTCAGGTGAAATACAGCATAACTATATCCTTTAATAACTATAACGAGATAAAGTGTTTTAATTTTGGTCGATCAAATGAGAAGAGATACCGAAGCCAACGGTATGTATTCCAAAAATGAAGGGTTGCTGCGCTGGAACATAAACATGATCTACTACGCGTGAAAGTTCACTAATTTTGGAACCTAACAACAAATTGCAAACTAATTTGCAACAGCATTTAGTACAACTGACGTTGGACTTTCAACAAACTACTAAAATTGCAGCACATAACATGTTATTATAAAACGTTTGAAATTGAAGCTAACGAGGAAGCTGGTTAAGTTATCCAGCATAACATTGTTTTAGTTGCTTTAATTCATTTGTAAGAAAGTTTAAGGCCAAAGTGAACATCCAGAAAATAAAGATGTCAAGGTTTAATGGGGAGAAGAAGCTCGGTGCAGGACGTGTGGTGGCTGTAGCTATTGATAATAGCAAAACAAGCCAACACGCTGCAAAATGGGCCGTGGACAATCTTCTTCCCAAAGACCAATGTCTCTATCTAATTCATGTTAGACAGAAAGCATCTTCGGCTCCCACATCATGTAATTAATTATTAACCTCTTCATTTTCCATTGCTTGAATCATGGAAATATATAATATCTTAAACCTTTTTCTTGGCTTTAATTTCCAATTTATGCAAATGGATCTGAGCATTTGACTTAATTTCGATGCCCCTGAATACAAGGAATTAATTAATTTGAACATTTTTGGATCATACATATTTAAATGACAATTCGTAATTAATTTTTATTGAATCATTCAGCTTCGTTATTTCTCAAATTCGAGTCTTCATGTACGATCATAACTATACTGAATTAATGGCTATGAGTGCAGCGGGAAACCACGCCATCGAAGGGAACGAAGCTGTGGCCGACAACGAATCCAAGGAACTTTTTGATTCATTTCGTGTCTTCTGCAACAGAAAAAGTGTAAGTTGAACGCATTACGCTGTGCTCATTTTCATCATTCAACAATATAAATAAGGGTTATTGTACGTAATGTGCATAATTATTAAATAAACAAAACATTTAATATCTTAAAAATAATATATATATATATTCACGTCTCTATATAATTGAGAAGTTTTAATAGAAAAAATATCTTTAACATTTGACAAAATATACCAAAGTGCACACATGCATGAACATGATCCAAAAATTGAGAGAAGCAGATTGAGCAGGAGTACATTCATATTTTATAACTAGTGGCCGCTGATGAATAGTTTTTATATGCAACAGATACAGTGCAAAGAAGTGTTGTTGGAGGACACGGATGTATCTAAGGCATTAATTGACAGCATTTCCACGTATTCCATCGAGCTTCTGGTGCTTGGGGCGCCATCAAAGGGGGGCCTTGTTAGGTAATAAACGTGAAAATATATTTGAAAACATTATATAAAAATGATGTTGATGTAATAATTAAGATCTGTGTGGTTAAATAGTTGGATCATAATATGACGTTGTCGATGAAATATTTATGACAGAAGATTTAGGACAACGGATGTTCCAAGCATTGTGTCAAAAGGAGCGCCACCATTCTGCACGGTTTATATAATTTCTAAAGGAAAAATCTCAAGTGTGAGATCTGCAACTGCTCCGTTGCCTAAAACCGCACCTCGGAACCAATTGCAACCACAGCCACAACCACAACCACAATCACAGCCAATCCCAAGTCCTGAAAGAATGATGGATCCTCAGGGCTCACGCAACTACCCAGTGCCACCAAGACGTATGTGTAAGTATATATAATTTTCATCTTGGGTTATACTTATTTATGTCATTTTCATAAATATATGCAACACTAATTGATCATTTGTTTATATCAATAATATGCAGCTTTAGGGCAAGCTGCAATACCAGAGCAAAAGCCAGCATATGGATCACGCTTGGGGCTGGATGATGATGACATCATGTAAGTTACAAAAAAATTTAATATATGATTAGTCAGTGAATATATAGTGATTTGATTATGACATGGGCATGCAGATCACCGTTCACAAGAATTGGCAAAACATATGAGCCCTCAAAACTTGCGGATTCAGATATATCATTCGTGAGCAGTGGAAGGCCAAGCATTGATCGAATGTTCCCATCATTGTATGATGATTTGGACAGTGCTAGTGGAATGGCTACGGCAAGGCTTTCATGTGGCTCAGATTACGGAATGGCTACGGCAAGGCTTTCATGTGGCTCAGATTACGGAATGGCCCCAGCTAGGCTTTCATGTGGCTCAGATTATGGAATGGCTCCAGCTAGGCTTTCATGTGGCTCCGATTTTGATTCCAGAAGCTTCGCCTCATCTCTCTCAGGAGCTAATAACATGGAGGACTTCTCATTCACCTCACAAGGCAGTGGCTTATTATCATCAAGGCTATCCGACAGTAACCCGGTAAGTAATTAATTAATAAATATTTATTACTTTTGGGTGCTTAGTTACGTGTGCATGTGCATGTGCATGTGCATGCATGCATGTGTAAGAAAATAATAATGAAATATTTGTATACATAGGATGAAATGGAAGCGGAGATGAGGAGGCTGAAGCTGGAACTGAAGCAGACAATGGAAATGTACAGCACAGCATGCAAGGAAGCTCTGACGGCAAAGCAGAAGGCGATGGAACTTCAAAGATGGAAAGTGGAAGAACAGAAGAAAATGGAAGAGGCGAGAATGGGGGAAGAGGCAGCCATGGCAATGGTGGAGATAGAGCAGGAGAAGTGCAGAACTGCGTTGAAGACGGCAGAAACATCCCAAAGAATAGCGACGTTAGAAGCACAAAAGAGAATGAATGCAGAGATGAAGTGCCAAGCAGAGAGGATGAAGACAGAGAGCGGTTTTGGACACGGCACTACAAGGTACAGAAGATACACTATCGAGGAAATTGAAGAGGCCACAAATCGCTTTTCGGATTCCCTCAAGATCGGCGAAGGAGGTTATGGCCCCGTCTATAGGTGTGAACTTGATCACACTCAGGTTGCCATTAAAGTTTTGAAGCCAGATGCACAACAAGGACGCGAGCAGTTTCAGCAGGAAGTATGATCAATCATTTCACTAATTTACATTTAAATGCACTGGAAATGCTAGCAATAGTAACTTTTATAATTAAAATTCTTATCTAAAAGAGTGTTGTTGATAGCATTTCTTTTCTCTTCCATACATAATTGATTTGCTTTGCTTATGCAGGTTGAAGTGTTAAGTTGCATAAGGCATCCAAACATGGTTCTGCTGCTAGGAGCATGCCCAGAGTATGGATGCTTAGTGTATGAGTACATGGCTAATGGAAGTTTGGATGATTGTCTGTTCAGGAGAGGTAAGCCGCGTCCACCTCTTCCATGGCAGCTAAGGTTTCAAATTGCAGCAGAGATAGCGACAGGGCTTCTTTTCCTTCATCAAACAAAGCCAGAGCCATTGGTTCACCGAGACTTAAAACCAGGAAACATTCTTCTTGACCGAAACTATGTGAGCAAGATCAGTGATGTGGGGTTGGCAAGGCTTGTCCCTCCTTCAGTTGCTGACACTGTTACTCAGTATCGCATGACATCAACTGCTGGAACCTTCTGTTACATTGATCCTGAGTATCAGCAAACGGGCATGCTTGGAATCAAATCTGATATTTACTCGTTGGGAATCATGCTTCTTCAGTTGGTTACGGCTAAGCCACCAATGGGTTTGACCCATCATGTTGGAAAGTCCATTGAGAAGGGTACTTTTGCTGAGATGCTTGATCCTGCTATTGAGGACTGGCCACTAGAACAAACCTTGCATTTCGCCAAACTATGCCTTCAATGTGCTGAAATGAGGAGAAAAGATAGGCCTGATCTTGGGAAAGTTGTGTTACCAGAACTCAACAAACTCAGAACCTTTGCTGAAGAAAGCATGCCTCCTATGATGATGTTTGGACTTGGAAGTGGTGCTGCATTCGCTCCAAGAACCAGCAACTCTTCCAACCACTCCGCAGTTTCTTCCACTTCTCAAGTGAGTCACTATTAACGTGTTTGAGTTGTAGCTTCTGCTTTGAATCTAGGTTTCAAATGAATGAATGTTTTGTTTTAGGACAATATGAGTGAATCTCAATCACTGTCTGGCATCTCCGGATATGAAAGCCGCTCGAGTACATCATCACTGGGGAGAATGTGAAGTGCATTTAGAGGGATTCTTTTACCTTTCCTTTCGTATCATTTGCGAGAAAAAATGGTGAGGTTCGTTCGTGGTGAAATTGAAATGCATCTTTTGAGTTCTCACACCTCAGGCAGGAAGCATCAAACCTGGCTTCAGAACACTCAACAAACAGTGTGATCATTCACAACATCCGTGTAAAGTATATGGTTAACCAATGCACGATCTTTGAAGAATTTGTAATCCTTGAATGTATTTCACAATTTCAGTAAGGATCTACAACGAATTTTGCTATTCAATGAAATCCAAGGTTTGGTATTAGTAACTTCGATTGATGTGCGGTATAAACTTAAAAACACAACATCGAATCCTCGTCTTTGTGAATATACGTGAATAGTATTGTGTAAGATGCCCCCATGAGATTTCATGCCACATTCACAGATGGTGTGATACACAATGTGAAATTATAATTGTTTATAAAATAAAATTCATAATTAAAATTTTGCGTGTGAGAACATTATGAAATCATTAAAATATTGATGATTAATTCTTTTAATAAATAATTACAATTTTGTTGATCGAGTTTTTTTTTTTCTCTTTTAAAATGTATCAGTTATTTTATGGAAATGGAGTGACAGGCTCACAAAACTTGTAATGCAAAGGGATCATTTCATATGGACCAAAAACAATTAGTCATAGAAGATGAAAGAAAACAGTGATGTTTTGTTATTAATTATGACTTTCACCAATCAAACACAAAAGACCTAACAAATGACAAGTGAAACTCCAAAGGGAGAGCGGTGCATGTAAAAGTAGATTAGATGAAAATTAAGGGAGTGTCGGTCTTATCTTAATTATGACATAAATAAGTTTATTTTAAGAATATTAATAAGATTTCTTATTTATAAAAATTAATATAATTCAAAACATGATATTTTTTTTAATTTCACTAATTTATTTAAAATGAGATTATTTATTCTCTGAGTTAATTTGGAGAAATCTTAAATTTAAAATAGGCTAGTGCAAATGTGATGAAGGAGTCAATTACTCGAGTCGCCCGTTGACGATGGCCCTCAAAGTTGTAATTTTACTGACAATTGCCATTTACATTATGTTGACATTTGAGAACAAAAGTAAAATATAAAAATTACCAATATTTAGAGAACATTAATTTAATGAATAAAAACTTATTTTACTGGTGATAAAACAATATAAAGAACACAGATCAATAAAACTTTTAACTTAAAAAATAATTTAATTAATAAATATTATTTTAGCAATAATGAAATATTTTATCATACCTAATGTTAATTTTTTAAAAATTAGAATTTCATTAAAGGGATTAAAAACCAAAAGCACTTGCGACTAAATAATTAATAAAACATTAATTTAATTTAATATAATAGCTCGAAAGAGATCACAAAATAAAGATGTGACTCAAATCAGAATGAAAGTATGTAATTACAAAATAAATAAAACTCAAATTTTATTGCATATAGAGAGATATAATATGCATTAATCATAGACTCACATAAATTTTTTGTGTTAAATAACTTTTTCTACTACCTATAATTCTATGCTCAAGAATTTAATTTAGTTTCTACATTTTAAACAATCGTATTTTATTTTCCTGAATATTATACGAATTGTCCATTCTCTGGCTGCGAATAGCATCTTGCTCTTTCAATTTACTGTTTTGAGAAATAAGAAAAGGATAACTAAATTAAGAAATTAGCAATCCCAATATAGCTGCTTTTGTTAGATTCATAAACGAGATTAAATTTAATTCATTGGTGCAGATACATAACTATAAAGTAACAAAAATTGTTTTAAAATGAATAATGTTATTTATCAGTTAAGAAATGAAAACAAAATTATTTACAAACAAAATAAATATTGTTATGTTGTTGCATATTCACAAAATGATATATAGTGGCATAGAAAACAAAGCATTTAAGAAATATCGCGAGTCTTAATCAGTTGATTAACATGTTTCAATCAGAGATTTGGCGTTTTATGAAATATGTAGAGCTGTAATAAGGGCACGTATCATCATAATTTTTTGTAGTCTATAAAAAACACAATAACATTATGTGTATCTATCGTAATTCCTAAATTCTGGCAATTAATGCTATGAATACCAATTACATTTGTTTCAAGATATTCCTCCCACCAACTCCTACTTTTTGTTGAACTCCATTTTCTTCAAATCCAAATGCTCCTTACACATTATTCTTTCCTTCTGAGAGACTAGAGAAGAAAGAGAGAAGACACTCACTCATTCTCATCCTAAACATACGTTTTTTCAATATAATTGTGGAAGATGGAGAATTCAAATTATGATTCCAGCAAACCACCAAGGAATAGGAATAGGAATAGGAATAGGATGATTTTGGATGTTGGGTTGAGCATAGTTGCAGCCATGAGTATGACCAACATTAACAACTCCATTGATATTGTCTCATCGGCTAAGCCAGCTGCTAACTTTCGTGGCACCACAACCTATGGCCTTTTCTATGCTTCCCCTCTCACCCACTTTTCTCATTTTCTCAATTCCTGCAATCTTTGTCAAAAACATCTTCACGGGGTCGACATCTTCATTTACAGGTTCTAACACACACACACACACACATATATATATATATATGTTTTGTTGTTTATCAAATTCAGTTTCATCACTTTTCTCATCCATCAACTATATATTGACCATGAATTTTAAGGTTTATTTGTTTGGTGCTTTTCTTTATCTTACTGAATCTCTGACTTCATGATTTTCTTGTTAACTTATGCCATGTCTCATTTTATTTTTTAATATAATTTCTGACTATTATTTGAGTGGAACCACCGAATTTTATTCAGAGTTTGTGTAAAAGCAGGAATTAGTGGTGGTGTGTGTAGAATTATGATTAAGGTGGATTTACCCTTGCAAGTTGCAGGCTGCAGGAAAAGTTTACAATATAACTAATCTGTCTAGATCTCCCTAACCTTTTGGTGCCATATGATCTGGTTTGGCTATCTTACAAAACTAATCATGTTATATAAGCATGATAGTTATTCCAAGTTTTCCCCTCATTGTTGCTAGTTCTTTTTCTTGTTGGGTTCACATATGCAATTACTTGTAGAGATGCACACTTCTGCGCTTGCAAGATGATAATATTTTTTTAGTATTTAAAAAAAGTTGAATGAATTATTTGTACTCATGATTTACAATAGTTCATGAAGTTTATTAATTCTCAGCCAACAAACTTAATACATGTTTGGATTAATGATCAAATATACATGAATTTATATTTATTTTAACTGCCTCTAATTTAAATTTTTTCATTGAATATCTAATTTTACCGTATTTTGAAAATAAAACGAAGAAAAGGGAACCTTTTTCATCCTTCCTCAAATCAATGTAGTGCAGTAGCTGGGCCATTGATTTCTCCAAACTTGTTGGGACCTATTAACACTACTATAAGTTAACACTTGCCTTACGTGTGCTCCAAGGATCAGATAATATGGTCCCATACATACATGTGGTTCGGATAGTTTGTTAATGCAGCAATACTCAGTGGTTGGTGTATCATGAATCATGCTTGTACCCATATGCATGTGCATGTGCTTTTCACTTGAAATTTGTAAGACTCATGCAACGAATATTGACTCGTGATTAATTATTTACTATGTGTGGTCCATATCATTATTATGCAGAGGTGAGAGGGCGTTTTGTAGTGCTGAATGCCGTGAGACTCACATTAGAAACGATGATTACCATTATCAAGTTCCATTACCAATTGATTGCTCCTCCATCTCTCCATGCTCTGCTCCTCCTGTCTCCTTGTCCCGTATTCTTGCAGCATGAATATCATTCTTACTTTTCATTTTATTATATAATACAATGAAAATTGAACCTTGTTTCTTCTCCAAGAGAACATGCACATATATTACATTTCCTTTCTTCGTGCAATATATATAAAAATTGCAATAAAGTCTTTTTCCTAGTAATGCACGAAAATCCTTTCCAAATGTGGGTTTAAGGATTTGAAATATAATGCTCTTGCAGATTGCTACCCGCACTTAATCTTTAATGCAATTCAACGGCTTTGCATATTAGATTATTTAAAATAATATCATAATATTAGGTGTTCAGCACATGGTAAGTTGGGCTTATGCATTGTCATTGCCCCAAGCCTAAAGGACACTCCTGTATGAGGGTCGACACTTGTTATTCCTTATAAACAGTTGACACATTCTATAAATAAAAATGGAAACTTCAATTTAATCAAACCCTAAAATTGAGGAATTTAATTGTGTAAACTGTGATTATAAAGAATTTCTCTCAAGTCATTAACATCAGAAAATTTTGTGTCAATGACCAAAGTAAAAGGGACCAAGCGAAGGATAGAGGCGAATGAATCATAAATAGCACCATACACTTGAGTTCACTGCCAAAGTAGAGAACTAATAGACTAAAGCAATGTACACAGATAATTCATATATATAAATAATGCTGGAACATTCTGGTTTTGAGGCCAGACTTACAGTACAAGACATATACAGAGTGAAACTGAGCATCGTTGCTCAGAAAGCATAACCCCCCGTCCCCTTTCTGCTTAAAGAGTGACAAAGTATGCTGTTACTCAGAACATTGGACATCTAGGAAAACTACACAGCAGACTGTTGTACTACCAAACTCGTCTTTTGTAAGAAGGTGCAATAAGTAGCGTGGCAGAACTGTACTATCAAAGAAAGAAATTAATCGAAAGAAGGAATTTTTTTTGAACCACAAACATGAGACACCTAAAATTGTCTCTTTGTATGTGGGATGTACTTTTTTAAATGCATGTAAGTAGAAAAAATAAAAATAATAGTATATAATGTTATATACCTTGTTAATTTTGAGTGGTTTAAACATATAACTCATTCAACAGGTACACTACAAAGCAGATAAAATTCCTCCTTTCCATTTTTCTTAAGTGAAATGGAACTCCAACTACTCCATTTCCAAAAGAATTTTAGATTTGATCATAATATAAATTAACATCAGATGAGAATCGTTTATCTCATCTCACGCGCGCGTATATATATATATATGCATTAGTGGAATGTGTGGTCCTGAAAAACTGGTATTTTCTTCAAATAGACATGGTAAGAAACAGAGAAGAATGAGGTAATGTACCACTGGGAAACCAACCCTGTTGCAATAATTGATGCCACGCAGGCTGAGTTCTCCTCCGACTTTTGTATTGAAAGGGGATCGATGTGCATCCCTGTCGATGGTTCACCCAATTCACGAGTGGTTCCGATAAGCGATTGTCACGTTCACAGGTTGCACTGAGAGCCCCACCGGCATGATTATGTTTGTGTTTATTCCCGCTGCCTCCAAAAGGCTGCATTGGGAATGGGAAATTCCTCTACTTCCCACAAACAGGGAAGGGATGAATTCAAAATTCGCTTTTCAATTGACATACTGCACCAGTAAAGTAGGAATAGAAGAAATAAACACACCCATTAACATTATTATAGTTCTACACCCCCCCCCCCCCCTTTTTTTTCTAATACAACATGCCTCTGCACCATAAAGCTCTGCCAATCAGTTTCACAACTCCACGATCAGTAAAATCTTTTTTATTTGCGTACAACAATATAAAAAGCGCCCCATTCTGAATGAAAATTAATAAAATTTATAAATTATAACACATCCTCTCACTGTAATTGAAATTCACGTCTTGTTCTTATTATTCTATTAGAGTATTATATTCAATTATTCATATGCCAAGCACTGATAAGTTTCAAATAAACCAAATGCACGAGTCCAGAACAAAAGGCCCCATCTCATTTTCAAAAAAGTTAAAAATAAAACGACACCAGTAGTCATTAACTAAACTTCTTTACAGTCAAATTAACTCCACCATTTTGTACTTAACGTTTTAAGAAAACAATGCAACAGTATCTACTTAACCTTACAACATATAAAGTTTCTCAACTTCGCAGTCCTCTTGGCTACTAAGGTGCCTCAAAGGATGGAAGATCGTACAAGCTTTCGCAAAATCTAGCTGTCTAGCGTTTACGAAGGCCCAACCTACAAGCCATCGCTCTTTTCAAATGTCAGCAATTCCTTTAACACGGAGACTAAACCTACAACTTTATACATTCAAAACTATCAAGTAACAATTAACCTTTCTACAATACAGAGAATTAAATACTTCTGACCATGCCGAGAACAATGTTTTTTCAATATTACAACATATGGCTTCAAACACAACGAGTTACGAGGGGGTGCTCCAACCGTTCGATTCAGCACCAGTTTATAACTTGATTGAATTTGTATCACTAGCGGCAGTTAGTGTCTCCACCTTTGTTTGGGCTCTTTCAAATTGCATGTCCAGAACAGAGCCAAAATTTTCTCTTTTCAAACTGCAAAGATCACTTTAAAGTCCTGATGCAGGATACAAACGTCCCAAGTTGGTATAATAACTGCCTTCAGGAATTGGGACAATAAGGTATCTCTCAGAAATAATCTTAGTTACCAATATGGAAAAATAGTTAGCATCCTGGACTGATTTAAGTATTCCCACCGTCAGAGCTGCTACAGGCTTGATTTGGAAGGCCATTGCCAAAATCTCCATCCAAGCTCATCTGTTGCACCTCTTGAGGAGAAAGGATTTTAATACAGCGGACACAGTTCACAAAATCCCTGAAATACCCATATAAATCAATTAATCAGAAAAATTCAGAGTAATGGGAATTTGTATAACTTTAAACTCATCCCAACCATAATATATTTGTTGGCATTTAGGAATCGCTCCTCATACAAAATGCACATTAGTCCAATTCTTCAGAGGTTTGAAATTTTACATCATAAAAATGATAATGTGGCACCATAATATTAATTTCCATAACATTAATGCCTTAAAAAAAATCAAGAATCAGAGAAGTGGTAAAGCTAAATTGTTAGCTATTCATTCCCGTCTGACTTATCCTGTGGCACCACTGGCGCAAAGTTCATAGGTGGGATGGGCCATGGGACACTTCAAGCCTACTACTAACTTGAAGAATAGGACATTATTTGTTATTGTTGTTCTAAGGAGAGGAGGGAAGCAACAATGCTGGAAGAAAGCGTAATGGTCTATGGGATACCAAGGTAAACCAAATAATTACTGAACTTAGAAATATTATGTCATTGCTAGTTCCAGCACAGAACATACACATGCAGAGCAAAAATGCCAATGAGGAAAGGAAATAGTTGGACTTACTCCCAAGGGTCATCTCCCACTAGTAGAACATCATTCTCATGATCTACATAGACAAGTTTCCAACCTATTCTTTGCCGATCCTCCATCTGCCCCTCTATGCCAAACCTACGAGCAAGATCCTGTTTAAGCTCCTCATAACCTGAATACCGTGTTATGTCTATGGACCTTCCCACAGCTCCACGCTTATATACCTGAAAAACACCCAAAAAAGGCTAATTTAGAATAACAATTTTATTTACACGTGACCATGCGAAAAGGCACACATCTACTATCAAGATAGATGTAGATATATTATTAAAATAACAAAAACAAAAACAATAAACCTTGGTATATGTCCTCATCCGCTGAAACTGTGCTGGTGGCAGAGGTGGTGGTGGCGGCGCTGGTGGTGGAGCCCATGGACCCCTATTCAAGAAGCTACTATCATCTATTGTGGAGTCAATTGAATTGAAGGTCATATCAGGGACTCCAAATGTTTGTGAGACCATCGAAGACGAAAGTTCCTGCTGAGCATCTCTGTTATTTTCATAATTACCAAGCATACCATCCGAAGAAAAATTATTAGACAAATCCTTCCCCAGCCCCAACGTGCCTTTGGTTAAAAGAGAATCTGGATTCAGTGGTATTCCCATTTGGTTATCAATGTTATTACCATATGGAATATTGCTCCGTGCATCTGCCTGAACATCCCCATCTTGACTATTGTCTCTAAACAACATAGACTGTGGATTGTAAGATAATGGGTTGTTATTCTGATGCATATGAGCATCACTCTGAGATATGCAAACTGATGTTGTAGAAGATGATGTATCCAAATAATCTGTCTGAGCAGTGCTACCATTCAAGTACATCTGAGGACCAAAATGCCCTTGATTCTGATTTTTGGAAATATTCAGAGAAGGCTTAACTTCAGACTTCGGCTGTAAATCTTTCAACAAGTTTGCACTGGATGGCATGGTTTCTAAGGCACCTGAACTCAAGATTGTGGCAGTGGACTGAGCCATGTCATCCCCTACTGTTGTACGTCTCTGGAATCGGGAATTTATCAATGAAGGAAGTGCATTGGCACAGTTATTTGTAGAAGGTGAAGTGGAGCAAGATGGAACATCATCAGTAATTACAGATTGCCCTGCACCAGCAGCTCCCGTCAGTATACTACTACCAGCAGCAGAAAGTTGGTTGGTTGTAGGGGTAGGAGGAAGTGCCATGTGGCCAGCCATTTCAGAGAGCAAGCCAGGTTGCTGCTGTTGAAGCTTGGGCTGCTGAGGCAGATGACATAATTGAATATTGTTCCGGCCATTAGCCTTTGCCATCTGATGTGTGATAGAATTAGCCTCAGGTAGTGAATTTTGAAGTATAGGAGGAATTTCCAGCATTTGACCAGGTGCTTGAGCTCTAGATAAGTTATGTGTTTTATCTAAAAGCTGCCTCTGCTGATCCTGGATTTGAGTAAGTTGAGTAGGCTGCTGGAATGCAGATTGCTGTGCCAAGAGTGTTTGTTTTTGTTGTTGAAGCTTGTGTAAAAACTGCAATGGAATCTGACTATCAGACATCTGTAATTGTTGAACATGATCAGGCATGGGGGACTGAATCAAATTTTGTTGTTGATTCTGACTTATAATTGTCTGCTGCTGTTGCTGCTGCTGTGGTGGATTCTGAGAGAGGCTTCTATGGAGCTGATGGTTTTGAATGGATGGTTGCTGCTGTTGAAGAATATTGTTGGTTTGGACAAGATTCTGGGGATGCAAGAGCTGGGCCTGAACTTGACTCTGCGGAAGAGTTTGATTTGCCATGTTCTGCCTTGGTTGTTGAGTGATATCACCCAACTGTTGCTGTGGTGGCAGGGCTGTTCCCAATGTGCTAGACGTGGATGGTAGCTTCTGAAGGTGATCAAGTTGTTGTGCAGTCTGAAGTAGCCTCTGAGCATTGAAGGCCACATTGTTTGACTGAGAAATTTGAGGACTGGAAAATCCCAGCTGACGGGAAATGTCTGCACCAGGAAGATTTTGCAAAACAGATCCCGTTAAGGAAGGTACATAATTTGGCTGCAATGAGCTAGCCAGCGCAGGATTTTGTTGCATGTTCATCCACTGAGCTAAGCTCAGACCAGGGAGACCTTGGGGATCCTTCATGCACATATCATCACCAAGCCAAGGCATTGTCCGCTTGAAAAGGCTATCAAAATCAGATAATTCATCATCTGCAAAAGTAAACACAATAAGCCAATATAAACTACACATTTCCAATTATCAAACCAAATTCAATTTCTTCTCCATTCAAAAGTTTGATAAAATGAAAGGTCTGCCAGGAAACAAGTGAGAAACTCAAGAATGAAAGAATTAAGAAGAGGTTGCTTTTAAAAACCAATACAATTCACTTTTGCTTCAACAGCATATATATTGAATTATTTACCAGGCATTCCGGGTTGTCTTGGCCTCTTGGATCGAAAAAATGGAGGTGGACAAATGAAAAATGGAGCAGTCACTGGCTCAATTTCCCAGATTGAGACCCTGCTCCGCTTTTCTCCAGCAGTTGACTCATCCCAACCAACCTGACCAGGGAAATAAAAACTTAAAAGCTACTGCTTAGGCCAATTTAAAATTCAATATATATATATATATATTCTAAAAGTATAAATCCTTGGTTTTAACTACCATAGATGGGAAGGGAGGGGGGTGTTTATGATTGTTGAAATCCTAAATGGTGTTAATAATGGTACCTGCAAATTTCGCCATTGAGAATTTTTCCATCGCACAGGATCCAGATCACTGATACCCGTGATTGTACCCATATACCTGTGATACAATTGAAATTATTAATTTAATATTTGTTATCAACCATGTCAAAGTATAATATCTATTCCCAGCATCTCTATTCCAGGAAAGCTATTATAAAATGTTAGTTCTAATTAAATTGGATTGAGAAATAAACAACGATTGAATACAAGGTAATATTGAAGTGACACCTATTAAGGAGAAGTTGGCAAAAAATTGGTCAAGGTAGTTTGGGCACAAGCAAAGAAGGCCGTGGAAGCACAAGTTAGGAGAGTGGATCACATGATTTTTAGCTTTGTGAAATGAGGTAGAGGGAGACAAAGAAGAACTCTGGAGGAAGTTACTAGAAGGAATCGCATGATAAATAACATATCCAAGAATTTAGATTTTGACCAAAACTAATGACGTCAAATAATCCATATACTTAACTTCACCTGGTGAAATAAAATTTCTTTTGTTGTTATTGAGAAATAAACAACAATTCAAGCACCAACTAAATTATAAGACAAACTAATTACATCGTCCAATTATGGTATTTAACCACTCATGTATACTTCATGAAGTCATTACTGTCAAATTAATCATCCACAAGTTTACAAAACATAATTCCAATACATGGATTGAAAGTGAGGCACCTTCTTGTTCCTGAGTCTTCAGTTTCAAACATCATTCGAAAACGCATGCCAAGAGATGGTTGGTGGCTGTAAACTGCCTTGTAGTACTTGGCTAAAGGAATAACAAATTCTGAGGGACTAGCCCTGAAAACAAAAGAAAAATGTAAGTTCGAAAATTAGTAATTGAGAACATGGGCTCATTTGACAAAGTAGCTAATCTATGCCTTTGCAATCTTATTGGTCAGACAAGAAAGCAAACTGGAAATCAAAGAAACCGAGAGGATATGAAAAAAATACCAGACCTAGGATTATAAAACACGGTAAAGGGACTATTGTTTGCAGCAGCATGAGCAGCTGCAGCAAGAATTCCAATGTGCATACTATCACTTGATAGCACTGATGACGATATATTGGTGGGTTGCCTGTTAGCTCGTCTGATACCCAAAAGAAGCTGCTGCTTTTCATCTCTGCCCACAAACATTAGAAATCAGGAAAGACAATCAAAACATAGTAGTTTGCTCAAATGCAAATGTTTGAATGTGTGCTTCAACATATTCATAGACGATTTAGAAACGAATAGAGTTACAGATAGGGTATCAATTTATGACCCCGACCTTATAAATAAAACAGAGTCTCCAGCAAAAAGCCTCTTTCCACTGACAAATAGACTCCAGCCAGTTGTAAGCAAGTGCCGTTTCGGTTGTCCTAGTTCAGGAACACGATGAATGAGCAAAATATTTGCAGAAATTGAGGGGGACAAAAAGGATAAGTTAAAGATGGTTCAGGTGTTTGAAGATACCACGATATATGTGGCGGAAAGTCCAAACAGTATCGTGCAAATCCCTCGCAACAAGTTCTTGAGCAGGAGGTTGCATAGAATAATCCTATACGGAAACAGGGAATGGAATAGATCAAAGTGTGAAGTGGGAATTGATTGGTTGGAAGTAATAGGGGAATAAACGTACGAGAGGGGGGAAAATCTTCTCTGCTGCACGACGAGGTACAGAGAAACCTCCATGAGTACTTGTATCGCTTGCAGTGAGTTGCTTGCAGAAAAAGTCGGGTTGTGGCTTGGTTGACTTGAGAGCGAGATCTGATCTTAATAAGGCATCCTTGTCAAACTGCAGTGCAATGTATAGAGTTGCATTAGCATTTAGCATTAGAGAGTTACAGTTGAGTGGTTGTGATGTGAATGATTCTTACAGAAGGCACTGGTTGAAGGGTCATCTGAGCATAAACTTCATCTGTTTCGGGATCAGCCTGTGGTTGTGGAGAGAGAGAGAGAGATTATAAGAGGAAAGGAAACGATTGAAAATGAGAAGGGGAGATAGAGGGGCAATACATGCAAAGTGAGATTGTGAAGGAGACAGAGCAGCTTAGAAGGAAGATTGGGATAGTTGGGGGCTTGAGCGTCGACATCCTTCTTCAAGGATGCAGCAACCTGAAACAGAGAGACTGAATGAGAGAGAGAGAGAGAGAGAGAGAGAGAGAGAAGGAATGAAGAGAGTGAGATACCTGTTCGCTGTGGCCCTGAGGGAAGTAGATGACGTGAGTGCCAGCGGGTGGAAGATTAACGAGGGGTCCCGCACAAGCCTGCCACAGCTCTGGATTTATGCTCTTCTTCTCTGCAAACCATCGCCGATTCTTACAATTACTCCACACACTCAAAAATAGAAAGAGAGAGAGAGATTACCTTCGCAGGGGTTGGGTGCGGCGGAGGCACCGTCAGGCTGAGGCTGAGGCTGCGTCTTCATTGGAAACCAATTCCTTCAATATCTACCTCTCTATCTATCAGCAATTCATCTCTTTCTGGAGACTGAGAGAGAGAGAGAGAGAGAGAGAGAGAGAGACTGTATTATTGGTGAAGATTCGGTTGCCCCCAATCTTCCCCTACAATGGCCAGACACACGCACGCATTTCCTCTCTCTCTCTCTCTCTCTGTGTGTTCTGCAATCCCAAATGGCTGACTAATGGAATAGCCGATTAGACACCTCTTTCTTTTAGTTGAGTTGACCTTTGTGCTATGCACCCCACTCTCTTCAATAACTCTTTCTGTTCACCACCGTTAAAAGCAATCCCCGTTTTCTACTCCCATTTTTATTATTAGTTCTGAAAGCCCACGAATAATAATGAAATCTTGGTATTTACCTCAAAATGAGCCATTGATTAAAAACCCTAACAAAAGGATTAAAGAAATGGTGAAAAGGATAGAAATTTCATGTGCCTTTCTATGATTGGGTTGATCGGAAATGCACATGGGCGCTTCACAGCCAGTTCATTTTTTATTTTTTTATTTCATTTATTCATTCGCCAATTTCTTAGTTTAAGACCACTCTCCCAACATATCATCAACATTTTAGAAAACAAAATTAATAACAGTGACACTATTAATAGTTTGATAAAACAAATGTGCAATTGTTCGAAAGATGAAAAGGACGAGAGTGTAAAGACAGAATTAAACGAAGATTAAGGAGCATATAATCTCTTGTTAAGCAGGAGAACTAGCTTTGTGTGGGTCCCGTGTGAACTCGCAACTGTGACGGCACTGAGTTTGCTTTATTATCTGTTTTTATCGTCTCGCACACGCAATTTGGTCAACATCTCCGTTTTCAATGCGTACGTGCCTTTCATATATACGTATTTGTACTTCAAAAATTATATATTATAGATATAGATATTTACCTGTATCCAAACTCAAATTTGTTAACATACTTCTTATGTTATTTAAGTTTTATTTTGATACAATCATTTTATATTTTTATCTATCACGAATCTTGTTCGTTCTGTTTAGGTCGATCGCATGTCCCTAATATTCTCTGTAAAGTGATATAATTAAGGATTTATCGTAAATTATTCGTGTACACACTTTCTTATGGGAATCGTAAATATTTAAAGAATAAAACCTAGCTAGTCTTATCTATGAAAAAAATAATCGACCTAGTTTATCTAATTGTATTAAATAAAGAAACATGTAATTTTAAAAATATTTTTTATATATTATAAAATCACTTTTTAAAAGTTGAAACAAACGGATCTTTAAATTAATTTTGTGACATAGGATTAAATTCTAGTGAAGAACGGAATTCATAATCTTCATTTTTATGCTCCCTTAGTTAACCATATAAGAGCTTTCATGTCTTACAATTTGAACATAGTTTCATTCTTAACTTACGGGGAAGGCAGCACGTGCAGATTGTTTGGCAAATTACGGTGTTTCTTCACTTATGCTACGAGTGTTATTAGAATTAAAATTTTAGCAAGTACATAAGAAACTTTAAATGTAGTGTTGAAAGAAATAGGGTAATTTGACCTAAATTTTGTAACACTAAAGGACCAAAATGGGCAAAGAAACATGTTTTCTTCCTCGAACCTGTCTATATCTCGAAAGGTTTTTGTTAATATTAATTTTAACAAGTTGAATTGACAATTTTTAATAATATGTTTTCAGTTTCACTCTAGAATCAACTCCGAAAGTTAATATATATATTAATATTTTTTATGAATACTTTTTGCTATTTTTATTTGTCTATAAGCATTCTCTCTGTAAATACTGACTAGCAATGGTATCTCGAAAATAATTGTTAAAAACCAAAAGTAGGGGAAAGTCTACAAAATCTTGTAATATTTGATTCACGTGCACTTTACTTTATTTTTAAAACATTGAATATGATTTTTAAAATTGTGTCTTTATTATAATTTTGTCGCAATCCTCAAAAAAGGTTCGAAAAACAATGCATCATGATCCCATAATGGTCCAAGATAATGAAATTAATAGAGACATATGTACTTTATCATCTACTTAAATTTGTAAAGAAATTGTGATTAAGTTCACAACTTGAAACATTTTTGAAGTAATACGATCAAAGGATACGCAGGTCAAACTCAAAGCACGGTTATATTTTTTAGAGTTTTTACTAAAAAAATTATGAAATGGTGATTTTAAAAGATGTAATAAATTAAATATATTATGCATTGATAAAATATTTTTAAGATTTATTCAATTTTATTATTAGTATTCTATAAAAATTTGTGTTGCCAGCTTGATTAATTGAATTTCTTGGAAAGTTTGTGCACTGCGAAAACAAAGTTTCAAATGATTTTTAGACGTAGGAGGAATTACCAAGAAAGAAGGATAAGTTCAATTGACAATAAAAATTGAAATAATTTGTTGACTAACAAAAAACTGTATAATGAACTTTAAACCTCAAATCAAATAGCTATGCATAGTAGCTAATTGTATGATTATTATTTATTAGCTTTCAATGAAATTATCTTCGTTTCATTTTTTGATATCAGGTTCATTATTTTGAATATAAATATAATTTTATTTATATAACATAAAGATACTTGAAAAATATGTTTAAAAATGAAAAAGTTGAATAGAATTGTTGTAGAATGGTGAATGTATAGAGTGGGGTTGGAACAAGGAAAGAACAGGGGGTCCCAATTCCAAAGGCCATGTTCCCTGGACAAGTGGGTTGTGGGTCCCAATGGTTTGACTACAAAGTTTCAACTTAGAGTTTTTATTTGTTACATCGCGAGAAAGTATTTCTCCATGCACGTCAATATCAATCGTCCGATGAATGATGGTCCAATCAGCAGTACAGTGTACACTACTATGCTTAAATGAAAAGACAATTCATTTCAAAACTCCTCTTTCTTCTCTTCTCCGGCCAAAGGGAAGGTGGGGCCGGGGAGCGTGTGGCGTAGCCGAAAGCACGGCACGTTTATCGGACTTCATCCAACCATTCATACCTACGTACGTAGTTCGTCACTTTGTTGAACGAAGATAAATTGGAATAATAAAATACTTCATGGAAATACAGATGACGTTTCGTTTCCCCTTCTTCTTATTATAATTCTCTCCTCCATGTGCATAACAATGTCTGATTAAATATAAACATTTGAAAGCTTGCCAACCATTGTCTATCATCCATTCGACCCCTTTTGTTCATGGCTTGTATCGTTTTCACCATTTTCTTTTCCTCTCTTTTCAGAATTATCTATGACTATGATATATCATTTTTCACTGTTACAGACAAGAAAAGGCTCAGAAATTTCTCCAAAAGTGCATGCCTTCCCCACCCTTTTTAGGTTTCTCTAAATTATTTCATACCCGAAACATTTTCATCCTAAATAGACTATTAAGATTTTGTTTATAAAAATTGGTTTTTTATGTTTACTGTAATATTAAACTTTATAATTTATTTAAAATTATTTTTTGGCTTCGTGCGATATCTTTTATTTTTGGTCAACACATCATGAGATAACAAATATATTCCTTAAACTTTCTAATGTCTTTAAATTAACTTTTCCTATGATTGTAAAAAAAATAAAAAATTCCATCTAGATTTTCCCCATTCACTATGATTTGGTAAATTATAATTTTTCAACAATATTCAATGTTTTAAGTCATAATAAATTATTAAACGTGAATTTTACAAAAGGAGTAAGAAAATAGAAAAGTATTTTAAAAACATTTTAATTTGTATGGCGTCTTGTAAAAGAAAAATTACACAGAATATAACGTATAGCACCGAAAAGATCATTACAATTAACATTCTTGAAAGCTACGAATAATATAATGACAGATTACTTCTTTAGAAGAGAGAATGAGAATCCTATGCCATTCAAATGTGGATATTGCGTGTTTGTTAGCTTAATGAACAGAAGATAATAGGAATATGACATTAAATCTGTCAATCAAAATGCACTAGCAGGTAGCAAGCACGATAGAGATTAAGATTAAAACAAGTGCCATTCAACCCAACATGAACATGGATTAATTGGTGGTGTTCTTTGCTCCAACCCGACAAGATTATGAAAGCCCACGCGATCAGGAATAGGATGTTCACAAAATAATATATATGAAATTGTTAATAAAATTAAATAATTATTCACCTTTTTATAAATGAAATAAACAGTGTGAATGCTTCTTAAACAGAAAAAGAAAAGTACTTGAAATAATAATTTGGTACATCTACCAAACTAAATTCTTTATTAAACGCTCCCCTCTACAACATGCAAATGAGATATCTTATAGGAGGGGATAAGAGCCAAAAGAGCATTAAATAGCATGCACATGGTGTGTATGAATATATGACAATGGAATTTGTTGAGATCGTATCCCACAACCACAAAGACAGGCTAGAACATCACCTTCAAAAAGCACAACACTTGACTCCCAATAATTGATGCAGAAAGTGACCCAAAAATAAGGTTTACTCCTTACTAGTTATGGTTGAAGGGTCCAATTAAACTATGTATGCGTCTTGCATTTTTCACTTAACACGACATATATTCAATATTAATGAAAGGTCAGTTTTATTATTAAAGAGAAGGTGAAATAAAAGGGAAAAAGTAATTTACTTCCAAATGAGCGTTTATAGGTAGTTTGTAGGAAATATTTTGTATAATGCTACACAAAAAGCAGCAGCAACTCCTTTCTTCTAAACTGCTATAATTTTTTTTAAAAAGCGAGATTTATTTAGAAGAGATGCTCTTGCAGAATCGAAGAGATTGAGAACAATGTCTCAAATATTACTACAAAGAAAATAAATAGTTTTGTATATGACAACCGACCTTTGAAAAACAAAATAAAAGTTAAACATTTGATCACTACGAGGTTGAAAAATGAGAGCTTGATATGTAAATTCGAGAGCACAACTCACGCCACCCTCCCTTTTGTAATCATAGGACTCCTTTTCAAGGAAATAAATAGTTTGCCGATATTTTCTCTTTAAGAGTTGGTGCTTAGCATTTTTCTTAATTAACACATAAAATGAAAAAAAAAAAGGAGGAGGGATTGTTTTATATACTTTAGACGACTGGTTTTTCTTAATATTTTTCTATCTAATGTTTATTATTATTATTATTATTATTATTGGGACTTTCTTTCTAATTTCAACAGGTTCAAATTAGATGGGAGTTGGATTGGGCTTCAGACCAAAGTCATGACGTACCCTTTCTATTTCAATATATTGCAGACTAGAGTCTGAGACAAAAAAAAAAATAAAAAAAATTGAAGACTAGTCTATAGCCCCCAACTTACCATGTTCACCTATCGTATATTTGATTCTCAAAATAAACATGTTTAAATATGTTTTTAATTTTTATACAAATGAATTTTAGCTTTTAACTTTTTTTCAATTGTAATTCTTATAATTTTAATTTTAATTTTTGTATAGTTAAAATTACAATGAATATTTTACACAACTTTATGGATTCTTTATAATTAATGAAAATTTTTATTTTATTTTATTTTGCTACATTTATTTTGTCTTTACGTAATGTTACAATCAAGGATAATTTGAGATTGTAGATAACATGACATGTTAAGATGACCGTGATCAACTCTGGGTGAAAAATGTGTAAAAGAAGCTGAAATTAGGAACAAACCCTCCAGTTGAATCGGCATGCTTTTCAGATCAGAATACTAGAAATTCTAGCATGTTCTTTTGGAGAAGGCAGGGGGGCACCCCTTTGGTATAAAATATTCTCCAAGACTTGACGCAGAAAATCTCAACTAATCCAAAATACAATATTACTAGGAAGGATTGGAATATCAAGATATTGATCTCTCACTAACTAATTTTAGCAGACTTGGAATGCTAGGACCACAATCTGGGCAAGGTAAAAATCGATTGCTTTTCAACAGAATCATATCTGACAAATCACGACTTCTATACATTGTTTACTGCATGATTTGGCATGCTTAGATTACACATCATAATGCCTATCACAATGTGTAATTTTCATCTTCTTTAGCAGTTCTTCAACACTTCTCTGTTTTAGATATTTGATCAGGTCCTTCTGTTTAAATATCCCAGCAGATAATCTTCTTACTGCAGGGCACCGTTTTGGAAGGAACTTTGAGTTGCTTGCTTCTTCGCAGGACGGCTGATAGGGTCAAAAGCATGGGATTGCATGCATGGAGCAGGAAACCTCAGTCTTTCCGTTTGCGAAATAGGAGATTCTTCCGGACCGGCCCACGCTAGAGGACTCACTGCATCACACATATCATCATTATTATCGCAATGTACTAAAATCCTTAGTAATCGAGTATTTCATTCAAAAAGAGGGTCCTAGATTGACAGTTTTCTGAGAAGTTTGTGTCTTTCATACTATCAGCAGTGCACAAATCATACTTCATCAGAAAAAAAATACAGGATAAATCACAATATAAAATACTTCACACGAGATGGCCGGAAAATTGATAAATAATATAAAATCGATGTGCTGAAAAAATTGAATTCAGAACCTATACGTAAGGGTGAAAAATATATGAAACTAGTTGAAATATTTATGCACCTATCTCTACAAGAATATTTTGAAGGATAATTTACACTTCTGAATAAACACTAAGATTAGTCCTTATAGTGTTGGGTAAATTAATTTATGAAAATTTTAAATTGACCTATTAATTTTCAACTTTGTCGTCTAATTCATAGTTTCTTGTAATAGTATTAACTTTTGCTAATAGCTGAGATTCCAAAATAATGTGGTTTTCCTCTTCCTCTACCTACGACGTTCTCAATTGCCTTAATCACCGAACTTGCCCACCTCCACCACCACAACCACTTGCGTTCACTTTCACCTTTGGAAATCCTTCTCTACCTCCATGTTCTGTTGCATCATCGAAACCTAATATATTTTCCTAACATTGAATAGCTCCATCGAATCCATCCCACTCCCCCACGCTCTCGCTCCCTTGTTTTACCTCGACTCTCAATTCCTCTTAAGTCCTTCACCTAAGATGACGAGAACAAAAACAACAATGACAATGATGACACTGAATTTCACAGTAACAACAAAGAACATGAAGGCACTGCAGAAGAGCAGGAAGACCAATACAACAACAAGGATTAACACGGAGACAATGAAGATCTAGGACGAAGTAACGGCTTAAAAGGTATTAATGGTAGAATTTTCTGTAAAATTCATTATGAACTGCAATTGATTTTTTATTTTATCAAAAAACAAACTAATATTATAATTCATTTAATACTTAAGCCTGCTAATAATATTATTAATTATTTATAGGTTTTACACACATAATACTGATTCATGTGTGATTTAGTGTGAACCTAATCTCTAGACCCATAATAAAAAGAGCTTATAAGTTATTTATGTACCATTTACAATATCTACAAAATAATAAATAACTTTACAGTTGCTCCACAATTAGTATTCTAAATTTATATAATTAGATCTTATTTTAATTTATACTAACAAGATTAATACGGAAACAATGAAGATCTAGGACAAAGTCCGAGCAAATTGCTTTGCTTTGGACTAGATTTGGCAACACAAACGAAGAATATGTGAAAGTTCAGGATATATGGAGAACTTTAGAGCTCGTGGTGGCATAGACGGTGGTGTTGACGATGGAAGAAGGAGAAGAGGTGGTGATAATGATGGAGTATCATGACATGATGGAGACTTAGGACAGACGATGGTGTAGAAGGTGAAACTAGTGAAAAATTTGATGGAGGAGGGGGAGTAGAGGTAGCATAGCAGCTAAAAATATTGTGACTGGAGAGGAGATGGAGCACTAGAAATAGCAACCGTGACAATGACAAACATTAGTTCTTAAGATTGTGTGAAACAATGTTATTTTGATATCTCAAAGTATTATTTAATAACAAAAATTAATCTTAAGTATTACTTAACAATAAAATTAACACCACTATAACATAAATTATTAGTTAGATTATGGTGTTTTACGTTTAACAAAATCAAAAACTAACAAATTAATTTAAAATTTTCATGGATCAATTTACCTAATGCTCACGGAAAAATATGAGGTTAACTCACTTTAAAATTATTATCCATATAATATTGCTGCATCAAGTTTAAAACCAATCCCAATGTACAATTTGTTATAAATTATACGTACCTTGCTCAGGTTCAACAGGTCCACTGACTTCATATGGAGATGTAAGTCTAGCAGGGCGCTTCCTCACATAGTTTTCTTGCAGTGGCCTTGGTATTTGAAATGAGAACCTTGAAAGCGTTACTCCATCTCTTGTATACTCTGGATTATCCATCAAGAACCTAAAAACAAAGAGGTTGCAAATTACAGGAAAACCTGACGTCAAATAATTATAATAATAAAATGAATTAAACCTCTTTTATAAATCAAACTTTTTTAAAAAAAATTTTTGGTTTAACTTAAAAATTTAAAAAGTGTAAATTACTTTTAACTTATCAAACAAATTTTATTCATATTTTATATTAATTTTTTTTCTCTTTTAGGTAATAATCTATAACCTTACTCAAACTAAACCTAATTCATATAACGCAAGGTACGTCACATTTGCAAAGATAGTAAAGCAAACCAGCAGAAACATACTTCTGGATCTCTACCATTGAGCGCAATCTCTTGCCGGATGGCGCTACATAGTATCTGAAATGTTAAAAAATCAGAATAACAACGAATTAATGATTACCTAATTAGAATTTTCATCGGAGTATATTTCCTAGCCCAAATAATTCACTAATGGATGGGGATCAGAATTTATTGTAACAAGGGTGTTTATATTCCAATAACAGATAAAACAGAAGAACCAACAACGAATACATACACATCTGCAAATTTGGTACTTCCTTCACCTCTGATCCGCAGCAGTCGCTGCCATCCAGGTGGAGGCTGTGCAATGCTTGGCTTATCAATAGCCCAAATCCTGCTACCATCCTGAGAAATATCCTCTGGATCATCACAAGATACATCGGGTCGCCACTCACGAGCTTTTTGACAAACAAAAGGGTGTTGAAGGATGTGTTCACGAATTTCTTCATATTTTTCCTTTGTTGGAATCAACCTCCATTTAAAGCAAGATGCACATTGAACAGTGAAAGCACCAACAGAAGGCAAAACTCTAGGAACTGAATCTGAAGGTTTGGTTGTTGGAATCAATGGAGGTTCACACTGAAGAGGATCAGGCAAAAGTTGAATTGAATTGTTTTCATTCGCCACAGGGTCATAAAGGACTAATTGATTAGATAGGTTGCCATGAGGCAGGGCATTTCCTTCAACATCTGGAGATGAAGAAGAAACATCAATGGGATCCAGAGAAGTGCTATGATTGTAACTGGGAAAACATGAAACCGTTGTGTCCTTCACTTCCTTCTTAGGCACAAGGGAAAATTTACCAGGATGCATCTGATTTAGCTAAAACTCTAGCTCCTACAAATTTAAATAACTAATTAATAATAATACAATAGCGAAAGAGTATAAGATAACGATGCGCTGTGTCTTTACAAAACATAAGAAATGAAAGAACAGATGTAAAGAAAAGAAGAACCTAACGACGCCGACTTCAGAATCTGAACTTTAGAAAATGTATGAATATGATTATTCGCCAGGAACCTCCCACCCAAATCGAAATGAAAAAGAAATAAAATAGATTTGTCTATTATTGTTTGATTAAATCTTCTGATTTCTATTGTCAACTAATATTCCAGATATCAAACATATGATCCCAAACTCAAAATGATCGACGAACAATTTAAGATATTATATTTGATAAAAGGGAAAAAACAATAAATTCGAGCGATTGGTACATACACGAGAGATTGGTGTGATCCGATGGAACAAATAAGCATTCACATCCGCAGGTAAGCCTTGTTGTCCTGTCATATCTATCCCATTTCTCGCTTCAAATTCATATATAATTTCTTTTTTTTTATTCTTCTTCTCTGCCATTTTATTTTATTGGATGCCACAATCCACCATTATATATAAAGCTTCCCTTATAGTAGTATTTAATAAGTTTTTTCAAATATATAATTAAAGAAACATAGTAAAAGTAAATGCATGTTGACTTTAAGTGCGAAATACTTAGCATCAACATATTACTGGTAATAATTAAAATGCATAACTTCCATTATAACTTAAATACATTGATTTTTTTTGTTAAATAAAAAATAGTAATTTGATCAAAATATTTACATGCTTATTATTAAGTTGTATGGAAAATATTAAATAAAATTCTAAATTTTTATTCAACACCAAATTCATAACATATTAACATATAAGACAAGTCTTATAAAAAAAATAAAAATAATTTTTAAAATATATTAAAATTAACAATATGTTAATTTTTTTGGAGTTGTAACATATTAGAATATCTCTTATATTTTAAATTTATTTTAAATAAAATGTTAGATGTTTAGAAAAAAATATATTAAAAATATACTTTTATAAAAAAATTAATTTTAATTCTTGAATCAATGTATAATGATAATTATTAACATTTGCCATGTAAATAAAATATAAATAAAGGTAGGTCCCAGTGCAGGGATAAAGGATGGCATATCCCTGATTTTTTTACAAGTCGTGAAGATCCTTTACCTAAACCGAGGATGGAAAAGTATATAAATATTTTTTGTTGTTTTTTTTAAGATAAAGAGGGTTGTAAAGTAAGAAAATTAGTTTTTATATTTAATTTAAAAATTATTTACATATAATTTATTAATAAATGCACGTTTATTTTACCCATTTCAAACTAAATAAAATAAGTATATTTCCGTTATAGGTGTATTTTAATATAATAAAATAAGATACTTTTAATTTATAGGGTATAAACTCAATACAAAATAATTTTTTATTTTTAATTTAATTTATTAGTAAATAATGATTTTAGTTATTTGACGATAAACGTGAGGTATCTGTTCCGGTATTCATGATTCTATTTAAACCATTCGTATTTTCTGTTATCATAGCCCATCTTTCCAACTTATTTGTTGGAAGAGAGAGTTCTTGTTATTGGATATAGACTTATCTTCAACTGCACGTTAATAAAAAATAACTTTCAAAGCAATAAAACGGGGTTGGTTTCACGAAGAAAAAATATTACTTAACTTTTTATTCTATTTTTTTATCTATTATATTCATTAATATCTCACATATTTACTATTTTTTCCAAATCAATATTGATTATGCATTGATTTTATATAATAATAATAATAATAATAAATAAAATAAAATTATTGAAGTGTAAAAGAAAAAGAAAGAAAGTGAATTCAATTTTCTTACCAATATTATACCTGGAACTGGACACTTGAAATTAGTTAATAACACTATCATCATGGTAATGTGGCCGAAAAACCTTTAAGGATTTGAAAGGTTGTATAGTCACTTCAAAATATTACTAATAATTAGCTTATTAATTTGTCTTCTTAGTCACTTATTAATACACACATTTCTGACACCAAATCAATGCTTCATTTTATCAAAGATTTATGATATAATACTCGATATTTTTATTTTTTTTTCATTTTAACATTAAAATGACTTGATTAATGCGTTGAACATCACAATATGTATTTTTAAAAGAAATAAAGAAAATAAGAACTCTTATTTTGGCTTAACGTTGTTTAAAGAAGTTATTTATAAGCAATTTTAATTTTATTAATTTTATAAATTTTGTATGATACAATCTAATGCATCGATTCAAATTAACTTGTAAAATAATTTGACTCCATCGTTTTTTCCTTTTTCTCCTAATCCCCTTTGCCTACTCAATAATGAGGGTTTTTTACATAAATAAATTTTAAAAAAATCATTATTTTCTAAATGTCCTAAAAAGAAAAATTTTACATAAATGTCTTAAAAGTGTGTATAATAGAAGTCGATTAATCGACTTCCATTTTTGTTTTGAAAACTTTTACATAAAAGTCGACTTTAATCGACTTTGGTTAAAATGGTGCCAGAAGAAAAGTCGATTTAAATCGACTTGTGTGGAATTAGTTTCACTTTTGTATAGAAGTTGATTTAAATTGACTTTGACGAAATTATACCATTTCTGTTTAAAAAAGAAGTCGATTTAAGTAGATTTTGATTTAATACAGAAGTCGATTCAAGTAGATTTTAGTTTAACACAAAAGTCGATTTAAGTAGATTTTGGTTTAGTACAGAAGTCGATTCAAGTAGATTCCAGCTAAATACAGAAGTCAATTTAAGTAGATTTCAGCTTAATACAGAAGTCGATTCAAGTAGATTTCAATTTAATATAGAAGTCAGTTCAAGTAGATTTCAGTGCTCATCTTTTTCTCGCCCCTATAAAACACATAGCTTCTTAACTTTGCATTAATTTGTTGAAAAATTTGATAGATTGAGTGTGAAAATTTTAGTAGAATGCCAGAGAATAATATTCACGTGCTTATATATTATAATGGTGAGATTGTAAACACAGCAGAGGAAAAGATGTTTTGTAGCAATAATCAGGCTTGGTTAGTTGTCCGTTCACCAATTACTTTACTACAGTTGGAGAATCGAATACTGGAGGAGTATGAGAGAAATAATATACAAGTCTCAAAAATATTCTAGAGGATGTCAGTCGACATTGGCCCAAATGGTATTCGATATAAAAGGTGGCAAATTCGGAAAGATAAGCATATTGATCACATGTTTAGTTATTTTAACTCATTTGCTGAAGCTCGTACAATAGAGCTTTTTGTCGAACTATAAGGTGATCATTTTAGCTCTGGAGGTTTAGCCCCAGATCCATTACCTTCTCCATCAAATCCAAGTCCATTAGTTGAGATGTCCCATCATGACGTGCATAATTCACATGATGAGGTAGGTTCTCCAAGTTTTGAGCACTTTGTTAGACACATTGAAAAGCCATTATCACTTAATCCACAAGAAATGCGACAAGGTAGCTTAGTCAGAGATTTTGATTTTTTTATGACACAACAAGATGATGAAAATGATGAAGAGGAGGACCTTGATGATGAAGAAGATGAGCAATTGTTTGATGTGTAGAATTTGGATGAACACTTGATGTCAGAATCTCAATTCCAATCTCAATCTTAATGTCGACAGCGTCCTAGTCACTACTCAACAATTAATTTAGATACAATGCATTGTAATGTGAGTGAATTTGGTTCAAGTTCGAGCATAGGGGGAGCGAATGATTTGTCACTTGGTCAAGTATTTCGCACCAAAGATAGAATGACGTTTGCTGTCAAATATTACAGCATCCGAAGAGGTGTTCAATATAAAGTTTATGAATCTGACCACATAAAATTTTATTGCAAGTGTGTGAAGTTTGGCATTGACTGTAATTGGAGTATACGTATCACTTTTCGCCAAAAATTGCAGTTATAGGAAGTGTGAAAATTGACAGGACCACACACATGTGTCTTTCCAAAGTCTATGAATCAACATGCTCAAATAGATTATAATATTATCTGTGCTCATATATACCCCATGATACAAGCAGATCCGACGACAAAAATCAAATCTCCACAAGCATCAGTAGAGTCAGAGTTGAGGTTCAAGATAACATATAGAAAAGTATGGCTTGACAAACAGAAAGCTATTGCTATTATATATGGAGATTAGGAAGAATCGTATAATGAACTTCCAAGATGGTTAAGTGGGTTGTAATCTTATATGTCAGGTAATATTGTTCAAATGCAAACTGGACCATATTATGTTGGTGATGTTATAGATTCTGGTTGCTTTATGTTCCATCGTCTTTTCTGGATGTATCCACCATGCATAGAGACATTTAAATATTGCAAAAAATTGATTTCAATTGATGGAACACACTTATATGACAAGTATAGTGGAACATTGTTGATGACAATTGCCCAAGATGGTAACTCAAATATCTTGTCAATTGCATTTGCAGTGGTGGAGGGAGAGACAAAAGAAGCATGGTCATTTTTTCTAAGAAATGTTTGTCAGCATGTGACGCCACAAGAGGACATTCTTGTCATATCTGATAGGTATCATGCTATCAAAGCAGCTTTAGAAGCTACAGAGAGTGAGTGACATCCCCCTTCAGCTTACCATGCATACTGTTCACGACACATTGTATCAAATTTTGCTATAAAGTTCAAGAACAAAGGTGAAAAGCGATTGCTAATGAAGGCAGCATATGCAAAGATTGAGCATAATTTTCTGTATTGGTTTAGAGCATTAGACGATATGGATCCCGCGATGTGTGCATGGGCTAACAACATACCGCGTGCAAAGTGGGCTCAATATGCTGATGAGGGTTGTCACTTTGGGCACATGACTACTAATTTATCTGAGTGTATGAATGCGGTCATGAAAGGCACTTGCAACCTTCCCATTACAGCCATAGTTAAGTCAACATATTATCGTCTTATTGACATGAACTGATGACTAGGGCCTGCCATAAATTGCTGGCTCGGAGTCATACATGGTTGGCTAGGGCCTGCCACAAACTGGTGCTGAGAAGGGCTAGCCATGTACTGCTGGTGGATATGTCTTAACATGAAGTGCTAGCTAGGTCCTGACATGACATGCTAGCTAGAGTACATGGGTGCTGGTTGGTATATATGCTGTGACTAACCCTCAGTTTGGTGGCTATGTTGTGCTTGAGGCTGTAGGGTGGAATCTACATTAGGTTGTACATGGTCATCCTCATCATGTGTCTCATATGGATATTGGCGTCTGCTAGTACGTGTACCAGCACGCGAACGACGCCTGAAGGATCGTCTATCTAGGACGTCAGCAGGATGTACTATCTCTGGTGCTTGGGGGGCATGAAGTGTTACACCATCAGGCAAATCCCTAAGCTCTGGATCTTGTGGAGCTCCATCCAGCGACAAAAATTTATTTGCTACTGACAAATACTATTGGAAATACTCAATAGAGGGACGATCATCATCAGCTAGCGGATAATGAACTGTCGCTCCCTACGTGCCTCCCACGCAGCATGCCATGTCACATGATACTTAAGCCACCAAATATCTAGATCACCCCTTCCATCCTTAGCGTGCAACCGATCAATGTTTATGGGGACGATTGGTATGTGTTGTGCTCCACCAAATTGTCGAACCACGCAATCAGCAGGATGCCACTCAATCATAACAAACTGGATAAGAGCAGTCACAGATGTCTATACATCAGCCTCATCATAAACAAAACAAGGTGTAACATTCCTCACATCATTGTTATTGTAGGGCATCCACCTAAACTGAAATAATCAATAATAAATATTAGACTAATAATCTTTATAATTGAATAGAAGACTTAGTACCATATGTCATATTTTTACTTACCCCATTAATGCCAATTAAATAAATAATCCTCCTATATTGCAACAACTTATCTGTGTGTGATCTCGTTGATGACCTATAACTTTTTCACCTAAAATAAACATAATTTAATTTCAAACTTGCATATTTAACATTATAAATATACTATTATAAATTAAATGAACATACCTCAATGCTAGTGGAAAAGTGAGTGGATGATGGTGTCGAGGGGCCAATTAAGGTATTCTGTACCATGCCCAAGACTGTAGAAGAGGTAGACAACCCGCAATCTCAGTGACATTATATTTCACTGTACGACAAAGTTCACGATAAAGGGATCCTAGAATAGCAGACCCCCAACTATAGTTTGTAATTCCAATAAAATCAATGAGAAGAGGGAGCCACTTCATATGAACCCTAAAACCAAATTTATTCGGGAACAGTACTCTGCCCAATAGAATCATTATGTATGCTCTGGTATAACAGATAATAGTCTCCTCATCAGCATTATGGGGTAATGCTCCAAATATATCTGTGAACCAGTATAGATTTACGGAAAATCCTTTTATGTTTGCCTCATGTGGAACTACTCCAAGTAAATCTCCACACAATATCCATATATCTCGATCATAAAATTTCTCCCATGCTCCAATGCACCCACTCACAGGGAGCCCATCAACACGCAAGCCTAATTGAAATACAACATCTTCCAAAGTAATCGTACATTCTCCGTATGGAAGATGGAATGTATGTGACTCAGTCCTCCAACGCTCCACAAGTGTACTAATGAGTGCCCTATCATAATCAAATATCGGCACCATCTGAGCAACATGCCAAAAATCACTCTGCTTAAGATATGGTTCTATCCTCAGATCTGGAGCAACCATCATATTATAGCGTCTACTTTTTAAAATTCGAACATCCTATAAGATAAAAAAAAATTATATATCAAGTATTATTTACTAAAACTAAAAGAAAATACCAAAATAGTAAGCAATATTTAATTCATATACAATATGATATCTAATATACATAAATTACAACAAAATTATACTTAAATTAAATAACTCACAAAATAAATTTAACAAATAATTTAATTTAATTAAGATTATCTTAATATATCAAGTCTATTAAAATGAATAAACAAATTATTATAGTACGAATTAATAGTTAAAATTCTCTAAATATATTGAACACACTAAATTTATATTTATTCAAATTTACTAAGTTATAATCTAAATTTTTACTTGCTTAAAACTATAATTATTTAATTTATGACAACAAATAGTAAAAATTCTAATATCAAATACACTTATAGTAAAATAATTGACAAATTAAATACGTAACAAAAATTATGTGCTATATATATCACGGTAGAAAATAAATATATAACAGACAAATAATTAAATATACAATAATTTTTTATATTTAACATTTTTTAATCAAACATTAAAAAAGATTAATGAAAAATAAAATTAAAAATATTTCAAATAAATATAATGATATTTTTAAATATTTACCTGTGTCGACAATTTACTTGCAATATGATCAACAAAATTAAGTCGATTTAAATCGTTATTCATCTCTCTTGCAGCAACAATGGACTTTTTTCTCTTAATATATTACTATTACTCCTCCTGCTCCCAAGACAGCCATGGCAGGGGATAAATAGCCATGTAGAAGTCGATTAAAATTGAAACCCAGCCTTCCTTTAAAGTCAATTCAAATCGACTTTTTCATAAAACCAAAATCAATTTCAATCGACTTTTGTATTGTGGCGAAACTTGAACTAAAGTTGATTTGAATTGACTTCTATATACCTACAAATATGGTTTGAATCGACTTCTGTAAGAGCACAGTGGACTTGAACGAAAGTCAATTTGAATCGATTTCTATGCATGTACAAATACAGTTTGAATCGACTTTTGTAAGAGAGAGCATCGGTGCAGTGAGCTTGAACCAAAGTCGATTTAAATCAACTTTTATGTACCAGCAAAAACGGTTTTAATTGACTTTCATTCAAGTTTTATTTTAAAAGAAAATTTATTTGAATTATCTTATTTAAAATTGATATCAGGACATTTATGTAATTTTTTTTATAATAGGATATTTATGTAATTTTATTTTATTTTTCATTTATTATTGTAAAAAACCCCAATAATGACGATGGAAAAGTGTCTATAAAAAGATTGGGAGGAACAAAAATTGAAAAGGAAAGTAAAAGAGAAAGGGTTATGCTTATGGGTTGGGTTTGAAGGAAGCCCAAGTTGGATGAGTGAAAGGGAAGTGGGCTTAGGCTTGTTTACAGAGCTAAGTGGAAAGTGAGAGGAGGGAGAGAGAGAGAGAGAGAGAGAGTGTGTGTGTGTGAGAGAGAGAGAGAGAGAGAGGTGAAGCATAAGCGAGACATTGGATCGAATCGAAGATGGGTGGAGGAATGGAAGCGAACAAGAACAAGTTCATCGAGGATTGGGGCACTGCCAGAGAGAATCTCGAGTTCAATTTCCGATGGACTCGCCGCAACCTCGCACTTGTTGGTATCTTCGGTATCGCCATTCCTGTCCTCGTCTACAAGGGCATCGTCAGAGAATTCGTGAGTTCATTTTATTTCCTTTTCCATAATCCGCTTCTTCCTATTCCTTCATAGCCCAGCTATAAAAACCCCTATTTCAATTCTAGGGCTAAGGCAAATCGCTGTATTAGCAGTTTCCCCCTTTTTCGACATTGCACACACCAAATTTTCATTTATAATATTCATTTTACAATTCTGTTAACAAACGATTTCAAAGCAAACCGTTGTAAATCGTGCATTCCGATCGAACTAATTTCTTCATTTTTTTTTTGTTTCGTGTGGCTGTGATGAAAAGATGAAATATGATGTTCCATTATTGGGTATGGCTAAGGTCTGCTAAGCTTACGAGAATTTCCAGAATTAATTTGCTTGGCTGAAGTTATTTCTGTTCTCTAGCAATTTGCAAATTATAATTGATTTACTCACTTGCTCTGGAGCAGGGCTTTTATTAGTTATTATAGCTTTGGGAATAGGATGAGTTTGATTTTCATATATTGAACTAGAATTTGTGCCAGGATGCTCAATTACGAGAATTTTCATGGCCGACCTCAACTCACCTAGTGAGATAAATCTTGGTTATTGTTGTTGTTGTTGATGATGATGATGTTGTAGCTATTCTACTAGCTCATATCTGTGCTTTGATTCAGTGCTTGGATGAGAATTGTCCATGCCTTGGATTAATTTTCTTCCTTCTTTCTGTGATAATAAGATTTCAATTAAAGTTGAATTTTCAGTTTTTGAATAAGTAAACGTGCATTTCAATCTCAACAAGGTGAGAATGCATGTTTAAAGAGGCGGATAGTAATTCTGTGTTTACTTGAATTATCGGTTGCAATATCTCAATTGTGATGTTGAAGTTTGAGATGAATAATGGATGCCAAAAAAGCCGTTTACAAATCCTGCAATCAGTAGTGCTAGATTGATTTTTGTTTTGTCCTCATCATGTCAAATGTTGCTTAACTGTTGAACTCTGATCTTCCTGAATGGTTTCATGCTTGCTCTACTTGTCTATTACTAAATTACTTTGGGCTCACTATGGTTCTCAAAACTTTTCTTTTTACTTATATTTTTGAATTTTGTTTCTTTTAGTGTGCATAATTGCATATGAATGGTTTTCTTTGAACTTGACCATATGATTTTCTTACGGTTACAGCATATGCAAGATGAAGATGCCGGTCGACCGTATAGGAAGTTCATGTGAGAGTATGCAAGGTGCTTTGTAATAATTGGGGTTTATGAAAGTTAGACCTTAAGATGAACCTACAAACGTGCTTTTTTATTAACTTGCAAAGGCTTGCTTGTTTTAAGTGCTGTAGACCTATCAAACTACCTTGTGTTCAGCTGTCTTCATTGAGATTTGCGTTACCTTGTTAACTTGTTACCGTATCTCAAGATCAATAATATTTGTCCGAAAACCGCTTGGCCTTGAGAAAATGTTAGAAAAAAATCCTGAACAGGAAAAGACCTCAAACTAACCATGAATCGAATAAAACATCAAATAACGTGATGAATGTAGACACTAGACATTGTGTATAAGTGGCTGGTTAGTTTGTTTCAGTGTGGTAAAGGGTTTCCATATTTTGTTACCTACATAAAAGGACTTGGATTCAGGGGAGATTTTAAGGAGTTATTACAGATTTAATTGAATATTTGAAAAATGAGTTAAAATTTTGTAGCTAAATTAATGAGGTAAGTTCTTGTGTGATTACTGTTTATTGAATAAAAGGTTTGTTAAATTGTTATGCAATTATACAAACAAGTTGGAATATTAATTCGATTCATTAGAGTTATTTGCTTGGCATAGCCAACAACTTGGAGCTAATGGATTATTGTGTAGAATTTGACGTAAAAAAGAGCGTGTATGAAAAAGTGGTCTCTTTACTTATGCGCTCTAGGCAAGACAAAGACAAGTTTTAATATGATTGGAGCAATATTTGATTGTAACAATTTCAGAGCGCAGGTCTTAGTGAATTAGCACATAAATATGAATATAAAATAAGAAAAGAATATGGTTTGATAATTTCGTACATTTTGAGAATAACAGTAACAATATTAGGATTGTTGGAGGGTTGTTGGGTGGATGATTTGGAAAAGATAGCAATCCATAACAGCAAGAATAACTGACCGAATTTGAATCGCTCAAGGGAATCTTACCAACAAGATCTCAACTGCTCTGGTGAATACACAGAGAGAGTGAGACACTTCCACTCCTGCACACACCAAATTCACTAAATTAAAACATAAGATATTAATTTTGTATTGAGTTTATACACTATGAATTAAAAGTATTATTAAAATAAGCAGGTATTTATCAACAACATTATATATAAACTAATTTTCTTACTTTACAAGTCCCCTCATCTTAAAAAACAACAATATATATATATATAAATTTAGAAAAATCAGATGCATTTTCCTTGTGCCTAAGAATGAAAGAAGCATCAAATTATGATTTTGTTTTTAATATATTTTACGGATAAATTAAATGCGAATATATTAATAAGCAGTTCTCAAGCCACGTAAAAGGTGCGTCTCCCTTCCCCACCCCACCCCACCGCACGTAAAAGGTGCCTCTCTCCCTCTCCTTCCCCTCCCCACGTAAAAGTAAAAGGTAACTTTCTTCGCTAACTGCACTTACTGATCCTCCAATTTCAATCATCTCACTTTCATGTTCATATATTTTTACGTTTATGGTTGCTTTATCGCTTTTTTATGCTGCGATTGCCTGTTGTTTTTCACCATGTTAGTGTTCGATCATCGTCGTTATTGTTATTATAAAGCTTTTCTGTCTGCGTTGATCAACTTCCTAGTCTTCAGCCCCGCTGTTAGGCTTTTTCTGTGGTGAATAAACCTATAGAGGGAAACGTGGTTGAATCTTAATATGATTATTTGAATGCCTTTCTGTTTGAATCTCAATATGATTCTTTGAATATCTCTCATCTAATGCTTACGTCCACTGAAATAGAACAACTGAAACATTTTGTCTTTCCCTTGCTTTCTTCGTTGGATTGTTATGTTTTTTTTTTTTCACCTAGCATCAACGGTTAGTTATGTTTTTGAAAGTTTATGTTTATGTGTATGGATATGGCTGTGACTTTTGTTTTTGTGCCGTCAGATGGCTGATGGCGATGAGGCCGATAAGAACATTGGGATGTGGAAAATCAAGACATTGATCAAATCTCTTGAGGCTGCCAGAGGAAATGGGACCAGCATGATTTCCCTTATAATGCCCCCACGTGATCAAATATCTCGTGTTAACAAGATGCTCGGGGATGAGTTTGGAACTGCATCAAACATCAAAAGCAGGGTGAATCGACAGTCCGTGCTTGGTGCAATCACTTCTGCTCAGCAGCGGCTCAAGCTTTACAACAAGGTTCCTCCCAACGGGCTTGTTTTGTACACTGGCACAATCGTCACTGCAGATGGGAAGGAAAAGAAGGTGACTTTTGATTTTGAGCCTTACAGACCTATCAATGCGTCTCTTTATCTCTGTGACAATAAGTTCCACACTGAAGCATTGAATGAGCTCCTGGAGTCTGATGACAAGTTTGGATTCATTATCATGGATGGCAATGGTACTCTTTTTGGGACCTTGAGTGGTAATACAAGAGAGGTTCTTCATAAATTTACTGTTGATCTCCCAAAGAAACACGGGAGAGGAGGCCAATCAGCTCTACGGTTTGCCCGTCTTCGTATGGAGAAACGTCATAACTATGTGAGAAAGACCGCAGAGCTTGCTACCCAGTTTTATATCAATCCTTCTACCAGCCAACCCAATGTTGCTGGCTTAATACTCGCTGGTTCTGCTGATTTCAAAACTCAGCTTAGTCAGTCAGACATGTTTGATCCTCGGCTTCAGGCAAAAGTGCTTAATGTTGTTGATGTTTCCTATGGAGGGGAAGACGGCTTTAATCAGGCTATCAAACTCTGTGCCGAAATTCTGTCCAATGTGAAGCTTATCCAGGAGCAACGATTGATTGGAAAATACTTTGAGGAGATCAGCCAGGATACCGGAAAGTATGCTTTTGGGGTTGATGATACACTAAAAGCTCTGGAGATGGGGGCTGTTGAGACGCTTATTGTATGGGAAAATCTTGATATGAATAGGTATGTGTTGAAAAATAGTGTTACTGGTGAGATTGTTATTAAGCATCTTAAAAAGGAACAGGAGGCCAACCAAGACAACTTTCGGGATCCTGCAACCTCTGCTGCTTATGAGGTTCAAGAAAAGATGTCTCTGCTGGAGTGGTTTGCAAACGAATACAAACGGTTTGGCTGCACTCTTGAGTTCATCACCGACAGATCACAAGAAGGTTCACAGTTTTGCAAAGGTTTTGACGGGATAGGCGGGATCCTGCGCTACCAGCTTGACATGCGATCATTTGATGAATTCTCTGATGATGAAGAGGTAAATGATGATTCTGAATAGCAATCAACAAAATACTTCCTGCTGCTGGTGCAGGAAAGAGGGATCGAAATGCCTGCTCCAGCACAGGAGGTGGTTGCACTTGCTGCTGCTGCTCCTCATCTGTCTGTCGTGTTGCATTATGGAAGGTTTGCTTGTGAACCAAGGTTCAATTTTACTACCCTTTTCTCTGTATTTGTTTGTTTTTGTTAGAAATTACCGAATACTAACTACAGTAAGCTTGAAATTGTAGTTTAAAATTAAAGCGAGTTTATTTTAGCTTCATGTTCAAATGTTTTTTCAGATGCTTTGCTACGAGGTATCCTCTTGTTCTTCTATTTTTCACTCCTTGGCGCCACCAATTTCTGCAATTTTTCTGGGAACAACATCTGGTGAGATTTTGGCATATCCTCTTATATTTAAGACTTTATTTTTAATTCTTCTTACTTCATTTGCTTTTAAGTATTCCCCTAAACAGTGCTGCTTTTTGTCTTTTAGCTCCCCCGCTGTTTACTTGCAACCAGAAAGGCAACAACAAAAAATGCTTCCCGAACAAACGCCAACCTTGCGTCAATGAAGGTCAGTCCTCATCAATGAGAGCTTATATATGTATCTCAATTGTGATGTTGAAGTTTGAGATGAATAACGGATGGCAAATAAGCCGTCTACAGATCCTGCAATCAGCAGTGCTAGATTGATTTTTGCTTTGTCCTCATCATGTCAAATGTTGCTTAACTGTTGAACTCTGATCTTCCTGAATGGTTTCATGCTTGCTCTACTTGTCTCTTACTAAATTACTTTGGGCTCAATCTGGTTCTCAAAATTTTTCTTTTCACTTTTATTTTTGAGCTTTGTTACTTTTAGTGTGTATAATTGCATATGAATGGTTTTCTTTGCACTTGACCATATGATTTTCTTACGGTTACAGCATATGCAAGATGAAGATGCCGGTTGACCGCATAGGATGTTCATGTGAGAGTATGCAAGGTGATTTGTAATAATTGGGGTTTATGAAAGTTAGAACTTACGATGAAGCTACGAACGTGCTATTTTGTTAACTTGCAAAGGCTTGTTTGTTTTAAGTATCGTACACCTATCAAACTACCTTATGTTCAGCTGTCTTCGTTGAGATACCTCAAGGTCAATAATATTTTTCTTTAAAACAAATATTTTTTAAAATTTCAATTGTAAACGAAATGTAGTTTTCTTTTTTATTTACATAAAATTAACCTCATTATCACATTTTTTATTTTTGTTTTTAAAAGTAGTTCAGACAATTTTTTTTATGTTTTTAACAGTTAGTTCGTCACTGAATATAGTTAAAATTAAGTAATTTTGTTTAATTTTTCTTTACTTTACTTACTTTAATTTTTCATTATTTTTTCTTTTCAAATAACATTAAACATGTTTTCAACTTAAAGCGATTAATTCATTTAAAAAATAAAAACTAACAATAGCTATTAACCGTTAAAAGAAACACTTTTATACTGATAGGATAGGTTGTATTTCGTTTTCTTCATGTGCTGCACAAACTAGTTAAAGAGTAACTGAGAAATGAAGAAAAAACTAGATTCTTCTCTATATAAAAAGCAAATCTAAACACGCGTTTACAGAGAGGCCATTTTTTTTATGACTAGTTTTGCCATGAAATAATAAATTTTTCATAATGTCTATCAAATAATTTTTGGGGACTACATGAAACCTATAAGATTAAGTAATGATGTGGACTGTTTATCTGATTTTTTGGTGTATCCTCAGCATTTGTTATTTCCAAAGATGCATTCAAGGGACAAGTCACCTAAAAATATATTGAATAAATAACCTAAGCACTGTAAATGGTCTGATTCAACTTAATTAATCAGCCAGGATATCTGATTTTATTTGTTAATAATGGTAACAGTATCAAGATTTTGATAATTTAGTTTTTGAGAAACATAATTGAAAATTAAAATTACTTAATTTGATCTTATTATTTTGTATCTTATTAATATGATTTGGAAAACTTGTCTCCAGAAATCATAGGAATACTGAAGAGCATTAATGTAGATTGACTTTCAAATGATTTTAACACTGTTGTGATTTCTTCTGCATTATGCAAGCAATAGCAATGGGAATGGCAAAGGATCAATCAAACCATTCCATTCATCAATATAAGCTTTTACTTGTGTTTCCATTTAAATTTTTTTAACTGTTTTAACAAATATGTACAACTATTTAGTGATTTCTCGATTATTTGCTATCATATCTTATACAAACTAGTAGTCTATTAAAATTAATTCAAGTCGCAATCATTTGCATAACATATTTTATTCAAATTACTACCTTTCAAAATCAATTCAAATACTAATTATTTGTAATCATATATTATTCAGATTTGTTGCCTTTTAAATTTAGTGTTTTAAACGCAATATTTTTATGTAACCATTTTCAAATTTTGAAATTTACATTAAATATATTCTTCTACACTAAACGTATATCTTAATTAACAAGACTAATTCCTTTTAAATAAATAGATCAAACCAAAGTACATGTAATCTTCTTCTTTTTTTATCGACATTTTTATTTTTATTATAAATCGATTCGTAATTACTATGATAAAAATATTCGGCAACCTATCAATTGTATCAAAATATATACATGCATATTATATATTTAACATATAGTCTAAATATATACTAGGAATTTAATTAATGAACGATAATGAAATAAATTACTGAAATAAATAAAAATATACAAATTGTTTGTTAATAAAATATTTTAATAATTATTTAAAAATATCTCATTATACTTATGAATAATGAATTAAAGAGAAAAACGATGTTAATATCTGTCTTTTCTCCTATCCTACACAATTTTTTTTTATTCCGTATAACAATATGACACTCGCATATCATACAATTATATGAATCCAAAAAATTAAATTAATGTTAACAAACAAGGAATATCAAGTAAATTTTTATTATGGTATATTTGGAAGAGCTTATGAAAAATTTACAAAATAATTTATACCTCATAATTTTTTAAAACTTATATCAATAAATTGTATATATGGTTAAAATTATTATAAATTTTTTTATAAAATAAAAATTTATTAAATAAATACGCAACCAAAAGTGATAAAAATTTATTAAATAATTTATTATAAATTATTTTGTATGTGTGATCTGTTTTGTTAGTCATGCGAGGAACCAATCATGGATTTAAAATATCGCTCAGCCCATAGGAATCTAATCCAAACGAGTGTATAGTTTAGGTGTGATGGTGTTAACCATTTATTATTTTATATATTATTTACATATATTTAATTTTAATTGATAGAATTAAACCAATTAATTAAAATTAATAAAATATTATTAACCTCACGATTTGTGTTGAGACAACTAAAATCTAGTTTTTATTTGTGTTATAAAAGTAATAATTACTCAATAGATACATAGTGATTTAATTAATTAATTAATTATATCAAGTGTATAATAAGCGATGCAATTAGTATTTACGATCAAAATGTATAATGTAACATTAAAACAAAATCAAATCTGAATGATATACAAATTTTTATATAAACAGATTCATTATCATGTCTAAATTTTCCTATTTTCAAATTTATTCATCAATAGCATTGGAAACCAAATACTAATGTACTAGTGGATAGGTAGTAGCTGTCGATGCTTAGCCAAGACGAAGAGAAGTTTCAATGGCCAAGTACAAGATCTTATTAATTGCTATTGCATTGCTTATCAATGTAAACAGGATTTACAACGACGAGAGCAAGAAGGAAAAACTATATAACCTTATAGCTATAGTCATCCCAGTTATTTTATATTGGCTGAAAGGAATTTCGCAGATTATAGGAATCATCGTGAATCAGTCTTCTGTTTCTACGACATCAACGTCAAAGCCTAGCCCGCGCTTTCAATTTTCGAGGAGCTCACACTCTGTACCATGGAATTTGATTTTATTCATTCTGTTCTACATTGTTTTGGTATACTCCCAACGAAAGATTCATGAATAGTTAAATGTATACAAATATGCTAATTGAGTGAGAAATGCCCTCCAAAAGTGTTACCACAACCATATTTATAGTTATTATCTTTATGATTATTTCAGTTAATGATCATAATATTGCATATATAATTTTAGCCTACAGTCATATTACAAAAATTAAAATTAATGTTATAAAAAGATATTTTAAAAATAAAATAATATTAAAATATAAAAAGTTGGAACTAAAAATCATAATATAAAATTATTATATGATATTATATGTTATTATATATTATTATTTATGATATAAGTTGAAAACATGTTTAATGTTATTTGAAAAGAAAAAATAATGAAAAATTAAAGTAAGTAAAGTAAAGAAAAATTAAACAAAATTACTTAATTTTAACTATATTCAGTGACGAACTAACTGTTAAAAACATAAAAAAAATTGTCTGAACTACTTTTAAAAACAAAAATAAAAAATGTGATAATGAGGTTAATTTTATGTAAATAAAAAAGAAAACTACATTTCGTTTACAATTGAAATTTTAAAAAATATTTGTTTTAAAGAAAAATATTATTGACCTTGAGGTATCTCAACGAAGACAGCTGAACATAAGGTAGTTTGATAGGTGTACGATACTTAAAACAAACAAGCCTTTGCAAGTTAACAAAATAGCACGTTCGTAGCTTCATCGTAAGTTCTAACTTTCATAAACCCCAATTATTACAAATCACCTTGCATACTCTCACATGAACATCCTATGCGGTCAACCGGCATCTTCATCTTGCATATGCTGTAACCGTAAGAAAATCATATGGTCAAGTGCAAAGAAAACCATTCATATGCAATTATACACACTAAAAGTAACAAAGCTCAAAAATAAAAGTGAAAAGAAAAATTTTGAGAACCAGATTGAGCCCAAAGTAATTTAGTAAGAGACAAGTAGAGCAAGCATGAAACCATTCAGGAAGATCAGAGTTCAACAGTTAAGCAACATTTGACATGATGAGGACAAAGCAAAAATCAATCTAGCACTGCTGATTGCAGGATCTGTAGACGGCTTATTTGCCATCCGTTATTCATCTCAAACTTCAACATCACAATTGAGATACATATATAAGCTCTCATTGATGAGGACTGACCTTCATTGACGCAAGGTTGGCGTTTGTTCGGGAAGCATTTTTTGTTGTTGCCTTTCTGGTTGCAAGTAAACAGCGGGGGAGCTAAAAGACAAAAAGCAGCACTGTTTAGGGGAATACTTAAAAGCAAATGAAGTAAGAAGAATTAAAAATAAAGTCTTAAATATAAGAGGATATGCCAAAATCTCACCAGATGTTGTTCCCAGAAAAATTGCAGAAATTGGTGGCGCCAAGGAGTGAAAAATAGAAGAACAAGAGGATACCTCGTAGCAAAGCATCTGAAAAAACATTTGAACATGAAGCTAAAATAAACTCGCTTTAATTTTAAACTACAATTTCAAGCTTACTGTAGTTAGTATTCGGTAATTTCTAACAAAAACAAACAAATACAGAGAAAAGGGTAGTAAAATTGAACCTTGGTTCACAAGCAAACCTTCCATAATGCAACACGACAGACAGATGAGGAGCAGCAGCAGCAAGTGCAACCACCTCCTGTGCTGGAGCAGGCATTTCGATCCCTCTTTCCTGCACCAGCAGCAGGAAGTATTTTGTTGATTGCTATTCAGAATCATCATTTACCTCTTCATCATCAGAGAATTCATCAAATGATCGCATGTCAAGCTGGTAGCGCAGGATCCCGCCTATCCCGTCAAAACCTTTGCAAAACTGTGAACCTTCTTGTGATCTGTCGGTGATGAACTCAAGAGTGCAGCCAAACCGTTTGTATTCGTTTGCAAACCACTCCAGCAGAGACATCTTTTCTTGAACCTCATAAGCAGCAGAGGTTGCAGGATCCCGAAAGTTGTCTTGGTTGGCCTCCTGTTCCTTTTTAAGATGCTTAATAACAATCTCACCAGTAACACTATTTTTCAACACATACCTATTCATATCAAGATTTTCCCATACAATAAGCGTCTCAACAGCCCCCATCTCCAGAGCTTTTAGTGTATCATCAACCCCAAAAGCATACTTTCCGGTATCCTGGCTGATCTCCTCAAAGTATTTTCCAATCAATCGTTGCTCCTGGATAAGCTTCACATTGGACAGAATTTCGGCACAGAGTTTGATAGCCTGATTAAAGCCGTCTTCCCCTCCATAGGAAACATCAACAACATTAAGCACTTTTGCCTGAAGCCGAGGATCAAACATGTCTGACTGACTAAGCTGAGTTTTGAAATCAGCAGAACCAGCGAGTATTAAGCCAGCAACATTGGGTTGGCTGGTAGAAGGATTGATATAAAACTGGGTAGCAAGCTCTGCGGTCTTTCTCACATAGTTATGACGTTTCTCCATACGAAGACGGGCAAACCGTAGAGCTGATTGGCCTCCTCTCCCGTGTTTCTTTGGGAGATCAACAGTAAATTTATGAAGAACCTCTCTTGTATTACCACTCAAGGTCCCAAAAAGAGTACCATTGCCATCCATGATAATGAATCCAAACTTGTCATCAGACTCCAGGAGCTCATTCAATGCTTCAGTGTGGAACTTATTGTCACAGAGATAAAGAGACGCATTGATAGGTCTGTAAGGCTCAAAATCAAAAGTCACCTTCTTTTCCTTCCCATCTGCAGTGACGATTGTGCCAGTGTACAAAACAAGCCCGTTGGGAGGAACCTTGTTGTAAAGCTTGAGCCGCTGCTGAGCAGAAGTGATTGCACCAAGCACGGACTGTCGATTCACCCTGCTTTTGATGTTTGATGCAGTTCCAAACTCATCCCCGAGCATCTTGTTAACACGAGATATTTGATCACGTGGGGGCATTATAAGGGAAATCATGCTGGTCCCATTTCCTCTGGCAGCCTCAAGAGATTTGATCAATGTCTTGATTTTCCACATCCCAATGTTCTTATCGGCCTCATCGCCATCAGCCATCTGACGGCACAAAAACAAAAGTCACAGCCATATCCATACACATAAACATAAACTTTCAAAAACATAACTAACCGTTGATGCTAGGTGAAAAAAAAAAAACATAACAATCCAACGAAGAAAGCAAGGGAAAGACAAAATGTTTCAGTTGTTCTATTTCAGTGGACGTAAGCATTAGATGAGAGATATTCAAAGAATCATATTGAGATTCAAACAGAAAGGCATTCAAATAATCATATTAAGATTCAACCACGTTTCCCTCTATAGGTTTATTCACCACAGAAAAAGCCTAACAGCGGGGCTGAAGACTAGGAAGTTGATCAACGCAGACAGAAAAGCTTTATAATAACAATAACGACGATGATCGAACACTAACATGGTGAAAAACAACAGGCAATCGCAGCATAAAAAAGCGATAAAGCAACCATAAACGTAAAAATATATGAACATGAAAGTGAGATGATTGAAATTGGAGGATCAGTAAGTGCAGTTAGCGAAGAAAGTTACCTTTTACTTTTACGTGGGGAGGGGAAGGAGAGGGAGAGAGGCACCTTTTACGTGCGGTGGGGTGGGGTGGGGAAGGGAGACGCACCTTTTACGTGGCTTGAGAACTGCTTATTAATATATTCGCATTTAATTTATCCGTAAAATATATTAAAAACAAAATCATAATTTGATGCTTCTTTCATTCTTAGGCACAAGGAAAATGCATCTGATTTTTCTAAATTTATATATATATATATTGTTGTTTTTTAAGATGAGGGGACTTGTAAAGTAAGAAAATTAGTTTATATATAATGTTGTTGATAAATACCTGCTTATTTTAATAATACTTTTAATTCATAGTGTATAAACTCAATACAAAATTAATATCTTATGTTTTAATTTAGTGAATTTGGTGTGTGCAGGAGTGGAAGTGTCTCACTCTCTCTGTGTATTCACCAGAGCAGTTGAGATCTTGTTGGTAAGATTCCCTTGAGCGATTCAAATTCGGTCAGTTATTCTTGCTGTTATGGATTGCTATCTTTTCCAAATCATCCACCCAACAACCCTCCAACAATCCTAATATTGTTACTGTTATTCTCAAAATGTACGAAATTATCAAACCATATTCTTTTCTTATTTTATATTCATATTTATGTGCTAATTCACTAAGACCTGCGCTCTGAAATTGTTACAATCAAATATTGCTCCAATCATATTAAAACTTGTCTTTGTCTTGCCTAGAGCGCATAAGTAAAGAGACCACTTTTTCATACACGCTCTTTTTTACGTCAAATTCTACACAATAATCCATTAGCTCCAAGTTGTTGGCTATGCCAAGCAAATAACTCTAATGAATCGAATTAATATTCCAACTTGTTTGTATAATTGCATAACAATTTAACAAACCTTTTATTCAATAAACAGTAATCACACAAGAACTTACCTCATTAATTTAGCTACAAAATTTTAACTCATTTTTCAAATATTCAATTAAATCTGTAATAACTCCTTAAAATCTCCCCTGAATCCAAGAATCTAAAATTCAAATAAACCTCCTGCTTTGAATCTGAAACCACCAAGGTTAAATTCTTCGTACATGCTCCCCATCAAAAAAATAAACTGTGGAATACAGTAATGTGTATAAAAATAGGCAGCAAACAACGCCCAAGAAAACAATCTAAAACAGAGCTAGCGCAATTTTCTTTTCCCCTTGTTCAAGAATCAAGTAAAATTCTACTGCTATAAGACAAATTTACTTTACCACCATTTTCAGATGGTATGGTGAGAGATGACGATAAGATTAGGTAAGAGAAGTTCAAAGGGTATAGAATAAGCTGCATTAATTTATCCAGAGATTACTAACAAAATACCATAAATGGAGTGAAACCATTAATTCATTTACCATTGAAACTAACATTCATTTCAAGTACAAAAATAACATCGGAATATATGCTCTTCACTCCTCTTTCTTCTCTTCATCATCCTCTTCTCCGTCGTCACCTGCATCATCATCATCACCATCATCCTCTTCCTCTTCTTTCTGTATATCGTCTTGATGCTCTGACTCTTCGTCATCTCCTTCATCGAAGAAACCCCTCAAATCCGGTTCAGAGGGCACTTCTGTTGGTCGCACAATGTTTCTGAAGTCAACCGGAGGATATTGAGTTTCGACGGGAATCTGTATTGGAAGTGGGAAGGTAAGCTGAGGAGCTCTGTTCTCTCCTTCATCGTTGGGGGGTGTTTGTGTATTCTCCCCCATTTCTCTTTCGTAAACATCCTCTATGTTTTCGTTTTCTCTCCGGTTGGGCGGTGCCATTGTTTTAGTTGAAATTGCATGAATGCATGAATCAGGTAACATTTGAAGCCTTCGTAAAGTTTGATTGCATGTTAAAATGAAGATGAAGAACGCATGTATCCAGAACATGCAAGCTGTACGTCCGTTGGTTGGAAACGAGAAAACCAGTGTTTGACTGCATGAAAACCTTTCTCCTGTGTTTTGGACTGCTGATGAATATTCAAAATCTTTCTTAATAAAGTGTATTAACACCAAATTTTTAAAAATATTTATTATATTAAAAATATAAAAAATAAAATACTTAGCAATATGTTTTCATTTTCACTTTAGAATCAACTCCGAAAGTTAATACTAATATTTTTTATATATATCAATATCTGCTAATGCTTACGGAGAACGTGAAATATATCATCGTTGGTGAATACTTTTCGCTATTTTTATTTGTTTTTAAGCAGTGAAAATTACCTCGAAAATAATTATTAATAACAAAAAAGAGGGAAAATTCTAAAAATTATTCTTATGTATGATTCATGTGCACCTTTACTTTATTATTAAAACAGTTGATATAATTTTTAGACATTTTAATTTGTGACTTTATTATAGTTTTGTCACAATCCTTATAAAAGGGACGAAAAACACTACATCGTGATCCCACAATGCTCCTAACATAATGAAATTAATAGAGACATATGTACTTTATCATCTATTTAATATTTGTAAAGAAATTGTGATCAAGTTCACAGCTTGAAAAGTACAAAATTTAAATAATTCATTGACCAATAAAAAATTGCAACAATAAACTTAAACCTCAAATTAAATAGCTATACATAGTACCTAATTGTATGATTCTTATATATTAGCTCTCGTCTCAAACTTCATGAAATTATCTTCGTTTCATTTTTTTATATCAGGTTCATTATTTTGAATATAAAAAATTAAACTCATAAATTATATATAAAGATAAAGAAAGTGCAACTTTTTAAATTTAATTTATACATGTATATGAACATGACAAAGATTCAAAAGTGTATGAAATGTGTAATGTTGCTGTAAGTTTGGGTTTGACCCGTCGTTCCTTTTCCTTGTGCATTCCAATCCCTTTTTTTCAAATCAAGTGGGCCTTCCCAAAAATTTTATTCTCCTTTTTTCACATTTTAATGATAACTATAACAACAAAGATTTATTTCGCTGCTTTTTTTCAATTATTCCTTTGAATATTTCTAACTATAACCTTTTATTATAGTATCAAAATTGTAGAAAATTTATTATTCTTTTTTCACATTTTAATGATAACTATAGCAATGAAAATTTGTTACATTATTTCTTTTTCAATTATTCCTTCGAATATTTCTAACATAACCTTTTCTTATAGTATCAAAATTATAAAAAAATTATTCGCCTTTTTTCACATTTTAATGATAACTATAGCAACGAAGATTTGTTGCGCTACTTGCTTTTCAATTATTCCTTTGAATATTTCTAAGCCATAAAAGTGGCTTTTTCACAACAATTTTTCACTTAAAATCACTTTTGATTGGCTTTCAATTTTTTCTCTTCTTAATAGCTTCACGCTGCTTCCATCTCCGATAGACCATATGTGCACAGTGACAAGTAACGTACATGGAATGATTACGAACAACACCTGAATACATATAAAAACAAAAATAGCAAAGAGGAGAGATGAGAGAGAAAAATTATATTTTTAATTTATTTTTGATAAAAATAAATAGATTTACTAAAATATCTTTTTGGTCTATCTAATTAAAAATAAAGGTGCCATATAATGTCATTTGGGCTTGATATTAGCCTTGTAATTATGTAATATTTTTTTATGAATTAAAATAAATTGTTATTTTATTTTTTAATAAAAAATGAGCTAATTTATAATTTAGAAAAGTGTATAAATAAATTTAATAATTAATTTAAATGATCTATCTGTTTAAACTTAAATATCTGCAATTGATTAATGTGAATTAAAGCGTAAATTTTAACTCAAGAACTTATGTTAAGAAAAAATAAGGATTAGTACTTACCTAGTCTCTTGTCGTTCAGTAATTGTGTAATCCCAATTTCTTTGTCAAGAGTTATGATTTGAAAAGTAATTTATAGAAGAAAGTGTGGTCTATTACTTGTTAAAAAAAATAATTCAAAACTCGAGTACCATAATTTTTATTCTAAAAGTTATGTTTTTAATAAATAAGGCTAAAACTTTATTATAATGTTATAATTTTATATAATTTCGTTTAGATAATTTTTATTAACATTTGATATTAGAGTATAAATCAGATTATTGAAAATTAAAATTTGAATTTAAACATGATTATATGATTTAAATAATAAATTTAATTAGATATTGATTTATTAACATAATTATTGGATGCACGATTAAGTAGCTCAATTTGAAATTCACAATTGTTAAAGTTTTTAAGGGGTTTATCTTTCCAAAGGTAATATGCTAAAAAAAAATACAACTTTATTATTGTAAAATCATAGACATAAAATATTTACTATTGCAAGATTCCTAAATATGAAAAATAACTTGTGAATCTAACGAGAATTAATAAATAAAAATTGAAATTTATCTTAATTTAATAAAATTTATTTGAAAGTCAAATAATTTGTGTGTCTAAATTTTATCTTGGTATAAATTTTAAAACTAAGTGCATATATAGTAGGATTATTGAAACTCTTCGTCTTCTGTTGTTCTTTGTTGATGTGCATGTGGTGGCATACGATTGTTAGCGGAAGCAGGGTACTAACGTTGTTTGGGCATTAGCGTTGGAAGTAGAAACCTCAGCTAGCAGGGAGCTCTGTTTTGTCTTTCGTCAACACATGATTTATTTCCTCAAGTTCCATTAACACCTCTAATAACAACGTTTGGTGGTGATCCTCCATTTGGCTATATATATATATTATCATGTTTTCAGCGGTTAAAAAAGGTCTTACAACATTGTAAAAACAAATTTCTCATGTTTTTGTTTGTATGATTTAATGTTATAATACACAACTGTTGACAAGACAATTGATAAAAGAATTTGAATCAAATGCTTTAATTTTTGGAGTCTGAATCAAATATATTTAACAATTTCTTACTTAATTCGAGTCAGAATAAATGGGTGGAATTAAAAAATGTATTTAACAAGTTGATAATAATTTAGAAATGATTGTTGGAAACCGTTTTATATTGGAAATGAAGTAAATTAGTGGCGCAGGAAATGATAGAGCATAGACTCATGAAAGTGGAAGATGCAATAAGTTAGTGGGGAACGTTTCTCAAAGTTGCTTCTTCTATCAATATATCACACTCACGAATATATCCACCACTTTGCTCTCATTCACCGATCCATCACTAAGTCACTAACAATATAATTCTCCTTTAAGTCAATCTCAACAGGTAAGGTAATGCTATATTACCTATGGATAATTGTAAATTCATTTGTTCCCCAATTATGGATACCCACAAGGGTACGAGACATGTACATGGTCATTTTTTATCCATTTATTGGCTATAACATCTGAACATCACGGGTGGGATGATAAGACAATAAATATTGATAAAATAATATCATAATTTTAGAAAATGTTTTCTTTAACATTAAAATTAGATAATATAAATTGTTTCTTTTAAGATAATATATACAATAATACATATTATGTCAATTAATTTTTTAATGTATATTGTTAGTTTATTTCCACACTCGCCTACAAGCTCCACCATACATATAAGACACTCACAATTTTGTTAAAATATTTGTTAACGAATATTCATACATGTTTGTGCCCATTCCTTGCCATAACCTATTACAGGGTTACAGTGAGGCAGAGAGCCCACATGCACAGGAAATCTATTGTTTTATAAATGGCTTCTTTTGGACGTAAATCCAAGCCCATACCGTTCTTCTAATTGTTCAATTCAGCACAATGATGAAGAACTTTCCCTACTACACTAAAAACCAACCTCAACTTTGTAGTTTTTTACCACACATCTTCAACTTCCTTGGACCCTTGACTCGTTTTGTAGCCTTCCAATTCCACCCCTTCCTTATTCAACTTTGTTATTTTGTGATTCTTTCCCTTTTTGGTTACCTGGGTCTTAAGCTCTCAAAGCCAAGAACCCCTGTTAGGCCCAATGACTTCGACCTGTTTTACACCTCTGTTTCTGCTTCCACTGTTTCAAGCATGGTAGCCGTAGAAATGGAGGTTTTCTCCAACTCCCAACTGATTCTCCTCACCATTCTCATGTTAGTTGGTGGGGAAGTCTTTACTTCCATGCTAGGCCTTGTGTTAACTAGGTATACATTTACCCAAAATATTCATCATGACAAAAACGAAGTTTGCACTAGTACCTTTTCATCGACAAAGGAGTCCACAAATAATGCCACCAATCAAATTGAGCTTGGTTTAGTTTCTATTCCTCAGTTAGAATCAGAAAACCACCTGCATAGTGATATAGACAGGCTTAAGTATAACTCTCTTAGGTATCTAATACATGTAGTTTTAGGTTACCTGATGGTGGTCCAATTTGTTGGTACTAGTTTGGTCTCTTTGTACCTAATTTTCATAGCGAGTGCGAGAGAAGTGCTGAGAAGCAAAGGCATTAAAATACTAACATTTAGTTTGTTTACCGTAGTGTCTACTTTTGCTAGTTGTGGCTTTGTGCCCACCAATGAGAACATGATAGTTTTCAAGAAGAATTCGGGGATTCTACTCCTTATTCTGCCACACATATTTCTTGGTAACACCCTTTATGCACCGTGTTTGAGGCTTGTGATAATGGTTCTGAAAAAGGTTACCAAAAGAGAGGAATTCTCGTACTTGTTGGACAATTTTAAGGACATGGGCTATGATCACTTGTTGTCTGGTCTTCATTGTTGCCTCCTAGTTGCTACTGTGTTGGGTTTTAATCTGATACAATTAGTGATGTTGTGCTGCATGGAGTGGAACACCAAGAATATGGAGGGTCTAAGTCTCTATGAGAAACTGGTTGCGTCTTTGTTTCAAGTATCAAATGCAAGACATGCTGGTGAATCGGTTTTTGATCTCTCCGCCATCTCTTCAGCCATATTGGTGCTCTTCGTTGTCATGATGTAAGTTACTATGTTTTATATATGTCTGCATCATTCCCCCTTCCCCTCTCTCTCTTGCAAGCAACTAAGGCCATCAATGCCATTATAGTAATAATTCAAGTCAATTAATCATGAAAAATATTCATTTCCAATAACTCAGTTACTTAGTAATTACTACAATTTTTTGCAATGTCCATATGAAAAATGCTTTTAAATCACTATTTTTTTACCAAGGAATTATATATTCCTATTTCCTATAAAAAAGTATTTTTACCAAAAACAGAATCAAAGTATTATCTCTGAAAAGAGTTATTTTTTTAAAAAAATTTATTAAACAAGCAAAAAGAAGATATGATTTGAATCTCGAGATTGTAGTATAATTTTACAATTTCTTTTCAAGAAAATTATTCAACTAGCTAGCAAAAAGAATTAATTTGGAATAACATATTGCATTTTAGTGGCGATGAGTATTTGTTTTAGTTATAATTTAGTGTTTTAAAAGGTTACTTTTAATTATTTCTTGTAGCTTTTCTTTCGTTATACATATTTTTTAAAATTTCAAAATTTTTATATGTTTTAATTGAAAACATCAATCTTTTATTTTTTATTAATTATATAATAATTTTTTTTAGTTTATAAAACTTTAAAATGATTTTATAATATACTTTTAATTTGTTTAAGTTTATTTTAATTTAATATCAATAAAACATTCTTATAGTGCAAAACAAAGGTGGCTAACAATTCTACAAGTATGAATTCTGAGTTGACATCAATAACTTGCTTGATCGAAATGCAACAAAGTTAAGTGATCCTAGCTGTAACTTTCCGCAATACGTACATATGCTGATCACTGGCAGGGCCCTCAAACAAAATTTAGATAATCTCATATATGATTTTTAATTAATTTTTTTCACATTCATTTTTGTTTACATTTACTTTTTATCTTATTCTTTTGATTTTATTCTCTATTCATTTTTATTTTTCATCAGTTATTTCAACTCTATTCATTTATATATTCATTTTTATGCTTTCACTTGACACTTTATTTTTTTGGAAAAAAAAGAGGGATATTTTATATCATTTTTTTGCAACAAATACATTTGCATATCAGTAGACGTCACCAAGCTCTTCTAGCTATCACTCCTTTGGTACTGTCCCATATTTCATGATGGTGGGCATTATATATAGCCTTGTAAATATGCCGTCCCAAATATTTAGGCTTCCTTTATTTCTCCAATTCCAATCTGGTATATGCACGGGCTCCACGCTATAGTTTAGAATAAAATTGACTTTTCGTATTTTCCAATAATCCAAACGTACCCTTACTTTGATAAATCACGGTAACATCTCTCTTGCAAACACACAAACAAGCAGTTAGTTCTCTTGCATGAAACGAAAATTGGAATATGAGTCTTTGCATATATTCTGCCTTCCCACTTATGTGGAACTGGAATATATGAATAGATTTGACAATTCGATCAGAAAAGGAATTCTGAGATATGATTGACTGCCCCCACACTGATTTCATATATAATAGGATTAAAATTTGTGAATGGAAGCAATGATAGGAATATCATAAAATATCTTGAATTTCTTATTTTTTGGGGGGAAAATTTAAAAAATGTTATCCATCATGATACAACTTTATGAAATCCAACACTTGCTTGATAATAATTTGTTTTTCAGGAATCAAATCAACTGTCTAGGGATGAACATGGCATCTGTTATAGACACAATCAATTAGTCATGATAAATTTGTGGAGACCTTTTTTTGTATCATCATATTTTAATTTTATTTCTCTAACAGGTACCTCCCACCATACACTACATTTTTACCTGTAAGGGACCACAAAAATGATGTCAAGAGAGACCAAAAAAGTCTAGTGGAGTGTCTTGTATTCTCTCAACTCTCTTACTTGGTTATTTTCATTATTCTGATTTGCATCACTGAGAGCAAAAGCTTAAAAGAGGATCCCCTCAACTTTAATGTGTTGAACATCACCCTAGAAGTTATCAGGCAAGGAATTACTCTCTTTCTCTGGATTATCTTTGTCGACGAATACTCTTAATTAATTATTAAAAACTATTCTTTTACATTTTTCTGTTATATTCTTTACAGAAAGGTTGATACGTGCAAAAACATACTTACACACATAAGGTCTTCTAAATATGCAGAGATATAAAGGAATTAATATTAATTCTTGCATAAGAATCGAAACAGTATAACTTTTACGCTGAAAAAGGGCCCTGAGAAAAATAAAGCATATATATATATATATAATGTTAATTAATATATATTGCTTCAATTATGTTACTTAATTATATGCAAACTATATTAACTACGAAAGCATTCTGACAAATTATGCAGTGCGTATGGGAACGTAGGGTTCTCAACGGGATACAGCTGCGCAAGGCAATTGAAACCCGAAGCTATGTGCAAGGATTCATGGGTTGGATTTTCCGGTAGGTGGAGTTCTGAAGGCAAGTTCATCCTTATCTTGGTCATGTTCTTTGGGAGGCTCAAGAACTTCAACATGAAAGGTGGCAAAGCGTGGCACCTCTCCTAGCATATATAACGTTAACAACAAGAATTAATATTTCTCTCTACTAAGTTTGTGTATGTGTATGATATGGATAAGATAGTTCTAGAACTTTTACCATTAATTAGTCCATCTTTTTTTCTTGTCATCGGGTCACTCTATGTTTAGCATGTAATTACGATAGTGAATTTTTGTCAGTTTGACTACTCTCTTGGGTGTCCCACCACTTCACTATCTGAACAGATGTTGTGTATTACCTGTGGCAAGCATCACTATGATTAGTATTCCCACTTCATCTTGAATGTATTCATTTAGATAAGTAGCGATGAAGTTCTGGTTAAGAATGATCTTATGTCGGCAATTGGTTATCATAAGGTTTTAAGATAATCTCAGATAATATAGATATATGTGATATCATGTGTATTTTTCTGTTTTTCTTTTTTAATTTTCAACGATTGTTAATATAAATTTATAATTTATTTCACAGTATAAATTTTTTTACTAATAAATTGTTAGAGTTGTTTTATGAAAAACAATTAAAAATTTTAACATTTAACTTATAAAAAATTATTCTAAACAAGATTTAGAAGATTAGTTTTGAATATTTTTTATCTTTAATTTTTTAAATAGTCTATATTTACAAAAATAATTTTAATATTTTTTAGTTATTTAACATGTTTTAACAAATTATACAGTTAATTTTATTAAATAATTCTAATTTAATAATATATATATATGTTATAATTCTTTTTACTAACTTATCAAATATCACTACTAGAAAAGCGCTTAATACAGACGGATTTTACCCCGTCTGTAAAATTCGTCTGTATTTAGCATGCCTTTTGGCGCCAAACGTTATAGACAGCAATTACAGATGGATTTTTCCGTCTGTAATTTGAAAACAGGACGAAATATTATAGCGGGAAATTACAGACATATTTTTCCGTCTGTAAATATGGCGGTTTTAGCCGACCTTTCAGGTGGCACATTACAGACGAATTTTTTCGTCTGTAAATGGGATTGACGCATTTACAGATGGAAAAATCCGTCTGTAATGTGCCTCCTGAAACGCACCGTTTCATTAAACCCATTACAGACAGATTTTTCCGTCTGTAATGACTGAAACCCATTAAAATCGCGTCTCCTCTTCCCCTCCCCCATTATCAGAACCCTCTCTCTCTCTAAGAGCTCAGTGTTTTGGCCATTGCGAGTTATTAGAGCAACCATTTGAAAGTTTTTTTTCATCATTGTATTCCTGGTACGATACTCTAACTTTTAATCGGTTTAGTTTTTTAATTTTTTATGTTTTTTAGAGACTTAAAATTTCTAAGATAGAGTTGTAGGATTGGAGATTGTATGACTAGGGGGAAGGGCGTAGAGGTCCTTCTCCGAACCTGATTATTGTGTGCTGTGGGATTATTTGTGTTTGTGGAGTTTGTAGAATATGCATGTTGCGGAGTTACAAGGGGATGTGCTCTAGAACGGTTTAGGATTGTGATGTGTTTGTGTTTGATGTATCGAATAATTTATTGTTATATAATTTATTAGTTGATTTTAGGTGAAATTTTCATTTTTGTAAAAAAATAGTAAACAAATGTAAGGAAATTAACATGTATTAGGGGAGATTCTGCCAAAATTTATATTAAAATTTTCTGTAATGTATTTTAGAAGGTTGATACCACATTGTATATTTGTATTAGGTTTATATAGTTCTTGAGGAAGATGTTTCTCAGAAATCGTCAGTGGATGTATGATAGGTTGCACTCAAGTCGGGGGGAATAAAACCTGAATTCTTTGAGGGTGTAGAGGAATTTATACGCGTCTGTTATAATTCGCAGCAATTCATCACCAATCAGGTCGTTAGGTGTCCATGTTCTAAGTGCAAGTGTAGAAAGTTTTTGGATATTGATTCAATTAGATATGATTTGTATAAGTTTGGATTTAAACATGATTATTGGATATGGATTGAGCATGGGGAAGAAGTTAATTTAGAAAATCAAGTAGGTAATTCAAATATATTACAATCAGGTGGTCATGTAAGTAATGTAAGTTGGGAAGAAAGCAATAGTCGTTATCAAGAAATGGAGAGGCTGCAAAGTTTTATAATGTTTTAGAAGCAGCAAACAAGCCTTTATGGGATGGGTGTGTGCATTCAGAGTTATCTTTAGCAATATGCAAATGCAGCAGATGCATGCTTATTTTGAGCTCATGAGAGCAAGCAGCTCCACACCTCTTCCTCCTCCTCCACCAGCTCCAGCACCACCGGTTTTCACCTCCATGCATCATTCCTCTACTGACTCCTCTTCTACTGATGATGATGCTCCTTCGGATTCTGACCATATAGATTATTCCTGATGAAAACTTGTATTTTATTTTTAAATGTATTTATTTAGATACTTTTTTTTCTTCCTTTGTAACAACATTTAAATTTTATATTTTATAAATCATTTTGGAATGTTTAGATGCCGAATCTATAGTTTCTATTTTGTTTATAAATTGTGATAATCAAGAACAGCAGGAAATAACTATCTATACAAATAAAAAAATATCAATTATAGTAAAATATATCCGACAGATTACAGACGGATTTTTCCATCTGTAATTTATAGATAAATTTTTTCGTCTGTGAATTACAGACGGATTTTCCCGTCTGTGATTTACAGACGGATTTTACCGTCTATAACTTATAGACGGATTCTACCGTCTGTAACGTACAGACGGATTCTACTGTCTGTAACTTACAGACGGATTTTTTCGTCTGTAACTTATAGACGGATTTTTCGTCTGTAATTATTTACCAACGAGGATATTACAGACAGTTTATATCTGTCTGTAAATCCGTCTGTAATAGAAAAAATTGTCTGTAATGCTCTAAAAATTCGTCTATAAATCCGTCTGTATAAACAGACTTTTTAGTAGTGTATTACTTATAAATTATAAGCTTTTAACTAATTTTATTAGATTGAGCCTTCATATACTAATAGTAATAATCTTTGTTTTGAACTTCCCTTAACTGCGCGCCAAACAAATTAAACTATTTTTTAATAGTATTTGAAAACCTTAACTCGATTCGAATTAGTTGGTAAAGAAAGTAAAGTAATTAAATTGTATACTGTACAAGTCATTTAATAATAACAAAGTTGAAAGATGATAAAAGAAATAAAAAAAATGTTAAATTTATCTTACAATTAAATAGATTTTTCAAATTGAAATTTAAGTCACTAAATTAATTCTTTAAATCATTATAGTATCATCTAAAAGAAATTGTAAATAAATTGGTCTTTCTTAAAGAGTTAAAGTGACACCGTATTAATTCTTACAAATAATTAAAGTTGGTGAAAAACCTTAAGAGTTTCAGTGATAAATTCAGTCTTGAAAAAATGTGAAATTATTCAAATCAATATTTTTTAGAATATTAAAGTGGTGATGATTGAAATACAAAAGTGTAAGAAAAAGTATATTAAATTAGAAATTAAAAAGAATAAGATTTATAATTTTAATATATTTTAATAAATAACTAAAAAAATATTAAAAATATATAGTAAAAACTGTGTTGTTAGCATTTCTCTTATAATAATTCCTTAATAACTAAATATAAATAAATTCATTCCATCCTTCAGCTAAATAACTATGAACCATATTAATGCATGTAATAGCTCTCTCTGTACATGGCTGCATAGTAAAATAATATATACTTTTTATTAAGGAAGATATGTGGGTTTGGTTAAATAACTAAATTCATAATTTTACTTAATAAAATTTATGAGCTCTTTTAATAATAAAATAATTATTAACAGAAGATATAAAAAGAGTATATAGTTAGCTTCTTTTTTAATAAATCAGCTATAAATAGTATATTAAGTAAAGAGTATGTTTAAACAAATGTGTCGTTGAAATCCGAATGGTTGATACAATGGTACAATATTTCATTTCATTCATTTGTATGTGGTTGATCTATTTGATAGGAAGTTTTGTATTTGAATCACATTACGTGCAACTTTAGCTAACAGCATCAATGAATCATGAGTAAAGCTTAATCTTGAACCTTTTGAACTTGATGAAATCCCATAATCTCTAATCTTTTACTAATATTTCTCTTTTTCTTTTAGCATAAAAGAAGGAGTGACCCTTGAATTAGAAATTTTACATGAAATACTTCTTTCACTCTTAGTCTTATTTGTAAGACTTTTTCAACTAAAAAAGTTGTTAAATTAGTTAATACATTAGGTTTTAAAAAATTAATTACAATATCCTACATTTACTCCAATTTAAAAGTTAAAGTCCATCATCATATTAATTGTTGACAAATTAGAAAGGTTTAGTATTTATGAGGGAAATGTGAAAAAAAAAACCTTATAAAGCTGTATAAAAGCTGTTATGTTAAGAACCATAAAAAATATTTCAGAAATTAAAAAAATGTATAACATATATGTTAAAAAACAAAAACACAATTTAGTCTAAATAGAAAGAGAAGAAAAAAAAAAGTGCTAAAATAAATGATGTGATGAAGAGAAAAATAGCTAAAGAGAAATTAATTATTGTAAAATTTATTGTAAAAAATTATAGTAAGAATAATAATCTCTTCGAAGGGTGTTCTAAAAAAATAAAAAAAAATGATCATTTAACAACCATTAAACAGGTGTTAAATAGATAGGAAAAAATAAAATGTAAGAAAATGAATATAAAATAAGGATAAAATTTATTGACAATTAAAAAATGTGTCATATTTGTTAAAAAAAGCATAACGAGAGAAATAGCTAAAGAGAAATTAATTATTGTAAAATTTATTATAAAAAAATTACAGTGAAAATAATAATTTCTTCGAAGAGTGTTCTAAAAAAATTATAAAAAAAATGATCATTTGACAACCATTAAACAAGTGTTAAATAGATAAAAAAAAAAAATAAAATGTAAGAAAATAATATTAAATAAGGATAAGATTCATTAACACTAAAAAATTTATCCTAAATCTCAACGGTATAAATTAAATAATTTAACGGTTAAAAATTTATTTAAAAAATATAATAAAAAAATAGAAAAAAATAAATTTTTAACCGTGAAATTATTTGATTTATACATTTAGAATTTAGTGTAATTTTTCTTATATTTAGTGTCAATAAATCTTATCCTTAAAAATTATAATAATTAATTAATTACGTTAATATTCTAAATATATGTATAATCTTAATCATTCATCAAGACGTGACAGAAAATAATTTTTGTCATGTGTTATGTTATTGAATAAGTGGCCAGGATACAAATAATTGCGAGTAATAATGATTTTTATAAGGTAGGCAGGCGATCTACAATATTAATGTGATTTAAAAAAAAAAAAGGCAAAACAATTTAAAACATAAACAGAGAAAGGAATTGGAACGTTGGCATGGAAACTTCTCTTTAAATAGCCTCTGTGCAACAGAGTTCAGTGCATCAATATTGACTCGGAAATTAAAGACGCATATTATGAATATGTTCGCTTCTTTTGGCAAAAAGCTGCGACATTTTTGTAGCGTTTCAACTCAGAAAATCTCTTGTCTTAGCAAATCAATTGTTTTCTTACAAACATGTTTTTTTCGCTTGCTTCTCCGCAGAGCCAACCCGCTATGGGTTCAAATTGTCTATTTTGTGTCCCTTTCTACGTTGGGTTTTGGGGTTCTCAAGGCTCTTAAGCCCAGAACAGGACCATCTTTTATTCCCAAAAACATAGATTTGTTCTTCACCTCTGTGTCAGCAACAACTGTTTCAAGCATGGCCACGCTTGAAATGGAGGTTTTTTCCGACACCCAGTTAATCATTATGACCATCTTGATGTTCATAGGTGGTGAGATCTTTACCTCTATGGTAGGACTCCATTTCTCTAGGTTCAGGTTCAAAACCGCATTAGATCAAATCGCTTCTTCTCATGCAAGTCTTAGTTCTCCAAATCTTGTTGATCAGATTGAACTGGGCATGGTCACAAATGATAATTCTAATAAATCCTCCACTGTCCACAATCAATCTTTGGGTGCTACAAGTGAAAATTTGAGGTATTTATCAATGAAATATTTGGGCTTTGTGGTTCTAGCTTACCTTGTACTTGTCCACATGACAGGGGTGGTTGCGGTGACCCTTTACCTGGTTGCTATTCAAAGTGCTAAAGAGGTACTAAACAACAAGGGACTCAACATGTTCACATTCTCCGTTTTCACGGCAGTTTCAACTTTTTCTGGCTGTGGCTTTGTTCCAACAAACGAAAACATGGTTGTGTTTAGGAAGAATTCAGGTCTTCTTCTTATGCTTATTCCTCAAGTCCTTCTTGGGAACACGTTGTTCCCTCCTTGCTTGCGGTTTTCAATATGGGTTTTGGGGAAATTTCACAAGAAAAAAGAGTGTAAGTACCTTCTGAAGAATACACAAGAGGTTGGGTACAAACACTTGCTTCCAGGACGCTACTCAGTTTTTCTAGTACTCACTGTTTTTGGGTTTATTCTGCTACAAGTTATACTATTTTGCGCAATGGATTGGAGTGCAGAACCTCTGAAGGGGTTGAATGCATATCAGAAATTCATTGGCGTTTTGTTCCAAAGCGTTAATTCAAGACACACAGGAGAAACCGTTGTGGACTTGTCAATCATATCCCAGGCCATCTTGCTATTATTTGTGGTGATGATGTTAGTTTCTCTCTCCCCATAATTAATATTACTTATAAGCCAAACTTATTAATTATAGCGGCTAAATATTTTTTTTTTTTAACGTTTTAAATTCAAATTGGACAAAATTTCAATACTATTATTATAAATATTGTTAATACTACCTTTTTAATTAGAATTTGAGCTTCACTTTTACAATATGTATCGAGTTTCAATACTAATATGTTAATCTTTAATGTACTATGCAGATTATTGAGATAATTAAAACTTTAATTTTAATTAAAAAATAATACCCCGTGTATGTATTACATGAACTTTGCCCCGTGTAATTATGATTTGTAAATACTTTTAATATATATATCAGTGTTATTATCCAACCAAAGTGTCTATCGAACATTTTCCTCCTGCATGCACCACCGTACCATTTGAAAACTGCATTATTGTTCCATGTACGTTGGCAATGATTATATATATAATAATAACATCTATCTCACTTTGTAGGAATAAAACATTGGTTAATCATTTTAGTCCCATGAACCGTTGTCACACTCCTAATCTTTCCATTTGTCAATTACATATTGATTTCGCATAATTTGACTTCTAACCAAGTTTTTCTTAATTAAAAGAAAAACGATTTATTCCCCCCACCCATTGTATTTTATAACCCAATCATTGTTATTTAATATTGCAATTATTCCCAAAATGAAAGATGGGTCAAAATGTCGGTAGAATAATATGGCTCAAACAATAATGGAATTATAGCAAAGGTCAGATATCACTCTTGTTCAAATGTTTTGTGACTAAGCCACGAGGAATATTTATTTGACTGTTTGGCATGCTATTGCTAATTTTCATTCTTTCCGTTGTTATTGGATAAAATAATTGGTATTTACTTTTTTATATTTGTTTTTTCATCACATTATTAATTATATTTTCTCTAACCCCTTCACTTAATTTATCCTAAATATATATTTTTGTTAATTAATTAATCGGATCCACTGGTATCTGTGTAGGTACCTTCCTCCGTACACGTCTTTCCTTCCAATGAAAGATGAGGGGCAGGATTCAGAAAGTTATGAGAGGATGAAAAAAAGAAGAGGGAAAATTGTGGAGAATTTGATGTTCTCTCAACTCTCCTATTTAGTGATATTTATCATACTCGTCTGCATAACTGAGAGGGAAAAATTGAAGGAGGATCCACTCAATTTCAGCGTCCTCAATATTGTCGTTGAAGTTACCAGGTTACATTAATTTCTATTAATTCCAATCTTAAATATTAACCTTATCATGAATCTAGCTAGCCCAAACAATTAACGAATGTATGAAAATAGCATTCATTCATTTTAAAATGAATAGTTTCTTTATGTGTGTAACTAAGTGTGCATTATTTTGGATGCATATGATTATATACACAGTGCATATGGAAACGTAGGATTTACTACAGGATACAGTTGTGAACGACAATTGCATACACAAGCAAACTGCCAAGACAAGTGGATTGGATTTGTGGGCAAATGGAGCAATGAGGGAAAGATCATTCTCATATTTGTCATGTTTTTTGGAAGACTCAAGAAATTCAATATCAATATGGATGGAGGGAAGGCATGGAACCTCCTCTGATCCAAAACTCTACCCAACATATATACAAACAATTCAATTTCATCCTCTCCTTCATTAAGTGTAAATTTTTATTTTTCAAGTATTTATTTATAAAAATAACTAAATTAAATTAACCAATTTATGTATAAATGTCATTAATTAAGTTGAATGAGGCCATTGCATTTGGGACACATGCATCGATAATTGAAGAGGGAACCACCAGCAATTAACAAACAAAGCTGAAAGACAATGGATTAACTTGGAAAGCTTTACAGTGGCCATGTTACTTCTAATCATGTTAATTTATATATCCGTAGATATTTTAAGGTGACTTGTCCTTTGCATGCATCTTTGGAAAATTTTTAGGATATGACAAATGGTGAGCATTCACGACAAATCAGATAAACTGTCAACATCCGATACAGAAAAAAGAATTACTTAATCTTACAGGTTTCATGGCAAAACTAGTCTTAATGCCCATCTCCTCATTGATCGCATGTTTAGATTTGCTTAATTTCTAATTCTTTTAAAATTTGTTATCAATATATTCATAATAATTTATTTTATAAACAAGTTAATTAATCAAATCACTCACTAATTAAAATGTAAAAATTATCTGTGAAATAACCAATTTTCTTTTTTAGAAAATCACTTAATATAAGATGCACAGTTTTAGAAAGGTAAAGTGACAAAACAAAGTAAAAATTTTGTTTTGATGAAATTTCGATTCTTACCACATATAAACAGGCTTCTAGCATGTGTTTGGGTAGGCCGTTCAAATCATGTTAAACGTATGTTCACATGAAATGATATAGTTTATTGAAACTAGTTTTGATAGATTTTAGTTTTTAACTATTAATTATAATTAATTAAGATGAGTGTTCAAATTAATCTCATTCATAAATTTATACTAGAACAAGTGTTTCTTATTTGACAGTACAAAAAATATTTTTCTATTACTAAAATAAATAGAGACTTAATTTCTGGTCTGAATTAATATTAATTTTTCTTTAAGCGAGGTTCGTACTTAGATTGGAGAATTCCATAAAATCAGATAGATTTTTTTTCTTAGATAACATAAAATAGAATTTAGAAGATGCAAGAATAAGTTATTCAAAATATTAAAATACTTGTAAATACTTAATATACAATTTCATCATCACTAATAGTCATTTGGTCTTGAATGGACGATAGGTACCAACCAATTAGTTCATAGATGAGACAGAATTCACACAACCTCCATCAGAAAAGGGCTTGTTTACTTCATTATTAATTTGAGAATTAAATTTGATGTCTTGTTATTTTTTCAACATTATCATATTATAATATAATACTAACAGATTATTAAAGCAACACAAGACTTTATGTACATTGGTTGCGAAAAATGTTCAATTACAATGCATTAAGAATTTGTAATGCTGGTAATTACGACAAGAGCAGGCCATAAAAAGAGCTAGAAAAATAATAATTTAAAATAATGACAATAATACAGTCACGAGACACTACAAAACAAACCACCAACCCTCCACCATTTTTTTCTGAGTTTTTCTGAAATCTAACACTGACACCTCTCACTAGTTGTCTCTGTTCATCCTATAAATCAGAACCTTTAAGCAAAACCAAGCTTCACAAACTTTAATAAATCTCATATCTTTTTTTGTTCTTGTGTTGCCAAAAAATGGTTTCAACCCAGTCACTCAAGTGTGCTCTTTTCTTTTGTTATTTTACCTTTGCCTTCAACTTGTTCACCATTCCTGTCTCTGCCCTCAACATAGGAGCTGAAACCACCGGAGTGGCTGTCTCTGTGGTACACTTCTTGTTTATACTGTCCCATTGCAAGCACATGAATTATGTTTTAAGTAACATGTACAATTTTTTATTCATTAATTCATATGCAGAGCAAAGAGTGTAGCAGACAGTGTGAGTCAAGTTTCTGCTCAGGTACATGAACATGTCTAATCTCATTATACTGTTTTTTATTTCTTCCTATGAAAAATTAAGCTGATTGGATTAAGGGTTTAATTCAGTGCCTCCGTTACTGAGATATGGCAAGTACTGTGGACTTCTGTATAGTGGATGTCCTGGTGAAAAGCCTTGTGATGGTCTTGATGCTTGTTGTATGAAGCATGATCAATGTGTGCAAGCCAAAAACAGTGAGTTCTATAAGTGCCTTCTTAATTTTAAATATCCACCTGAATTGCAGATTTGATTGAGTAGTTCCATTATTAGATTCTATGGGATCTGACAATTGGGCTTATCAAGTCCCTTCCGAAACTAGATCTTCAATTTGGTTCATTTTTGCACCGTGTTTGTGTTTATTTTTTAGTATTCTCTTAAAATACATCACTGAAATTTTCACTAAATTAGCTCTGATGGTAAATTGGTAATTAAATATTTACATTGATGTAGCAGGAAATTGTATCAGTCAATGCCCCTAGTGTTATGTTGGTGATGGTGCGAATTGAGAAGAAGAGGGATTTAGGTAGTGTTTCGCCTAGCTATTTTTGGAGCTTCTCTTTCCCTTAAAAGGACAAGAAAGATCAAACACAACTCTAAAAATAGAATTTCTATAAAAGTTCATTAGAGGAGCTTCTACTTTTAAGATAAGAAACTCGAACAGAGTTAGAACAAAGACTACGTTGGAAGAGAAGCAATTATGCATTGGAGGTGTCATTACTAATTAGGGTTAAAAGCAATTTAATCGAGGAAATCTTTTTAGTTTAAAGTCTTCAATTAAAATGAAATAAAGATGGTAGTTGGCTGATAGGGATTCTTTACTTAATTATTTTTTACCTGTATATTAGCGTGTCTTGTATAGGTCATTAAATTTATGGACATAAATAGAAGCTAATCATGACCCTTCATCTAATTACTTTATTTTTTTTATGACTAATTCTGAACAGTGTAAATTTATAATGGAACCTCCTTAGCCAACTTAATTGGCTTGATTACAACCCTCACTCCATTGCTTCTTCACTCAAAGAATATGTATGAGGACATGTTAGTGATATTAACTTTTATTGAACTTTGTACACCGGCACCCTCAAAAAATTATATTGAACCACTATTTATCAAATACCTAAATCCTGTAGATTTGATAATTCTTTGAACAATGAAAGCCAATTTTGCTTGTTGATTGAGGTTATAGAATTATGTGGGTGGATGTGGATCTAAGGTGAGCTGAGTAGGGGCTGCCCTGGAAATGATGTTAACTACGGATTAATTGTGATGTTATGCAGATGACTACCTAAGCCAAGAGTGCAGCCAAACATTCCTAAACTGTATGACTAAATTTAGGAACTCAGGGGCAACTACATTCAAGGGAAACACGTGCGATGTGGGTGATGTCGTTGAAGTTATACATGCTGTGATGGAAGCTGCTTTATTAGCTGGAAGAGTTCTCCACAAGCCTTAGAGAGTAATGTTGTCTGTCTGTGAAGGTAAGTCTCAAGAAAGGAGATATTTTCTGATTCTTCCTATTGTTTTTAGTGATTCTCTTACCAAATTAGTCAAACTCCAATGCGTTATTTATTCATAAGCAATGCTAACAGTGCACTATTTTGTATACCTTTCTAACAAACTGTTTATTACTGGTTCAAGTCTCACACTTGGTTGATTATTAAAAAAAAAAACAATTTCAAAACAAGCATAATAGAGTCTTCAGAACAATGTTGAAAAGGGTGTTTTCGTACAACATTCCTCCTTACTCATTGGTTTCTTTTCAAAGCGCATTCGGTCATTCCTTTGATCCTCCACATCCAACAAATATACAAAACATTTTTTTTTTGTTTCTTTCGTCTTCCATGTGATTAATTTTTCCTTTTATGAGATTCCCTTTGCAGTTATCATGTGACAAATTACGTTCATCTGTGTAAACTGCCATGAAGTAAAAGTAATATTGGTTAAGCCACATGGTTAAGAATCCAACTCCATCTGGAAGAGTGAAGTGTTCAAGCATAACTTTTATTCTACAATGTTGGTTTGGTGCTTGTGTCCAACAGAGTAATCGAAGATGAATTAATTGCTCGTTTAAATTTTATCCATGGGAGTTTTGCATTTCTTTTATCAAATTAAATAGACCAGTAGACATTGATTTGGGAGACAATCACCGAATGACCGAGTGGCATAAGAATTGATTAAAAGCTATAAATTTAACGGATCTTGATTCATTTCTCTGTGCCCCATTTTCTTTATTTTTCAATAGCATACAAGACTAGACGTTTCTTATAGAAGGCCAAACTCATCACCAACGACAAGATGGGGGGGCTCTAGTTCGGAGGATGATGAGCCATGCGAACAAAGCCATAAATTTGGGAACATGAAAACCTCCGTAATTTTTAAGCGATAATGCTTTCCCTCGTAAGTGGATGAGCAAAAACTCAGACGATAATCGCATTGGCACATCAGGAGTAGCTAATATCTGCCTGGTAGAGACTACAAGTCAACGACTGTGTATCCGACCGTTTGAGATACTAAGTTTTACAAAGATATCAGAAAACAGAACTTTAGGAAGGCATAAATTCATACATGAAGGTGCAATGGAGAGAGAATTAGCAAAGTGATAAGTCCAACTTGGTAAATGATTTCATTTTATTCTTCTCTGTCCGATGCTCAGGAAACCAGTGTCCTTCTCTTGCCAGTTTCTACACTTTGTTTAGGCTTCGGGGGTGGCAATTTTGGTAACACCCAACTCGGTGAACCATTAAGCCAAAGCACTTCACCGGTATCTTTGTGCTTGAAATCAGGAGCTTTTGCATTCCTCTGATGATCATAATGAACTATTAACTCAATACACAATCTAATAAAGTGATATAAACTTGTAAAGATTTAAAAATGCAAGGACAAATAAGAAAATGAGTTTACCTTATCTAATCTATTATCCCACCATTTAGCTGGATTTTGGATCAAATCATTCCAGGACTGATCATCTAAACCAAGTTGAGACATGAGTACATCAAAACATAATATGGCGATGAAACAGAAATGAGACGAAAGGTCAAATGGAAACTGGACATAAGGAAGCCTAAGTTACAAAACCAAACAATCACAAAACATAGAGGAAACCTAAAAATGGAAAGAATCTCCAAGGTACAAAAATCCAAAATATTAATTGTATCGAATCAATTAGATGTACCAATTCTATCATGCAACACAATTATGATTATGATGCACAGGATGGTCTTTAAGAACAAGTTAGTTATTTATGCATACCTCTACTGCCCTTTACATTTTTGGATTTAACAACCGGAACGTCAAATTCCAATTCTTTCAGTTTAGGCAAAACCCATGAGGGAACCTGGTTAAGCCAGAGGGCAGCACTGCTATCCTTGTGCTTGAAATCAGGGTGCTTCGGATTTACCTACTAAGTAGATAGAGATATATAAGGATCCCCTCAAATAAATAAATCAAAACGAAAAAGATACCCAAGGTGACAAGTCATCATTCCCTACCAATCCATTGAGTTTGCTTTGACGGTAATCACACCATTGCTTTGAATCGTTTAGCAGGTCTGTCCAAGAACTCGGTGACGCGTCTGGATCTTTCTTTGCACCAGCTGTAAAATAAACCAAATTCAAAATTTTTGGAATGTTCAATCAACCCAATCAACCAATTAAAGGCATGTATACTTACTTATCATCGATTGTTGTCGCTCAGGTTTCAAATCAATTGCCATGGACTCTAATTTCTCCTGCAGCCATTTGGGTGTTGAGCTGTTGATAAAAAGCAATTCACCATTCAGCTTACTTTCAAAAGCTGCACCCTTTGAATTCTCCTACATTAAGGAAGAAAGCATGATCATTGGCAATGCCAACTACTAGAGGCATGGTGCAAAACGAACAAAGGAGAAAAATCCCTAACCTTTGAGGAACGGACATCCCACCATTGAGTGGGGTTTTGAAGGAGATCCTTCCAAGATTTGTCAAGAAGAAGCTCCTCGGTTTCCTTGGCATGAAAATACTTTCTTGTAAACGAAGATTGATCTTGGGGTGGAGGGTATCCTCGGACAAAATTGAGGGTTTGTACCATAACCTGAAAATGAGTTTGATGTTGAGGATTTTGCAAGTGTGGTGGATCAGTGCTGAGTTGTCCAGAAACATGGATGCAATCATTTTGTTTGAGATGGGAAGCAGCAGTGTGAGCCAAATCACCCTCAAATATAACTGCAATTCTATCACACAAACAAACACAAGTTCAATTCATTCAGAATTACACTTACATTCAACAATGAAAACCAGAGATTAAGAGGCAATACGAGAGGTCTTGGCGCGTGATAACAGTGGCGGCCCAGGTGTTGCCGTCGGAAGAAGTTTCGAACTGAATGGGCGCGTGAACCTCACCGATGAGGTTCACGGCGTTGGCCAGTTTGGGCTGAAAGGGAATATCGGAGGGGCGCAATGTCGGAGGAAGAGGTTTGGATTTGCGAGTGCGCGTGAGAGTGGGAGTGCGAGTGGAGTAAGATCGAAGACGAAGAATGAGGGTTGAGTGCGAGTGGAATGCACCCAACACTCGCCGCATTGAACCGTTCATTTCTCGTTACAGTAAAAAACACAGCCACTCCTCCGCCCCGTTATATTAGTAAACCCTCACTCGCGGGGCTTTCCCTGTCTCCTCAAAATTAATTTCAATTATTTTCATTTTTCATTTTAAGTTATTTAGTAACTTCATAATTTTTTAAATATCAAATTTATTTTGTAACTATAATTTCTTAAGCAATTTATTCTTAGTTTTTTTTTAGATTTGAAACAACTAATGAAAATGAGAAATATAAGTAAAAAACTTTTAAAATAATTTTTTTTCTTTTGCTAAATTATGGTTCGATCAATCACAAACATTGGAATTTTAAGATGTATTTGATAAAAATAGTGAATAAATCAGTTGACAGTTGAAAAATAACGGATTAAATTTGAATTTTTATAATTAATTGTTAAATTAGTTCATGAATATAAAATGATAAATAAAATATTGTTAATCTTTAATCTAAAATTTAAAATATTTGTCATTACATATTTGTAATATACCATAAATTTTTAATTTTATTCTCAATTAAAATTTTTCATATTAAATAAAATAAGAATATAAATTATTTTATATTATTATTTTGATAACTTTATATTATAAAAAATAAAATTAATAGTTTTTAAAATTTTAATAAGATTTAATGACCAAACTAGTTTTTAAAAGTTAACAGTTAAAGAGTTAGAAGATAGTAAGATTTTCTAATATAAAAGATAAAATAAAAAGTATTAAAAAAGAATGCAAAGAAAATGTATATTCTAAATACAATTGTCAAAATTCATATTCTAAATACTATCTTAAAAATATCAATTATCACTTGTCAATATTCATTAAAAATTATTTAATTTTTTATGTTAAATTTAATTAATAAAAACATTTTTAAAAATTTATATAAACTAGTGGGGCAATGAATATTTTAGAAAGATAATAAAGTCACAAAATGTGTAAAGTGTGGAAAAGAGACTTTATCTACCTTTAATTTAAATTGACGAATTTTATAAATATAATTAATACAAAAAATAGTATTTTTTTTGTCTATTTTAAGATAAGTTTTGAATTTTTTTATTCATTTTGATCATCTAATTTTTAAAAATATTTTGAATAAGTTATTTGCTGATAAAGAAATTAACTCCGTTAAATTTTTTTTACTACCTATTATTATTCAACTTCTTTTTTTCCTTTCATCTTCATCCTATGAACACTTCGGCAAAGAAAGTTATAACAGAGTCTGCTTTTAAGTTGGTGCTGATATGTATGTCCTATAAATCTCATTTGTTTGTTCTGTTTAATGATACTAGGGTTAGTAGCTTTAGAAATGTAAAAGCATTAGGTCTAAAAATCTAAAGGTATTAGCTTTAGAAATCTAAAGGCATTATATCTTTGAAATTTCGAAACATGAAACTTCTGCCAATTTTAATGGTAATTTGCAGTATTTTGAAAGATTCCCAAAATTATATTTAAATGGGTAGAATCCTCACCAAATGGGGCCAATGCTTTCTTAAATTTTGAAGAGTTTGAGATTAATCATCACTAATGTTGATTAGAAATGGGATTGGAGGGAGATTTTAAGTTTCTTAAGTATATAACTAATAAAGGCATTGCCTGCATTGCTTTTAATTCGTGAGTTTTGCATGAGCAGGACTAAGAATGTCATTACTTATGATGCAATTTTGCATAGTTTGTGTGATAGAAGGAATTTGAAGCAAGTTATGGAAGTACTTGGCAAATTGTTGCAAAGGAAGAGGAAAAAGGAGATGAATGGGAGACAGAAGAGGAAGAGGTGGGAAGAAAGGATCAGAGTTGCTTGAGAAAAGCTATGAACATTTACTCATTTTATCTTTACTCCCACTTTAAAAGAAGAGACAAAATTCACTATTTAAATAAAAAATAACAAAGTAAATAATATGATAAAAATATAAAAACTTATTATATAATTTTGTAGTAAAAATATATTATTGAAATTTAAGTATGGATGAAATCTAAAATGTTGTCTTTTGCCTTGGACTAATTAGTGGGAAATAACAAAGAGGTGGTTGTCTTGTGTGAAAGGAATCGGATCTGAGAAGAAAAAGAAGAAGCGACGGTAAGAGATAGAGTGAAGGAAAAATGGCAACAAAACAAAAGCAGAGAAAAGAAGAAAAAGATGAAGAAGAGGCATCAACGTCAACCCCTCTCCTCACTCTCACTCTCCCTCGCCATTCAACGCCCCACAAACCCCTCCTTCTCCTGATGTCTCTCTCTGCTTCCGGGGCCTTCCTCGTCGCCTTCCTCTTCTCCTTCCTCTTCTTTTACACCTCAACAACACCAACATCACACGCCGCACGACCTCTCACAAAGCTCCAACACGACGTCATTCTCCTCATTTCCTCAGACGGCTTTCGTTTCGGGTACCAGTTCAAGAACCCCGCCCCCAACATCCGTCGTTTGATCCAAAACGGCACAGAAGCCGAAACCGGTTTGATTCCTGTCTTCCCCACCCTCACCTTCCCCAATCACTACTCCATCGTCACTGGTCTCTACCCTCCTCACCATGGCATCATCAACAACTTCTTCTTCGACCCCTTCACCGGCGAAAAGTTCACCATGGCCACCCACGACCCCAAGTGGTGGCTCGGCCACCCCCTTTGGGAAACCGTCGTCGACAACGGCCTCAAAGCAGCCACCTACTTCTGGCCTGGTTCTGAGGTACACAAAGGTTCCTGGACTTGCCCTTCGGGCTATTGTATGCACTATAATGGTTCTGTTCCCTTTGAGGATAGGGTAGATGCTATTTTGGAGTATTTTGATTTGCCTAGCGATGAAATCCCTTCGTTTATGACCCTTTATTTTGAGGACCCTGATCATCAGGGTCATCAGGTTGGGCCTGATGATTCCGAGGTTACTCGTGCTGTTGCTAGAATTGATGGGATCATTGGGAGGTTGATTAAGGGTTTGGAACAAAGAGGGGTTTTTGAGGATGTCACTATTATTATGGTGGGTGATCATGGGATGGTTGGTACTTGTGATCAAAAGCTTATCTTTTTGGATGATTTGGCTCCTTGGTTGAAGATTCAACCTGATTGGATTCACTCTTATACTCCATTGCTTGCTATTCGTCCACCTCCTTCTTATGATCCTGCATATGTTGTTGCCAAGATCAATGAAGGGTTGGATTCCGGGAAAGTTGAGAATGGGGGTAAGTTGAGGGTGTACCTCAAGGAAGATCTGCCAGAACGCCTTCATTATGCGGCCAGTAATCGGATTCCACCCATAATTGGTTTGGTGGATGAAGGATTTAAGGTTGAGCAGAGTAGAACTGGTAACAAGGAATGTGGGGGGGCACATGGTTATGACAGTGCATTTTTTTCCATGAGGACTATTTTCATTGGACATGGTCCTCAGTTTGCGAGAGGGAGGAAGATACCCTCCTTTGAGAATGTTCAGATTTATAATTTGGTTACTTCCATCCTCAAGATTAAGGGTTCGTCCAATAATGGGTCTGCCTCGTTTCCGGAGTCTGTTCTTCTACCTAGTGCATAATAGAACTGAGTTGCTTGAGATGAGAGTGTGTTTTCTAAGAAATATGCTTTGAAATATGAACATGGTGATGAGATGATGCAGAAAGAATAGGTGTATCTTATTCTTGGATTCTTTTAGGATTAAACTAATTTCACTTTGAATTACTTTGATTTTTATATCTGTTGATGGATCCTCTTTATTTCATAATTTGATCCACACGTTACTCGGTTACTGCTATGTTCGCTATGCAGTTTATAATTCAATAAACGCTGTTCTCGAAAGTTTAATGTTTTCACATTCTGATGTGGGGCAGACCCTAAATAGCTGCAGGCCTCGAACAAATAGCATAATTCTATGTGTGTTAAAAATCAGTATACTAGATGCAAATAGCATATATTAATATTAGTTCTACGAGTGGTTTCTTGTTAAGTTTATTCTATTTGTTGACTGAGATACACATGCAACATTTTGCCTTTGGCCGGTGTTGAGTTGTATAACACCTTCATCTCCTACGTTTCACTCTTTTGCAGGCAGAGTTTGCAACACGATCCTGCCCTTTTTTTAAGCAATGACAAATAATGTGCTTTTAACTTTTCAAATGGCTTGTTGTTTCCCAAATACCATTTACTACTGGAACATTGTTGTTGGGTGAGAGAACCTATAGGGATGTAGATGGAGCATCTCTTTTCTGTATGTGATTCTTCTATATATAGATTCCCTTGTTAACTTCGGCATTTTACTTAATTGTTCCTCTTCTGGGATATCATTCATATAGTTCTAGTTCAATTTGGAATTATGTCATTACACGTGTGTGTTGGGTATTAGGTAGGAAGTGAATGATACCTAAATGGCTGAATCAAAAATTCGATTTGGAGGGTGAGGGGGTTTGGTTCAATTTTATGCCTTTTCATTCTTGGAACTGCTTACATGGAAAGCTGGATTTCCTTGTTAAATACTTTAATGTAAATTTGGTTTCCTGAAATAGTATTTGCTCTGTATACTCTCACTTTCATTCCTTTGACGTGGGAGTCCTACATTTCCATGGCAAAATAGTACACCCTAGAGTAATATTAATGAAATTGTATTTTTTTCTTTTTAAAAGAAAACTTCAACCAAACGCTTCCTTTCAAGTTTTAATATAATCTACCATTTCATGACCCTTTCAACTTGGGGAGGTCTACGGTGAGAACTTGTGATCTGACCAGAAATTAGCAGCCAATAATACCAAAATTGTTTGATGTGACGAGCTTTTTAAACCGTGGCCACAAGTTCATTTTGTCATATCGTAGTCATCAAACGTGACTTGGTATCGACCCAAAAAAATAAAAATAAAAATAAAAATAAAAACAAAAACGTGACTTGGGGAATGAAAGGTTATTTGTTTCGTTACTTAATGATGGTCGTGCAAGAAAATCAAGAAAAAAAAAAAAGAATTTGTGAAAGTCCTTTGTTTTTAAAGGGAGAAATTATCATTAATTTTATAATTTGTGTGCAAGTATTTTTCTCCTCTTAGGAATTAACAAAAATATTCATTATAATTTGGTTCCAACTTCCAACTAATATTTTGATTTCAATCTAATATTGTTTTATAATAATAAGATGTATCTTTATAATTATAATTATCTATTGAAGTCTTGTGCCAAAAAATGTTGAAAAACAACAAAGAAAATTTCCTTCCAGTAATTTCGATGGAAGTTTTCTTTACTTTACTTTAAACTTCTACAAGCAAATTTAGTGAGTTTTATGTAAACTTCCGTAACACTTCTGTGACTGATACTGCTAAAACTTAAGGTATGATCATGGTATTAGACTTTGGATTTGCCTTCTATCTATCTTCTTTCCATATTTAAACAATATAATCTACAATTACATCTCTCAATGTGACAAAAAAGAGAAAGAATAATATAATTAATTAATGTAAGAAATTACAAAAATAAATGAATTTAGTTCTTAAAATAATTATATTTATCTTAAAATTATAGTAATAAAGATTAAAATGATCAATATTTAGTAATTTAAGATGATAATTTATATTTGTATAGTTTTAAGAATTAAATTTAGTAATATTTAAAGTTGTAGGAAGGAAAATATAATGATGAATGATAAGAGGGGGCAAAAAAACTCTCCACTGAAGAGTTTCCAAAAGTAATGATGAATGATAAGAGGGGCATGAAAAGATTACACACGCATAACAAAAGGAGAAGCATTTGGTTTGGGGGTGGTTAAGGAAAATATCAATTAAGGCGTGGGACTGCACTATTTATCTGCTTTGCTTCTCCTTTCTTCACCTTTCTAAACACACAACACAATCCATTCACTTGTTCTTGTGTCCGTCCTCATTCTCATCATCTCATGTGTCCAATTCAACCATTTTTGAAGCGCTAGCACTCTTTCCTTCTTGTGTAAATGGCACATGTTGATGTTATTCGATTACAATTTCAGCCCCTTCGATTCTCCTCTTCCGCTCTCTTCATATCTCTCTCTCCCGCACCCTCCGGCAACAGTTCTAAGAGGCTATTCTCTCCTCTCGCCTATGCTTCTTCTCCAGCGCCACCTGCTACTCTTGCTTTCACCCCCAGAAGGCACTTCCTTTCTTTCAAGGTCACTTTTTTAACCCTCCCCTTTTCACTATTCTATGCATTCGCAATTAGGAAAGAGGAAACTTGAAAAATTAAGTAACTTCATCTTACCCCTTGTTTTTGAATTGTTCAAATTACGCTCCCATTTGACATTTGAATCTTGGGTTGGGTGTTAATTCCCGGATGTTGTCCTTCCTATCCCATAATAAGTGACGTTAGGAGTAGGACAAAACCTTTTTACTATTGTTATAAACCATCTATTTAGTCCCTGCAAGATTTGTGTTGCTCACTTTAGTACTTGATGGAAATTACCACTTACGTCTCTGAAATATGTGTTTCATCGGTCAAATTAGTCCGTATTAGTCCTAAGCTCCTTCAACTTACGGACTAATTTGACTGGTAGAGTGCACATTTCAAGTATTTACTCGGTATTTTTCATCTTTCAAGGATTAATATAACTGATTTTATATCTTTCAAAGAGTAATTGGTTATTTACTATTACACTTAATCATAGGTTGCTTACTCCAAACAGCTTAGTTTCAAACATATTTTCACACCACTATGATATACTATTGATATTGTTTTGGTTGCTAGTTTCTAGGGCTGGCTAAGCTTAAAGATTTTGGTTTTCTCTGTTGCTCATCTTAAATATTTGTAGTACTTGTGTTGTACTAAAAAGTGTATACCACTACCATTACTTTGGCATATGACTCCTCTTTGAAATATGCTTGGGCTGGATGCTAAAATTCATGATCATAAAATGCATGACTATAATGACATTGTTTCATTACCACTGGAGAATGGGAAATGTTTTCTGTAGGTCTTCCTTTTGAATAGGATGTGAGGAGTAGCTGGGGCAATTAGAACCCTGATATCTGTTGCTAGGTTAGAAGAATACGAATCATGTGTGCGAATTTTGATATTTGCGACTTTGAACTAGGCATCCGCACAAAAATGGAAAATATGTCACTGCTATGTAGTGTTCAATTTTTGTACCGAAAAGTAACAGTTTGAGAAAGAAGGCTTTCCTTGGACTGTCGTATGCTTTTTATGTATGCTCTCACTCTGATGTGATGTTCTTAGTTTATAGTGAATACCAATGAATTATATTGTTAGATGAAATGAACTGCATTTGTTGCTACTTTATTGAGCTGGCACAAGCAATGAAGTGTTATTAACTACCCCGAACCTTTTCTGTGTTTTGACATGCTTAAAGCATGATGGAGAGTGATAATGCTATTTTGTGTTTCCATTGCAAGTTGTGTTATGCTCACTCTATGCTTTTCAAATGTTCTCACTAGACCATCTGAGATGGCCTATAAATTGTTGGAATATTTCATTTATTCTTATGAATCAATGCAAATTGTTTGTTTTTTTTCCTTTGGATTTTTAGTGATCAAGAGCTTATGTGCGAAATGAATTAAGATGGAACTCTTGGCTATATAGTAAACAAATGACTGCACTGTGTTTTTATTATATTTTTTGTTAATAAATTCTATGGGTTACTAAAGTATGTGTTTTTTCTCTCACCTTTTGTTGACTTTAACTCACTTTGCTTCAGGTATGTGCAACTGTTGCTGAAACTGGTCAGCCAAAATGGTGGGAAAAGAATGCACCAAATATGATTGACATTCACTCCACACAGGAATTTCTGAGCGCTTTAAGTCAAGCTGGTGATAGACTAGTTATTGTGGAATTTTATGGAACTTGGTGTGCTTCTTGCCGAGCATTATACCCCAAGGTCCTCTTGCTTCCAGAATTTCATCCTCTTTTTCTTTTGCTTTCTAGGGGATTTTTTATTTGTTGCAAAAGTACATGCTCTCAATTGTACTGTGTTGATTACACATTCAAAATTAAACAAGTGGTAAAATCATCACTGATCTATTATTCATGGTCATCTAAAGAGTATATTGAGTTTTGGCCGGGGTCTTAGTTAGTGGGAAGTGACTTTGGTCTCAATTGTTATGAATGCACCGATCTGGATGCTTAGCATTCCATTCTATACCATGCCAGTCCTGTTACTCGAACATGAATTTGATTTGGATCTGGGGTTCATGCTGATTTTGAAGTGGCCATGTTTGAGATACTGTCTGCAACTGTACCTTCAAAGCATATTTCTCAATTTGAATCAGATATTTCTAGTTGCTGCATACTTAGAACAAATTCCTTTTGTAAAAAATGTTTTGACCAAAAAAGGATTAATAACAGTTATGTAAATGGCTGGGTTGTATGTCAAATGTGATTAACAATTTATATCTTGGTTTGGTTGTAGGAGTGGTACTAATCAGCAAGTCTACATTAGTACATATTGTTTTTTCTGTACCTGGCAAACTGAAACCTTTGAATTGCATCTCATAATTACTGATAAATATTTTCATGGACCTTGGTTGATTTGCTTAGGAAGTCTCGGGCCTGTCCCATTTTCATTTTCCAATTCTCATTTGTAATTAAACACTACTATATAAGGATCCTGGTTGTCCAATTCTGGTTGGTGATTCAGGGATCCACTTTGGTGCTTACTGCACATGACACTGGACGGTGGAGAGAGAGAGCTTGATTAAATAAATCTTATCAGGATTTGGCAGGGAGGCATTGGTTTATTTATAGCTGAATAAAAGAAAAAAAATTTGCAGCAAGAACATATTTAAGTTAGGGCAATATTTTAAATTTATTTTATTATTATTATTTTTTTTTTTGCATGCTGCCGAAATTTTATTCCAGCTGCCCTGACTCTTGATATCTTTCTTAAATGGATTTGGCAGCTTTGCAGAACAGCTGAAGATCACCCTGAAATTCTTTTCCTAAAAGTAAATTTTGATGAGAATAAGCCAATGTGCAAAAGTCTGAATGTTAAAGTACTTCCATTCTTCCACTTTTATCGTGGGGCCGAGGGGCAGCTTGAATCATTTTCATGTTCACTAGCCAAGGTGATTCTTACTTTTTACTTCTGTGTATGCATAGCATTTCTGGCTTTGTTGCAAGTGAATGAACAGTGGTTGCTGATTGGTGCCGATTCTGAACCCAGGCATTTTTGAACTGCAATCCTGCTTGGTTTGAGAAAATATTGTCATGTTATTTCTTTTTTTCGTTAATAATTACAAAACATTAACTTGTTTTAAGTCCCATTTTTCAAAGATTTCACTATTCCTTGCATAAATATTTGAAAACAAGAAACAATGGAAAAATAAGGTGGTTTTTTCATAATTATTCATGAAAATGTGAACTGAAAATAAAAAATATTTTCACAAACTGAACACACCCTTATACTCTTGACTTGCCAAACATTATTGCATACTTCATAACTTGGAGGAAAGGACAAGAGTCCATAAAATCAATGAATAATGCCTTTAAATATTGCTGATTCCTAGGCATTTTCTCTTTTGGCATATTGCATCATTCGCTTAAAGACCCTATGAATTGTACAGCGTAGCTGGTTGCAAGAAGATGGTCATAATAATACCTGTTTGAGTTCTTGGTTGGCCGGTTGAATTCAGAAAAAGGCATAATCAAGTACACAGAAACACATGTTAACTGACCAGTTTTCCTCATTAAGCACAAGACTTGATTACAAACTTGCGGGGCAAGTGGGATGCCTAAAAACAAATATATGATGATGGGTATATAAGCTTATAATAGTGGATAGAACATAATTATATAGAATGCTGGGAGCCAAATGTATTAATTTGTTAATCAGCTAATGGTTCATTTGGAAATTGCAGTTTCAAAAAATAAAGGATGCCATTGAGACACATAACACAGCTCGATGCAGCATTGGTCCACCTAAGGGCATTGGTGATTTGCTTGTTGAACCTTCCTCTGTTCCTAAGGACAGACCAGCAGAATCTGTTTAAGCGCAGTACTTCTATTCATACATCTGTATTATAAGCTGTCTCACAAAGGGAAACCCCAAAGTAGGCTGTGGTCCAGAGAAACCCATGATTTGAAGGATATATGTACTCTGTATATTTACCCTTTAATTATTATCATTATTATTATAATTAATTTTTTCCCGTTTTACAAGGATATCAAGCAGAATTGTTTGTTCTGTTTCATTCTTGACCATTCGTCAGCTGATTGTAATCAAGTACTTGAAAACTTTAGTGAAATGAAATGTTAGGTTTTGAATTGAATTTGATTGCAAATTTGCTGCGTCTGTGGGCTGAATACGACTTGTTTTGGTTCAATTCTTTTGCTAAATCTGACAAAGCCAACGAATGTTAAAGAAAAGGATATTTCAAATTAATTTAAATATTTATGTTATACTAGACTCTAGCTCATGATGCATTTTAAACATGGGAATATATTTATTATTCATTTTGTAATATACACATATTATAGCTTTAAATTTTATTTTGAAAGATGGATATGTTACCATATATTAAGTTTCGCATGAATACGACTCTATTCTTTCATCACCCTATCCTCAGAATATCTGGAGGGAAGATGAAAGAACAGCTTCCTTTTCAATGGATATCTATATCGGCATTAATATAAATTTTCTCATTCTCTCTTGCTTAGTATATATATGTTATTTGTTCTATACCACAAATATTTTTTACTAAATACAATGATATAATTTGTGGTCAAATGAGGGGTTGAATAATCATATATTTTAAAAATTTATGATAATATGATTTCTTTAACTTCCAAAAATTATGGCTACTTTCATGTTTAGGAAAATTAATTCTAGAAAAATACCACTTTCTTTAAATTCTATTAGAAAAACATTTTTTAAATAAGTTAATTTGAATATGTAAATTATTATTCAATACGTGATAAATCTTTACGAGAATTGTTATTTTCAACTCTAGCACCCTTGATATCCTGACCAAGTAAACTTAGTTTCTGTTTAGTGAAATTCCATTTGCGAAAAAGGAAAAAAAGACATTGTTCTTTTTTTTGGTCTTGGAAGATCATTGTTCCGAGTGTATCATGTATCGCGAGAGCATGTCCTAGAAAAGCGAAGAGATCCACAACATATGGGTTTGTTATGTTACAGTCTGATTGATTGGTTAAAACAGCAATCATTTCCTTTGTCCTTTGCCCATTGTTGAGCTCTAGAAAATGAGAAGTTCTTGTGTTGTTAATGAGTACTCTCTCAGTCCAATTATAATATAACATGAGGTTTCATAAATAAATTAATTAATTAAATGCCAATTACCCACCCATGTATTGTAGTATAATACAAAATCTTCATTAGACAGATTTGAATTCGTCAAAATTGATGACTTATCATTCGTACCAAATAGCAAGATTCATAAATAAATATAACGTGTGGTAGCTGTTGAATTAAATTTAGAATACAACAAACATTCTCATATTATTCTATGTATGATCTTATACTCGGTCAAACATTCTCATACTCTTAACAATGCTCAACTGACATCTCGTATCGAAGGTGAACTAATAACTAAATTGCATTCACTCTCATTCCTTCTCCACCTTCCTCTCAATAAACAGAGGAAAATGACTACATATGGAACAATATCAGAAGATGCAGAGGTTTCAACAAATTCAAAATCGATTTTTGTTTCACAGGCCAAAGATCAGATCCAAGCGGGTTTAGGCACAACAAGACCATGGAAGGAAATGATCCAACTTTCTCATCTCAAACTTCCATCTTCCTTCTATGGTTCAATCCAAAGAATCAACACAAATGCTAAACATTTTCGTTCAAACTACGTCATTATCATATTGCTTGTGCTTTTCCTAAGCTTATTAGGACACCCCATTTCACTTATCATATTAGTTGTTATGATGATTGCATGGTTGTACTTATATTTCCTACGAAACACTCCTTTGGTAATTTTAAGGTTTGAGATCGATGAGCGATTGGTGGTTATCTCTTTGTTGTTGATCACCGTTGGTTTGCTTGTTCTGACCAATGTAACTCACAATGTGACAGTAGGTATGTGTGTGGCTTTAGCGGTTGTGTTGGTGCATGCTATAACGAGAGAAACAGAGGATCTGTTTACTATGGATGAAGATGTAGGGATTCTAAGAGTTGTTGGAGAGGTTGTCAAAGTCCCCCTTAGACAAGCTGGTTCCTCTTCTTTTACTTTGCCTTAGAAGCAAATTGCCTAAACTGGAAATGCTACTGTCACAATTTAGAATATATTGATTGTTGAATCATAATTATCCAATATATTGTTCATCCAAATTGGATTGACTCTTTTGTCATTTCTCTGAAGCTAGCTTATCTTAATCCCATAATGTAGTCTCTATGAATTGAGAGTGGATAATATTGAGAAAATTATTTGCCTCTATTGCGGGTAAAACATGAATTCATTCATTGTCTTGATGGTGAACCGAGGGATTTTTCAATTTTCTAAAGTTGATAATTAGCTGTCTATACTCTATAGCTCAAAAATAACAGTTGCGTCCTAATTGAAAGTTGAAACACTTCCTTGCCAGTTTGCATTGCAATTTGCACACAACCACACATGAGAGAGTGTGAGAGTGGCAATTTAGATGGTTTAGGAAATGCAAGCTTGCACATACATTGTCAAGACTCGAGCTAGTTAGGCATCATCTGCCAATTGCAACTAGCACAAGTGGTTTCAAATGATAATTAAGTCCTTTCTAGCTACCCCACCATTTCAAATTGAATACAAAGCACATAATCTTGTCGAATGAGCCAGCAACGCTCTTCATAACGCCAGTTGCTTGGACGACTAGAATAAGAAAAATGATACTATGATGACAACCTAAAATCTAGATCAAAATTTGTTTTTATTGTTCTTTTTAAGGTGGAGGTGTTTTAACGAAAGTGCCCCCATGGATAACTAAATCTACTTGGCAGATAAACTCAACCTTGTCACTTTGCTTTTCAAATGTTTATCGTAGCCTCTAGTCCCTTGTCACTTTGAATGGTTATTGAGAAAAAGACATGTTTGATGGGAATTAATGATATGAAAACTGGCTAGTTCCAAATGATGTCTCATCAAAAGAAAAAACTTGTTCCAAATTATTCCGCTATGGTGGTGGATTTTGATAATAAACACGAGAAATTGCAGAAAGAAAGTTGATATTAGATGACGTGGCAACACATATCTGCTTAAGCAACACATATCTGAACTTAATTAAGGTGCCTTAAGGTGGAAGTTCGACCACGTCATACTCCACAAGCGAAGGTACCAATTGGAGTGCAGAAGAGAGGTGGTCCAAAAAGTGGCAGTGCTGCATATTTTGATGCCAATACGGAGGATAAAAGCCCCTTTTGTTGTCCTCATGACACTGATATCAACTATTTCCCAAAAGTAACGTTAAAAAGGCTTCCAAAGAATGGCACCCCACCCTTTCTTTTTTACGTTACACGTAGACGTATGTTGAACAGTGCAATGCAATGCTATGAAAATAAAAAGGGGCCATACCCATAATATATACATACACATGTATGGGAATAATAGTTTAGTTGAAAGACTCACGTCGTCGTGTATAGAACTGTATCGCATCAAAACCTTTTTTAAGAAAATCTAAATTATAGGAATCAGTTGATTTGATTAGGAGCAACCTTTAAGCACACGAATATGCTTTCTTTATATGTTCTGCAAATATGTCGAGAGGATTGCTCCTATTCCTTGATCCTAGGAAATTAATGTGGCAAGAGAGGACATGCCCCATTCAGTCAAAGGTTTGGCGTATAAGGTTCAAGGTTGCTTGCAATTGCTAGTTCCAACTTTGAAGAATTAGTATATGGTTTTAGCAAATTAAAATTCCATTCGAAAAAGGGAGGCATAATAATAAGGAGATTAATTTTATTATACAGCATGTGGGTGACCATAACATAAGTTGGGGAGGAAATAAATGGTTACATGAGATGAGGGTGCTTTCCAAATCAAATATAAAATATGAATTAATTGACTCATTCAAGTTGAAAGATGAGAAGAAGAACAAATGGCAAGGAAGGTCTTGAAGTGGCAGTGAGGGGAGATGGATTGAAGAAGCAAGCATGCCGTGTGCTCCTGCGTTATAACCGCTCCCTCCTTCTCCACCAACGCCGCCGCCACGATGTCCTCGTACTCGCCGGCGCCGGCAGCGACGAAGGCCACGATGGCCGCCTGGAGTGGACCCAAGCTGGGGTTATAAGCAGCGGATTCAATGTAAGAGCCTTTGTAGAGGTTACCCTGAGAATCAAGAAGAGCGACGCCGGAGGGGGACCCACTGTAAGGCGCGTGGGAGAGATTGGCGGCGTCTAAGGCGGCGAGCTGTAACTTAGGGTTAGAGTAGTTGAGAGTGAGATGAGAGGGAAGGGAAAGAGCGTTGTTGTGAGGTTCGAGGAGAAGAGGAACGCCTTTGGGGAGAAGGTCGTGAGGGCCAAAACGGTGAGAGAGGAAGTGAGAGAGAGGGGTGAGTTGAGGAGCTTCGGTGTCTGTGATGAGGATTTGGATGTCGGGGGCGTCACGGATTTCTTGGAGGAATTGCCGGCAATGGCCGCAAGGGGCGGCGGAGACGGCGAAGGACTCGAGGCGAGTCTCGGCATTGATGGCGAGGTTGGCGACGAGGAACTGTTCGGCGTGGATTGTGTGGTGGAAAGGGAGACCCGGGAACTCGACGTTAACACCGACAAAGATCCGACCCGACGCCCCAAGTCCGACGGCTGCTACCGGGAACTTTGAGATGGGGACCCGGGCCAGCGACTGCGCCCACGACACCAGCGATGGGAGGAGTTGGGTCAGTGACAGGCCCGATGATTGGCCCATGGACTCTGCTTCCGTTGCTTCGATTAGGAATCTGGGCTTGGCCTGATCCATTGTCTTTCCCACAATGATGGAATGAGTAAGAACGGCGAAGGCAAGGGGAATGAGTTTCGACCTCGTGACTCTTATTTATACACACACCCACCAACTTCCTTTTTCCCACCAATAATTCCTCTTCTACAATTAATTTAATATAATAATAATCTTCTCTTTTTCTTTTCATATACCTTATTTTTAATTAAGTTCACACTTGTATTTTCCTAAATTGTAAGTGAAATTGTATATGTGTATATAAAATAAATAGTCAAGCTATTAATTTATAATACTAATAATGGACTTTAAAAGCGAAAGTCACTGGTAATTAACCATTGTTAACTATATATATATATAGAAAAGAAGAGTATATTGAGTGAGCTTGGGTGTGTTTGGCGTAGCAAGATCTACTTCTCATTGTTTATGATTATGAATTTAAAAATGTCACATTCTATTGTTGTATTTTTCTTACACAAGACAAAAAGATATGTCGAGCGAAGGCATAAACTAAACTTCGTGGGACACATCCTAACCTCAATAATTGAAAAATATCACAAAGATGTGTTTCTGAATTGATATAAAATGGCTAATGGAAGGGTACCAATGACATTTCCCCACATCAAACCCTTGCAAAAGTCTTAGTCATCTTCCTCATGGAATTATGGTGAGAGTACGAGATACATAATGCTTAATGCCTTATTATGTTCCTCAAATATCAGTTTGAATGCCACTCATCTAAATATCATTTATATAAGTACAAAAATCAATTAATTAGTTGCTTAATTTGAACATCCCATCAAACTCAACGGACCTGTGTGCAGACCTAAGAAAAAGGAAAATTAAGTTAAAAAAGAAAAGAAGGAATATATGAGCAAAGTTTCCCTAACATGTCCATAAAGCAATTGTCAATTTTTTTAACCAAATACGAAGAATTAAAGAGACATAGCTTGCCGTTATCAACTTTGTTTAATGCGAAAATTACATATTTAGTTCTTTGTTTGGTGGTTATCTTAGGTTGCGTATTACATTGTAGAAGACGAATGGAATTAAAGAAGGAAAAGGTCTCGTCAACCCATATTTACAATGTTCTTAATGCAAACAACTGCTTTTTTTAATTTAACATCTCATATGATTAAATTTCCTCCCATTTTCCAAGAAAATAATGGGTTGTTTCATTGAAGAAAAATAAAAACAATTTGTGTCTAGATGAACTATTATCATTAGGCTAATGTACAAAGTACACATCCCATCAAATTTATGTTTACTATGTTAAAATTATAGGAATTTAAGAATTGGAGAAGAAAAATAAAATGATAAAAATTAAATATCTCAAAGTTAATATTGAGTTAACATGATATGATGTACTATATGTAATGTAAAAACAACTGATATTTATTTATATTTAATTGAATTAGATCACTCTTAGTTATAATTAAGCAAAGAAACAGATCATGATTAAAATAGCTTTATACTATGAAGTTTTAAATTGTTTATGCTGTAGCACATTATTTTGTGCTTGTTCGTCATTATCTGTTACATGATCCAAGGCCAAAAATGAGAACTTGGTTCAATTTTTGGCTTTACAAATCATATTGTATTCTATGTACTTGCAATCATATACGTTGGATTCAAACTCACATCTCTATTTTTTTATATTTATTTATGCTTGTACACATATAGTTGCTGCAAGCTTGCAAGCAATATTATATATCGGGTTTCATGTCGCTTGTGACATATATTGTCATTAAATTTACAACTTCATGGTCCACGATTCCCAAAATGAATTGTTACGTCCATGGTAGGCCACCCCTACCTAATCACCCACAAAGACAGCACATTTAGTTTAGTTATATATGATGGTAGTTCTCTTAACCCTCTTGTTTTTCTATTTATCTTTTAGTTGAAAATGGGTGGAACTTGTTTTGGTTTTCGTTTGTGGTATAATAAAGTTGGAAGTTGATTTCACTTTTGAGCTTGTTTTGGATTGATATCCTATGAAAGGACAACTCTATTCATTAGAAACAAAAGATCAGACAAAACTAATACATTGAAAATGAAACGTACCAAGAGTTGTTGAAGGTCTCAAATTCTCTGTTTTATAAAGTAAATAAAAATGAAAAATTGTGTTTGATATCTAATTTGTTTTTAATAAGAGGGAGTGACGTTTAGGTATAAAAATCAACTTCCTTGTATTGAATGTCTGCTCAGTGAGTTGTTTCTTAGCAACTCTATGATAAATCTATATACGGTTTATTAAATTGTTCTCAAGTTTTATAAGCAATAATACTCACACAATTGATAAATGTTACTGATTTCATAAAATATTAAATATCCACAACCTGTGAGTGTTTAAATTTTTTTGGGTAAAACCTGTTGGCATAGTTAGCTATGATGCAACAATTTGTCACCAGTAAATTCATTCGAAATTTGTATAAAGTTTCATGTTCTCCATTAATTTCTAGAAGATACCATAAATTCTTCTGCGGTGCTGCTGTTTTATTTTCCTGGTTGCTGTTGGCTGTGACGTTGTTCTCTGTATCATACACAAGAGAGAATCTTGTTCTTTCAATGTTTTGTATTTTATGTCCAAGTTCATGAACTGGGCCATGCTGGTTCAAGTCAAAATTGTAGTAATTGCATGCAAGCTTCTGAGGATGGACCTAGAAGTCTACTCTAACCGAGTTAGGATAGATAGTTTTTGATTGGTATATTAATTAATCATGCATCGCCATTCAGATGTCACAACTAGTGGTCCAGTGTGAGATCCTATTGGGCAAATTAGCTCTTAGTTCCAACTTTGGGCTAGAGGTTTCCCTTCTTCTGGTTTTGTCACTTGAGGGGAGAAATAGTGTAAAAATTATTTTTAAAACACTTAAAAAATACTTCAAATTAATTTGTTTCACACATTGTAAAAAAAAATAAACGTAAAATTTGGAATTAAAAATTAATTTAATTATATTTCATATTTTAAAATTTAAAAAAATATTAGCTTCAATATCTATAACTTAAAACTGACTATAAACAACTAATAATAGTAAATTTAAATTAAAAAAGAAAAAGGATATTATATTAGCACCATAATCATCATTTGCATTCGACTGATATGCCAAAAAAAGAAAAACATTTACATTCCGATTGCACCGCTTCAGACATTAATATATACTAGCTCTTCAATTTGAAATTGGTCACATACCCCTTCATTGTTGATAAAAGAATTAAAATTGCAGGAATATTGTCTTGGATGTGATGAATTATGATGAGACATTGTCGTAATTGTATAATCCAAAATTAATTTTCTCCGCAGGATTTTCAAATTTTTTTTAATTTAAAGTTATTTTATGCAGTAGGCTAGGAGGCAGACACGTAACACGGACGTGCATCACTTGAATGAGATGAGGAATGAGGATAATCGAACGGTGAAAGGTGAGATTGACCTGGTAGTTGCATTTGGAAGATGACCAATTACCTTGGACTAAGGTTGTTGAATACGAGGGTAGCAGTGTCTGGTGGAGTTTGTTGGTGTTGTCCAACACGTGTTGTTGGTTCCTCTGGAGCAAGAGCGAAGTGGAAATGGAGAATTAAGGGTCCTCGCCGCATGGTATTGGGCCTTGGAGCTTCGTTCTTGTCCCAGTTTATGACTATGAGTGGCAACAACTCCTTCATTGCCTCTGCCAGGATAACGGGTGGTCCCTCCGTGGATGAGGTGATTAGTTTTGGTGTTGTTGTTGTTGTTGCAAAATTGTTGAATGCTGCAATTTCAGTTGTTTTGGTTTTTCTGATTCCCATCTTACAGATACTGAAGAACGTGGAATGGCCAGAGCAGTTCCCCTTCAAGGATGAGGATTTCCAGCGCTTTGATGAGTAAATTTCTATGCCTAAGTGATCATTTTCATTTCTGCACTGTGTTCCATATTTTAATAGGAATCCCATATCATAAATTCAGATTTTTTAGCGAGTTATGTATGAATCATGTTCTGTTTTGTAACTGTAGAATCAAATATTTCTTACCCTCTTCCTATTATTAGTCTTTGTGTATAAAGTCGGAAACTTTTCCTCCTTAGGTCATCAGATTCCTTGTTCTATGAAACACCTCGATTTGTGACACACATTGATGATCCTGCAATTGCTGCTCTGACTAAGTATTACTCCAAGGTTTTCCCACCTAGCAACACTCCTGGAGTAAGCATCTTGGATATGTGTAGCAGTTGGGTAAGAGTTTTAGTACCTTAACTCTCTCTATCTGGTGTTGCATTGCTTCTGCATATTGTCATAAATCTTCACTTTGCATTAGGTCAGCCATTTTCCATCAGGATACAAGCAAGACCGAGTGGTGGGATTAGGCATGAATGAAGAAGAACTGAAGAGGAACCCAGTAAGTATTGCGTTGTGTTGTGCAAGTATTGAATGTAAACCCCAAACTCTTTCTGTGCTATCTGATGCCCATTGGGCTTTAACTTTGGGAATTAAACTGAATTTAGTATTCTTAAGGTGAATTTTTTAGATTTGTTTTTCTTCTCAATTCAGGATCCTATAGCCTGAATTCAATTAAAAATAGTGACTTGGTTATATCTTAAGATTCTCAACAATTTTATTCTGCTAGGGAAATGTGGCCCTACTAATAGAAGTTGCTGATTTTGTAGGTTCTCACGGAGTATGTTGTGCAAGACTTAAATGTGAACCCCAAACTCCCATTTGAGGATAACTCTTTTGATATCATCACTAATGTGGTAAAAATACTTTTCCACGTATCCTAACTTTGGTGCTTGAAAGTATTGCAAGTGGTGCATGGTACTTGCTCATACATGTATGATGGCTCATTTTTTTTTAGTTTCTTTGAACTATTCACTAGTTTTAGGTGATACTATTGATAAAAATGGACTTTTCTTCTTAAATAATTTGACTCTTTCTTCACATAGCTGATTTAAATCACTCTTAGCTGTGGAAAACACAATTGTGGGATTTAAACAGCAATTGTTGTTGGGCTCAAATGCGGAATAATTTGGATGTGTAAATTAAAATTCTGACGTAAACTGGCGAGCAATAATTCAGACCTAATAAATAGATCTAACAGCGCAGCGGTATAACTTGTAAAGTGTGCACTGGAATACTTCCCAGGAAAGAGAGGTGGATCACAACGGATCACTTCAATACCAAGTCTTTCCTTAGCCAGAACCTTTCCAGTTACAACACTAATACAAATACACACTTCTCCAGCAATCCAACAATCAGCCACGGAAGGATAACAGAAATAATTCTTTTCTGATGTGGAAGATCAGACTAAACTGTAACCACAGAGCATACTAAGAATTATTCTAACTGAATAAAATAAGCAGATAAAGAACACCAATATTTAACGTGGAAAACTTCCAATGTGGAAGAAAAACCACGGGACAAACTCCGAAAAATATTCCACTATATCTCGGGATATTTACAATATCCTTTCAACACTCTATCACACAAGAGATGTAAAATATAGTGTACCCAGTGAGACCCACTTCCTATTCAAATATTACAAATTTTATAATACCAAGAAAAAATAGAGATGATACCCACCCCAATGTATTTTTCTCACACTCTTAAGATTTACTCAACACTCTATTTTTCTCTCACTAGAATTCTATCAATGCTTGATAAACACTCTTGCGATGCATATTCTGATTTCATTCCTCACGGCTATTTATAGCCAAATGAAGTTACTATTCATTTATTAAAATATTATTTATTTGTTTAGGAAGTCAAAGAAAACGGCACCAAATCACCGAAATGTGCTGGACATCACAATTGTTGCTTAAATTAGAAATAGGACTGAGTTTTGATAATGTAAGATTCCAGGTTTAGTATATATGCCAGCCATTTGAAGCTTGAAAACTGAATATGCCCTGCAGGTCAGTGTTGATTACCTAACAAAGCCTCTTGATGTTTTCAAGGAGATGTGCAGAATACTCAAGCCAGGTGGACTGGCCATAATGAGGTGATAATCTTGTCAATTATCTATTATTTTGAAATTACTCCATATTACCAGTTTTGTTAAAGTAATTGAAAGAAAATTTGCCACAAAGCATTTTCCTATATATAACCGCTTTCTTGGATATTTAATTATCTTAATTAAGGTGGCTTTTTTAGTTATTTTTTAGATGCCGATTATGAGTCAACAAATTTTTTAAGGCTCTAATACGGTGAATTTCCACATTATCAGAATGTATACAAATGCTTGTCTTTTTCATATTGCACACAATCAAATGCCTCATCTCTACTGCAATACCCGTTCTCTGTTTGATGATGTTCTATATTTTATTGATCTTGTATCTCTGATCCATATCGATGATGTTTTAGCTTTTCAAACCGATGCTTCTGGACAAAAGCCATTTCTATATGGACATCAACAGGGGATGCTGATCACGTCATGATTGTTGGGTCTTATTTCCATTATGCTGGAGGATTTGAACCTCCTCAGGTAATTCCATAATTGATATTTTCTTTCCATGCTTACATGTATTGTGAACTCTTATTTAAATATTTTTGTTTAAAATACTATTTTCTCTCTCTTATAACTATATTAATAATAGAAGTATTTTTCATAAAAATTTCTTAAATAGAAGTGACAATAGACATGTAAGAGTAACAATAGAAACTCCCTCAGCACGGTCATAATTATTTTTCCCATTTAAGCTGACACATTTTATGTGGACAGGCTTCTCTTTAAACTCTTTTTTCTTTAATCAAACTTTTTCCTCCTCCAATGTGGTATATTCGTACTCACACTTCCTATGATTTATCTGAGCCATAACCATGGCCGCAACAAAACTAGCCATTTGTAATCCATCCATGTTTCGCATCTTTCTAAGACACTTTTTCCCCCCTAACTAAAAATCTCGTCAAAGATCAGTTTATTAATATATTATAGTATGATTTCACTTTCATGTAATGCTGAAGGGTAATTTCTTTAACTGCTTGCTCCCAATATTTATAAAGCGAAAATTTTAAATTTTACCAGTCATGAAATAATTATGACATGATAAGTCTCTGCAACGTTTCATATAATATGGCAGTGCTATTCAATTCAAAACTCAATGCCGTTTACATCTTTTTCTGTAGGCTGTTGATATATCTCCTAATCCTGGACGGTCTGATCCTATGTACATAGTGTACTCTAGGAAGCTCTCTACAGCTTGAGAGATATTGGAAAGAGAACATGTAGCATTGTATTTACGTATCAGCAGTGACTCTAATGGGAGAATTTGTTCATATTACATTTTTTTGTAGCAATGTTTGTTGTGCACGAAGCCCTTCATGGCTATGTACTCAATATCACATCATTATATGAAGTAATAGATAATGTATTGGACACAGCATAAATTTTGAAACTGTTAGTACTTGTTGCCCCCAGCATTGGACACAAACTGAATTCCAAGTTCTATGTTTCGTCTATGCTACAATCATATGCATAAAAATGGCTAGTTTGGGAAGATCTCTCTTTCGGTTAATGGAAGATCTTGAAGCATTAAAATTTAGAAGCACTCGTTTCTTTACGGTCGGTGGTGTCGGTTGCTTTTTGTATTTCTCCATCAGGCAATTAAAATACAACTAAAGTGCATTGCCTACGCGCATGCATGTCGAGATTGTGATACCAGCATCTTAGTACCAACGTTTATTTAAAATACATACACGAAGCCATGGATAATTTAATTTCTGAACTTGTCCATGAACTAAGAAGACTATTTTATCATAAAGTTTGGAAACTACACAAACTTTGAAGCATTTAATCAACATAGATTGTTACTTTGTAGAGACAAAATTGTATATTTACTAAGAAAGAGAAGCTTAAAAGAAAAACCTTGAATATGTGGGGAGGAAACATGATCAAACCCAACCCCTTTTGTAACGGCGGAATAGGTCTTGTGTTTGAGCATTTTTGAAGGCACTACAGGCAATGAGATAAACCCAAATGAGGACAACAACAGCCACAATCAAAATGATATTGGCTTTCCTCCATTCTTCTCTTAGGTTCCCCAGTAGACCTGCTTTGCATGCATTGCAATCGTAGCAGAGCTGGTTCTGGTCATTGTTCCACAAGTAGCAATCGGGGTCTGCCATTGGATTCACTGGATTTATCCACAGTGTAGGGTTCACATAATTGTACCCACAAGCAGTTGGAGGTTTACAACATCCTGACTGTCACATAAGGGTAGTTGATTAACAAGAGTTTTATTTTCCAAGGAGAATAAAAACATGCTATAAAATAACTTAGTTTGAGTAAACCTCCCTACAAGTTTTTAAGAAAAAAAAATATAAAAAATAAATAAAACTTGTTTCATCAAGTTAAATGAGAGAATTTAAAAAAAAAAATAAAAAATTAGAAAAACAAATTATTTTAAACTTGTCTTATTATTTTTTATACTATTTTTTTCCTTCTAATTCTAGTTTACCCATGCTAGTCTATCTTGAGGTATGTCACAGTACAGGGATGGGATGCTTATTAACCTCTAATCTAAACAGCAAATAGTGAACCATGTCATGGGTGGTGGGCCAAGTAATCGAGAGAGAGAGAGAGATACCTGTAAAGGAGAGATAGGAGAGTTGAAGAATTGATGAGCAGTGATGTAATCCTGGGTGAGTTTAATGCAGACATGAGAATCAGCCAAACAAGTCCTTATCTTCTGCCAACTCCCAGAAGTGGTGACATGGTGTCTGAGCCAGGGGGAGAAGCCATCAAGGCTAGACTCTTTGTACCCTCTTCCTTGAACATCATAGCTTCCATCGGGTCGGGTAACTATGAATGCAAAGAGGAGGAGGAAAAGGAGAAGAGCGATGAGGATTGCCATGCAGCAAAGGTAAAAGGCCAAGAGACCCTGTTTGTTCCAGTAAGCACCCACAAAACCAGCAAGAGAAACGATGAGGATGAGAATGCCAAGGATCAGAACGTGCCAACGGAAGTTGTGTATGCACTCATTGTCTGCCTTTGAGGCTAACCATACGCCAGCACCTATTATTGGTATTGAGGCCAACAGGGCTATGAAGTTCAGCACTGAAGTTATGTTGTTGCTTACTCCCATTGGAATTTGATGCTTTGCATAAAGTGTTATTGGAAACTCACAAGTAAAGTGAGTCAAGTAGAGGAACACAAACATATATACGGTGATGCTATGGTGGTGGGGACTTTATTTGGCGTTCAAATGCACATGAATTTCTGTATATTTTCAAATTATTATTATATATAATTTTTTCATTCGAATTAACTAGTGTTCTCGAGTTCGTCAAGAGAAAAAGAAATTCTAAACCCACCTTATGTGTGTCTTTTGGTGGAGTATCCACACCTCACACTTTATGATGCATTCTTATGGAGATGTAGATCAGAATAGGAATTAATTAAATTAGGCCACGTTAGGTGCACCACACTTTAGTGTGCATCCTTTTTAATTACTGGAGCAATGCAGTAAAAATAGATTATAAATTTGTTAAAGCAAAGACGTATCTTTGCTGGCTGAAGTTTTATTGGGTGGCTAAACTGATCCATGGATAAATGTGGTGAAGAACCATTTGTTTATTGAGAACAATTTTTCAGTGTTCTTTGGCAAAAGAATTTGAAATGTTAAAAATAACCAAAGTATAAAAGGAGGATAAAAAGGATACGGATTAACACGGAATTGGAGAAAGAATAAAGATGCACAAAGCTCTGTTGCCTTTATATCGTCACAGCTCAAAAGTTCACCTTTTTTAATTTCTCATTTCTCCTACTGATTATTTATGGAGATAAATCATTTTAAAATTATATATCACATTAACAAATTATAAAGTGCTGTTGCCTTTAATCTCACGTTTTTAGAAAGTCTTGAGAAAATTTAAGAGAAATTAACTCTAAAGTAAATAAGCATATATTTATTATTAAGTTTTCGTAGATCAAACAAATAAAGGATGATATATTCTTATTTATTCTCTGTAAAGATAATCAGAATATAAACATGTAAAGAAATAAGATAAATCAAAATTTAATCAAACAATAAAATCTATACATATACAAAATAATGTGTGGATTCTTGGGATTTTATCCATTTTTAAGTTGTGCAAAGTTCAGATTATGCACTGTACTGTTAGGATTCTTGGGATTTTATCTCAACCGACAGGGTTCCTCAAATTAAGTGCTTAAAATATGAAAATAAAGTTCATACATTCACTAGCTACTGACAGTTTAAATTTCGATGTAGCACCATAAGCTTCCTTATACACGCAATTTCAATCTTTAAACCAGATTCAATTTATTGATTAAGTTGTTCAGTTCATTGTTTTACCAGGAAGTTTTCTAATTTTTTAAATTTTGAAAACATTTTATCATGTCACAATTTTCTCCACTGTTGAAATATCAATTCATGAGATTAATTATTTTCGTTATGTATCATAGTAGTGCTCGTGAGCAGTGACTAAATCACTTCAATCTGTGTCTGAAATCACTCAGCTTTCACGGAACTTCTGTTTCTTAATGAATAATTGAATCTTGGAAAAGGAAACACTTATAAATATTTGTCTTATCTTCATTACTCCTAGTTTCTGCATCAGATTAGGAGGCAAATTTTGATTGATAATTAGTGTAATACATGTATCCATGTTCATGAAAAACAGTGCACGAAATAAATAAAAACAGAAAATAGAAACTGAGCAGAGAAAAAATATGGACATCGAAAAAGCATGGTATATAAAATTTCCCCTTCTGCAATTAAAGAAAAAACATATGTTTTCTTTGTTATTATGTGTGGAACATGACTTGTAAATTTGACTAGAAATGAAGGGTATTTTGTATACTCATAAAGATATAATTTTTAGTGGCCATTGGCCATATTCTTGATGGATTCGAATCTGGGAGCCTTTTCCCCGAACTTGGTGTTGCCATAAAGCTTCAAATAGTCTCCATAACGATAATTGTTTGGGTATAAGAGTTTAGGAGCTGGTGAAATGATAGCTTCACCAACTGGGTTATAGAAGCTGGCAATGGAGAGTCTGCTTCCATTCTTATCAGGGATGACTCTGTGCACAACACTTTTATATAAGCCATTGCTCAAAACTTCAACTTGATCACCTGTGTTCACAAAAATGGCATTGTTTTTGGAGGGTGGAATCTCAACCCACTTGCCATCTTTGAAGAATTCTAGACCTGGCACTTGGTCATCTTGGAGCAAAAGGATGATACCACCAGCATCTGTGTGCTCTCTAAGTCCTCTAACAAGTTCTGGATGTGGACATTGAGGGTACTTTGCCACTTTTGTTCCCATAGCTGGTCCATTTGCTCCAGAAAATGCCTCCTTGATGTAATTTTTCTCCAAACCAAGATTTTCACTCATAAGCTCTGACAACTTCTCTGCCATCTTAATGAGTTGTTCAATGTACTGATCCATTGTTTGGCTGCATTTACATGTGTAATTGGTATCAGATTACGTGCATGTGCATGTGCATGTGCATGTTAAGACTCAGAATTATTAAGTGTTTGTGTGTGTTGAATTGACTAACCAAAGCTCCTCAGAGAGGTTTGGGATTTGCTTAATGTTGGAAGTGGGACGATGCCAAATGAAGAAGGCACTTTCCCAATCTATATCAGAGCTGTTCTGTTTTTTCTCCAAGCTTTTTGCTATCTCAGACTGATAGAAACTTTCCTTCAAGTTTTCCTCATAATATGTATTAATTAGCTTCTTAACCTTTTCCATCAAGTTCCTGTCAATTTCATGGTTCTCAATCTGCACAAGTAATTTGTTAGATAAAAAAGTCAAAAAAGAATTTATGTAAGGGAGAAAATTAATAACACAAATCTAATTCTCTTAATTACCAGGAAAAACCCCCACTTCTGACAGGCTTCATGCAGAAGTGCCATGGTTTCACCCCTTTTGTCTCCATTGAGAGTGCTGAAATCTATGGTAGGGATTGCCATCTCTGTGCTTAGTATTTGTTTGGTGAAGATATATGACATGATGAGTATATATAGGGCTACAAAAGATCTTAAACTGTCTTAACGCTCAAACTAAGGGTAATTTAATAGTTTGAAGTCTATTAAAATGGGTGGACTTTTTGTTAAGAGTGCCTACTGCCTTGAGACTGGCAAGTCCAAGTTCATTCCACTGTGATCATGTGATCATATACATTTTCTTATAATTTGTTTTCGATGGGCAATCAGATTTTCCCTTGTAAACCAAGTCTTGCCTCTTTCACTTCTCTACCACTTTTGGACTAGTCCGATTTTGGTCAAACGAGATTGTTGTTAGGGTTAGATATTTTAATTCTCAAAATTTACTGTTCATCAATTTAGTCTTCAAAGTGATTTATTGTTAACAAAGAACAATAAAATACAATATTCGAGCTATTTAAATTCTCAAAGATTAAAATGTCTAACTCTAATATTTTCTAGTAGCTTTATATTTTCCATTAGAAGAAAAGCCAATGTGAATGGAACATTCGTTCGAGTTAATCATGTAGGACATAAAAACCAGGGGCAGAGGCACAGGAAAAAGCTGCATTCATTCAAAATGCAGAAAGGTATACAGATCGAGGTAATGAACCAGTGGGCGGTTTTGGCTGGATGCTGTTGTGACATGATGAATCAATCCTTCACACATGCCCGTAAGCTTTATTATATTGACTACTTGTAGTCAACATAACTGTAACCGGAGAAGACACATTATTGTAGCATCAATCATTGATCATATTCATTAGTTTCTACCAACCGCACATAGTATGTGAATGTCCTTGAAACCGGGTTTTCATGCTCCATTAGCTACAAGAATGCAACATAATGTTTCTTCGGATTAGGAATGATAGTTGAACAGCTAATTCTCACAACACAATTTCAAACAGTTACTATCAAATGAATGTTACTGAATTAGAAAAGTATATTCAAATAGCACTGTTTGATTTTCGAATTTGAGAATAATTAAAATGAAATAAATTAGGTAGGGAATCAATAAAACACCACAATGCAACTTAAAAACTTTAAGACAACGTGGACATAAGTTCATCTCTTTATAAACCTTTAATTTACTCATATCTTATTCCATATAAAACTCTAATTCACAATTAATTTCAACAGATAGAATTTGAAACAAGTTAAACTCAATACAAATTCCAGATGAGTCATAAATCTTTCTTCTCAACATCTATAAAAAGCATGTTATTGACTTTGTTAAATTATAAGTGCAGAAATCCATGATTTTCATTGACAAAACAAATAGAATAATCCAGTTACTTGTGGTTCATTCTAATTACTTGTGTATTTGGGTTGATTTCTCTACCTTTTCTTAACGTGTACAGTTTGTATTCTTGAAAATAAATCAGATATTTTTGAAGCAACATGCATGCAAGACGTGAAAGAGAAGCACCCAGATTCGCATTTCCTTTCGTTGATTTTTCTTATCGGACGAATTTTCCATTTCACGTAACTGTAGTGAAGTCATGAACTTAACCGCTAACCTGATCACTGATCAATAGGGTCAACTATTTATTTACTCATATTTTATTACTTCAAAGGAAAATAAGAAAAAGTGTTTTAAAATATTGTAAAATTTTAATTAAATAATTTTTATGTTAAATAAAAAAAATTCCAATGACTTATTTAAAGATAATTTTAAAACATTTCTACTGTACTAAACTTTTTATATTAATTATTCATAACTCTTCTCACTTTAAACATTTTTTAATTATTTATTTCATATTTTTAAAAAATTTACAATTATTTATCCAAACATAAATTATTATTATAAACATTATGAATTTACGTTAATTAATAATATGATGTATCATATCAATTATTGTATAATAAATACAATTGCTAATAAGTAATATAGAAACATAAAGGACTTGTCGATCTAAAATATCATCTTACAAGAATTAATTGTTGACAAATATTAATTGGCCCAAATCATTGACCACTTAAGAAAAACAAAAATTCGGATTAAATAGAAAATGATTCAACAAAATAAATATAGTCAATTAATAAATACAATCGATTGTAGTAAGTTTTATAGTCACGAGTTAATAAGTTTTAAAAAAATTAAGATAATTTATTTTTTTAATTTTTTAGTAAAGTTACAAAAAAACTGTAATAATTAATTTTGTATTTAAAATAATCAAGTGTTAGAGATAACATAAAAAAGATTCAATAAAACTAAACGTTTAACTTTTAATCATCAACTCCAAAATTACATTCATCATCTAAAAGTTATTACCTTTTTTTAATATTATTATTTTTCTATTATAATTCAAATAATAACATGAATAATTATTTTAACTAAAGACATTATAATCTTTAACTTACTCATTGATAAATTAAAACTGCAATTAAGGAAATAAATTATTTAGATAAGATAAATTTTCTAGACTTAAAACAGCCACAACAAAAAGTAAAAACGCACTCATTGAATCCAAATGGAATGCATTCGTCCGAAGTGTGAAAGCCAATATTTTTTCTTTTAAATTTTTTAAAGCGGAATTATAGATTATAGATAGTTTATAATTCTTGTAAATTTTAATATATTTTATTAATAAATTTAACACATAAGTTAATGTTTTTTAAAAAATAAATTAAATAAGAATTAATTTGCTGGGTCGTTTTTGGGATAACAATAAGAAGAAGAATATATGGTACAAAAATAAAAGTGGTGTTGGTTGGCCCTTTGATACCATGTCCTGAAAATCATGGGTCAGCTAGTCATTGTCTTCTGGGTTTGGAAATCAAAGTTATGGGCTATTACAATCAAATCACCCAGCTACTTCACCAGAGAACTAAAAATAAACATATCAAATTATTATTATTTTAAATTAGGGTTAACTAAATTTAAATGGTCGTATTTAAGAGAAATAAAAAAGACGTACAGAAAGATATAAGATACATACTACTATACTAGGCACAGAGAAAATTATATATTAAAAAAGAAAATATATATCAAAATTCATTCATTCAAGAGTGAGTTCTAACATTTATAATATAAAAGTAGATTAATGTTAAAAAAGCATAAATTGTGTTAAATTTAATATTTTATGTCAAAAATTAATTTTATTTACTCGATCCGGTATGTTAATTTTAACATTAATTTTGTTAATAAGATATTAGAAATTAAGAAAATATAATAATTACCCAAATGTTAATGATTACTACTATACAAAATCATTTTTTATTAGGCGATGGGATACAAATAATTGCAAAGCGCATTAATAATTGGTGACAATAAAAATTATGAAGTAAAAGATAAAATATAACTAATCTTTTTTTTTTCTTTCACGTATTAAATTATGTTATTAGGAAAAGAAAATTCTTAATTTAAATTTTATATAATTGTGAAATTTTGTTTTAAATTTAAGTTCCTTTTGTTTAAATCATTATTTGCAAATCTTCTTACTTCTATGAGTTTGTTTAAAAAAAAATTGGAATTGAAAATTTTAAAGTGAGATGAATCTTAATTATTTGAGTAAGGGTAATCATGCCCTAATATTTCTTATGCATAATAAATTCTCTTATTTTGCACACTTGCGTTGACATTCTTCTGTGATAATTTTTTATTGGACTTAATTGAGTTTTGTATTTATAATTGAATTTCTTGTTTTAAAGTAAATCAAATATTCATAGATTTATGGATTTTATTTAATAAATAAATTTTAAAATTAAGTTTTCTTGAAAACTATATTTTATTTGGAACTTTTTTTTTCTTCTGTCGCATGATATATCGTAATTGCATAGGAGATATGATAAATAAATATCAGTCGTATTGAAGCGATAGAGGATAAAACATGTGTAGAAAATGAAATCATAACATATAAAATTGTTATTTTAATTTATAAAAAAATAATTCTAAAAATAAATATTATCAGATAAATTGTCTCAAAATATTAATAAATGAAGATGCATAAAATCTCAAAGAAATTTACTCTTGTCTGTTTTAAACAAATATTGTCTCTCTTGATGTGATACTTGTGATAAATATTGCTTTCATATATGCAACACTATGTTTTCAAAAAATATATAATTAATTCTCTTCCTTTCTTACTAATACTTATGAATGCACATATTAATGTCAAAATAATTATCACTCTAAATATGGCACTTAATTAAAAAATAAAAATATAATATCATTCATACAAATACAGTACTTACAAAACGGTCTCAATCAGATAAATAATTTTAGAGAAAGCCTAATTTGATAAATAATTTTTTAAAATGCATTTTTTAATAAAAAGCTTAAATTTATTATGTTAATATTTGAAACATAATGTTTGAAGATGACACTCTTTCTACTTGAAAATGATTTCCAAAATTTACTTGTATTTTATCAAGTAAATTTTGGAAAGCATTTTTATATCATTTTCTCTTTTTCTTTCATACTTTCCGACCACTCAACCATTAAAATTAATCTGCATATGTTCTTGTCTATTATATATTTACTTAAACGTCATCGTCCTTCGTATGAATAATTGGGCGTGGAGCCTTGCATGATATATTAAAATATTTATTTTTTAGTCTTAATATATTTAAAGAATTGCATAGAGGTAGAGCTAGAAGCTGACTTGCCTTTTTGCATTCATGTGGATGGCAAAAGAAAAAACAGGTTTTATATAGTACTTTCAATGTCATTTTATTGTTTGAGTCCTAAGCAAACCCTTAACTGGCATGCAAATGCATACCTGAGTGAACATGATCGTTTACATACTAATATAGTTCCATTTGGATCCTCTTCTTTTTCATCTTATGCAGTTTTATCTCACCGAAAATTTGCCTGGTTTTTCTTTATAATAAAATTACTGATTAATGGAGAAAAGCAGCATGTGGATCCTCATATGATATGATCTACATATATATAGAATGAATGGTGACGTTGATCTCTGCCAAATCCAATTAATGTTCAACCTGTTACTTCTTATTTTTGTTTTATTCAAAAATCAACATCAAGCATAAGGAGAATATTGAAAATACCTTCTTGAATGGTCCCCTTTTCCTTTTGAACAGTATAATTACCAGAATTTTCCTGAACCCAAGGATGCCACCCATCGTGTGCTTCTACCACCCATCAGTCCCCACAAAACCTAAATCCCCTCATTAATGAGCTCTTTTGCACTCACTTTTGTTTGCTTTTGTCTCTCATATTCTTCCAAGATGAACCCAAATAGTAAACTGCAACAAAGTTAATTTAATGATCAATTATGAACCTCTTAATTAATTTTTAGTTTAGATCTAGGGATGGGTAGCTACACGTGCAGGAGACAATTTTCCTTGATGGCTGTTGCTGATGGGGTCAATGAAGTAATATGGTGCACCTTGGCGTGGAAATCAATTATATTAATATACAAGTTTAATTAATTGATCCAAAACAATATGATTGCAAACATTGATATGTCATGAGTGACATAATAATGATAATGAAGGAGGAAAGCCTAGTAGAAGGGTGTTTGAACACCACATTCAAAATGACATCGACAGAAGGACGAACCGGGTAAAGGCGCGTCTGCGAAGAATGTGACAGAATTTATTTTTCCACCAGAGAAAATTGTAGTAGTGGTCCTTGTGTGATTTACTCTCTTAAATATGTTCTTCTATCTTCGCTTGATTTGTGTCTATGCTAAAGTTGATACCAGAAGTGTGTTACTTTGATTTATTTAGGGCCATCATTGCATTACTAGTTCGTTCTCAGCTTGATTAGTCTATTCATTAATTAGAGAAATGGTTTCTTTCAATGTTTCACCTAAAACCTACAAACCTCAATTAAAAATATTGCTAAAAGAAAGTTATAACAAATTTGTAAAGTAATGACAATGCTTAAGCTGGTGGCAACTAGTTCATCCTTCATTAAGAATAATTTGTCCCAACCCTAGAGTTATTTCACCCCCGAGAATCTCTCTCTTCTGGTAAGCCCTTACAGAAAAAATGTCTTATTGTGTTTTTATATAAATAATAGTCAATGGGAGGAATTAAAATATATTCGTGTCTAAGAATGGACAAAATTGATAAATTAAAAACTTAATCTTTCGTTATTTTGTAGTTTCATATTTATGCGTTTTACTTATTTTTGAAGAATATATAGCAAAATTAGCAGATGGTAATTTCAGTGATGAACAGTATTAAGATGCGACAAAAATGATTGGTCCAGTTTCATATATTTATGTTTTCTACTTGCTTTTGAGAGATTGCAGAATTAACTGATGCTAATTTAATGGGCAAATTTAAATGATGAATGCGACAAAAAAGAAGAAGAAGAAGACTGGAATAGTTTCATATTTATGCGTTTTACTTACCACTTTTCAGAATTTGCAAAATTAGCTGATGCTAACTTAATGGACAAAATTCAATGATGATGGCGACCAAAAAAATGATTGGTCCAGTGATTAGTACGTACATTGTTCTAGAGAAGAAAGGAAGGCGCACATTTTTCATGCCATGGAATAATCCACTGGTATCTTTCGGTAACAGATTAAAGTTGAAGCAATCAAACGTAATTTAGAAAAACAAGACCTACAAATACAGTGATTAACCAAATGATGAAATAGGACCCATTCCAAAGGAAGCAACACATTGTGTGAAGCTTTGATAATGATGATGTTAAGAGGGTTGGTGGTGATGCTTGCAATATGTAAGACGCGTAAATTGTATGTATCTAAGATATAGGACCAGATTAACGTGTCCGCTATGTATTAAATTTCATGTAAAATTTATGTACATGACTGTATTATCCAAATAACATAATACTCATAGTTATACGACATAAAACAAGACAAAATCGTACCATCCATAATTTTCATGTGAACACTACTAACAGATTGTGTATATATAAAGCTGCATGAGTAAAAAATCCAAATAATTGGACACCTCACAGATGGTTACAGGTAGTAAAGAAGACACGGACTGTTAGTTGAGAGGTCATCATATATAAAAAGCGCTCATAAATATGACATATCATATTCAGTCAATCCGACAAAACTATATGTATATGTATATCAGCCTTATGCATGAAGACAAAAGTAATAAAAGCAATCGTAAAATTTCAGAAAGAAAATGGTTGGGAGATTACAAAGTTGTTTTTCTCAAAATCAGAATGCACACTCCAATATATTCCCTCGTTAATTCTTTCAGACAATCGTGAAGGTTCTTTGACGGATCGAAACCAAATTCGTTTTCTTTCTTTGTCCAGTTATGATAGGTATATTCATGTTTCTTGGTGCGCAATTAAGGCACATACTAATCTACACACACCAAAAATAAAACAAAACTGTAGAAAGAGCCATGTATAGAATAAAATATTTACGTTTTTCTTTTTCTTTTCTAAGAGGACAAATAAAACATATTATATTAAAATTAAATTAAATTGTGAACTTGCTACTCATATATGAATGGTTTACCATAGTTCTAGCGAAGTAATGCTCCAACCTCCAAATATGATATAGGATCTGCTAAATTATTGGCTTAAAATTTACTATTTGTCAATTTAAGAAACTCACAGAAAACACTCATACACACAAAGAGAAGCATATAATTTATAGCTTAAAATGGAAATTAAATGAAGTGCACAATTTTCGCATCAGCCCATGAATGGATTTTAACTTAACATAGAAGGCAGTGATAAGCACTACCTGACAGAAGAACCCTAATGGGTTTGATTTGGCATATCCTCGATCATCAGAATCTTGTGGCCAAGCTTCATTTTCATGCTATCCTTATCTTCATATTTATAGTCAAAATGCCTACAGCATCAGCTACGCATGTCGCATGTATGGTCACGCGCGTATAAAACCCTAAAGTTGAAAATTAAAGCATCAAGCATACTAATAACTAGGAAGTATTGAAAGAATCTCCGTGACACAGATCGAATATATTAAAGGGGAAGTGGGGTTTCAACTTGCCTGCCGTATGATTAAAGTAGAATGGGAAGAAAAGATGTATGACACAAATATTTTACCTAGTTTTGTGGACTTTCCTAAGCTTCGAAATTAAGAAAGCATCTGGTTGAAAATATTAAATGAAAAGTTAGCACACCGTAACGTTAATTTTATGTAGTATACTCAATATGACATTAATCATATGATACACGAGTTTTGTTAAGTCAATAACAAAAAGACCAATTAAAATTATAAAAAATTAAAAATCGAAAGCACTAGATGTGGAATTGACTAAATTGACTTACAGCCACGTGCTTTACAAGTTTGCTTTATGGGAAATGCCACTCTGTCTTGTTAATCAGGATACAATGTTTGAATTTTATATTTTGTATACTTGAAACATTGAAAATTTATCAACTCCTTTTAATTATGTTTATCGATGTACTTGCTGGAGCACTAAATCTCTCAACATTAAAAAACACACCCACACACACAACAGATTATATCAATAAATAATTTTGTTAGTAAATATATTAATTAATTTATGCCATCAATATATTAAGTGTTAATATGAAACTTAATTTGTTAGTATAAACTTTCAAACTCTATACTAGCAATTTACTTTTTATTAAAAAATAACTATAGTAACAAAGACCATTTTAATACTTGATAAAATGTTGTATGTTTATAAATGATAATTCTTCTCATAATTTTCATAGCATTAATCAATATCATTCATTATTTTATATATTTTTTCTATTATTTTTCTTAGTTTAATTACACCAACCTCTACCATTGAGTACATTTATCATTTGGTATGGGGCCGTACAAGAAAATTTGATTCTTATCTAATTTACGCTAGTTGCCAACTACAGTTTACATGCATTTACTCTTATTCTTATTTTTGTACAATTTTTTTACTTATTTAGTCGATTTCCAATTTTATAAAGAATGCATAAAAAAATGATTTTACATAAAAATACGAAAAATAAATAAACGTAAACCATTATATGTATCTACGTGTGAGAGAGATGTGAGTAAGAAATGCACATAAATAATATAAATGATTACATGCACGGTATCATTCTTTTTTCAAGTGACAGAATTACAAGATGTATATATATTTAAGATTTGGCAACTGGTCAAACTTAGTGACAGAATTTGCTACAATTACAGACAGAATGCATGTAAAAATAAATAAAATAATTCTAAAAAATTTTGAGCCACTGGATCATGACTTGCAGAGATTTTGCTCATTGTAGGCAATGAGGATCATCAAATTAACTTGAAGGACTGTAAGAGGGAGCTAAAGTCTATAATCTATTATTGAGGCCACGACACATAGTTATGTCTGTCGATTTTGTGGGGGCATATGCTTAATTAATTTCTTCTGAAGGTTTCAGTGTTTTTCTGTGCATCTTCTCCGTCATATTGAATCCGAAGAAAGTGAAATTCTTCGCAAGGCATGAAGCTCATGCAGATTTCCATTATAATTCGTCAGAACACTGTTGTCATTCTGGTTTCTATTTTTAAACACGTTTATATATATATATATATATATATATATATACGTTGTTCATCACACAGTTTTCCATTATAATCCGTCAGAACACTTCAGAATGATTGAATTTAGCAGTAGAATAAAATTAACGATCCAAAAATGCCCAACCAAAATTCTTGAAATGTCTCTGGGTACATAATTATCGCTCAAATTTCCAAGATACTTTTTTTTTAGTTAGGACATAAAAAAAGACATTAGGATATTAAATATTAGGAGTTTATTTAAAAATAATGATTAGACCGTGTTTTGTTGAAAATTTAATTAACAATAAATGTTTACTTAATTATTTATTATTCATGTATATATATTTTTTCAACTCTTCAAAAATATGATATTTTTAAAAAAATTAATATTTTATTCAATTTTCAATCTTTAAAATTATACAAGATCTTGTATTTTTATTATTTTTTTGTTCGTGGTGTTAGATTAAAAATTAACCATTTTGTTACATAATTATAAAAGCTACATAAATCATCTTCGTTTAATTCTTAATGAAGAACTGAAAAATTAATGTACACTATTTGTTAAATATAAATTAAGCATAAATAAAATTTAAATAGATATTAAATAAAAATATAATTAATGTATTATTATTCATGTATTTATTGATTTAAAATCATAATTTATTTAATGTACATTAAATATTTTGAAATTAAGTTTTTTTTTGTAAATATTGTCAATATATTATTATATGTAACCATGAAAGCATATAGTAAATAGCAGGATTTGGTTTTACTTTTGTATTCATAATGATATTCGGTTCAATTTAAATTAGTCAGATGTTTAATATATGTTAAAATAACAATAGTCATCAGTCATAGATTAAAAAAAAAAGATACCATATGAATTTAAAGGTCATTTTTTTTCAGCTAAAGTACTAAAACTTTATTATAAAGCAGTATAAAAGATATTTCAACCTTTAATTTAATGTAACTTCATCAAAACTAATATTCCTTTGCCGACCAATTTCCTTCAAAGTGGAAACAGAAAGTCTTGTAATCCTTTGGAAACGACTGTGTTTGTTTGATTTACTTTGCAAATGGTGATTTATGAACGAGAGAAATTTATCCTGAGAAAAATTACATCAGAATGTAGTTTTAGCATTGAAAATCTGAAAATCAATTTTAAACTAGTAGACCTATTAACGGGCTAGGATTTATTTATTTATTTTTATTGTGAGGTTTTCCAACGATCAAAAAAAGAATAATAATTGTGATAATTGGTAAGCACATAGTAGGCCAATTCTTGACTCCCCAAACGCAAGACTACTAACGGTTTGACATTGAATTACTTTCTATTGATATTTTTTTTAATAAAAATTAAATCATTCATATAGATATTATAAGTCTATATTAACGATATGATATATTAAGTTAACTAATAAATTTATCGGTATAAACAATTAATCAATTTTGTTAGTATAAATTTTTAGAGTTGATTTTAAAATTTTACAAGTAATAAATTTGATTAAAAAATTATTTTATTTGTATTCTTGATATGATAAATATTTTCTTTTTTATAAAAAAAATTATGATTTTTAGTTACTTAATTAAAATCAATCTTATGAATAATTAATATGTATTATTAGTATATCAAATATCATTATAATACAATATGGATGTTATGCATATGTTGACCCACAAGCAATCTTGAAATTAATAGTTTAATTTTTGTTAATATTGAAATGTATTTTATTATATCTTTCATTAATAAACAACCTTTTTTATGTGAAGGATAAAGAATGATATTATGAAGGAGAGAACGAGGGAGTTTGAGTACTAAAAAAATCCAAGTGCGAAAGGAATTATATATATATGGATCAACCAATTGTTTTCAATGATCCTTTATACAGCTTTAGACGATAACATGGATTTTATTATTAGTTTGGAGAAAAAACACTGCTTAACAACAACTCCAACATTGATTATCATTAAAATAAGAATGATTCAACTTACTGAAACGAATTTCATGTCCGTGTTCGACGCATGCTTCCCATTCCTTAATGAATAAAACTCGTGGGACAAAAACAATAAAAAAAGAAGCTAATATTTATATGAGTAACACTGTAGCATGTGCATATAATATTTAACAATTCTTAGCATTTCTCTATATTTAAAAGACCATATGGCCACCTTTTCAACCCTAGTGGTACCATCAAGTCCAAAATCTTCTCAACAGAATCCAACTTTGATTTAAATTAAACACAAATAAAAATTAAAAAACTTTTTGGAACCAAAAGTCAGGAAATGAACGAATTAAGCTTCATCCAATCACGTAGTCTTTTTGCCATCATATGTCTCCAATATAACGAGTTATTGACATAGCAAAGCACTAAAAGGAATTACCAAAGAGCTAGCTTGTTCAAGTTGTAAACTTGTTAATTATATATTGAGAACAAGCTTTTAGTACACTAAGTGTATATATATATATATATATATATAAATATTCAGTAGGTAGGTATCGATGTCGAGGACATGCTAATTTCGAACAAAAAAGTATATAATTTTTTTTTATCAGCAAAGAAACGATTAGTATAAAAAATTGCAGAGATGATTAAAAATTCCGTTGAACAGACTGAAGTTTGCAGTGATACAAACAGATATTTGATATATTTATATATATATAAATAATCAACTGCTGTATGTGGCGTCCGGGATATATCATTAAGGGATGTGATTATTGCATAGATTAGTGCTTGATTAATGGCTACCATTAACACCAAAGAGAAAAATGTGTTTCTTTGATCAGAGGATGATCTTCTGCTGAGTTGATACTTGACATTAACAAATAAAAGGGGTAGTGAATCCCTTAGTTTAAGTAACGCTAATTGGACCAAGAAGGAAGGAACCCGGAGATGATTTATTTTGTTCCTTGGGAACTGCAAGAGTGAGTTCCAAATCAGGCGTTGCTGCATTATTTGAAGATTTAATCTGGGAATGAACCCACATGGGTACCGCTTCATGTTCTTCAGCTTGAGAGTAATTATCTGTACTTTTCTGCTCATCTGATTTGGTCTCTTGCCGAAGCAATGACAAGGTAGCATCGTTCTCAACTTCACATTTAGATTTTGTTTGAACTGAATCACCTGACTTGCAGTTAGAGCTCCTGCTAATTGGATTTGTGCTGTCTCCACCAACCTGCCATTATATCAAATTACATGGCAAGAGAAAATTAACTTTAAGTTATTATAAGAAAATTAAGTAAATATTATTCAGTTTATTAATAGTAGTCAGTTAATTAAGGAGTTCATCATGATGGATCTATATACCAAGTCAAAAAGACTTGAACGTCTCTTCTTCTTATTCATGCTTGCCAGTCGAATAAAGTACTTCTGAGCATGGCTAGCAACTTGGGTTGGGGTTCTTGTAGTCACATAGTTTCTAGAGATACCCCTCCAATCACCTTTTCCCAGCTTCTCAAGACCAACAAGGAAAGTTCGGTGCTCTTCTTCTGTCCATGGTACTCCTAGTATACATTGATGCACCAAAAATGTTGTATGTATTATAAGAGTAAATAATATAAAACGATGTATAGATAGATGATGAGAACAAAGAAAATATATAATACTTTAACAAGAATCAAATTTTTCCCAGCAAAATTTAACCAAAGTTGCCGCATACTTCCATGAATAATTTCAGAAAACAAATCCACACAAAACGAACAAAATTTTATGAAGAAAATGAATGATGAAATGCATTCAAACAGAAAGATAAAAACAATAATAGAGGGCTATGGCAAGAAGGATTCAAACTATCGGTAAGTAAAAGAGAGAAATGTGGATGAGTTTCATTGTAAACACACCTTTCTTCCTCTCTTGTGCTCGAACTATGAGACCATCTGAATCTGATAGATACCCAATAGAGGCTTTGTCAGAATGTTCATCAATGGATATTCTTGAGGAAGAAAAGGAGGAAGAAGGGGACGATGATGAGGGCAAGGAATCCATGCTAAAGCTTTTCTTCAAGGAAAGAGAAGAAGAGGAGATGTCAAGTTGAACGCCAAAGAGGCGAACTCCTACAAAAGACCCTCTGAAAGATGCACAAGTCCTTGAATTATGGCCGATGTTTCCACAATGTGAGCACTTCCTTCCCATTTTTCCCTTCTCAGCCAACACAACACCACCAAACTGTGTGTGTCTCTTAGAGGCAGCTAGAAAGAAAGAAAGAGAGACAAAGAGAGCAGAATAACAGATATGTTTGGTGGTATATATGATGATGGGTGAGTTGTGGGGTTTGTGAAATTGGACGCACACCTAGAGACATTAATTGGATGGACATAGTTTATTGTTGAATACCCTTTTTTTTCCTCTTTCATTAACAAAAGAAATCATAAGGATATAGATGCCTTATCTTATTTTTGAGAACTTATGTTTAATTGGATTACACACGGTACACGTATCTGTCCAGTAAAATTATGTTAGATGCTTATCCCAGGTATGTACCTTTCTGAGCTTTTAGTTTATCGCACCATTAATACCCATGTCATTTGATTATTTCTTACACAAATATGAAATTTACATGTTTGTGTTTGTATACAGAATATGGTAAATTTAGTGTACACTAAAATTTACAAACATGATCCTTAAATTTAAAAAATAAATTTCATTTTTATACCAAAGTGAAATGAATGAATCTTAATTATACGATCATATATATAAATCATTTAACTTTTATGTTTTTCTAACCATTCAAGTAAAATGTAACACTTATATTTATCTAACTCTAACAAAAAAAAAATCATCTCCTTTAATATATCTCCTTATATATATTTATTTATATTTTCAAGCTCTCTTGTCAACACATCAAAAAAGTTAATGTGTAAAGACACGCTAGGTAAGAATTTCGCTCCAATATATTCCAATCTTTGGGAGGTAGGTCTATCATCTGTGTATGACTTAAAGGGAGAAAAAAAGAAATGTCATAGAAAAGAAGTACTTTGAAAGTTGTGTCGATCAACCAACATTAATTAGTTGCGATGGAAATTACTGAACGTACATTAGGTCTATGTTATAAAAAAAAAGAAAAGGGAACGTGAAGAGGACGTGAGAATTTTATTTCATGCTCTCACCCAACTTAGATTTGAACGTTGCAAATGCGAATCAGTTTCGACCAAATCCGTGGAAGCTATTCCTTTTGTGATAAGTCAATAGATATTCCTTCAATTTGCTGTTCAAAGTCAGAAACAAATGTAATCTTGCTTTCTGTAAAGTTTAAAACCTTCTTCCCGTGGGTTCTATTTATTGATTTAACAGGGTACCGCACCTACCTTAGAAAAAAATTTGAAATTTCCATACTCTTTTTTTCTTTCACAGCTTTTGTTTACACCTATTTTACAATTACTGATTAAAAAACTTTTACTTTGAAAAAGAATAATTAAATATTAATTTTTTATAAATAATGCAATAAAGGAATTTGAGAAAAATGAAATGTGAATTATATCATTGCCACTTTTTACAAGACAAGATAAAAAGGATTCTTTTTATTTGCATGCAATTAATTAACAGTGTAATGCTATTTCTTCCGAATCAATTCAGCCGAATTATCTTCAGAGTAGGACTTGAACAGTTAAAAAGTCAAAATTTTGTAAAAGCAGGTGGTAATTAAAAAATAGTATTTTTAATTAATTAACCTGTTATTGGTAAAGAAAAGAGGGATAGAAGAAGAAATTAAAGAACCCAGGTGGTAAAACCGTAAAAGGAAAAATATACATAGGAAAATAAAAAGATGGTAGCAAGCATTAGACATATCACATCATGTTTTTAAAGCACCATGCAGATGATTTTGCAAAGGTACGCCTGCCATAATTAAAATCTGAGATTCAGTAGTATAGGAGGGATAAGGATATTCATGTTCAACAAGGTAACGTAATTAAATTATGTATCAAAACACAATTATCTTGCCCACCTAGCTATTGTCCTATCTAGCTAGTGATTTCAATGTTATTATTATATATATGGGCCAACTTATTGTTAAGAATTTCAATTAAGATCATGCGTCTAAATACAATTTTGATTGAAGTGGAGGCCAAGTTGAGGATTGTTTACTCTCCTCTTGATTCTGCAGCAGTGAACACATCATTCGATCATCTAACTTCTGAGACTGATCATTTGGCTTTATCATGGGAAGGAATCTTCTCGTTATAGAAGATACTGCTATAGATGGGATACTACTATGATGCTTTGTTTACTGATCTATAGTCCTATTTTATTTTTGCTTACCCGATTTTATTAATTTAGTCATCAGTCCTTTCAATATCCTAGAGGAGTATTATCTCCATATTTAAACACAATAATTAGTGTTGTTAAAGAACCTTCTACTTCAAGTGTTTAGTTTTCTGGTCGCGATTGTTATACTCCTCTCCTCAACCTTTAAGGATTCTGTATCTTAATATATAATCATCATGGTTTCTAGAGAAATTTGATCGTGTAGACTCTAAACTATTAAAGAAATACGTTGATCTCCCATTTTTCAAAGCTAAGTTTTAAAAAACTAATGATAATAATTTTAAAATATATGTATGTATATATATATGCTATAATTTTATATTTTAATGTAATAAATATTTTTAAATTAAAAATTTATTACTTTTAAGATATTTAAACTTATATATGTGGTATTTTAAAAAAAATTATAGGTACCATATCTTAAAAAATTTAAACCAATAAAAAAGAGATACGTGTTAAGTTAAAAAAAATTATTATATATAATTTATTTAAAGTTATATTATTTATATTATTTTTTACATAATTTTATTATATATATTGTATATAATTTATATTTAAGTAATTTTGATTTATTATAAATAAAAAATAATTATAACATAATATATTAATATAATAAATAAATATTATTAATAATAGAATTAAGAATATAGAAATATATTAATATAATATTAGTTTTTTAAAAAAATTAGTTAATTTAATTTTGATTATATTTTATTTTTATTCAAAAACTTAACCACTCCCTAACTTATTTAAATATCACAAATATAATAATATATTATTAAATAAATTTAATATAAATTATATTTTATTTAAAATTAAAAATTTATAATAAAATAAAATAAAAAATTAAATATACATAATAATAATAATACTATGTAGTAAATAATATAAATAATATAACTTTAAATAAATTATATATAATAATTTTTTTAACTTAATACGTGTCTTTTTTTATTGGTCTAAATTTTTTAATTACAGTACCTGTACAAAAATTTTAAAGTACTATGGCACACACCTTGTAACAAACCTATCATTAAACAAATTACAATAATTAAATTCTCTATTCATCAATATTTGGTTTAAATGAAGATTGCTACTGCTTTTAAGAAATTTTATAATCTTTAAGATATTATTAATTGGTGTTTGTAATTATTTAGAAATTAATGTATTTAAAAATCAAATTTAAATAGTGAACAAAAAGAGCTATTCAACCTACGTTTAGTTAAGCAAATTCAATAGCATGTTTAGTTTTATATCAATCCACTTAATTATGGATCTATTTCAACGCTACAACTACAAATTATAACTTTTAGGTTGATACATAATTTTATTAAATTTCCAAACATGCATTCAGTCTTCGTTAAAATAAGTTAAAAAAATTCGCTTCAAGTGGAACTTAGGTTTTGTATAATCTAATCTTATTTTATTATCTATTTTCATACCTAAATGCTAGATGTAATAAGCATCGATGCTCTATGTATACTCAAACTTCGACTACAGGAACACACAGCACTAGAATCAATAGTGAGTGAAATGGTTGAAGAAAAAACTTCAGCTACCGATTTAACTGATGTGAAGAGTTCGAGTCCTTGCACTTTATCTATGCAAATAACAGGTCACTTGTATATATATGGTCATAAGCATATAACTTGAATTGGTTGCATCCATAATTCGTAATGAAGTATTTAATCAGTTTCAATATAATTCACGATTTTCTGGAAGAACAAAAAGCACTTTTTACAATCCATGCCACTTGCTGAGTGCAAAAATATATAAAATTATTGAGAAAGTACAATACTAATTAGCTTATGTTAGCATATCATGTTACCTAACCAAATTTAGCTATACCCTCATAAGCCACAGCAGACACTGATAATTAGTCTTTGGGTATCATGGAAAAACAAGAAACACTTCCACACATAGGATGTAGGAAAAAAAGTTAAAGAACGGGCTAGGTTTGTTCACATGTCGCGATCAATCAAAGATGTAAACAATGACGCATCATTAATAATTAATAATTAATCTTCCATATACCTTTTTATCATGATCAATCATATTATATCAGAGAAAGTATTAGGGGCAATATAATATAATAATGTGCCCACTTAGGCTGAAAAGATTAGATTACATCACTAAAATCCAGTAGCTGAAAGAAATTTTTACTGAATGTCCAATGTACAAGCACTTTGTTTCTCCAGAAATAATTCCACGCCACTAAATTTGCAACAGCTAGCTACATTATATATTATGAGTACTGTTGTAGCCTTACAGCTTTACTCAATATCGAAAGGCACCACTTGGTGGAGGCGAAGGATCATGATAATCGTGTGTTTATTAAATGGCAATAATTTTGCAACTTTTTATTTTAATGCTTCGTTCCTCATTAACACATTGGCCTTCTAATTTTGCTAAGAGGTATATTCTTGAGTTATATATCGCTATCCTCAAGTCAAAAGCAACAGAAATTAATTAATAATTAATATCACTGCGCAGAAGAGGAAACTAGGAGTTGCATTCCACAGTCCATCCCTGTGCTAGTCAGACACTACCAAATTTAATTACTTTTTTCCAATCATCTCTATAGTTTCAATTCTGATATCACCTATTAATTATCAGTGAGCCATTATCATTCAATTCAATCACCTTGAATTACATCCAATCATGATAGCTTAAGGGTACAATTATTAATTATTGATACTAAATAATGTTTAATATTTGCAGGTTGGATAACATTTGAAATCAAAGTATTCTTCTATGGCACATATTTAAGTATAAAATTTATTATTAATATTAATTTAAATCCATATTCCTAGTATATTGATTTAAAATCAATTTTAGTACAATTACAAATAGTGATAAAACAGACAACACCATGTGACAGAGATTGAAAGACGACACATGGGAAATGGTGATCCTGCGAGAGTAACACTTGGGTATATGATGAATAATCGCTTTCAACAACTTACATGCAAAATTGTGGATAGAGAAATTTTCTTTTGCTGAAAAGAAAAAGAAAAAAAAAGTGTTTCCCTCTGTACGGACGCTTCCGTAATAAATCTTTTGGCTCCAACTCTGCTAATAGGGTGTGGAAGAGTTACTGAGTTCATCTTTTGTGTGTGTGTGCATGTAATCATAAACAATAAATTAAATTTTTCTCCAAAAAAGAAATCAGATTAATTTATAAAATAAAATAAAATAGATATATAGTATGTGATTGACCAAAATAAAGGTTTTATTATTTTTTTGTCAACTAGTTTTTTTTTTTGGGTCTGACCTAGGTTTTATTAAAAAAAGAGAAAACACTGGTAAGAGAGTAAAAAATGGAAGGAGTTGGAAGCCCAAATCTGTTTCATAGTATACAGGCCAAGTTGGTAAAAGGCCCATTTATTAGCCCAAGGGACAGCCCACTTTATATGAAGTGTCACCGCAGCATGTTGATGGCAATAGCAACGGCAGCAGCTATGGCGGAAGAACCGAAGCTTCCAGAACCTTCTGGTCCGGCGTCGCCGTTTGATCCCAGTCGGAGTATCTCGCTTTCTCTCTCATCGTTATCTCTTTTTCTGATTTCTGTTTTTCTATTTATAGATTCTCGCGCATAGAAATTGTGAGTTTAGGGCTTCGATTTGAAACTCCAAGTGAGCATTGATTATTGTTTTCACGGATATATCCTGTGATTGATGTTTCTGAGATTTCGTATAATAATTTGTTGTTGATTGATGCTAATTCTATTATCGTTTTTGTAATTATTGTTTAAGTGGTTGGTATCATCAAGAGGAAAGCGTTGATCAAAGACTTAGCTGCTGTATACCATGCCGAATGCCTTACGTACTGTCAAGAGCTTTTGGAACTTCAAACAAAATGGGAAGAGGTTAAATGCAAACGCAATCTTCTTTCTATTTTTACTACTATCATATTTCTCTGATTAATTTCTGAGCGTAATAAATTGTTAACATTTTAGTGGTATAAGAAATAGGATAATGTAATTGGTACACAATTACATGTTCCTAGACTAGTCACATGACTTCATATTTGTGAAACATACGGAAACTGTGTTGTGACTTTGTTTAGCATTGAAATATAACCCATTAGCAAAAAGATTTCACCTGACTACACGTAGAGGACATTGGATTTGACTTACTGAAGGTGAGGAGTGTACATTAGGAGAAAAAGTGTGTTGCAGATTAGAAAATCAGTTGTTAAGATTGTGATAAATAATATGTAAATATATAACAGATGATGAATGTATGGCATCGGTAATGAGTATGGACCAAACATATAGTGGGATTTAATTTACAATTATGAAGCCTTGATTCTGTGAGACAAAAAGAGGACAAGGGCTTTCAGGTTCTTGATTTTGGAAATGTAAATATCTTGGGGAGAAATCTTAAATTTATGTGAGACCAATTAAATGATGTAGGGTTCCATTTGATTTTAATCCATATGTAGTGAGTCCAATATTAACTTTACCCAATAGTATGAGAGTGTTGCTAGCATTAACCAAAAATTAAAATTCATTAGAACAGGCTGAACCTTGGAGACACTAATAGGAGCAGATTTTGATGGTCCACCCTGACTTCCCCCAAAAATCTTTACTGTTACTTCTTAGTTAATGAATGACAAGTTCATTCTTTGATTTCTCCCTTAAAAAGTAATACATGGATGACTGTGCAGATATCAGCTACTTTCAGTACTATTTTTTGTATGAATTCCCGCATGAATTTGCATTCCTGAAGAAGTATCAAATAGGCCTTTATTTTACCTTTCAAATGGTTCGGATTCAACTTTCCCTTCCAAGTCTTATTTGGATCGCTTAATAGAGATGATACGGCTTTATGTCATTCTCCGAATCTCATTATTCAGTTATAAGCTTGTCAAGTACCATAATATAAATATGAAGTGAGCATAGGTTATAGCGTTTCAATTTAATTTATTGTACTTACCTATGTCTCATTTGTTTCAGCCATTTATCGACTTAAAACCTCCAGAGGATTCCAAAAAGGAGACGGCACGACCCTCCAAACGCGTAAAAAAGCTGCGTTAGGTATTATACAGCATAATATCACTGTCATTGCAAAATTCAATTGGATTCCAATATGAGCGTGTAAATGTCTATTGATTACTGGGCATCCGCTCATGTACATTAAGGGCATAAGCAGATTCCGTGAGATTTTCATGCCCTGATTTCCTTCCAATCATCCTAGAATGTTCTTTGTTATCATTTAAGATTTCCATTGCATGTGCTATAATTGCCAGTTGCCTCAGTTTTATGACATCTACTGAAAAAAGTGTCATTCATGTGTATCGTTATGTTATATTGGAAAGCTGCGTCGTTTAATAGTTTGTTTGCTCATTTCAATTTTTCAGCTGGTTGACCGATAGCTCATTACGGAGCACAGTATGTACCATCGTAGAATACTTTCTATTGTTGGGGTACCTGTTAATATCAGAGCACAGTATTGATGTACTTAAAATGCTACTGGAAGGTCATGTGAGATTTTATCCATCAGCCTGCAGTCATAGAGCATTTCCCACTGCCCGATGAAGTAGATAAATATATATGATTTTTTTTTGTTTGTTGTACAGAATAACATTTCAGCCTTGCGTTCTGCTTTTGGGTACAATCCGTTGTTTATATTTTTAGCTCCTTGAAATTGCATCTCTTTTTCTCCTCCGGCTTACATATGTTTATGAAAGGATTCAGTATTACCGAGAGACCAGCTACTGTAAATTTTTTATACATTTCGGGCCTTATAATTGACTTTGATGGAGAAAAAAATAATAATTTACGCCAAATTTGTTTAACACACAGGAATGAGTTGAGAGTAGACATTCCTTAATACATTATGTACACATACAAAATTCATAATGAGCGCTTAATACAACAAATTCTTCCACAGTTTATAATAAATGAACAGAACTATTCCACCGTAAACTAACTTCACTGTAAACAATCTTCCGAGGGTTTCTGGCGAGTTGTCGTAATATACAGTAATAAACGTGCATTCGCAGTTGAGCAGAAACTACCTGACATTTGTAATTCTTTATAATTAATTTACCAAAGTTAAATACTTCCTTACTACCGCTTCTTAACTACAAATAAATGTTAAAAAGAGTCCCTGTCCAACTAGTTTCTGTCATAGGAAGTAAATGAGCACTACAAGCACAAAAGTATCTATATACTAACCTCAATGCTTCAAGAGACATTCCACTGTCTAACTTTGCATATTCCACGACGATCTTGAATGAAAGAGTTGCGAATAGATTGTAACATAGCATGCACGGCAGGAACATGAATCAATTCTTTATGCTGCTCCTGCAGAATGAGTTCACCATAAGATGGAAGCCTCCAGATAAATCACCAACTTCCTTAAAGAAATAGACAAGCACAAAAAATACCACTTCGGCGAGCCTTTCTTCAAAAGACCTAGCATTTGCATCAGCACACATGAATATTTTTCGGTAAGCTGTTCTCAGGCTCCTGATCTGAAGCATTACCCAAGAATATTGTTTAGTTATGGTGACATATAATTGAAGACAACAAAATTTGAACATTTTGTGAGCATAAACCTCTGAAATGCTGAATCCACGTCGTGTAAGGCCCACTAAATTCAGACCACGAAGCTCGGCTCTTTCTCCAGCTACCATCATGTACTTTGGGACATCTTGTGAAACCTTAATTTATGTAAGAACATGACATTGTAGTTGCACACCTGAGTAATTGTAAATCATTTGGCATGGTGAAAGTATTTGCTTTAACAAGTTCTTCACTAAGGGAAATTTCAAGTACTTCCAAAGATGGTAGCAGCCAGCAGCCCCTACGCTCTAGACTCCATTCTAAACAAACTATTGTTGAAATCATCTCAATGAAAATAATGGTATATTAATTAACGAATATCAAAGTTGAGAACAAATCCACTTTCACAAAAGTACTGTTATTTACAATAATAGATTCACTCAGTCCCAGTTTTGTTAGCGCAGGGCTGTTGGCTAGCTGATTAACACCCCAAACCAAGGAATCAGAAAGGTTTACACCAGACGGAATAAAACAGGGCAGTATGGGGAAAGGCTTGAAGAACTTACTAACTAGACAAATTATTTATGCGGAAATGGGTTATGGACATGTAGGAGGTGATTATCTGGTGAGGGGTAAGAGAGAGGGGGGTGGTTTTTGGCTAGGCTGGCTGGATTTTGTACAATATCCTTACACGATTGCATAACAATCATTTCCCTTGTTAAAAGCAGATTGATTCAAGACCATGAGATTAAAAGAAAAACCTACCACAGAACCGCCACCAAGAAAAGAGAAAGAGCCAAGATGACAGAATTGGTGAACAACAGTTGCACCTGCAGTGTGAACATAGTCCTACATATGAAAATTTTTAATTAATTTTCCAATTCCATGCTTAAAACATAAAAAATTAAACAAAACAGAATTTATCATAAAAAGAGGGACTTTAGTTTTAGAACAACTTACTTCCACCTCAACATGCCCAGCTAGAAGAGTATTGTTAGCAAAAATATTGTTGTTACCAATCTTGCAATCATGGGCAATATGACAAGATCCCATTATAAAATTGCCATCACCAATAACCTGATCATATGATCATGGTGAGAGCATGAAAAGGTATACATGGTTTTATGTGTCTGGAAATTTCTGGTTTTTCCTTTTTCTGTAAGAATTACTGAAACCATCTTACCGTCCTATCAGTTGATTTTGAAGATCGGTGGATGGAAGTGTGTTCCCTAATATCATTGTTGTGCCCAACTTCCAGGAAACATTCATCCTCTGGCTGCATGATAAGCACAATTAAGAGCTTATATTTTTTTTCCAAAATAAGCCAGATGTGAACTATGAGTTTGCTACACATAACATGAGTGCATAAATTGAAAGTTATTCATGTATAAGTTAATATGGATGATGCCCTACGCAACTAGTTAAAAGATGTACTGCAAATAGCAAGATATTATGAATAAATAGATATGTAAAAAATTAACACAAAATTGCATTCACACAGAAATGGAGTCCATCAAAAAATAGTAAACACAACATCACAAAGGAAGAAAAATGAAAAACGAGAGGACTAAAGCCAGAAAAATACAATGTTAAGTGTTATAAATCAACTCATTCGTGCGCTTTATCCTGATAGCTCAGGCTTTTAGTATGGTTAGTTCCTTAACATGATATTAATGACCAAATTATAATCCTGATAGTCTGATTTATTCATCCTTCAAACTCAGAATTTTCATGTGAAGGGTCCAGTTAAAAATATAAATCCTATACTTTCTCAAAAAAGCTTAAGCTGTTAGAATTATTGTTTCCATGATAGAAACCAATGCTAATCTTTATATAGGACTGCTCATTAAAGTTGGAAGAAATTTGTTTTAGTCTAATTTGCTTTGCTAGCATGCATCTTTGTGAAAAGCAATATCTAAAGTAAGACATTTAAAGTTTGAAACCAGTCAAGGATAAAATGTGCAACTCAAGAAAGAGAAGAACAAAGATAAAATTTGCAAGGCGCAACAGAAAGGTATTTTAAAACAATTCAAGCAAATAAACATAGATAATAGTGCTTACAAGCAGTACTTAAGGCTTTAGTTCTAGGAAAAATAAATAAATTAAGGGAAGACATTATTTAGGCATCACTATTTCTAAAATACATATACAAAATGCAGTCAATTTGAATGATTAATAAGAAGATCTTGTCAGGATTTTGAGAAGATTGACAAGAAGGAATGTCTAAAGCAGAACATTTTTTATAGATTTTTCCGAAGAATTTTCATTCAACTTTACCTCCTTTCCTGACCCCAATAAATTTTCTTCCTGAACTAAAGAAAATGTTAATACTTAAATTATATCTCCAAGACAATAAACAATGACAACATGATTCCTATTACATTAATCAGAGTCTGTGGAACAATTGCGTAAGTCGACAACAGAATTAGCAATGTAAACACCAAAACCATGATATTCAAAAAAATAGAAAAACATCCACCAGTTAATGTGAAGCATACTTTGTATTTCGTGTCTTGACATTTGACACCAATCACAGCGTGGTATCCTATTATGTTATTGCTTCCAATGATGGTACATCCAGGATAATCATCACCAATAACAGCACCACTATCATATAACGGTTCAAAACAGACTGTTCAGCAGAGCAGAATCTTAGGAAAAAACAGTGATCTTAAAGTCTGAACTCACGTCATCAACATGCAATTGTCCCCTAACTCTGAACTTCCAAAAACATGGCTTCCAGGATATAGTTGACAACCATTCCCCAGCTTTGCAGAGGAGCTGACAGAACAAAAAGGTCCAATCGAAACACCCTAGAAAAAAAAGGCAAAAGACTCATCACCACAAAACATTAAGTAGTAAAAATATGATTGATGAATGTATAATATAATAACAAATAAAGTGCAATACACATTCTAAGTACACATTAAGTGTGGAGAACAAACACCCTTGTTGTGTTGGCAACACAAAGGCTAACAAATAATAGGGTACAACATGGACACCTATGTGTGGCATCACATAAAAACTGAGCAAAATACCCAATTCCAATGGAATATAATTTCATAAACCTAGTGAAAATTAAGAGCAAAAGGACCAAACTTTGGTTCAACCAAAAGAAGAAGAAGAAGAAGTACCTCGCCAAGGACAGCATTTGGGTGAACAATGGCACTAGGGTGGATGAAGCTTGGTTTTGTGTCCACCCTCTCCCCCTCTGCAACATCTATGAGTTCAGATACATGTCAGAGTCAAAACATATACGCAGAAATTAAAAATGATTTTTCAAAAAAAAAAAAGGAGAAATTTTTAATATCGATGATTGATAGAAGCAACGAGTTGTTTGAATAAACAACGAACGTACAAGAGAAAGGGCGTTGCTGACAGAGTAAGCTTCGGATTCGGCGGCTGCGAGTACAAAGTTTCACGAACCGCGACATCCTTGGTTTTTCAGCATCACTTCTTCGTGTTGCCTAAATTCTATTTACACTAATTTAATAATTGTTGTTATTATTACTTTTGTGCCAACAATTTGTCCATTGAAGCAAAATAATCACACACAAAAAATTAGAATAATTAATTTGAAGCACAGCTAAAAAGAAGTAATCTTAGGAACTGTAAATTAATGTTTCAATTGTTATTAAGTTATACAAAACTTATTCAGAGATTCATAATTAGATTTCATTTTTAAAATGTTAAAATACTTTAAATATTTTTTCTCTCTTTTTCAAGTTTGGTCATGTTTTCTCCTTCTCTCTCTCTATCTAATGTTGCACTTTATGTTTCTTCATTCATCGTAATTTGAAAAATTTTATTTAAATTAGCCTTAGTAATTTTTTATGTGAATAACATTTTTGAAAAGTTAAAATTTAAAGTGAATTTTTAAAAGTTAAAATTGCTAATATATACACTAGCATGATTAAAATGGGGGATTTGTTCTCAATTTATAAGTGAACTTTTCCCTGTTATTAGTTAGTCAATTGCAGTTGATAATTACTCAATAATTTAAAAAAATATTTGTCAAAAAGGATTTTCATTAAGAGTATGTTTATGATTTGAATAATAAAATATAACGTTCCTTATCAATTTAACTATTACTAATAAACACGTATAGCTGTATTTCTTTCAACTAACGCTGATTAATTTCTTTCTACATATAACAAAGAATGATGTTATGAAAAAAAGGCAAAACTTTTAAAATATTGGATTAGAAATTTCATGATGGCATAAACTTAAATTTATTCCAATTAAAAATTCAATTTATTAAATAATATTTATTTGCACTATGAAATTTTATTCAAATTCTAATAATACTGTTTATACACAATAACGGCACAAAATTTATTATTAGTTAAATTTTGTTTTAAAATGATGAATATTGTCACAACAACAATAACATAATCAATAGCTATACAGATGGATGATAAATCAGATTCGGGGTAATAATTATTGTTCAAAAGACTCTTGAAAGTTGGAAAGGATGAAGAAATATTAAAGTAGAAAGTTAATAATGGCCATTTTGGTGAAAGGATTTAGTATAAACTAAAATCCTTGGAAGCTTCAAAACGAAGAAGGAAAGGAGCGTTATCAACGGTCATCTTATCTACAGAATATTGACGGCGCTTCACAGTAAATAATGGTAGCTTTGGAGATCACCAGATTGAAGAGGGAGCAATGCAACCGCACAAAACACGATTCTAACTTCTCCCGCTGGAAGGTTTAGATTATCCTATTTCTCTATACATTATAGTATAACTTACGTGTTGTTAATATTGTAATGTGTGTTATGACTCGTGTCTTGTGTTAATATGTTCATTATTCTTAATGATATAATATGTGTTTTTTTTTTTATTAATTTACAAAATCATACAATGTTTCTTCATTATTGTACTATGGTCATGATTGCTAGGGTTAATTCTTGTTCCTGTTAAGGAATTTCTGAGGGGCAATTTTGAAAGTTCACACACATTAGATTTAGAGGAGACAGCTATATGTTGTTTGATGTTGTACTTGAAATGTTGGGTTAGGTTGCTAATGTTACAAAGTGGTTTCAGATTCTGATTGGCCCTTGTGATTGGAAAGACTATTCCAAAGGAAAGGAAGGATGCGGAAGATACAGGATTCATAACCTTCCACAAAAATCGGGTCCAGGAGTGTATGAGCTTGGAATAGGTGTGTCAGGTAGCGGTTTGGGGCGTGAAATTTACAAGCTTGGCCCTGATTCTCACTCCATAGTTGTAGTTTACCTTGGACAAGCTGACAATGTGAGAGCAAGGCTCCAGCGTTATGGCAGAAGTGGGGCTCATTTGGATGATTCTTCTCTCCAAAAGGGTCGCCCCTTGTTTCAGGAGATTTTTTCACATGGTTTCTCAATTGTTTATAGATGGGCTCCTGTAAGTACTATCTCACATCTCATGTCCATTTTTTCATTTATGAAGATCACTATTGGCTTCAGCATCTCATGCCCAATTCACAGAAGTCCTTGTTTGTTGTGTGTGTGTGTGTGTGTGTGATAGTAGTTTGACTTAAAGAAATGTGTTTTGTGTAATCTGATACAATTTGTTAATGGAAGTTCAGGGAAGCCAATTTGGCCATGGGTCGACCATGACATTATTGAGATCAGTCAAAAATTAAATTATCTACATTAATACTGAATCATAGCTTAATTTGTGATAGTGTTATGAGAATTTCTAGTTATGTCTATGCTTAGTATCTCTGATGAGTGATGAGAATTATGAAGGGGATGTTCAAGAAATGATACACTCGACATGAAGTGTTGCATTTTGTGAAATTTTTGCACAGAAGACTGAGGAAATGCACATTTTCATCTTACAGAATAAGATCTGAAAAAAGGCAAGTTTAGAACTTGAATGATTTACTTGAGCAAGCAATACTTTTTTGTTGAACAGATGCAAAATAAGGAAGATGCCCTGCGAACTGAAGCTCAGCTGCTCAGTACATTTGATTATGCATGGAACACAAGCAATAATGGTATCCGGCGGCCTGATGATATTCTTCAAAAGCTCCTCAAAATTGCTTCAGGCACTAGAACATTTTCAGATATGGCCAGAGCACTTTTACCTTTCAGTTTCACTCAGAAGCAAGTTGGTATCCGAATCAAATCAAGCAAACTACCTCTGGCAGATGACAAATTAGATGCAGCAGACAATGGCAGCTATAATTTCCTATCTCGAGTATTCAGCTTTAACAGATCACGTCCTAGGATAGTTCAGGAGATCACTGGCATCATTCAGGATCAAGAGAGTGCTAAAATTTGTGGAGTGGCATTGGGTGATGGTTCAATTTGTAGAAGGCCTCCAGCTGATAAAAGAGTGCGGTGTCCTCAGCACAAAGGAATGAGAACAAATGTGTCCACTGCCAAAGCAAGGGCACCTAAGTCAGAGAGCACTGTGGTACTAGAACCCAGTGTGTATCATCAAACAAAGGCCAATGGATACAGATACCAAAATGTCAGCCATGATTTAGAAGATCCTTCACAAACAGAGATTGAGAGTCCTGCTGATGAGAGTATCACAAAAGCCAATATATGTGGAATCATATTGAATGATGGTTCCACTTGTAGAAGACAACCAGTCAAAGGAAGAAAAAGGTGCCCTGAGCACAAAGGGAAGCGAATTCGTGCATCTATTGGTGTAAATCAGAAATAATTGGCAATCGGTAATGCAGGTTTCAGTATAATATAGTTTTAGAATCTGTTAATGCTAAAAACAAGTGCCATGGTTAAACCACAAAATGTATTAGTTCAAGCTTACACAGAATCTTGTTACCAGCTAACGATATGGATTTAGGTGGTAAGGTGCGAGTGGCATAAGGGGATGAGGGTGGCTGGCTCATGGCATTACAAAATCTGAACACCATAACTCAACAGCTTTCTATGCACAAGACAACCAAGAAATTTTAAGTAATAAAAAAATGTTGGCAGCACTAAGGGATTGATGACAATTGAATGAGGGAGTTGGGAGGATAAACATCATTTATTTTTCTGAATGCATATTTGCGATTGTTGTACAATGACCAATGTATGTTTTATCTGTACAGTACAAGTAATGATTGTTTGTCATCATCATGAGTGCCGAATCTTGAGATTGTTAATTTGGTAAGAACATGTCCCCATTATGCGACCAGCAGCATCTCAGATACCCATACTGTTAAATTAAATGTCGATGTTTTCTCAAATTTTCTTTCCTATACGAATAGAAGATCATAAAAATTCCTTTTTATATCAGGTCCAAAGATTACAAACATTCAACCTGAGATTTAACCCATCAATTTGATTTGGGCCACAATACTTACACTGTTAAACATTTCCTATCAGTTAAACCAATCTACACATGTCAATCTTACACACACACATTGTGAGATTATGAGAAACATACGTCCACCAAGCACGTCGAATGAAAATTAATAATTCTTCCTTCCGGTAAACGTTGGTTTGTGGTCAGTGAATGTATAATGAAACAAGCTTAAAATTCTACCAAATCTCGTCTAGGTGCTGTTGAATGTAAGTGAAAATATGCAATTACTCTTTTCCCTGGATAATAGTGCTTTCTCTAATACATTTTTCGATTAACTTTCACTTCAATAATATCCCTAAGGGAGTGACTTAACCCAAAAAAATGAAAAAAAAAAAAATTTAAAGCACCACATCATGGTTATATTTCATCATAGTTGGGTAATTTCTCCATCTTAGAAGTTACCATTAATTGTAATTCTTATCAATAGTTATATTTTGAATTTTGTCCAAAAAAGTAATTTTGAATTTTACACAATAAAAGGTGTGTCCGCGAGAAAAGCAGATATTTTGGGCGGCACTCTGATAGAGTAACAGTAACAGAAAGTATGGAGCTCAAACTTCACACATCAATGGCTTCTCTGGGATCCATTTCACGCGCAGTCTCGCCCCATTTGAAATCTGGAATCTCATTTCAACCCTCTCTTCCCCTCGCCAACCCTTCTTCCTCTTCCTCCGTACCTTTCTGCACCTTCGCGATTCCCGATGCCAGCAGGCTTCATCCACGCCGAAACGGCACACCCAACGGTCGTTCCATTCACAAAACTCCTCCTTTGCGTAAGGTTAACCATCTCAATGAACCAAAATTGAAGCTTGACCATCCAAACCAAAACGCCCCTTTTGCCGGAAGTTCCTTGAATGTGGATTTGGTGGCCTTGTGCGAAGAGGGTAAACTCGATCAAGTTTTGGAACTCATGGGTGAAGGTGTTGTTGCCGATAATCGCGTTTATCTTGTGCTATTGAATTTATGTGAGGATAAAAGATCACTTGAATCAGGGAAAAGGGTTCATGAATTCCTCAGAAGATCACCCTTTAGAGGGGACATTGAATTAAGCAATAGATTGATTGGAATATACAGTAAATGTGGCAGTGTGAAAGATGCACGCCGAGTGTTTGATCAGATGCCTGAGAGAAACATTAGTTCATGGCACTTGATGATTAATGGATACACAGTGAATGGTTTAGGGGATGATGGCTTATTGGTTTTTCAGCAGATGAAGGAAGCAGGGATAGCACCTGATGGGGTAACTTTTGCATTGGTTTTGGCTGCATGTGCACGGGCAGAAGCTGTGGAAGAAGGGTTCTTGCACTTTGAGTCCATGAAGGAGTGTGGAATTGTTCCTAGCATGGTGCATTACTTGGAGGTTATTAACATTCTAGGGAATGCTGGTCAGTTGAATGAAGCTGAGGAGTTAATTGAGAATATACCAATTGAGCTTGGAGTTGAGGTTTGGGAGTCTCTTCGAAATTTTGCACGAATTCATGGAGATTTTGATCTTGAAGATCGGGCAGAGGAGTTTTTGTTGTGTCTTGATCCTTTAAAAGCCACTGCTGATAAACTTCCCACACCTCCAAGAAAGAAGCAGTCTGATATTAACATGCTAGAGGAGAAGAATAGGGTGACCGAGTACCGGAACACTATCCCCTATAAGGAAGAGGCTCATGAAAATATGAAAGGTTTGAGTGGGCAGATGCGAGAAGCAGGTTATGTGCCAGATACAAGATATGTTCTCCATGACATTGATGAGGAAGAAAAGGAGAAGGCCTTGCAGTATCATAGTGAACGTTTAGCTATTGCTTATGGTCTTATCAGTACTCCCCCAAGGACTACACTTAGAATCATCAAGAATCTACGTATCTGTGGGGACTGCCACAATGCGATCAAAATTATGTCAAAGATTGTTGGAAGGGAGCTTATTGTAAGGGACAACAAGCGATTCCATCATTTCAAAGATGGAAAATGCTCCTGTGGAGATTATTGGTAGTTTTGGTTCGGTAAAAGTACTCAAATGTAGATACTCTTGAGATGCTATACTATTAGATTGTTTCTTATTTGCTGCCAAAATGTTAAGGTTCAAATCCATAGTCGGGTTGATCAAAGAAATTTTTGTTCCATATCTAAGTTGACCTGTGTAGTGTCTCTCTGTCGTGCATGTTATGCTAGTAAGGGTTAAGTGGCTGACAGTATGGTAAATGTCTCTCTAACAACATTTGTTATACTGCGTAATGTTTTGCAGTGGCTTCTGAAATATTGCTATGAGGCGTTCTTACGAAAGCGCTTTTAATAACCTAGAATTTTGATAGCGTGTACATCCTGTAGATGGAATATGGAGAATTTTGTATATCATCCCTATATATTTAAATAGTAACACTCTCAAGATACACCTTTCCTTCTTCCCACACAAACATAAAAATATTGTGATGTTGAATCCTGAAGTACACAACCGATTTTCTCTCCTAGGTAATCCTGTAGTTATCTTGTCATTACATATTGAATTGAGAACAACAATTGCTCACGAAAATTGGAAGGTAATAGAAATCTGACAGCTGCTTAGAATAAACCAAATGTAGTGAAGAGATATCAGATAACATTTCTAAATTATTCTCTCTACTTGCACATTCAGAAAGTGCAATTAATCTTTTTATTTACAAGTACATAGTTTGTCCTATCTAAACCACAAACAACCGTGTCCTCCTTTTTATGAAATGAATGAGATCCGAGTAAAGGGATCATTCCTTGGTAAGGTGTACAAAAATACATGCCTTATGATCTTATCCTATTTGAAATGGAATAACCTCCATCTCACTGTACAACTTGAAAGAATGCAATGTGCAGCTAAAACAATATATGAATAACAGTACAAGTGAACCAGACCAAGAGGCCAGTCTGAAGCCTTTGAGGAGTTAGGAGGGCTAAAATATGAAGGGAATCATTTTATATCATTACTGTGAGGATGACCGGTTCTTTTGTTGGTTACTACTTCAACAGCAGCTTCATCTCTAGATGGAACTCTCAGCCATGATTTCATAGTATCATAAACTGTAAACCCAATAGCCACAGATGGAACAACCTGAATTACAAAACTCAACACTTAGTGTTACAGAAGGATTTTAGAGTTTAGGTTGCTTTAATTAGCTATTACTTTTATCACCTTTATGTAATTGATGCTCAGCCCTGAAAACAGTTGCTTCCAGCCATGCTTTTGGGCAATCAAAACAATGGATTTCAGAGTCCCCTTCAATTCAGGATTATCTGATGGCAGGAATTTTTGAACCTAGCCAAGATGGTCGTCAACTTCGTACCTTTTTATTTGATTTGATATCTACCTATCATTATCTGGATGATCAAATGAAATGAATTACCTGCATTTGCCTCCTAACAACTTCAAGAGGATATGTGAAGGTCTGACCCAATAAACCTGCTACTGATCCACACGTGAGTTTGGCCATGATGCTTTTATTGTACTCCTCAGGAACATGGCGCTTCATTTCCTCATAGAAGTAGAATTTCAAACCCGCATATGGGAATATTCCGACGAGTGTTGGAGCTGTTGCCATGAGTAATACAAGAGTTGTACATTATCAACACAATAGTGAAAGTAGTATACTAAATTACAAACATCAGATATAAGCAGATTAAAATGCATACCCACTCCCCGATAGAGACCTCTAATTCCACCCTCTTTGTAAGTCTTTGCAAGACAATCAAGGATCCCTCTGTAAAGTTGTTCATTATTAACCACCCCGGAAGCATTGAATTTGGTTGGACTAACAATCTGCAGTAGTTCACGAAACAATGAAACAGCTGGTGCAAATGAATTCCCTTTAGAAAGAACTTGTGATAAGACACTTTACCTGATAAGCTAACTTAGTCCTAATCAAGTCAAGTGGATAAGTAAAAAGAACAGCAGTCCCTCCAGAGAGTGAACCTGCCACAAGGTCAAGAGTAGGTCCTTTCCAAACATTAGGAAAAGTTTGCATAATCCATCTTCGGTATTCCTCATAGGCCATATAATGAATAGCTGCATAAGGAATAATCCTGGCAACACTTGCTCCATTTCCTCTATAAATAAATCCATTCGGATGATTAAGGTTAATTCAGACATTATATACTATACAGAAGCAGCACCTAAGATCATGAGTTTGGGTGAAATGAGAATGTACCTGTAGAAACCCAAAAGGCCTTCAGTTTTGGCAATTCTGAGAACTGATCCAGAGAGCCCTGTGCTTTGAAACTCAGCTCCTCGGGTCTGCAAAAAAAAGGTAGCTTCGTTGGTTACAAAAAAAAATAAAAAAATTTGACATTGAAAAAGAAAATACTAATTAAATTATTAGGATACGTATGTGTGTAGTGAGTGCATTAGCAAGATCATAGCAAGAAAGAGGAAAAGGGGTGAATAGTATTACAATTGAGGCCCAATTGAGGGAAAAGGAATGGGAGGGAAGGGAAGTGAATGAAGTAAAGAAAGAATGTTTGGGGAAAGTGAAAAGGACCTGAAAGAGAATCTTGACACGTTCGAGAGGAGCAACGACAGTCTTGGCAAAGCCACCGGCAAGGCCTCCGGCGAGAAGCTCCTTGGCGAAGAGGGGCATGAGATGGATCATGTTGATGGGGGTCATGGCCATGGCCTTGCCATCATCATCGTTTGCCATTAGCCTTATTCAAAGAAAGAAGAAAGAAACAAGAGTTGAAATAACAAAAAGAATAGCATAGAATTTGCTAACTTTTTTATTTATTTATTTACTTATATGTTTTGGACATCCAACCATTAGCCTCCAACTCAGACCAAGTCCACCATTCTCAGCTACCTCCCTATTTCCACCACTATTAAGTTCAAATAAATACAAATTATCTTCAATATTTCTCATTTTTAATTTTCTCTTGCTTAATCTTTATATTATTAGTGATTTTTTGTTTACTAAGTACAAAATAAAAAAATAATCAAAATAAAATGTCAAAGTACAAGATATTTTATCTATAAAAGCGTAAAATTTAAATTAATTCATCATTAATAACTAAATCTCAAAATAAAGTAAATTTTTATAATAACAAATTTAAGAGTTACTGGGATAAATAAAATACTTATTTATTTAAAGGAAAGTATAGAATTTAAAGTTTTTATTTATTCCTTTCTTTTTCACTGGCCAACATTTATTCCTTTGTTTTAAATTATCGAATTTTACTGCCTTTCCTTCTTCTTGTGTCAATTATATAAAAGGGGAAAAGTAATTAAAATACCACCAACAATATTATTTTAGTTATAATTTTTTTATTACGTGCAAAGTATATTACTTGGTAAATATTAAACATATCATTTTGAATACTTTTAACTAGTTAAAATAATTAGTATTAGTCAATTGTTTCTTTTAAACATAATAATTGTCTTATTGAAAAAACATTTTCACTTCTTTGATTTCGACCTTAGTTTTAAGTATGTTTTAAATTGCTTTAAATATCCTTCAAATTGGGATGCATGTTATATATATATATATATATATATATATATATATATATATATATATATATATTAATTTGTTAGTAAGAACTCTAATTTGGTTAAAATTCTATATTAAAATCAATTAACCTTCTATTTATTTTCTCTAAATATTATATTTTGATGAACTCTAATGCAAATAAAAAACATTAAGATTGAGTTCGTAATTTGTTATGTATGGTAAACGCGTATATTTTTATTTTTTTTAATTAACATGTCCAAAAGTTTAGATATAATTAAACATGTATTATTCACACTAATAGTTTGAAATTTAATTTCTCTTAGTGGATTAATTCCATGACATGCAAAAGTGGATATTGTATGGCATGGCATAAAAATTCCTAGAATCATGTTGTTATTCACAATTATAACTATGTGCCTTAATTGGTAGCACAATTGCATGTTATGAAATAGAGTTCATATTCATTTTTTTACTACCTTGGTAGATATTTTATTATTTTTTTGCAGCTTCTTTGTCTATCCTTGTGCCGTTTCCGCTATATTTAAATCTTTAAAGAACCTAAAACAAAACATTAATAATTCAAATAAAATCTAAAAAATATAAATAGATTAATGAAGTTCAAAATCATATTATTAATGACAAAACTATGTGAAAACGAGTTAAATAATTTTTAAAATTAGGTCTAAATAAAAATTATTGGTCAGCACTCTCGTAGCCATCCTTATTCATGCTATAGTAAGAAGTCAAGATCTCTACTTTTGCTTATACATCTAAACTTTTTAAAAAAAAAAAATAATTTCACAGTTTAACTTCTCCATGATTACTTATAAATTTATAACCTATTTTTCTGAGTAAAATTATTTATAAACACGAAATTATCAAGTATAAAATAAGTACAAAATAGAAATGATCACCATATCGTTTATTTTGAAATCATCTTACAGTGCAGTTGATTTTGTACTGTAATTTTTTGTATTATATAGCATTTCTTTTGTTAATTAGGAATCAAATATTAATCTAAACTATATCATAATTTTAGTGAAAGCTATTTTGTTAATTGTTATACTTGGGATCATATTTATCATTGCTGTTTCAATCTTATTGACAGTAAATTAAAGGCACACAACGCAGTTAAGGGATATTTGAAAGAGCTAATAAAATGATTTATTGCTCCTATAAAATTTTAGATAAATTCATCAAAATAAATTTTATGATTAAATTTTTAATATAAATTCTCATAAAAAAATTATTAAATAAACACTTGATTCAAGTGCATGTTTATAAAAATGTACTATTTTGCTTTAAGGATTATTGCAGAGATAAAAAGTTAAAATTAAGTCCATATTTATTGTTTTTATTTGTTTAGTCACTTGTTTAATAATATTGTAAATAATGAATATAATTTTTTATTTTTTATATATAACTATAATAATTTATTTTTTTTACTAAAACACATGTATCCTCTGATAAAGGCAATATATATCAGTCTCTGATCAAGGGCTTATTTATTTTTTTAATGTTTTTTAAAAAATAAATTTTTAAAATAATATTTTTTAAAAACATATTCTTTGTCTGGGATTTTTTTGTCATGTCAAAAGCTGTATACTATTTAGATGAAATATATATTTTTTTAAATGCTATTTCGTCTTTAGAAACTATTAGACTGCGCCACGTGTTATTAGCTGGTGAGTTTCACCTACTGCAGAGACGAAACTCACTGTGCCATGCGTTATGCTCGGGATCAATTTACAAAACTGGTTAAAAAAAAGAAAAAAATTATATTCTAATATTATATTAAAATTTATTAAAAATAGAAAATTATAAAATTTAAGAATAAAAAAATTATATAATTTTTAATTAACTTAATTAACAACTACAAATATATTAAAAATTTATATTTAAATTATACTATGTATATTGTATGACGCTAAAAAAAATACCTGCTAATAAAATTATAAATTTAAAAGCAATTATTTTAAAGTGTGAACCTTATTTTTTCTTTTTTCAAACTAATTTTATAAGTTAGGTGTGATATTTAAAAATTTTAATAATTTATATAATAAATATGTAATTTTTATAATTTTTTTATAGATATTTAAACTAAGGTTAACAATTTCCTAACACTATATTTTTTTAATATATTTGTAATTATTAATTAATTTAATTAAAAATTATCTATATTTTAATAATTTATTCTTAAATTAAATATTATAATTTTTTATTTTTAATACATTTTAATTAAATATGTTTCGTCGAGATAATGGATGAATAATGTGGCAAAAAAATCCAAATAAAAAATATTTTTAAAAATGACTATTTTAAGAATTTATTTTTTAAAAAATATTAAAATAATAAATCAGCTCCATTGATATAATTATAAACATATTTAATTTAAGAAAAATAACTATAAAAAAGTAATAAAAACATATATTTATTATATAAATTATTAAGATTTTTAAATATCATACCTAACTTACAAACTAGTTTAAAAAAGAAAAATAAATGTGGCTCACACTTTAAAACAATTGCTTTTAAATTTATAATTTTATTAGCAGATATTCTTTTTAGCTTTATATACTATACATAGTATAATTTTAATATACATTTTTAATATATTTATAGTTGTTAATTAAGTTAATTAAAAATTATATAATTTTTTTATTCTTATATTTTATAATTTTTTATTTTTAATAAATTTTAATTAAATATTAAAATATAATTTTTTTCTTTTTTTTTAACCAATTTTATAAATTGATCCAAATCATGACACATAACGCAATTTTGTGAATCTTGTCTCTGCAATAGGTGAAATTCACTAGATGATGACACATGACACAATTTGATAGTTTCGTCTCTGCTGAAGATGAAATAACATTTAAAAAAAAATATTTCGTTGAGACAGTATGCGAAATAGCACTTGACGTGACAAAAAAGATCCTAAACAGGAAATATGTTTTTAAAAAACATTATTTTAAGAATGTTTTTTAAAATATTAAAAAAATAAATAAGCCCCGTTCAAGTATATAATTATACATTTTGATATCAAGTAAACAATTATTTTAATTCTTAGAAAATTAAAAATTTGTCATTTTAGTATTTGAAAAGATAAAATTGTTCCTATGATTTCTAAAAGTTCTATTTGTCAATTCTTTTTTATTTTTATGCTAACTAATATATATGTCACTGAAACAGCTGGTCTCACGTTTTAGGTGAAAAACGAATTCTATTTTTCGATTTTCTTTGCATTTTTTCTCCTATTATTTATCTTGAAGAAATCTGTTCATTATCCATGGAAGAATTGAAACCCGTAAGACATCACCAGTAAACTAAGAAAACTCTTTTGCTATTGAATCTCATACACAAAAAAAAAATGGAAAGAAATAAGCAGAAAAAAAATAGATCAGTAAAACATGAAACAAGGTTTTTCAAGAGAAACTTGTCACTAAATAAGATAGTTAATTAAAATTAAAATTATCAAAAAATCATTTCAAAAAATCAAATTTCTTGACAGAGCATGAAAAAAATTTATTGTACATTTGAATTCATATTTGTGAAATTCATTTTTTGCAACTTTTGAAATAGAATTAATTGAAAAAACATGGTAGATAAACTTATTACTCATAAATAAGTACTTGAATCTAATATCTTATTTAATGAATATCGAGCTGTTTATCACTTAGATCAACAAGCTTTAATTTTAATCAAAAACAATTTAGTTATCTATTAGCATACTCAAATTAAATCTAGTGTAGGCTTCCCAACAGCAAAAGTAAACAAACTAATTATAACATATTTGTTTTCATAAAAATTACATTAAAAATCATAAAATATTCAATATTAAGAGACCTTTACTAAACGTTAAGAAGAAGCTGTTCATCCTTATCTTTTGTTTTTGTTTTTTCTCAATAGAACCATTACCAAGCGTTTAGTGCATCGATCCATATTCTATCTTTGCATTTCACATTTCACACAAACTGCTAAGTAACTTTTTAGTTTTCACCTCATAATGGTCTATTCTGAAAGAGGGAGCACAGCCAACATGCATTGTTGTTTCCATATGCCACTTTCATAATCCCAATATTTGGTGGAACTATCAATCTACATATAGAAAATTTGATAAATAACTATTTTAGTGTCATTAAAATTATTTTGACACACACTTAAGGCTGAAATAATATTCACTAAAATTAAATTGGATAAAATTGCACGTATTATACATTTATTTGATACATGGTAGAAAAAGGCTAACAATGGACAAAGTATTTGTGTTTTTTATGTCAATCATGTGTGTGAGTTTATGAGTACTCTCTTTTCTTCTTTGGGTTCATACAATGCATTTCAAGAGACAAATACACACGGAACTTCTCCGACGTTAACAAAGCATGGGACAAAAATCTAAACATTATGGAAATAACATAAATATCGCCATCGTATATTCAGAAGGGGATAATATGCCACATGTTACTTCAAAGTGTAAAATAACACTGACACTTATGAAGGTGTCATGACAAGTATCCAAACAAGAAAGTGACTTCTTAAGAAATTTTAGATATTATTCTTAAAGAGTCCACCTCAAGAATTTTAAGAAAAATGAAAAGTATGTCATCTGAACACTTAACTATTTTAATTATAAACCATGTCATGCTTCGCACAGCATCAAAATATAACCTTTTTTTTTTTGCCAATTATACGTGTGATAAGAACAGTTTTATGTTATTTTTTACAAATTTTTTTCCCTCCTTCTTTAAATGCACGTTTCAGTTAATTAAATATGAAAAAAAAGTAATTTTTCTTCACTGAAACAAATAAAATTTCATGAACATTGTCATCCATTCTATTTCTTATGTCTAACATTAGAAATATTACACTTGTGAATCTTTAAATGAAATTTCAAGCTTCAGGATGAATTAAGAAGATGGCATGCATCTATCTAATGCAATGTTAGCGTGGGTTTAAGGCCACTTTCAATCTTAAATAGATGATAATAATAAATTGAAATTGTGTGGAGAGTGGACACAGAAGGGTGGAATAAAAAACACTTATAATTAGTATGTCATTGCCAAATCTTCATCTAAACAAGGGATTGTCCTTTTGTGGCTGATTAGTCACATTGATTGACAAAAACCATCAACTGATAATTGAAAAGAAAGATAATTTGTTTTTGTAGTTTAACACATAATAACAATATTTTATTTTGTGAATGATAACTTGTATATTCACACTAATAATATATTATTCATTAACTGAACATATCTTAAATCCATTTTAAGTTTAGACTAAATGGAAGATCTGTTACTGATTGATTGAAGTAAATATTATGAGACCTATATTGGCACCTTTTCTTTTTGGGTTACAACCTGTTGTAATTTCGATGGCAATAGGTACTAATGTTAATATTTTCTTATTATTACTACTTGACTTAATTTTACTTTCATTCAATAATTATCGTTTGGTAAAATTGTGAAAAAAAAATTACTGATCAATCAAATTATAAAACAGACATGATTAGAAGTGTATGATAAGAGTCAAATGAAAGGCAAGCAGCAAGCCCTTTTTATGTATATTTTTTAAGGTTCTTCCTTTTGACATTGATGAATATTTAATGTGAGTAAAATTTATGCCCAATGTGATATTGAAAAAAAAAAGTCGGTTTCTAGTTTTACATAAAGAATGGGCTAGATGAAAATAATATAAATGTTTGGAGATTTTAGATGTATATGTGGTGTTATTTTTATAATTTGTGATTAGACTCATTAATATAACTCTCATTTGTTTTTTAACCTTTTCAAATCATGCATGACGAATAATATCAATTTTGAATGTCAAATATTTGAAGGTAGTAACTAACCCAGCCTTTTATTTTTCATCTATGAAAGTGGCATTACGGATATTATGTTAAAAAAAACTGAGTTTCAAGTTTTACATTAGCTAAAAATAGATCAAACGAAGAAAGAGATTCATATACTCAATTCATGTGAGACCCTTTGAAGTTTGAATGAGGCACGAAATGAGAGGTGAAACATGCTAGTGTGATCCCACTACTAAAGAGAGTTTAATTAATTTTTAGTCAAACCAATCTAAAAATGAGGTGCCGTTGGGAAGGAAATGAATGATGAGCCATGCTTCAATAAACTCAGTAATAAATATATTTATTTTATTCGTCGTGGCTCATTTTCTCTTAAACTATTTTAATTTAATGGGTCAATATCAAGTCTTATTTTATAATTGGTTAGGTGAAATATATTTTTAAGAAAAAATGACTATCTATAAAAACATTTAGCATAGTTGTTAATTTATCTAAGATTACTTTGCCATAAAAAATGTTAAATATCAATTTTAGAGAAATAAAATATAATTATTTTTATCTTACAAACACTGAACTTAAAGGGTGCATTTTCATAAATGATAATCTGTATTGCGTATAAAAGAATTGTCTCCCAGTACCAACACCCAACAGAGAAAAGTGACTAAAGAATCAAGATTAAGCTCTAGTGTATGATTATGCATGACATTAATTGGAATGGGATGCAGTTAATAAAGAATTTACCCCAATAAAGCCAAAAATGCTCCGACAAAAGATAAAACATGTCATGATTAGATCAACAATTATTTTTTACCCAGTGATTTTATATGTTCAGCTTTTATAAAGTTTTTCTCATTCTTTTAAGTTCAACAATAAATTGTAAAAACTAAAATACATATGTTTAGTTAAAAACATCTGCAACTAAATCATTTTTTATTTGACTCAGTATAGTCAAATTCAAATTGAACAGACAACTAAGAGGGATAAAATTCTACCAACCTATCCTATTTTAACGCAACTAAAATTTGAAAGTATTAATTAAGATAAGATAGCTTACTACCAACTAATCTATGAACCAAAGGGTATTAATAACTAAATAATAATATTATTGTTGTAATTTGAAAAGGATAAATATATGCTCAAGAGTGTAAAACATGGTTGGCTAGCGGTTAAAATTTGACCCAAGTCACAGAGACAAGCGTCGGTGGTGGTTAACCGCAGGTTAAATGTTATGTTCCAACACAGAGAGGCATAATCAGGAGAGAGAAAGAAACAACCGCTTTGTTTCATTGTTCTCTCTCTTTCTATATATGTCCACAACACCACCCGTTGATGACATAGCAAAAGAAGAGAGAAAAGTGGTGGAAGAGGCCTCCGAGAAGAGCTACAGCCTACATCCATGGCTGAATCCATTTCAGTTGACATGGAGAGGATCTTTCTTGGCGGAAAGGTTCCCTTTTATCCATTTATTTTCTGTTTTCTCTTTCAAGTTTTCAACTTTCTACAAATGGGTTCTTCCCTCTCCATTTTCTCTTGCTGAAGATTTTTTTTTTTTTTAGTTGATCAAATCATGGGCATGGCTTTTTCTTCTCTGTTTTTATTTCATGGTGCTCTTTTGAATGTTTATGTTTTACCATTCCAATCCATTGGGATTCTGAAGATCTTCGCATTCCTTATATGTCCTACTAGTTTTTTGTCCTTCCATCCTTCTTACATTGAGCTATTTCCATATTTGATCCTCTAGAATTTTCTTTTGATCTTTGCTTTAGAATTTTAGTTATTTATTTTTTTTGTTTTTATTTTAAGCTTTTATCAAGTTTCCTATACTATTGAGTATTGTCTAATCTTACAGCTGGTTACTTACAGTGATTTTTGCAAGGAATGTATTTTTTTTTTTACCTTTGCATTTGCTGTGTTTGATGCGATTTAGATGATGTAGAGAATTTTATTATTATTATTATTATTATTTTCAGTCTTATACTTTGTTGTTTTCCTTTCCCTTTTCCTTTTATTCTTCTTTTTGGTTTTTTTGGTGGGGTCCGTGTTCTTTCTCTTTCTCTTTTTTTTTTCCTGTTTTTTTCCTTATATATATATATATATATATATATGATGATGATGATGATGATGTTCATCGCTTTGAAGGAATTGGATCCTTTGTGCCTTGGCTTTTTCGTCTACTTGGTTCTTTCTAAGTGCATTACAGTCTATAAGAATCATAGCTATACCTTTCTTGTCCTTTAACTTATTATTGTACTTGGAATAATTCTAGCTGTTCCTTTATAATTTATATACGTAGTAGTTATTTGTTAGATCAGGTAAAGTCCTTTTTTAAAAAACATTTTAAGACACTGTCTTTGGTTTCACTGGCTTCACTTTGTTTTGTTTATTGAACATACAATGATTGGAATCTGGAATTACTTATTTCATTATGATTTATCATTTATAAAACTAATGTTGATATGCTATTGCTTGTTTCTTGGGGTTATCCAAAAAACGGGTAAGGACACATGTGCATCCATGTTAGGAATTAAATAATTTGAGAAGTTTGACACGGTTTTCCATTACTCAGAAGGAGTACAAACAAAATAAAGGATATTCTTTTCTCCACGGAATGCTCTTTTTTTCACGCGAAAAGTTTACTTCAATTGTTTTGATTCTTTGGTCCACATTCTGTGTTGTTTTTCTTTTTTTTGGCTGTGTTTCTTCCTACACTTATTTCAGAATCTTATTCCAGGAACATCATATTCGAACTGGCTGTGGCTCTGTATCTGTCATAGTCTATGGAGATCATGACAAACCGGCTCTAATCACATATCCAGATGTAGCACTAAATCGTGAGTGGAGTCAATTCATTTTCCTTGTGGACAATTACTTCTGATTAAAATTTCAAGAATCTTAATTTTTGCCTGCTGTTCTGAAATGTATTGCTTAGTTCTTTCTGAATGCATTAATGATAGTGTATGTGTATGTTTGACTCTATCCTCTTAATTTTATCTGAAAATCTGAGGTATTATTTTATTTCTATGTATTGGGGCAGATATGTCATGTTTCCAAGGATTATTTTTCTGTCCGGAGGCAGCTTCTTTGCTACTTCACAATTTTTGCATATATCATATAAGTCCTCCTGGACATGAGGTTTGTAAAATTGATCTATTTGAATGTAATTTCTATTGCATTTAGAACTGAATGTTATTATTTACATAGTTTATCTGGACCTTCCACAAGAGTTTTTGTAGTTGGGAGCTGCTGCAATTTGTCCTGATGATCCAGTCCCTTCTGCTGAAGACTTAGCAGATCAAATACTTGAGATTCTCAACTATTTCAGGTAATTACAATATAATTTACTCTGCTTGAAATTTTTTGATGTTAGCTTCCTTTTGTTATTTTTTTAAGTGTTCCATATATTTGAGAACACATCCAATGTGGAATGTGAATTTTTGCAGTTCTTGTCATATTAATACCCTAAAATTCAAAGGGAGTAACACGGAAGTGCATATATTGTGGGAAAAATCTATTGTAATATGATATTTTTACTTATTGCATCAACTATTTCCTTGTCCAGGCTTGGTGCGGTGATGTGTATGGGAGTAACGGCTGGTGCTTATATCCTTTCACTATTTGCTGTATGTTCCCTATTTAGAATGTTTTATGGTTTTATATGTATACAAACTTACGTGTAATAAGTTTTAATTTGTAGTCAATTTTATTGATTTGCTATTTTTTTCCCCTATTTTGATGCAGATGAAATATAGGGAGCGTGTTCTTGGTTTAATACTTGTATCTCCCTTATGCAAAGCTCCTTCTTGGACCGAATGGTTTTTTAACAAGGTTCCTTTCAAATGCCTGCAGACTATGAATGCATAGGTTCTCTCTTGTTTGATAACATTACCTAAGACTGCTTCTAATTTTAGGTGATGTCAAATTTGTTATATTTCTATGGTGTGTGTGGCTTGCTAAAGGAGTGTTTGCTCCAGCGATACTTCAGCAAGGTATTGTAACGCGAGAATCTTATTCCTTTTGGAAATCCTCGTTTATTCAACATGTTATGACTTTTCCTGATCAACTTTAACAGGAAGTTCGTGGTAACGCGGAATTTCCAGAATCAGAGATAGTTCAAGCTTGCAGAAAAGTCAGTTCTAAGATAATTTAGTTTCTTCCCCTGTACTGCCCTTATAGCTGAAATGTGATTGTTATTTCCTTGCTTTTTCTATTCCTCCATTGCATTTACCTCACATTGCACTGGTTCTTTTGCATTGTTGCTCCTCCAGCTGCTGGATGAGAGAAAGAGCATCAACGTCTTACGGTTTCTTCGTGCTATCAATGAGTAAGATTTGCTTCATAGTTGCTTCACCACATCTAAGTTAGCATATTCATGTGCTCCAACTTTGTTTTGCCAACTCGCAGGAGACCTGACATAACGGAAGGATTGAAGAGATTAAAATGCCGTACGCTTATATTTGTAGGGGACAGTTCTCCATTCCATTCGGAGGCTCTTCACATGACTTCAAAACTTGACAGGAGATATAGTGCCTTGGTTGAGGTATGTGGAAGCATGTAAATGAATGTATGAAAGACTTGATTGTGAAAACAAATTGTAAATCCTTGTGTTGTACACATGATTATATACTAGGTGAGTTTGAATTCATGTTACAAGACTTGTAAATCTAAAGATGCTATATGCTGTGCCGGTATGTTTTGCTTGATATCATATATATGTATATTATTTGAGAGAGAACATTCATAAATGTCACAATACCAGGTTTGAGAGTGGGTTAATTTGGCAGGTTCAGGCTTGTGGATCAATGGTAACGGAGGAACAGCCACATGCGATGCTGATCCCAATGGAGTACTTTTTCGTGGGGTATGGGCTGTATAGGCCTTGTTATTTCAGTGACAGCCCAAGAAGCCCGCTTAGCCCATCTTGCATATCTCCTGAGCTACTATCTCCAGAAAGCATGGGATTGAATCTAAAGCCTATAAAGACACGTGTTTCAATGCAAATTTGACAAGGGGCACACATTCACGTACATGTGATGTAAAGAAGTCTTGTTCTTTTTGACTTTTCTAATTTTTTGATTGTTTATTAAAGAGAGGAATGATTAGGGAGGGTGAAGTGGTGGCAGGTTGTAGATATAAAGGGAAAAGGGTGTTGAAATTCGTGAGAATATAGGGACATTTTCGTTCATTCATTTGTAGTCACTCACTGATCCGTGTCTGTAGTCTGTACATTCCACATGGACTGCATATTTATTTATGGTGACAAACAATCAATAACACAGACCCCTTGATTTTCAACAGCCTTCCCCTAACTTGGAATATGTTCTAGACATTTCAACACATCCTGTGTTGGTTGGGCTATTAATCTGTTTGTTTAATGCTAAAACACACATGACATAAGAAATAATAATAATAATAATATTTATTATTATCATTTTATTACGAACCAAAATTGAATTATAATATGTCGGTCACTAAAGTGATTAATGGTTAAAACACACGACATTTGCATGGTTTTGGAAGTTTTTCTTCCCTAACGCCTGCAGTAGAAAAAATGGTGACCATTCACATTAAAGATCCTCTTTTTTAGAATAGGAAACTGCCTTCAACATGCATGCGGATCCATCTGGAGTTATTATTTACAATATTAAATTTTCAAAAGGCAAAAAGCATAAAGAAACGTGAGCCTAAGAAGTGAAGAACAGGAAAAGGCCCATTCACTTCCAATTTGTGGACCGTGGATAAGAATTTTCAACCTGAATATTACACATTAACAGTCAAATGTAACAATCCACAAAAAGAAGGCATAGCAGCTTAAGTGCCGGAGCAATTGCAATGTGACCGCACCAAACGCTTGTTAAAAGCCTGCCTGAAGTAAATTAGCAAACCAGGGAAACACAGAGACAAAACTGATGAGGCAGCATGCAACTTCTCACCACCTCTTGAGGCCTCCCATCATTCAAAGGATCCTCCTATATGCACTACATAATAACATTAGTTATCCAGCATGATTGTGGACTTGGACGTAGATAACACTTTGTTATTCTAGTTCTAGCTTATGCATCTGTATCTGAAACAGGATCCTCAACTTCACTCTCACCACTTGAACTATCATTTGTGGCTGAAGTACTGGCTTTGACTTGATCAGACTTTAGATGGAGATCATACTTGACAAATTTAATTTTCTTTTCACTGCTTTTTCCTTTTCTTTTTCGGTTTCCATTTTCAGATAGCTTCATAGTTTGGGCAGCAGCTACAAACGCATCACTAATCAATTTGTTTTGCTTATCATCCTCACCTGTATTTGCCTCTTCTCCAACATTATCAACATAAAAAAGATCATCATCTGCTACCTTGCCCTCCAAGTTACCGGCCGGTTGCTCGGCTTGGGAAAAATCAAGACCTAATTTAGCATGGCTTTTTAAAATATCATCTTCAAAAACTCTAATCCCTCGATTCTCAAGGCTTAGCAGCCAATCTAGTGAGTAGATTAAACATAATTGATGAAATATGTAAGGAGGTGTAATGCATTGAAACACAATTTTTGCAATCCTAAATATAAGTACCAAATGTACTTACTTATAAGAGCTCTGGGTGAGGATCCATTTGCTCTGCCATCTTTTTCCTCCAAACCATTCTGGCTTGTAACCCATTTAGTTATTTGCAAAGGTAATCGAGAAGCAGAAAATGCCTTACTATAAGTGACAGCTCTATTCTGATCACCATGTCCTCTACATTAAGACAAAAAAAGAAATCACGCTCTGTAGAGACAATGTGAGAACTATATACATAATACAATAATTAATTCATCATACCTAAAATACTCTACAGCTTCTTGAGTAATAATCAATCTGGTCAAGGTAAGGCTTTTTATGTGCTTGGTATTTAGATAGAGGAAAGGGTACTCCACCAATAGTACAGCATCAAACAAAACTTTCCTCAATAGAATTTCATCTTCAGGCTTCTGCTTGGACAGCAATAGAAGAGAGGAGTACTTAGAATACCAACATTCTACGAAGTGCTTAACTGTACAAGCGATAGCACTCGTCCATAAAATTATTGTGTTGGACTTTTGTGCAATGGGAAATGGGGAAAATGCCTGCCGAGGTAACTAGTTGCAGATATGGAAGAGACGATGTAACTTTATGGCAAATACTCTATAAGAATGAAAAACTAACCAGTATTAAGATCAGAGGCAAAGTTGTCTCTAATGCTGCCCTCATAAGGATCTCTGGTTGCACAAAAGATTAATCCACATTAAACTAGGAACTAGAAAATTGAGAATCACAATTAGAGAAAAGTTAAATTAAATGATCAATTGTTAGAATTCATCCATGAACCAGCTAAGCCCTTTGGTAAAAATGTCAAAAACAAAATAAAAATCATCACAGATACAAGTAAACTGACGCATAGAAGTTCATGCATTTCAGAGAGGACAATTATAGTGCATAGATAAAATACTTATTGCTAGGCTCAATTGCTTGAGCTACTAAAAGGTTTTGCCCTGCAAACTTGAAGATTTAGTGTGTTTAGAAATAAGTTGAAAATCCTGCAAACGTAGATCGATGCAGAGGCTTCAAGTAAAATCGTAACGTGGATTCAAGGCGTGAATCCAAACACTCACTTAAAATCACACTGACACAGACAAGGGAAGTCGCAGGAAACTGAAATTTAAGCCCAAAACACAACAAAACATTACTGACCCAAAAAGTATATATTCTGAAAGCCAGACATTGAGCCAACAGCCCAACTCTTCAGATTCATTTCCAATACATCCCTTGACGTTGCCAAATGGAAACACAAGCAAAGCTTCAAGAAAAACGCTTCCACGATGACGGCACCAGCCAAGTAATCAACATGAGATTCTCTACTAAAAAGCCAGCCACAAACATCATGGCTCACAAGAGGTAACAAAGATTCAAACCCACTATTTTTGTCCACCCAAACAGAAGCCAAATCAGTGAAAGGCAAAATCAAATTCAGACCAACGGAATCAGATTCCTCCTCAGAAATCTTACTACAGCAAACACTGCTATACCCAAGAACAGTATCTACCAAAGAGTTCACCTCCCTCATTGCTTTCTTCTCTCTCTTCAGTCTCAATTCCCTTCCAAACAGCTCCACAAGCACTTCGTGCACCACATAAACAACAGGAACCAACAAAGCAATGCTCTTTGAAGCACCAACGGAAGCAGAACACGCAGATAACAGCTGAAACAAGCCTTTTGCGGCCAATATTCGATCCAAGGCATCACCTTTTTCTGAGTTGAGGCCACGAAAGCCGATTGCAGCATAGACCCATATCACCTCAAAGGGTGGATCAACCTTGGCTTGCATCAATTCGTAAAACGCATTCATGAAACGAGAAAAATCAGGGGATTCTTTGGGAATCTCATTTAAAAGGTCTTGCATTGAATGTTTCAGCTTGAGGGCATAGTTTTCACCCACAAGAGGAACTAAACCTGTGATTTCCATTAGAGCAGAGGCAACCAAAAGCAACGCTCAATCCACAGCCAGTAGAACCTAATTTTTTTCTCTAGGGTTTATGAGAGGGGTTTTACTAGTTAAGATGATTTGGAACCGGTTCGGACCGGTTTCTAGGTCTAGTTTTGCATTGACTCCTACGTGGACGATAAAAAAAAAAAATTTCAGGGGAAAATTTTGAAATCTGAATCTTAAATTATAGAAGTACTACGTGTTATATTGCTTCTTATTGGTGGAAAATATGGGACCAACGATTTCTTTGCTTATCTGGACCAATCACATTCGCTAAAAATGTGATTTTTATGTGTATAACAAAACCAATAATTTAGCTTTATTTTAAGAGTATATATAACAATAGGAAGGTGGCTTCTTTTTTGGTGTGGTGTAATTAGTGTGTTCCTCACGTACCCACCAAATTGTTGCGTAAATTTTGGAGTTAAATTTCATCTTTTGAAGGCATTGTGGCATTCAAAACCTATCCTAGGTGGTTTGGAACAGCGTATGTGGTGTTGTTGGGAAGATGAAGGTAGTGTTTTGGGTTGTAGTTGTGTCAGTGGTGGTTGCAGCATGGATGCCTCTCTCACACTGCTCCAAGAAACCGGTGGGGATGGCTAGAAAGGAGGATATTCCGTACATCAAGTGTCAAGTTTGTGAGAAGCTCGCTAAGGAGTTGTATCAACAAGTTCAGAACAAGCAATCTGAGATCGCTCCCAAAAAGGTTCGTTTTTTTTTTTTTCATTCTTTTTTTGTCATCGTGGTTTGTTTTCTTGTCAATTGTTTCATTGTGTCCTTTTCAGAGTTGAGCTGGTAGGCTTTTTGTGGTGTAGTGAATTTGTGTATTTTTGTGTGTTAGATCTCGGAGTACCAGATCATTGAGATAGCAGAGAATGTTTGTAATCTGAAAAAGGTCGAAGCGGATTGGATTTTGCGTATAGATATTGTAGAAAAAGGAGATAGGTTGGAGGTAGGAGGACCCAACTTTTCAACTTTGTTGCATCGTATGCTTTCTTTTGGATTGTGAATGGTTTTAATTTTATTGAATTTGTGGTAATACCTGAACGTTATGTTTTCGACTTTCTTTTCTTATATATATCAGCTAGTGGAACAAGACTCTGAAGGACAATGCAATTCGGAATGCAAGACAATTGAGCGAGCCTGTCAGGAGGTATGGCACTTTTTTCTGCTCATACTCAGGGTCACCAGTAAATTACACCTACTTCTCATTTGGTTCTGAAATCTCAAAATTATGAGAGAGAGTAGAAAAAAGAGCAAAAAAATTCACTAATATCTATTCTGAATCAATTGCAATCACTTTGTTGACGTTGTTGCACCGTTTGTGGTCTTAATTGTACTTTCTCTTCTGAATATTTATATGCACATTTCAAATATCTGCATTTGAAGGTGGTGTCCTATAAACCTATATGCCTGGATATTTGTGATTACTAATTGTGAATGTGGAATTTGCAGGTTATAGGATATTCTGATACAGATGTTGCTGAATATTTATATAGTTCCAAGCCTGATGTTGATTCATTGCTCAGTTATCTCTGCAAAGACCTTACTAAAGCATGCAGTACCAAGCCACCTCCTGTCCCTAAGGTAACTATAATCTGCAATTGATGCTTCTGAGTAATATTTTATGATTGGCATACAGCTTTCCTTTGAACTATGATTAATGCATCCAAATTGATTGTCATAAATATTCAATCTTCTTCTCTGTAGTATTAAGTTTGTGATAGCGGCTGCTGCTGTCTGCTGTATATGATATCATGCTTTTCTGCAGTATTGAGTACATTTTGTGACCATCTTTTATGGGATGGTTCATGGTTCTCTTAACTTGAGTTTGTCAATCGGGAAGAAAAACTAAACAAAAAACTTGAGTATGCGTGATGGCATTACCTGTTGGCCAATTTTAAGTAACCGAAAAAAAAAAAGGATTGTAATTTATTTTTTCAAAGTGGTATACAAATTTCTTCCACATTTTTATTTTAGAAACATATTTTTTTTAATTGCCATAAGCCCACAACAGGCATTAATGCAATCATGAAATACTTTTAAGCACAAATGTGCTGAGAATGGTGCTTTAATTTCTTATATTTCGAACTGGATTCTCAAATGTGCTGGGACTGCAAGATACTTTATCCATGTACTTTTATTTTATAAAATTATAAAGTGATTTTACCTTCACCCTGCACTTCATGATCCATATTATATGCACATTACCAATTAATTATCCCTTACTTGGATTCTTCTGTTTGGAAACAAAAACGTTGTTCCTGCAATGATGGTATCTTCGTATGTAGTTAGCATTATTGTTTGAATATGTACTTTATAGTCTTGTTGGGAGATCCTTTTACTTTCTTCATCAAGAGATCTATTTGTGTGTTGCAGGACAGGACTCCTGGTGAACCATTTGTTGCAAAGTCTTCTAAGGAGGCTGAAATGGAAAAGCTACTAAAATCTATGGAGGTATTTTACCTTCCCCCCTCCCCCCTCTCGTATTATATTTACTTTTCTGCCATGATTATGTGGTTGGTTGAACATTATGATCATACTGTATTAAATTCTGCTTCAGGGCATGCCAGGAGCACCCGGCATGAAAATGTACTCAAGGGATGATTTAATGAACATGAAGAATTTTGGCGATGAAGATGCTGATGATGAAGATGAGGAGGATGATGATGATGAGGCCAGCTTCCCCTCAAAATTGGTATTAACTGTCCCTTTCATTCATATTGATTGAATTGTCTTTGAGGGAAAACATTGTTTGAAACTGATGGAGTAAAATGTATCTTGTAGGGAAAAGTTTTGAGAGCAGAAGAAAGTGGAAAAAAGGACTGGAAACAGATGATAAAGAAAGGGATTGAGGACACAAGCATGACACTGAAGAAACATGCAAACAAGGTTTCTAATCATATACGACAGTGGTGGAGGGGAAAGACAACCACTTCAAAGAAGGGTCCTAAAGCAGGGAAGACAGAACTTTAGAGCCCCACATACTGTGCTGTAGCTCCGGTTGTTGAAGAACTGTTTGACATTAACACGATATTTGGTTATAGGTACTACACCCAAGATAGACAACAAATTGGAATATTTGAAAGCAATCAAATGAGAGCTTCACAATCACCACTTGGAATGATCCCCTTTTCAGTCCTGGACGTGAGCCATTTGATGCATGAGGATGGGTGTATACTACTAGCTAAACGATAGTGTATTTTATGATGCTCCATTTGTTGATTAATGTTCGCCCTTCCCTTTTCCGTGGATAGTGGTTATTCTCGAGATTTAATGACAATTTTGTAGTTTTGGTAATTTATTGTATTCTCTGCGTCGGAATTTCAATCCTTTCTGTCATCACCGCTGTTCAAATAAATTTATTTTTTTTCTGAAAACCCTTTTTCTTCTATAATAATCAACTTCATAGCTTACAAAAAATTATATAAAATGAAATCACAGTTGGAATGTACATTGAAGTGACAATAACTAATATTTCTTATAACGTTGATACATAAGCACCAAGTACGAATATAGTAAACTCCTCGAAGTGTAAGGGACCGATTGATTGGAATCAAACTCATAATCTGATGTTACCCCTATAATCCACCTAACTGTTTAAAACAATTGCTTCTGTAACTTCAAAGAATATTTTTACATTTTCATTTAATATTTTTAGATTGAAGCATAATTTGATAAGGACCTATCTAAACGGCCATGATATGATTGCGTGGTAACTGTCAAACTAACATAAACACAGTAGAGCACAGCAGTGAAGAACATTCATACATTTAAAAACCATTTGGTTACGCCAAGTATAAGGGATAAAATTAGACATAATCACGTGGCATTTGGAATTCATAATGTTGAGCAAATTTCAATAATTCAGTTATACCCATTTTTTCTATTTAACAATAGCTAATTTTATAAATGGCCATACATAGCAAGTATCTTGCTTTTGAAGGAAGATATTATATAATACAATAAAACTTGAAAAAATATGATAATGGAATTTTCATTCAGCGTTACTATTTTGGCTGTCATAGATTGAACTGTTCGTATCCGTAAATAGGACACTGGCAGTGTAGCAGATTCATTCAGATACTTCCTAAGAACGACAATCTATTTGAAGTAAAGCTTCATCCGCCATCATAAAGCTATAAAATGTAAACAAAAGAGAATTTCAAATTTTATCATTACATCGAGAACACAATTAAGCAATTATGAGAAAAAAAAATTCATATAGAATAGAAAACAAGTTACAGCACTTAAAATGCAGCCTAAATTGAAAAATAGAAGCACCAAATATAATCAAAATTTCACAACTTTGGAGACCATTGGGAAAGCATGACTCAATAAACCAAACTCAACGCATCTTATAGTACTGAACCCTTGAAGCATTGCATCGCCTGCCATTCAATGAATACTTGAGCATTATATCAACATCCCGTGGATTTTTTTTATTTGGAGCAACAGTCATGCTTCCCACAATTGTCTCTCCCTCACAAATGGTCAAGATATCTTCCAAGTATAGCACAGTTTGTTTCCAATGCGTAGCTCGTGACCTTGGCCCTGCATAAATGTTCAAAAGGTGAGTCCATACTCCATAGTGCTGGTTTAACAAATTCTCAACATGTGTGGAACCAACTCAGAATTTCCAAACTATTATACAGTGAAGATGATGACCAACAATAAAAACTCTGCTAGTCTTCCATACAAATTTCAGGAACCGTTCCTGGAGGAAACACATCCAGCTTATTTCAAAAGAAATGTCAATTTATTCAGTTTAGTTCAGAACATGAAATTCTACTACACCAATCAACCAACTTCATTGTTTGTCCTTTCTAATTATAATCTCCCCTTACTTATCTTGAGAAGCTAGTCCTTTATAACAAAGAAGCACTCAATGTATAATTTGTTTTGCCAATTAACAGTTTAAATTACAGAAAGAGAAAATTTACTTGTATCCTTAAAATTTAAAATAGACAAAACCAAAACCTCAAATAAAGAGAGCTTAGGAATTAACCTGTAGAGAAGCCCATTAATTTATGACACTTTGTAAATGAAACATCAAAATATGCAACAAGAGCATGAATATAATCGTCGCGTTCAGCTACAAGCTTAAAAGGTGCTGTGAATGAAGCATCTCCAGGAGCCATCTTTGAGATATCCATAGTCTAAACAAAGCTGAACCAATCAGAACATATCTTCCAAAGAAAACGAGATTCTCCGGCCAAATCAGAATGAAAATTTACTGCGAAGAATGCTGTCTGAAATACCCAATGCAAGGTACAACAAATATAGCAAACATCAGGAAAACTGTAATTACCCACCCACCTTGAGTAGCTGACAGTTTGTGGAAATTTGATTTGGGTCAACTGTGTCAACAAGAGGCTCCATTATGGCTTGCTTCTTGATGCAGCTCATGTCAAATCCATATACACTGTTCCAAACTGATATAGAAAATAAAAGGCAATCTAAGTAAAAAGCCGACACACACACACCTCAATGAACTTAATGCCATTTCTTTTTCTATATACATTTCAAATTTTCAAGGTTTTTCAATACCATCCCACAACAATTGACATCGATTCTTTAATTCCATATGCAAAAGGAATGCAAGGAAAAAAATTATCAAGTTGAATGCCAGTCAGGGAAGCAAATAAGCACCAGTTTAGATCTTTTATTTTTTGGCTCTTGGATATCTTGTTAATTGCATGCATGATAGACTCATATTTAGCCAGGGTTCAATAGCTCACACTCAATTTTATCTTCTTTGTAGTCTGCATCTTCAATGGCAGTGAGGTAGAGGGATGCTTTATCTGGTAGCACAACTCCACCATCAGCCTAGGGAAATAGACGAAATGAGATAGTCTCAAAACAATAACCACACCATTGTAGTATAACCAAGTATGATAAACTAAATATCAACAACCAAGAAACACAACTTACAAGCCATTTGTCACGTGCATAGAGCACAGAATTTAACATATTCTCAAACAACAAGAAATATCCCATCCATTCTGAAATGATTATATCAACTTTAGCAACTGGAAGTTCAATTTCTTCAATCTTCCCCTTCAAAACAGTTACAACTGTAGAAACAAGACAACATTATAGCAATTGTAGTGAGGGGCTTTCGCAATTAATCTACATATACTGAAAACGAATTAGATGCATGATATAAATGGCATCACCATTAGAGTAACCATTAGCTTCAACAATCTCCTTTGCCATGTCAGCCATATGAGAGCACTCAACCTGAGTTCACAAATATAAAAATGGTTCAATGAAAAATAATCAGGAATACACATTAACTTATAAACAGCATATATTTTCATATTAAGAAAAGAACACTTCAACGATAAAATAAAAGTTAGACACGTACTGCATAGACATGTTCAGCCCCTGCTTTAGCACAAAATAGGGATAAAATCCCAGTCCCGGCACCCACATCAAGAACTACTTTATTCTTGAATAAAAATTTATTCTGATAAATAACATTTTGATATGTCTTAGTTCTTACAGTGTCCTTCAACATTTCCTGCAACGCAAAAACAGGTCACGAAGTATTAAGCATGAAAAACAATTGAATATTTGGAATTTATTTTTCCTTGTTATTCATAGAACTGTTTAGACAAATTGCAAATCAAAGAACAGAACCAAAACTTAAACTTGCAAGGAAACAGCAGACTGCATCTCAGTTGAGCAAACTTACTTCGTGAATTCCTACAAGCAAAATATAATAAAAAAATGAGTACACAAGTTTATAAAATGCAAAATAAAGACAAAAATGCACTAAAAGGCATGAGAGTCGAATAGGTTGCAAAAGAGGAACTTAATGCTTCAGCAACTGCAGGGAAAAACATTACCTAAATAACGATACCCAGACGCAAAAGATGAAAACTTTGAAGAAAAGGAGTTATGGGAATGGGAAATACCAAAATGAGAGTAGGAATCGAAGTAGTAGTCGGCGCTGGTTTTATCATCGGAATCGTCGATGTCGCACATGGATTGGTCGAGGTTGGAGCTCTCAGCAGCATCGTCGACGACATCGTCGGCATCCTGAAAACGAAGGTGGTTGTTCATGTTAGCCTCCTCCTTGCTTGTTGAGCTCTGATTGTTGTTCTTTCGCCGACCCATTCAACCTCTTCTATTTTCAAAATTAGGGTTTAAGGTTTAGCAATGCTTCTTCTTTCCCTGCTTTCAACACATTTCTATTAATGTTATTATTAATCAATATGCTTTCATAATTTAAAAAATAAATTAGCGAGGGTTCTTTTTAACACACGGTTATTTTATTTTTGAATTTTTATTATGTCATAAATAATTATAGAAAAATATTTAAATATATATACAAAAATTTAATCTGAATTTTATCTTTCATATTTTTTTAAAATAAATGATAATATATCGACATACATTTTCAAAATTTTATACTAATATTTTTTTATATTACAAAGACATTACTAAATTGAAATAATTGGTAATAAAGAATAAAAATATATTGTATTTTTTAAAACTTAAAATTAAGGAAAAAAGTTATGAGAACTTAAAACTTGAAAATCTAAAATTGAATTAAAAAAAGTGACATAATATAATTTAAAATATATAATAACTTAAAAATACGTTAATTCTCTCTCTCTCTCTCTCTCTCTCTCTCTCTTTATATATATAACTTTTTTGTGATTTAAATTATTTATTTCTTAGTAGTCTTACCATTGTTTTTTTTTTTTAGGTCAACTCTTACAATTGTTTATAATTATTAAACAGCTGGTTTTCTTCTGGGCTAGAAGGAAAAAGATTTGGGCTTGCCTTAAAGAAAATTGCTTTTATGAACTAAACCAGTCCAATCAATTGTTTGAAAGTTCATTGGTCCCAATAACAGGTTGATATTTCTTTTATTTTCTTAATTAATCCTCAAAATAATGTCACTTAAATGGCGACGTGTGTATGTAAAATCTAACTTAAATAAATAATCAATTTTATTGATATTTAGATCCAGATTTTCTTTTTATTCTTTATTAAATTTCTATATGTAAGAATTAGGAAATATAAAACGAATCTTAATTACCATTCTTATTTTTATAAAAAATTAAAAGTGTAATATAACGAGTACAAGTAATTCTATCTTGCTTAACCTATGTTAAAATATAAATTAGCAAGATAAGTAGATCAAATCCATAGATTTTAGATTTCAATTCGTTTTATTAAGTCAACTCAATAGGTAGACTCATGTTATCATCTCTACCATCTTTTTCCTCGTCAACTAATATATAAACAAAATACTACATATTAAAAAAAATAATATATATATATATATATAGTCACCATTAAGTTTGCATTTATTAGCAGTATAATTTTTATTTAATATAACTACACTATTAATTTGAACATGATAAATATATACAAATAATATGACACAACACATTAATATATGATTTTGGTATAAAAAGTTAATATGTACTTACTACTAGTTCATCAAATTTTTTATTGACAATATTTATATTAACAACTTAATTTTAATCAAACAAATAATACATTAACAAAATAAAATTAACCGTTACCTTTTTTGTATATGCTATTATTTTATAATAAACTTTTTAACTATAATGTTTGACATTTGAACTAGTATATATTAATTCTCAAATTTTATTTCTAAAATTTGTCTTCTCTTGAATGAAAAATGTACTTTAATAGATAAAATACACATTATAATTGTTAATAAAAAAAAATTATTAGTTAAATTATGATCAAATACATACACCACATATAATAAACAATGTCATTGAATCTTCGTCCATTGATTTTTCAATCTATTACTAAAATATTACACTTTCGTCCAATAAATTGCATTCTTTACAAGCTAAATCCATAGTTTAAAATCGTTAATCTGCATTTATACGCATAACGTCATAAATATCCTTTATTTGCTAGTATTCACACTCCCTTCTCAAGTTGGCTTCGATCACTTTGATCTGGCATGCGAATCATCAAAAATTTACTTAAATGTGGGAATACTAGAAATTTTCTATTTCCCTTACTTAAAAGTTACTTTAATTAACCTCTTCTAGTCGTTCGAAATTGGAAGTACAATAGGAATATAGAACTGACAATACTACTTGTTGTGTATACCTAAAGGGAATTAAAAAAAGAAATGAAGTGTTGTGCTCCATGCACTTCATTAGTGACGCCTCATAAATCAATTGACTTATATTTAATAATCATATCTCAATGTGCAAGTGGACTTTATCAACCTTCAAATTTAAGAAGCATCATGTAAAGCTATACAGTACACACCATACTACTTAAGACATGATGATGGTAATAAATTTAGTAACTAACTGTTTGATGAGTTCCAATGTACAAGTATGACTGTGCAACACTTATTGCAGAGTTTTGTGATCGAGATTGGCTGGTTGGCATGGAGCTGGCCTTGGTTATTTTAAAGGAGGGAGAAGAATATATAACATGAAAACAAACCAATTGTAAGAAAGAATAGTAAACAAATGAAAAAGGTTCCGCGTATAATGAGATAGAGAATATACATAGAATTAAAGACGTGATAGATTTTAGTATACATGCCTTTGGATATTGATGGATAAAGCTACTTATATGTCCATCATAGTCTTTTGTGGAGTTTCCTGGTTCACAAATTTTAAGCTATCCTATGTGTTGGACTCAAATCCGTGATCAATAGTAAGAGTAAAGTGACGCGCACCGTTTATGCATTTATTTGCTAAAAGTGAGCTGAAGAGAAACACATGATTGAGGCTTAGAAATTCTCACATAAAAAGGCAGTTTTTGGAGCATATGTATAGCAACATAAAACATTAAATTAATAATTCTAAATCATCTTTCGTCTTCCTTCTACAAATCTTTACTCACAAATAATGAAATTTATATTAAATGTTCTAATATTTTAATAACTATTAAATGTATATTTTAATTTAATATCATTATAAAACAGTTGAGAGACAAATAAAAATATTGCAATATTACTGAAAAGAAATATCAGACAAGCACAATAATTAGGAAGGAACTAAATACAAAGGCAAGTGGAGCTAGAAACAAGGTCACAAGATCATTTGAATTCACTAAGGTGGTGATCTTAAAAACCTTGAAACTTGTATTATTAAGGATCAAAGAGGTAGCGAGTGGACACGGTTGGGCCACGTTTTCGAGTTTTGAATTACTACGAGCATTAAGACATAAACAAAGAATTTTGTCACTTTGCGTGTGTTTGTGTGTGTGTGTTGGGGTGTTTGTATTGTGTGTGCCTACAGAAAATAATTGCATGCGTAGTCAGAGGCAATTGGCTGGCATGTTTGTGCAGATTGGAAAAACCTTACTCGGACTTTCTGAAGGGTATTCCAATTTATATTCATTAACAAAAACGTGTGTACGAACATGGTAGGAATCAGTCATGCATGTAAGTTAAGCATATGGATATACAAGTGCGACTACAACATTTCCAACATATTTATGGAATATTTCAAGCAAATAAAAATGAAATAAAGGAAAGGTAGGAGGATGAGAGGGAAAACAGAATCTTCAAATATTAATATATGCTTAGTCTAATCCGACCTACTTAATATTCTATACTTATCTCTCTTGACATAATCCTAGCATCACTGGAACATAAACTCCCACGTGGCATCTTACCATTGGTCATGTATCTTCTGAGAAGATTCATGCCCCTCTAATTGGGATACAAAACTATTGCAAATTCTGTTTTATCTTAGTTTATTTTCAACTCTTAACACAACATATCACTGATCTCCTAGTTTTCTGCGGACTTGAATTATTTTTTTCATCAGATGGACAATGTGATAATTAGCACTTATTCAAAGGTAATTACAGTGTTCAAGCAGCTTGACATGCAACATAATCATGGTCAACTGACGCTTTATTGATTAACCAAATGCTATTAAGTACAAATTGAGGTATAGTTCGAACGGGTAATTGTTATAGATTAATACTAGTTTAATAAGGATAGTGATTAAAAGATTAAAAGAAAAGTTTTTTATACAAAAGAACGCTATATATATGTATTTTTAATGAGTTTCAATTAATCTTAAGGTGTTTTTTTTATCAATTTTTTATTTTTATTCTTTAACCGTTAACCTGTACTCTTACAACTTTTTGTCGATTCTTTTACTATTTTAGAAAAAAAATCATTAAATTTAATTATTTAAAATATAAAAATGTTTAGCTGTTTCATTATTTAATATCTAAAAGGATTGTCAGAAGGATATTGTAAAAAAAAATAAAAATAAATTATTATGTTGCTTTGATGATTTTACTGACAAAATAATTGTGTGTTGTTGAACTTATTTTGGAGTTGACGAAAACGTACTCTTGGTCTTGATTTTGTGCGAAAAGAGTGAGAGTCTCTAACGTAACTTTGTTTAGATTGGTGTAATCACCCTTTGAAATGTCAAGAAGTGCCATAAGCTGTAATTATTCGCACCTGTTTTTCTCTGTGCTTTTGGACAACGTATGAGTTGGTGTACTCCTTATTGTGCTCTCTTTTAATAAATTTATGACTTATAAACAAATTTAAAAATTATATAGCAAATTAAATAGCATGCAAATTGAAGTATGATGCCTACTTATTTTAAGTTTATTTTCTTTTGATTATTCAAGAGATTACTAGTCGTCATCAAGTGACATTGTCTAGGCCCTTCACTGATTCATTTTGAGTTGACACACTTAGCTGTTATCAATTAATTAAGAGCACATCCCCTATCTCACGTATTAGTATAGGGTTAATTAATTACTAGATTCCCTGGACTTTCTGGTTTAGAAAACAATTTTCATGTCGGAGAAGATCCAAATCAATTAATCAAGCCATCTCCTTGTAAACTTCCTCAAAGACAATGAACCATTAGTCATTTTCACAACGCTCTAGATCATTTCATGGGTGCTTCCATTGCATGCTGTGTCTCCGTTGGAGTCCAACACTTAGGAAAACTTTCTAGGTAATTAAATGCTTCATTCCCAACATATAATATACCTTCTTTTTGTTCCACCTAACACAACATGTCACATTAATTTTACTGAATCCATAATTGATAGTCAATTAGCCCCAATGGAAACGCAATTTTGGATCCTGAAAAGATAAAGATAACGTACAAATCATTTAGAAATATGTTAAAAAGTTTATGAACACAAATTTAATGTCAAAATTACAACTAATTACATTAAAATAAACGTAAATCTATACCCGTTTAAATATGAAACTGACACGCTATAACATATAATACACATATAATATTATAATTATATAGCTTTTGAAAGCAATTATATTGCGTAAAAGACAAAACCTAGTCTCTTATTCTTTGAGCTCTAGCTATGTAGCTAGAGATAATGCTTTTGTCATCTGTGGATACATGGAGGTTTTTCTAAACCGAAGACTCATGGAGCATGAGGAGTATTTTTATTCAACAAAGAGATCAAATTGGATGCTTTCCAGCCAATCATGTTGGATTTTATCTGGTTAGAAAAGGGTCTATAGCAAGTAAGAAGTCCACAACTACGACTCAATTAATATAAAAATAAAAATAAAAAAGAGGTTAATATCTGCTAAGACCTTTGTTTGATACTTGTCTCATCCCTACAGGCCGAAGTCGCCGCACAGTCGTCATATGTCACGTTCTCTATTATGCATTAAGATTCACCATATTAACTGCAGATCTAAAGCTGATCTTCTCTAGCACATGGATATTCATGATTTGGAACCCCACGTCCCTGTTACATACACTAGCTATAAGCTACCACATTGTTATTCTTCTCATCATTGCTATTCTTATTATTTTTCCACATCATCTTTTTTTTTCTTCTTCTATATGGGTTATAGATCGATCGATGCATAACAATTCTAGTGAGTTAGTTGAATCCACAAAAACAACACAATCCCGACAAGTATCTTAAATTCCAAACTCCTAAACGTTGTTACGCATGCATATATATACATGGCAAAATTACTTTCCTATATTAATATTATCTCGTGAAAATATATTATACGACCATATCCAAGTGAGATATGTATATATGGTCTATATACGCGGGCTGGTGTTCGTATCCTAAGTTCCTAATTAAGCATTTAGGTCAGATAATAATTAGTCTTGGATTCAAATTAATTACAATCATTCGTTCTGTTTGTTTTGGGCATTTCAATCATTAACGTTGGATTCAGAACTTTCATAATATACATGCATGGAAAAATAAATTGGCACGTTTTCCAATTTTTGGTCCTATTTTTTTGTTAGTATATTTTACAATTCAAAGAATCCAGCCATGACTTATAGCTATCATTTTAAAAGATAAAAGTACACAAAGAAAATCTATATAATTATATATTAATTAAGGCAACGTTTAGCGTTTCTTGAATTTTAATCATTAACACTAAATTCAGAACTTAATGAAGGAAAATAAGTTATCACGTTTTCTTAATTTATAATTTTCGTTAGTTTAAAATTCAATCAAGGAATCCAACACGTACCATGAGTAGCTTCCTTTAAAATATTTTCTAAACGTAATATGGATCAAATTATATATATATATATATATATATATATATATATATATATATCTCCAAAAACAATTGACAAGGCAACGATGGGGTTTTTTTCCCTCAAAGCATCTTTAATTATCTTGCATAAAAAGATGTTTTCAAATTATGCTATTAGCCCAAATCATCATTAACATCATAGACAGTTGAATGAAACACATAGATAATATATATTTTAGGTTCTAATTTCACAAATTTTAAGTAGACAGTCTAATTTGAATACCTCGATAAAAAAAGAGAAAAGGAAAAGAGAGTACAAGGCATTTAGCAATACTCTTCGGGTTAATTAAACTGAAATCATTTCCATGCATATGCCGAAGGCGAGTGTTGAAATCCTTCACCTTTAATTTTGTCTGATTTATTGTTTTGAAACCCTTTTTCCTCAAATCCTATATATATACGCGGGGGGGGTTACAAACTTTTCATTCTGACAAAAACAACACAAAGCAACTTAAAAACGACAGGCACACCACATTATGGCTACAAAAAAAGAAGATTAATCCTGACATTTTTACATTATCTATTTGTACGTATGCGCAACTTACACTCCATTGCAAAACACTATATATCTTTTAATCTCTCTTTCCTCTTTCTTCAGTGACATGAGATTTTATACATGGAATGCAAAAGGAGGTGTAAAAATTATTTTCACAATATTTTTTTAATAAAAAATTGCCTAAATATGGTCAATGTAACTTAATTAATGATAACTCTTATTAGAAGAGTTTTGATCACATAATTGAGTTATCTAATACATGCACTTATATGTTAAACCTTCCAATGGAAAGAAAACCACAAATAGGAACATGTTTAGTTTAAACTTTACAAAGTCATTAAATTCGATCTGTTGTTTGTTGTTGATGCAAGAGTGGGGTCAGAAGATCACCCCAAGACCTTCTCTTTTGTCCCAGCTGCTTGCAAATCAGAATCTTAATCGACCTTTTGGGTTACTTGGTATCTTTGTCAGGTCATCAAAACATAACTACTCCTAAACTCCTCTAATTCTAGAGTGTTTAAAATCTATTCAGATCATACTGCATGATTTGGTTTCCGCAAAGGAATTTTTGGAGTTTGTTTGGCAAGGGGATTTGATTAGTCATAGGTTGTGAATTAATGGTAGAAATTGTTTTTAAGAACTCAACCACTTTATCAATTTAATAAACAAATAACAAACCATATTAAATAATCCACACAAACAAAATATTAATAATAATCTATCATCTCCATTAAACCAATACATATGTGGCAAAATCTTTAAGCAAAGGAGAACTATAATGGCAAAAAATCAACCCCCAAACAACCACCATATATTTTCTGTGTGGATCCGGCAGAAGGTCACAGTTGTCACAAGTCTCAGTAGATAAACTATATCTGTAAAAGCCTAAAAGGTAAAGCTCCGATTTGCTTACACTTGAGAATCAATAATTTATATATTTTTCTTCATAGTTTGTGCTGAACGCGCCAGACAAGTTGAAGAACCATTTTTTTCTTTATGTCTTAAGGCTCAAAGCCTATATATAGGGGGGGTTTACACAAACTTTTCATTCAACAACAACTTCTTCTAGTTCTCTCCAAGTTTCCCTCTCTCTCTTTATCCTACTCACAGCAGCTTTCTGCTTTCTGTAATTGGGTAACTCTTTTGCAAGGAAGCTAGCTATATGGGTATTGAGATTGAGCAACCTTGTGTGGAGCTTTCAAAAGTTGCAGTTTCTGAAACCCATGGAGAAGACTCTCCTTATTTTGCTGGTTGGAAAGCCTATGATGAGGACCCTTATGATGAATTAACCAATCCCTCTGGAGTTATTCAAATGGGTTTGGCAGAGAATCAAGTAAGTGTACACAGTCACAAGGCAACTCAAGAAATTAAAATTCCGCTTTTTATTCTTAGGCTTAACTGATTGATATATCCTCTTAATTTATTGTACAGGTTTCATTTGATTTGCTTGAAAAGTACTTGGAAGAACACTCAGAGGCTTCTACATGGGGAAAAGGTGCTCCTGGTTTCAGAGAGAATGCTTTGTTTCAAGACTATCATGGGCTTAAAAGCTTCAGAACTGCAATGGCAAGCTTCATGGAACAAGTAAGAGGAGGGAGAGCAAAATTTGACCCTCAAAGAGTAGTCCTCACCGCTGGTGCAACTGCAGCCAACGAGCTCTTAACCTTCATCCTCGCAAACCCAGGAGATGCTTTACTTGTTCCAACCCCGTACTACCCGGGGTAAGAACAATCTCTTAATGAATCATTTAATACATGTTTAGTTTAATTTAGTTTTGAAAAAAAAAATATTTTTTAAAAAAATCTACGAGAAAACTTTTGAAAAAAAACAAATGATTGTTTTTCTGAAAAAATGCAATATACCCCAAATAAGTCTAATCTTTTTTCTTTACTTGGCACTTGGAAGCACATACTTTATTGCTTTATGTGGATAATATTTATGCTGTGGATACAAACGCATGCATTAATAGACCCTTATTGGTATACATAAAACTACAAGTTAAACTAAGAACAATTTGGCTCTTTTTCTTTTACAGGTTTGATAGAGATTTAAGGTGGAGAACTGGGGTGAACATAGTTCCAATCCACTGTGACAGCTCAAACAATTTCCAGATTACTCCTGAAGCCTTGGAGGCTGCATACAAAGATGCAGAAGCCATGAACACCAAAGTGAGGGGAGTGCTAATCACAAACCCCTCAAACCCATTAGGTATAACAATTCAACGCTCAGTTTTGGAGGAGATTCTTGACTTTGTGACTCGCAAGAACATCCATCTTGTCTCAGATGAAATCTACTCAGGTTCAGTGTTCTCTTCCTCAGAGTTCATAAGCTTAGCAGAAATCCTTGAGGCTCGTCAATACAAAAATGCTGAGAGAGTTCACATAGTTTATAGCCTCTCAAAAGACCTGGGACTTCCAGGTTTTAGAGTTGGCACCATTTATTCATACAACGATAAGGTTGTGACCACAGCTAGAAGAATGTCTAGTTTCACCTTAATATCTTCTCAGACACAGCACCTTTTGGCTTCTATGTTGTCAGATAAGAAGTTCACTGAGAACTACATTGAGACTAATAGAGAGAGGTTAAGGAAAAGGTACCAAATGATCATAGAAGGTTTGAGAAGTGCAGGAATTGAATGTTTGAAAGGAAATGCGGGTTTGTTTTGCTGGATGAATCTAAGTCCAATGTTGGAGAAGCCAACAAGGGAAGGTGAGTTAGAGTTTTGGGATGCTATTTTGCATGAAGTGAAGCTTAATATTTCACCTGGTTCTTCCTGCCATTGTTCTGAACCGGGTTGGTTTAGGGTGTGCTTTGCAAATATGAGTGAGCACACGCTGGAAATTGCATTGCAAAGAATACGTAACTTCATGGAACGAATAAGAAGGGCAGAAAGGGTATAGAAATATATATAGTTTAATATTTATCTCTCTTTTAATTTCTCCTTAATCAACTTATTTATCTCCGGATTTATTAGTCTTTTTTTTTTTTTCCAAATGGTTCTTGCCATTTTGATAAATTCTTTGTTCGGGTGATACCAGTCCCGAAACTTATTTCAGAAGCAAATATTGTAAAGTTGATTCTACTGAAGCGTATGAACCCTTGTTTGCTTGCTTTACTTAAGCAAGTTCCTTAGGAATATCCTTTTGTACTATCATTAAAGTGAATTACCATAATAATTAATGAAGGAAATCTTTGTCATTAGATTATTAATCCCTTGACTAGATCGTGGCAATCAATTTCTCGTTTTATAACATCTGTATAATAAAAATTTATTTATTGAAAATTATATTATAATAATAAATTTAATGTATAAATAACATTAAATATTATAATTTTTAATAATCTATTAATTTTTTTATCATGTATCATCATGTTAAAAAATATATTTTCTCTTAACATATCATTGACTCTGAGTTGGGAGTTTGAAGTACGTATAACAGCTAGCAAAAGACTAATCGGCTGGCCTTTAGCTTCAGCGCAAGGTTGGAATCAATAAAATATCAAAACCTTCCTCACTTACCTCTCATTTCATGGTCGATACTAATTATCATGGTCTTTGTCATGCTTATATGAATAATATGACTTGATTAAGACTAATAATCAGAGGATTATATAATTTGCTTTCTAATGTTGGGCATGATAGATGTTCTAATACACGGAGAATGGTCCACCACGTGATATACCCTGTGATTGATATCACACGTACGACCAGGGTAGATGTTGACCAATATGGTTCCACTATATTAATAAGTAGCTTCACCAGTCACCACTAAACTTAGAGCCCACGCTAACATTTTTAAATTGTTTATTCATGCAATCGAACTCTCTTAGTTTAGTGTTCATTAATAAAATGATTAAGAGCTTTCAAAGCATTGTTTAAGCGTAAGACACCCTTATTAACTAAGACCATGACCATCACGTATGGTTTGACTGAAAGGAGAATATAATCTATTCAACCTTTGTAGATTGACATTACTACTACAAGCAAGCCCACTTGCTTACAGAGGTATTAAGTGTTTCTTCACTTATTTTAGTACTTAGAAGGATGGATGATTTGACTTTTAACAAAAATTTTATATTCGATTTTTTATTTTATTTATATTATTTTTTATATATCATATTATCTATTCCATTTTTTTATTTTTTATTTCTCTTTTTCTATATTAATTTCGCACCCCACAAAATATTATCAAATTATCATTATATTCTTTGACTTTTATTAACAATTTATATATCTCAACCAAGTAAATTAAATATAACTGTCATTTATAGTACATCTCTTCTGAGAATATTTAATAAGGTTTAACATGCAATGCAAACCTGATTTACCCATTAAACTTTTAATCCTATCAACATAAGTCAACTAAAATCTCACTAAACAATTGATGTTTGGTGTCCAATTAAACTTAAACATTCTTCTTTCTTAAAAAATAACAAAACTAAAAAGAGTTTTAGTGACAGTCATTTGTTAACACTTCGCGTAATAACAATTAGACTTAATTGCTTTTTAGTCACTCTATCATGGAAAATGAGTCATTTTAATTTTTTAATAAATATTTATTATTTGTTTCTAGTTTATTGATTACAAGTTATCACTTCCTATTTAAATAAATTAGGGATTTGGAAGTTAATTAGAACATGTTTGAGTTAAGAAAACAATGGAACGCTACAAAATTTGATAAAATGTATAAAATTTTGTAAAAATTAAAGTTAGGGTTTCAAATTAAGAAGGATAATAGTAGAGATTTTCTTATTCCAGATGAAATATAATATTTTGATTAATAAATTTTAAGTGAAATTGGTTTTAAAACAATTTAGTGCATGTTAATTACCTATCAAAATTTTGTACGGTGCATCAATGATCGTAACGGTACACCGTGTCGTATTAGAAAGAAGCAACTCCGTTTTTTCTTTTTTCTTTTTTTTTTTTGGTATAAAAGAAGCACCTCCTTGAAGTATGGATGAGAAATTAAAAACATGTTGAATTAATGGTTTTTTTTTTTCCATTGTTTTATACATTACTTATATAACAATTAAAACATTGAGAGATTAAACTTCAATAAAATATTATAAATGAACCTTGTATCATGCTTTTGTTAAAATAGATCACATTATTTACTTAGTAGAGATAACTCAAAATTTACTTTAGCCTAATTGTAACAATGGTATGATTCTTAAAACATGGAACAGTGTTAATTAATTACATGTAACACACCTAACCATTTCTTGTGTTGCTTGGCAACAAAGAATATCCCTAGTCAAAATGGGCTGACAAAGTGAAGAAAGAGAGTTAGATTTCTATTCTTTACACACAAATGAACAAAATCACAATCTTATTCATAAAGGCGAAGGCAAAATTTTAAATAAAGATAAATTTTACGGTGCTCTAAAAATAAGAGAATATTTTATATTTTTATACGTGAAATAATTATATTTATTAATTTTAGTGATAGAGTTAGTGATATAATTAAAAAAGAAGTAAATATTCTTTAAAATTTTAGTGATAGAGTTAACCGTATATTTAGAAAAGATATAAATATCATTTAATATTTTAGTATAATTTAGAAAAAATATTTAATACACCCTCAAATTTAGGAGGACCGTAGTAAGCACTTTAAATAAATTCTATAATTCAATATATATCTAAAATTGTAATTGTCATCTACCCCTAAACTTTATAAAATTTTAATATTAAATTTTGTAAAAATTAATTTTTTATTACTTTTTATTATTAAGAATAAAGTAAAGAATTTAAAAAAATTAAATATTAAAATGGCCTTTGCTTATAATCTGAAATACTAAAACGGGGGATTCAAAAAATATTGTTGGCCCTAGTCGCGAGGAAAGAAAAAAGTAGTAGAAAACTATCATGTTGATTCCTTAAAAAATAAGTTGATAAAAATTTGATTCATGAAAAATAAGTGATAATGTTTTAGTTTTTGCACTGATTTGATTCCGAAAAACAATTGACATAATTTAGTCTATCAATAATTTGAGTTAATTTAATTTTTAATCTTTTTAATTTAGTTTATATATGTATAATTTTGGTTTTTCAATTTTTGTTTTAATTAATCAAGCCTTTTATTTAAAAAATTAAGTAAATTTAATCCTACCATACACTATAATTTTATTTGTCTAAAACCTTTGTAGAATTTTATCTTGGATGATTTGAAATTTTGACTTCTAAATAACATCAACTCAATATTAATTTAGTAGCCGACACCAATGCAATCTTCTAATAATAGAAACGGCTTCAACTTAGTTCTTTAACCCCTGAAAATGATTTTCTTGTTATTTTTCATGATTGAAAAACTAATTTAATGTTATTTTTTTAAGGGTGAAAGGAAAGTCAAACTAATATTTTATAGATCAAAATAAAAGTTTGCTAAAAATTTAAGAGAGAGAAAATAATCAACAATATGTTTGGCCAAATGGGATCCAAGATTTAATTAAGAACGACCTAGCCATGGCCTAATACGCGTGTAATTAACATATTAAGGTGGTTGTGAGAATCTTTAATTTTATTTTTTTAATTCTAGATTCCAATAGCAAATACTTGTTGTTGATGTTGACTATTGATTTCTTGCAAACTAACAAACTAGCTTATTTTTCCTACTACAAATTTTAAAATTACTATTTATTAACAATTTTTAATATATTATTCTCTGTTAATACTTTATCAACGTAAATTTATTTATTTATTACTAACAATATGATACATACTACTAATAAATAATTTTATTAGAATAAAATAGCAATATATTTTATTAGAATAGGGAACAAATTAAGTGAGTTTAATTAAAATTCATAAACATATTTTAATTTATTCACTATAAACACGAAATGGGTTTAAAAGAGCATGAACAATTCCTCGAAAAGAAACAAGATGGTGCTATATATATATATATAGATAAGAAGGTGAAGAATGGAAGAAAGTTACGTGATGCTCACGGTCTTAACCCAACCACTGGTTTGGAGTTTAGTGCACACATAATGGAAGCACAGAGTACAGAGCTAAGTGCTTTTCTTCCATCATGAACGCTGCCAAAATGCCAGATGCCATTGTCATGTGTATGAAGCTCCATATTTCCATTCTCATTAGTCTTCCGTTCACACACAGCAATTTGTTTAAAAACACACAAATGTTTGTAAATCTATTAGCTGCATACCTTTTTATCAAAACTAGTTTCCATATATGTATAATTGTGAAAGACAGGTCTTACAATACCAGTTTATTTAAACAGAGTTAATGAAACTACCATATTAACTAGTGGTAATTAGTAGATTTTTTGTTGGTGAAGGTTATTAATTTTAGGAAAAAATAAATTATTGAAATTATGTTAAGTATATAACACGCATGTCATGTTTAAATAAATATGATATATAAATATGTATTTTATCATTTTTTTTCCTTTTAATGCTTATTTTTCTCCCAAGGTAATGCTTTGCAAAATGGGTTCCTAGATTGGATTCGGGCCAGCTGTGGTGTTTTAGTTAACTTTGGGCCAGAGATGCATTACATACCTCCAACCAGTTTTTGTTTTCTTTGGGCTTCAAATTGCTTCCTTTTTATATGATCCACTTTATTTAATTAACTTTTAAGAGTATTTTTGTCCACAAAATAAAGAAATTGGATAAACTTTTTAAGTTAAAATCTAAATTACACAAGACAAAATATATCATAAATCTAAATGAGTAAAAACTAATTTTAACAAATTGCAAACGGTAATTGTAATAAATAGGGAAAGAAGGGTATTATTATCAATGTCATTTGCTGGGGTAACATCTAGAGGGTATTTTAGTAATTTCAGCATTTCTCCTTCCGTTGTCACGAACCAAACAACTTAATTAACGTTAGGACTTAAATTAAGAAAAGGTACGGTGTTTACAAATAACCAAACACAGCAATCGTGTGGGAAGGGCGAGGTGACTTAAACGTCAACGAGCCACAACCCTTCCTTTCTGCTTCTGATTTACTCTGCAAATTGAAACAACACGACAATGCGTGCCGGCCAAATCTCACGCGCCACCGTGGCATTTCAAATCCTCCTTTGTCTGCTCCTCGTTTTCGTCATCCATTGCTCCGGACAGCAAAATTGCAGCAAGACATGTATTGCAGAACAGTGCGACAGTAAGATTCGATTTCTATATGCCTTAATTCCTTTCAATTAGTTTTGATGAAGCTATGATAAATATTAATTCATTATGTTATTAGCGATCGGAATCAAATACGGCAAGTATTGTGGGGTGGGCTATACGGGTTGTCCCGGGGAGGAACCATGCGATAATCTCGATGCTTGTTGTATGGCCCATGATGACTGCGTTGACAAATTTGGTACTTTGCTTCTCCTTTAGTTCTATTTTCTTTTCTCTCTCTCTCTCTCTTAATTTTATTTATCTTTAATTTATAAGTTAATTATATGTAATAAATATTTTAATTTAAATCAACTATAAATGTATATTTCTATTCTTTTAAAAATGTTACATATCATATCATCTCAACCAATAGTCGTTCGAATAAGTTGTGTGATTCTTGTTTGGTTTGTATTATTGAATGAACTCTTGAGAGTTTGTTCTATACATGTATTTATGGCTTTTAAAAATTTCATTCTTGTTGTCCTAAGGCAAACAGTGTCTATATATATTTTATTTAATATTTGGTCGATTTTAACTTATTCTTGAGTAGTTTTTAAATTAATTTTGCAAATTGATCAAATGGGAACCCATTTCTTAGTGTGTGTTGGATGCTTAAAAGCTTGTCGAGTATTCCAATGTCATAAATTTGCTATGTCTTAAATTCTCATCTGCTTTTTATTTTTGGATGGAATTTAGTTTATATCTAATTTAAATTTGTGCGGTGTCATCAAAGTGTATATCTTATAAATATAGTTTTGGACAAAATTTGATGATAGAATAGCCCATTAATTACCAATACATGTATAAGTGAAAATGCCAGTGACTTTACATTTTGCCATTACCTCGAGACTTTTCTCTTTAGAAGATTGATTTAGACTAATTAAACATGGTTTTACAGGAATGACTCATGTGAAATGCCACAAGAAATTAAAGAATTGCCTAACCAGGGTACAAAAATCTGGCAAGGTTGGATTTTCCAAGGAGTGTCCTTACAATATAGCTGCACCTACTATGATAAGAGGCATGGACTTAGCCATCTTGCTGAGCCAATTGGGTGATTCCGTTCATGATCTGTGACAAACTTGAATCCCCTTGATACCCATTAACAAACTTCAAATTGATCTTATGATCCTATTGAGCCTGATTAGGCCACTATTTTTGTTTTACTATGCTGTTATTTTTTATTATATCCCAGAAGAACTGCAAGGTTCTAACATTATTGAAAGAAATGACACGAAACTATTTTACACAAAAGTGAAAATCTCACATCACGATGAAATAAACACAGATGATGCTGTCATAGTTTTGGTGAATGAGAAAGGATCGAATGAGACTAGTTTGTGTTTGTGAATAAGGTTCAAACTTTTTCAATCACTCAAGTCTTGACATTTTAGGGAGCAGTTAAGAAATGTGTGCATGGCACACATTTATATATGGGTATGCTAAGCATCATTTGTTGGTTTATTATTTATGGTTAATGTAAGTTTTGTTTATCAAATTAAACATCGTGTGCTTATTTGCGGAATTTCCAATGGCGTGAAGTGTGGGTTTTAATATGAAAAAAAAAATGTCATATAACAATTCAGAAATTGTTTATTTAATACTTTTCTAAAAGGCTAGCCTGAATCACCTCATGGATAAAAGTAACTATGTCCTAAATGAACAAATGAAGATAAGGCATTGTGTTGAAAATTATATTAATTTTGTAAAGTAACTTAGTTCAATTCTTTTCTGGGTGTGTCATATGGTTTAATTAGGATTAACTTGGACACAAATATCAATAAAGTTCAAGAAAACTAAGAAATATCCTTTTCTTTTTAAGTCAGTGACATTGACACTATAGTTCTGTTACTCATGCAGAGATGTAACACTGCCATTTTAGAGTTTCCCATCTCAACTTAGTGGTTCTATTTTTAATTTGAGAAGCAATCACTTGCAATAATGATTCAGAAAACTTGTAACATGATTTCATCGTTTGTGAAGACATGAACTACTATGGTCGAAGTTAAATTATATCATTCAACTCCTTGGACACGCAACTCATTGAATATGAGTTTGGTGCTTGGGGTTAAAGGTCTCAAATTATAGTTTAGAAAAATAAAATTCATATATATTTTTTCTCTTTTTTAAATAATGAATATCAAGTTTCTGAATAAGAAATATTTGATAAATACTTAACTAAATTATTTATCAAACAAAATAATGAATAGCGATTTAATTTTTTATATATTAAAAGATGTGTTTATATTTAGTATTCGGTTGAAGTTTAACTTATATTTTTTTATAAAATTAATATAGTTAATAGTAGAGGCACGCTTAATGAAAGCCTATCATAATTTCTTTTGCTAGTTTTTCAAAATGAAAGATCAAAGATCAACTATCTTACCAATCATAGTAAAAGGAAATACTACTCTTCTTCGTTTTCATTGATTATAACACGATGAAGATTGATTACATCTAAATCCAATACATCGTTGTCACTTGTCAACACTAATAAATAACATGTTTAGTACTAAATAAAGATTTCACATAAACCAGCCCAACAACAATTGTCCAAACCTAACTCCTACTAAACAATAAATAATAGATAGAAAAAAGAGAAGAGAAAAAAGGTTCTTCAGTTCTACAAAGTTGAAATTTTAAAATTATAAGAGTTAGCATAATTCTCACTTTATAAATTAATTTTAGTTTTGAATGTAAAGCGTGTTATAAATTATTTTTTATAAGATTTGAATAAATAATTTTTAATACATATATTTTTCTTTAGATCATAATTTTTTTAGAGGTAATGTTAAATAGAATTATTATAGACGATAAAGATAATTTTAAAAAATTTAATATAACCGTATTTATTAATATTGAAATTGGATGACTTAAAATAAGAGATTATTAAATTAGTAATAGAGAAATTTGAAGCGAGGTGCACGATGATTTCGATGCGGGTTCCCATACGGAATAACTGGTTGGCGTAGAAATAAGAAAAAGGTGACTTGGCTTTGTATCTGCTTGTCACGTTTCGACGAAAGTTCAATTCCAATAAAATTATTCCCTCTTTCTTCGCCTGTAAGATCCATTTTTCTTCTTTCAGTTTTTCTCTCTTTCTTTCTTTTTTCAGTTTTTAAGAACCAAATCATTTTCCTTATACAATTTGTTCAAATAAAACAATCACTGATTCTTTAGTTTCTCTCTGCGTTTGCGCAAAGCATGTTGCATAGAAGCTTCAAGCCCGCCAAGTGGTACGTTTCACTTTTATTAATTTCAAATTTCAATTTCAATTTTAATTTAAATGCTTTGATTGAAGCCAGAGAGACTCTGTTAGTGGAGGAAAGGGTTTTGTTGAATTTAATTTTGTTGTTTTTTGGTTTGGTGCAGCAAAACGGCATTGAAGCTCGCCGTTTCACGCATAAAGCTTCTGAAGAATAAGAGAGAAGCTCAGGTGAAGCAACTCAAGAGAGAGTTGGCTCAATTGCTGCAGTCTGGTCAGGACCAGACTGCTAGAATTCGGGTAACAAAAACGACATAACAATTTTTTTAAGTGATTTGTTATTTCATTCCTCTGTTTTCTTAGGTGTTATGTTAGATCATAGATGCCACAATTGGGATTTGGTTTCTGATTCTTTTTTTTCTTCTTGGGTGATAATAAAGAAAGGACGGAAGACAGGCTATTAGTTTCTTTGACTTTTCGTCTGTTTGGTTTTCAGGTTGAACATGTTGTCCGGGAAGAGAAGACCATGGCAGCTTATGATCTTGTTGAGATATACTGTGAACTCATCGCAGCACGCTTGCCCATGATTGAATCACAAAAGTATTTAAAACTCGCGAAATTTGTTTCTTTTTAGTACTTCTTACTCTGTTTCATTTCATGTTACTGTATTTGTCTTCATTATTTCCAAGTCTGTTTATGCTCAATGTATTATGGTTTGTTATATTAGGGGTATATCAAATTTTATTTTTCTCTTTTGTAGATTGATCTTGCCTGGAATGTTATATTCTTTACTTTGGACAATACTACTGAATTTGTCTATATCATTGTGTGTGTGTTTTTTAGGAGGGAGGGGAGGTTGGATTGTCTGTCAAATGTGCGATCATTTTAGGAGAATCTAATTCTATTATACTTTAAAGAGTCAAAGGTAATTGTGGTTCAAGTCAGACTGGTCTTGATTGGACATTTGGCAAACAAAATTAACTAAATGAAGGAACCTTAGGCCGAAATAACATCTCACTATCTCAGCCTTGGCGAATCTGATCTGTTATGAAAACTATAGACTTTATATCTGGATATGCTATTGATCAATGAGTTTTATATTTGATGCCATTACAGAAGGTATTATGGAAGAATGTTAAATGGTTCATTTGGTACAGTAGCAGAGCCCCTGGATCAAGAGCCATTCCCAACTGATTATGTAACATGCTAGTCCCACTTGTTAGCTTCATTCCTAGTGATTTTTGGCAAATTAAGATTGTGTTTGAATTAGTATTCTGCCAGTCATTCATGAAAGCCTTTGAGATGCCCACTTGTATGTCTTTATTTTATCTGCTTTGACCTTACTAGTGTGTGTCTAAAGGGATTGTCATGTGTGGTATTTCTTTCTGAAAATATAGATCTTGCAGTCTATAAGTTTGTTAATTGTGATTGTGCATTCTCATTTCATTGTCTCATCATCGTTTCTCCCTTTTAAACTTTTCAGAAACTGCCCCGTTGACTTAAAGGAAGCAATTTCAAGTGTAATATTTGCATCTCCAAGATGTTCAGACATACCTGAGCTCATGGATGTGAGGAAGCACATTACATCTAAGTATGGAAAAGAGTTTGTCTCAGCAGCTATTGAATTACGCCCTGACTGTGGTGTAAATCGCTTGGCAAGTTTCTCTACCTGCTAGAAGTTGGATAAAATCATGTTAAAGCACATTTCTTGCAAGTTTTTCTTTTTATAATTTAATGATGTCTTTTCAGTTGGTTGAGAAATTGTCTGCTAAAGCACCTGATGGTCCAACCAAGATAAAAATATTGGCTGCAATTGCTGAGGAGCATAATATCAAATGGGAACCCAAGTCATTTGGAGAAAATGATGTGAAGTCTTCTCAAGACTCATTGGTAGGCTTTGCTCATTGAAGATATTCTTTGGGTTAATCTTATATAAAATGTTTATTGGATTATATTATTTTGACATTATTTATACGTTAAGGTTGGGGAAAGCATGTCTGAGAAGACTGCTTATGTGGAACCTTCTCAAATCAATGTTCCACCTGTCCATGATGAAAAGGGTCCTCCTAGTTTACATGCTTCATCACAACTTAAACCAATGCATGATGTATCTACAAATTCGTATGAGCAGACTGCTAGTGGTGCTGCTGGAAAGGCTAGTGGCAATCAGTCAACATCAGGCGTGTCTAATCCAGAAATCAGATCTTCAGGTAATTTTGGGAAGATGGTACTTAAACATGAATTTCTGGGATTCTGTTCTATCTAATACATTAATATTTGGAGTTCTTTCCTGCAGGAATTGGAAGTAAAGAAATGGATTTTACAGATTCATATTCTGAAAACAGGAATGCTTTTCCTATGGGTAGGCAAAATTGGAACATGGAATTCAAGGATGCTGCTTCTGCGGCCCAGGCAGCTGCAGAATCTGCAGAACGTGCAAGCATGGCTGCAAGAGCAGCTGCAGAACTTTCAAACCGTGAAAACATGACAAGGCAGTATTCAGGTGGATCACATAGTGCTTCAGGCAGTGGGTTGAGAGATGAAAGACCTCAAGAATATGCTTTCCATGATTACAAAAATGTTTCTACAGGATCTGTTGATAGCAACTTCCACAGAAATAGTTCTGGGATACACAATGAACAAATTACCACTAGAGAACAAGATAATCTGGCAGGACCACCCAATGAATATTACAGGAATCATCGTGAGAATATGGTGAAACATGCCTCGTCAGCTTCATTGACGTGTGGCAGTGCTTTCGGTGATGATGAACTATTTACTAATGATTCTCAAATGGCTGATAGCTATCCCCATGATCACTCATTTGAGCAAAAAAATAGTGACTTAAATAAAATGAGTATGAAAAAGCAAGCAAGCAAAACTGAAGAATATTTTGTAACTGATATACATGATGACCATGATTTGAACACTGAAAACAACTATCACTTTGGAGATGCAAGGACAAATAGTCATTCTAGAAAAACTTCCTCTTCTCGTCTCATTCCTCCAATTGATGATCACAGTGATAATTTGGAGTCGAGTGGCTGGAAGATGGGGAACAATGCTGTGGAAGACCTTTATGTTACTGATCAAGGAAACACTCAAGGAAATTCTTTGGAAACAGGTTCTTATAATGGTACTTCTGTTGTATTTGACGATTATGGATCAGAGGATGATGATTATAAATTTGATGTTGTTAATAAAAAGTACAGTGGTGAGGGATCTAGTTTGTTTGTCTCATCGAACAGTAGCAAATCACACGTTGTTCCGTTAGAAAATGCAAATTCTTGGAGCCATGGACAAAACGTTGATGAGAAAGTGACTAGTACACAGTCACATATTTCTGTTGTTTCTGAAAGATTGACAAAACCTGCAGTTTCTTCTGAAAAAGAAGACTTGTTGCCTGTCACTTTTGATGATTCAGATGACCCCAGCTCAGATAGCGAAGTGGATTTGGTCAAGTCTAAGGTTTCTGGGACCTCTGATTATGGAAATTCTTTCCTTGAACAGATTGCAAACCACGAGGCTCCAGGGTCCTCATCAAGAAATGATAAACATGTGGGCAGTGACAGAAAGTCTTGGTTGTCACCATCTTCAGTTGATTTCAATACTGTGGAAGAGCATTTGAAGAGAAAGGTAGACATCAATACTGCATCAGGAAAGAATTTTAGTTATGATGACTTGCCAGACAGTCAATCACCTTCAAAGGGAAGAAGCTCTATATTGGGTTTGGATCTTAAGGCAAACAATGACAATGAAACTTTGGAGGAATCTCGTTTAGAAAGTGGTAAGGAATTAAGCTATGGAACCTTGAAGGGTGGTTTTCGCAATAAAGGTTACAGGAGACCGCCATATATTAAAAATACATCGAATGATGTTTCATCTTCTTTGGGGGACACTTCAATCCAGAATGAGAGATCTTTGCCTACTGTAAGGACTTCCATTGGTTTTGATGCTCCTGTTCAGGAAAAGTATGCTAGGGAAGTGAGCAGAGGAAACAGGACTGTGGGCTTGAGAGCGCATGACACATCTTCTGAAGATGGCTATGATCCGGTTGCATACTCTCAGGAGACTCTTTCTAGTAGTACTCATGAACCTCGCATTCAGAAAGTGCAAAGTGAAGCAAAAAAGAAATCAAGCTCACGGGCCTCTGTTCCATACTTTGATTCTGATAATACTGATTCTGAGAATGAACTTCCTAAACAAAATTCAGCTAATATTGCCCGTCCTGTTAGTGGAATGTCTCAAAGGACATCAGCTTCTTCAAAAACTGGTACTGGTTTAAGTTCAAAGGATGCGCCTTTATCTGAGGCTTCTGTGACTCCTGGTAAAAGACTTGGATGGAAATCTTCAAGGATTTCTTATGACAGTAAAAATCAAAATGCCGTATCCATAACGAAGAGCTCTGAAAATTGGAGAGAGTCTAAGCCTGGATCAGCTAAAATTAAATCATCTGAATCAATTTCAGAATCTAATAGATCCTTGGATGAGGAAATTCCGAAGTCAGATGCAAGGGTGCAACCTTCCAGTTCTCTTCCTAAAACAGTGATACAAGATAGTGAAGAGGGTCAAGAGGCTACAAAATCTTTAAATTCTGATGGAGATACGCCATCTAAGCAGAAGGCTGGGCACGTTCATCCAAAGTTACCTGACTATGATTCCTTTGCTGCCCACTTCCTGTCTCTTAAGAAGGGTCGTCAATAACTTTCCCTTGCTTGCTTACAGCAACATAGCTACTCGTACATAGTCTTGATGGTTTATCTGTCTTCTGCATCCTGTATTGTTACAAATAGATGCGTGATTTATGATTCAAAATATTTGAGGAATAAAGATGCGACGTGTTCTTTGTGTATAAATTGAGTCAGGGTTTAGGTTTGACCCTCATTTTTGGTACTGTATTTCAGGCTACAACGTTTAGTTTGAATATTTCATTGTAAATATTCCGCGATTGCGTTGTATGTTCATTCAACTTAGCTGAGTTATACCTAAGTTATACTATATTCTTTCATACTCATGCGCTCATTAACACCACATTCATTTCATAACAATTCGTTGTTTGCTAGCAGGAGGATTATTTGTTCGGGTTTGGGGAGCCATGCCAATGATTCAACCGATGTGAATTTACAATCAAGAGCTAGGAGTTAATCGGAGAGATTTTTTACTCTATGCCGTTGAATTATGTTTGCTGACATCAGTGTGACAGATTTTTTCAGTGTGGATTAGTGGCACGTCAAATTATGAATCTTATGTATGTTTTAATTGAGTTTATTTTTAAGAAACAATTTTGCAGTATCGGGACACGCTTTTATAAAAAAGATCTTCTCTTCAAAAAGATAAAATAAAAATTATAGTATGCACCTAATCTCTGAAAAGGAGTTTATTTTCATTGAAAAGTTCTAAACTTTATACAGCTGTACACTATTTTTACTTATTTTCTTTCACTTTATCTTTTTCGTTGTCTTACATAGTATTACCCATCATATATCTTTTATTTTACTTTCTTTTGATTGGATAATTAAAAAAGAAAAAAATGTTAATTTGATAGCAAAGTTTAAAAAATGATTTATGTAAAGTAAGAAAATATATAATTATAAGAAAAATATGTATGAAAGTGATCTCGCTATAGGAATTTAAATTTTAATATTAGAATGAATTAAATGAACTAATAATTTATTCATTTTAAATTGTTTTTGAATTTGGTTCGTTTAATATGAATAAACATGGCTGACGTAGTTTTCTGGTAACTAGTTCTTTGTAGATGACACACGTGATATGTTGTTTTTGGGTCAGATTATCATGAACTTCTAATTTGTCACGTCAAACGAGCCAACATTTTCGACGGGAAGAAAAAGTAAGCCAACTTGCTATAGTCTACAAAGCACGAATTCACTTGACCCAAAAATATTTGAGTACGAAATCATAGATTTTAATGAGTTCTTTTTATTATTTAAAAATACCAATACTGATTTGGCTCAATGGTTTAGTGCTATGGATCTTTTTGTGAAAATAAGATCTTCAGCTCCTACACTTTATTAATATTTTATTAGTTTTAAAGCATTCAATAGAACCTGACAAAAAAAAAATGGAATTATATTATTTATTTAGTAAATTTTTATAATAAATTTTTGCAATAATAAATTTATCTCTGTTTGTCTTGATCATATCACCCATCTAATAACTCTCTTCTCTTCTTACGTCTCTCTAATTTGTAAAAAAATGCAACAAATTAATTGTAGAAATAACATTTCTCAAAATCATAAAATACAAGTTTATTCAATCAACTTATTTATTACAATAAATAAATTATTTAATAAAACTTATTAAGTATTTTACAATCATCACTTTTATGACAGTCAATAGCAAGACATTGTTACAACATATTTATAATCCTTTTTTAAAGAGAAATGTAAGACATGAATAAAGAAGAAACAATTAAATGCCCTCTTTGGTCCTAAAATCAATGTGGTTAAAACTGAGTAAGAATAAATATTTTACTTTTAGGGACAATCATTTCAAATAGCTGTTTGACTTGTCGATATAAAAGTAATTTACATAAATGAATATAATAAATATTAAAGTTTTAAGAAGCGATAAAGTATTAGATAATAATTTAATATTTACTTAGTTATTTTTTTTAATTTAACTTGACTTTCACTGATACAAAGTGTCCGACTGTGAACGATTTTAAGACCAAAAGTATAATAAAATAAGTGTCTTAACTCAAAGTTAGCTTGGTTAGATCTTCTCATTGCTCTGCATATTGACCCAAATTAAGAACAATATTACATACGAATAGCGATTGCTTTTTAAAGGAGAGAAGTATTGGTTAACACCGTTTATTACATGATATCTTGTTTAAGTACTCAAATTGTTATATAACAAATAATAATATTTTAAAAAGGACCATGCATTTATTATAATCCTTGCAAATATACCCATATTATACAATATAGTTTATTAGCTTGTATATAAACCATGTTGATTGAGAATGACTAGTGTCTTAGGAAATGTTGGAAGTATATGGGAGAAAATACCAAATGTGAAGGTGATATGTTTTACGTAGATGGATTTATAAGTCACCTCCTTTGACAATCAATCACAAAGTTGAATTGACTTTGTGTTTCAGACATTGATTGGCCTACTTCTCATCTCATATCACTCACTATTTAAGAGCGGTGCTAAGAGTTAAGCTTCCACAGCATATCTATTTTAAATTCTTTCAAGTTTTCATTGGACTACAATATAGGTATATCTTTCTCTTTAACTTGTTCTTTTGTAAGCAATAAGCATGCTAAATTCTAGCAATTCTTTCAGATTCAATGCTAGAAAGTTCATAAACACATGTCATCGTTGCTAAAAAAAGGACTTTTAATTTTATATTATAACGTCTCCTTCATGCCAAACTTCCATAATTTATATTTTCTTTAGTGACAGTTGTTACTTTCATTAGTTCACAAGTGGTGGGTCTTCGTATTGCAGAGAAATGGAAAACATCAAAGATCCATCAATTTACCGCAATCCAATCATTTTGCAGAGTGAGGATTTAGGCAAGGTTTGTATTTACAAACTTTAAAAAATTCTTTTTTTTCCATTCATGGTGTACTTCTCAGTGCTCACACACACAACAAGCACAGATATATATACCTTGATTCATGAAATGAAAGCTTACTCATCATTTTGATGTGGCAGTATATACTAGAGACTGCTGTTTACCCTAGAGAACCTGAGCCTCTGAAAGAGCTGAGAGAAGCCACAAATACTCACCCTTGGTAATTATTATTCTATCTATTGTGAATTTGTGACTGAAACTTAACACATTTGATTTTTAGTCTGAAACAAAGCTAGAAAGGCTTCAACTTCCTTTTCATATCGATTCAGGAGCTTCATTGCTACCTTACCTGAAGCGGGTCAGCTATTGACCATACTATTGAAGCTGTTGAATCCCAAAAAGACCATTGAAGTGGGAGTGTTTACTGGTTATTCACTTCTCCTCACTGCACTCAACATCCCTGATGATGGAAAGGTTTGCATAGATTACTTTCAATTTCCCTGAATATCCAACTTGACTATTTAGTAATTTCATGAACCTAGGCTAATTTTATCAAAAATTAAATCATTGCTATTGCAGATTACAGCCATAGATATTGATAGGAAAGCTTATGAAGTTGGGTTACCAGTGATAAAAAAGGCTGGGGTAGAGCACAAGATTAATTTCATAGAGTCTCCTGCTCTACCAATTTTGGATAAACTACTTGAAGATGTAAGCCTGCATGTTTCTTCTGCGTGATCTTTTCCAAATCAAACATCACATTTTCAGTGTTTTTATAAGCTGCTTATGCAATTTTTTTATTTGTACTTCTTCTAATGCAGCCTGCAAATGAAGGGTCTTTTGACTTTGCCTTTGTTGATGCTGACAAAGAGAACTATGTGAACTACCATGAGAGGATAATAAAACTGGTCAAGGTTGGAGGGTTGCTTGTATATGACAACACACTGTGGGGTGGACGTGTTGCATGGCCTGAAGAGCAGGTTCCACCTCAGAGGAGATCAGGAAGGCAAGCAGCAATTGAATTCAACAAAATGATCACAAACGATTCTCGTGTTGAATTTTCTCTTACTTCTGTAGGGGATGGCCTCAATATTTGCAGGCGCATTGCTTGAGTTTAATTTATGTACTAAAGTTTTTTATTATCCAGCAAGCTAAGTTTTTTTATCTGTTTCATGTTCTGCTAATAATATAATTTTTGTATCTATAGTCAGTTACCTGAATAAAATTGCATTTTGTGTTTGTAATACATTTTTGCTTCAATGGAATTGGAGAAATTGGTGAAATACTAGGTAGCAGCTATTATGTCAATTCGGAAAGATTTAGATTCGTTGTTCTAATTCAAACAATGAATTTGATTGTTTGATCAAGTTGTTTCACAGAGTGGTTCTGTTTACATTTTTTTTCCCTTTTGTCTATTATCAAGAAAAAAGGGAGAGGAAAATTGTCAATGTCCTTTGACGTGAAAGACAATGCCAAAATTTTCATTGTGGACTTGCCATTTTTTCAAAATAATCTTTTTATGAACAAAAGCACCTCACATTTTAATCTTTTTCCCCCTCCTTTACACATTTCATCTTATGTCATACTTCTTCCTCTTCTTTTCTTATCCCTTTCTTAGTCATGAAAAAATTATAAAAAACGTGATTAGAAATTGAACTTCTGTTTCATTAAACACTCATGTTCTTGGTAAAACTTGCCAACCATTTCACCCGCGAACAATCTTCTACGAAGGATAGTCTGGAAAAATTTCAAAATAAACATACATAGGAGACGAAAACAAAATCAAACAAACTTTTAACACAAGTTAAAAATCAATTTATATGCATGTTTTTCAATAATCTCTCTCGTTTACCTTCCCTGTAAACACTTATAATCCTACCAAAATTCAATTGTTTTAACAATAAGGTTTTATAATTAAAAGGCAAATATAAGTTATAACTTAGAAGATAATTTAAAGTGCCCTCCTTTCAAGTTACCTTGTGCTTGATATTGGGAGCATTTTACTAGCCAGATTTTGTATATTGTTATAATTGGAACTAAGAGGAATGTCAATAACAAACTCTTTAAGACACTATCTCTATGTCATTTGCTAAAATTTATTGATAATTAAAAGAGTAACATGAATATCACTATTTTTCACTCATAATTTAATATTTTTTAACATATTTGTAATTTTTAATGTTTTAAATAATAACAAAAAATATGTTAAAAGAAATATGATAAAGACTGTGTTTGCTACCATTATTCATGGATCTAACAATAGGAGGGGCCGGTCAATATTGGTGGTTTGGTTGACTACAATTAATACTGTATCTGTTGCCGCATCATTTCATTCCAATTTTGCGTTGAAGTTATGCATATAGCGGTCGACAAGCATGTTCACCCATATTGGACGGTGGGACATACACTGCCTCACTTGTATTCAAATCAAAATTTGCAAGTTCCCAGTAATGCTGATGACCCACAATCGTTTCACACTTTCAATCGGTTATTGGTTTAAGTTGTTTCATATATTTGGTATCCAAAATCTTTCATTTAAATCCCACTACACTCATTGACTTGCTTGTCACTTAATTTTTGGCCCAAAGCTAGCATTAAAGTTGGAATAATCTTGTGTATCAGCACTAAAGTTCAATTAATTTATTTAATTTGAATTTTTGATATAATGTTTTCATTAAAAACTTTGACTTCTAAAATTACTACAATATATTTCTTTTTATTTTTTTTACCAGTTTTAGATAAACTTACGTAATCATTTATAATGCTTAGTTAAAACATCTTTTTCTGTTAAAATACTTACAAACTCATTAATTAAGTTGACTAATATCACATGGTAACGTTTGACAGATGTGTTACAACAAAATAGACTATAAGATTATGAATTTCATTCTATGTTTGGTATGTTCGAAAAAAGAATAAAAAAAAAACATGATAGGATAGAAAAATAAAAGCTACAAAATTACTAATGCAAGCGATATTTAAACTAGACTTTGCAATTCAATGGTAAAAAGCAGCTATAATACACTGAAAGGAATTAGTTTTAATATCATAACTTTTTACCAACACGAAATGCAGCCATCAGTTGCAAAATATTATTTGATATTACAATCAACCGCAGTTTCAAAGAAAAAATGATCAGTAAATCTATATTTGCTGACAGAATCAATGGATTACTTTTGGATGGTAAACAAATGCCTAAATGGTCTTCTCTGCTAAGTGGATGTTAGGAATCAAATGATAGTCAAATTCAATCCCAACAGCAAACTGGTCTATCAAGATGCTCAAACACAATACAATTAAAATGAATTTGATAGTAAATTTGTCTTTAGCCTTCATCAATGGAGAGGTTTTGCTCTTGAAGCAAACGTTTCAGCAACCAGAAGAGGAAATGCTATCGTTGCATCACAATGTACCTGGTTTAATGAAATAAAATGACATTAAGGGATATAGTTTTAACCCGTGTTTGCAACCCTTGTTTATTTTATGAATATCAGCAACATGGTTGAGTTGTCAAATGTTTATGCATATCAAGAGGAAATTTTTGGTTTTATAAATATATATTTAGAAGTTATCAAGTATAACAAGCAACCAATGAATATTCAACAACTTAACATATGTATTTATACATATTACTAAATGAAGATGATATTCATGGCAACAATAATATAAAAGCTCATGATACTTTAGCCAAAGCATTTGTGGTAAAAGTAAGAGAACTCTGACAAGGAATCAGTGGTGAAAGTCACATAAAAGGTACCTTAACAGTCTTAGCAGATCCTCGTATTTTTCCCCATGAAACAGCCTCATCTGGACGAGCTCCAGAATCACTCCCGTCAAATTCTTGAGCAGTATTAATAAGAACAGCAAAGTCTGCACCGTTGCGCATCATATTGGCATTGCAAATGTGATGTTTTGGAAGGCCACCCCCTAAAATGATCATGCCTGTCTTCCTGGGACTTGCATGCACAGCTTCACCATTCATGGCTCTTATATCTGTTGCATTGCTAATTATTTTAGTCATGATTCTGAGTTTTTCAAAATTTTTCATGCAGGAGAAAAAAACCAGAAAAAAACCTTGCACTATGTCCACAATTAGACCAGGGCTGCGGTAAGAATGGAAATACAGCATGTCCCCCAATGAACCATCGGTTAAGCCTGGGCAGAAAACTGGAATGTTGTTCTGGAAAATATAAAGAAATGTTATTAATATTGTAAGCTGTTTTCTGAAACCCTCATTGTTCAGTAAATCTTGAGATTGACATAAATAATGCGTTTTGTGTATATATGCCACAAGGAATATAGAAAACAACAGCATAATGATGGGAAAAGAAACTGTAACAAAGATCTGAAGCACAAACAAATAGGAGGGAATAGCATGCTTTACAGAAAATATAAGCTTGGTCTCATTCTTGCCTTGTATGCCCAATAAAGGTAAGAGCTTTCATTGTTTATTTCTTTTCCCAATCGAGCTACTAACTTAGATGGTGTCCACATAATATTCTGCAAATAAATAAGATGTGTGAGGAAAAAAGGTTACAACTGAAAAGTAAATAAAACAGAACCTACTCCGTGAAAGGTTTGTCACTCAATTGTACTAAAATTTATAGTTTAGTTTGATTTTGGTTCACACAAATTAGACATGTATTAGAACTTATAAGAAATACAAATTACAAATACAGAAAGCTTGACCAATAAGTGTGACTCTGTTTCCGGGCACCAACAAAAACCAAACCACATACAAATTTTCTAACGCACTGAAAAGAGAAGTATAAAATAAAATACCTCATTATTTTGTTCCCTCAACATCTGATCTAAAATAGGAATAATCCAGTCCTCAAATTTGCAATAGTTGTCATTAGGGACCAACAAATTACCAATTCGATTCAACCCTTTTGAGCGCAGATAGGCACCAGGCAGAGAGAAATCTCCTTTATACGTTGGTGCAAGACACTTTATAAGATCTTCCTCAATGCCACCTGTAGTAGTAACAATTACATCAACCTGCAAATTGCAGAATAGACAGAAAAAAAAAAAACAACCTTAATAACATGACAGTCATGACTTGAATTTGACATTTTAAAAAATACTTGCTCTAATAACTTTTCAATTCAACAAGTATATACACTATTATCGTCTCCAAAATGTCATTAGGAAATAGAAACATATATCTAATAAAAGGAAATTGCACTGCACAATCTTTTCATGCTCGGTCCATATATACCATAAAAAACTTGGTATTAGTAGTAACACAACATAATACAGTAGTACACTAACTAGAACACCCTTTTCATTATTTCCCTTGAACAGATTTCACAGCACCACAAACCAAGTCTATATATTATAATTTTCATCCTTAATAGCTAAAAACCAAATCTCTGAAATTCAGAATAGCAAGTTGAGGAACTAACTCACCATGCGATGCTGAACAAGATACCGAACAGTATCTCTAACACCAGACGAGATGAGATTAGAAGTGAAACCCAGAAACACTTTACACGTCACAGATTTTCTGTAATCCAAATCTCTCTCAAGCTCACTGCAATCCTCAGCTATGGGTTCATGAGCAAGCCTCCAATCTAGCTTCAATCCAAATACGAGAACTTTCTAAGCAAAAATGCAAAGAACTAAGAAAATAAAGAGATGGGGGTTAGAGAAAACCATTTGATTAACGACTTGGATGGCATCACCAAGGTTGGAAGCTTGAAAACCAGTTGTGAGCATGGAGCTCAGAAGCTGTTGATAATGGACGCCATTGTTGAAGTCATAGCCCTCGATCTTAACACACTTTCCTTCGAGATTCTCTGATTCTTTGAAGACAGTGGAGTGAACTGATGCTAACACATCCCCTTCTTCCTTTCCCTTCGCCTTTGCTTCCCCCATTATTCTCTTTCTCTCTCCTCCGCACGCAACAGACAACCATCTCGGAATAGGAAAGACTCTGTTTTTATCACTTTTGACCCGTGTGCTTTTTTTTATTGGGCCTTTTATCTTTGACCCGTTTTGTTTTTATTGGGCTTGTTTTGTAATGCCCAGGCCCATTAGGGTTAGGGTTATGTTATATTTGAGTTCAGACTCTTCCTTTTTCCTCTGTTGAGTGTTGAACGCTGCCGAAACCCTTCCCAGTCCCAAAGGTATCTCTTTGAACCCTATTTTCCTAGAAAAACACAAATTTCGTAGGTTTGTTAGATGCAATTCGTTATTGGGTTGTGTTGTGTTGTGTTGTGTTATGCAGGTAAGTAAGTGATTGCTGGTTGAGAATGGTGGAGAAGGCGAAGGGTAGGAAGGAGGAGGTGGTTACCCGAGAGTACACCATTAACCTCCACAAGCGCCTCCATGGCTGGTAATCTTTACTTCTCATTCGCCTTGTTCTTTGTACACTGTTTTCTCTGTATTCTTCATTGCTCTTTATCAACCCCATATCTTCACTCTTCAATAATCACTCTTAATAAGTTTGTTCGTTTAGTGCCAAGACATAGAGCTCATCTTGCTCTGGACAAAAAGGTGTTAGTAATCAATTATGGCTAAGTTGAACTGTATACATGTTTCCATGGATCTGAGATTTTGATGACTATAGAATAAGGGAGATTTGGAACCCTAGAACCCTAGCAAACGGATCAAAATGTTAGCAATGTTAACTCCTAGTTATGGAGTTATTTTTTTCAGTGAATGTATTCATCAAAATCTCACTGCCTTTATGTTTTACAGGGGGGTTTTCATTTGATTTATCAGCGCATTGATCTATAATTCATGTTGTTCATTAACAGTGTAATAATTTCACTATTTAAGTTATGCATTCTGATTACTTTTTGTTTTGTATTAAGACCAGTTCCTGTTTGGTTTGTTGTTTAAAACAGCACATTTAAGAAGAAAGCTCCCAAAGCAATTAAGGAGATAAGAAAGTTTGCCCAGAAAGCTATGGGGACCAATGATGTGAGGGTGGATGTGAAGCTGAACAAGTATGTCTGGAGTCAGGGGATCAGGAGTGTGCCAAGGAGGATCAGGGTACGCATTGCCCGCAAGAGAAATGACGATGAAGATGCCAAGGAAGAGCTATATTCCCTTGTTACTGTTGTTGAAATCCCTAAGGAAGAGCTCAAAGGGTTGGGCACCAAGCTCATCGATGACGAGGATTGATTTATATCTGTTTGAAACCAGGAGTCATATATGTAGTTTTTGGTTTCCGCTCTCGAGTCTTGTCTTTTTCTAGATTATCAGATTATTTCTAATTTTGTTGAGACATAATGTGGTTTGATAATATCAATTTAGTTTTTGGTCCGTTGTGCTTCCGATAGGACGATTGGAAAAAGCATCATTGATTTTGGAACTCGTGCCTTATTTATTGGTTATGTGATAAACTGAATTTAAATAAAGTTGACTTCTGTGATATAATAAGAAAATCACTATAGGGAAACATGGAATGAATGGTTGTAGTGATTTTTTCTCTTCACTGTGAAGGAAGTATTGTAGATTGAATGTAATTTACTTGCTGTGCCTACAGCTTGACTTTAAATAATTAGTTTGAGCAAGAACTATCAATGCGATGCTAAATTCGGGATCACTGCTACTATTATGACGTACTTAGCTTCTAAACACCAATTGGTGACGAAAACTGGAGTTGGTTACATTATAATGATAATGGTGGTGACCTTGGTCACCAGTAGTCCTTACAAGAACAAGTACCATTTTCAAAATGGTGGAACCGATTTGTATCTCTTAATACAATTGGTCTCCCTGTAACTTTTGAAACGGCCTTCATCCATGAATGACAATCAACACAAATCCTAAGATTCTTGGTGATCCTAACTGGCAATCCAGCTGCAGTATGAATGAGTGCATATACAGCAGCAAGCCGTTCACTGTGTCCACAAACCCATATTGCTTTCATATCTTCATTGATATCATGAAGAACAACTCCTGTGTTCGGGATATATCCTAAGTTCTCAATTGCATTTGACAACTCATTCCAAATTTTCAAATACTCAGCAGAGTGACGAAAATCTGAGCTCCCTCCAGCAACAAATGTATGAATTTTATGCTCTACGTGTATCCAACTACATCCAGCATCTTTCTTAATTCCCTTGATGGCCATCATTTCCCTAACTCCCTTCACACTTTCCCACATCCCTGCATTTGCATATACGTTTGAAAGCATCACATAATTTCCTGGATTGTTAGGTTCGATCTCAAACAACCTCTTGGCAACTTTTTCAGCAAGAAGAACATTACCATAAAGCCGGCACGAGTTAAGCAAAGATCCCCAAACGCTGCCACTAGGTTTCATTGGAATGCTCTCTGCCACGGTTAATGCCTCATCGAGTTTCCCAGACCTACCTAAGATGTCTACCAAACAAGCATAGTGCTCCAATGATGGTGGCACCCCATAATCTTCCATCACATTAAACAATCTCCGCCCCTCTCTACTAAGTCCTGAATGGCTACAACCTGACAGCAAGGCAACAAATGTAATGCCATCTGGTTTAATGCCATACCTTATCATTTCATCAAACAATGCTAAAGCTTCATTTATTTGCCCATTGACAGAATATCCAACCAGCACAGTGTTCCATGATGTCAAATCCTTTCTTTGCATTCTGTCAAAAACTTTTTTACTATAACCAATTACTCCACATTTTGCATACATGTCCATGAGTGAGTTGAGTAAAGGTACATCAGCATTCTTCCTAGACTTCACAATCTGCCCATGTATCTCTTTTCCACAATGAAGTGCAGTAAACTGAGCACAAACCGGCAACACTGTCGTAAGGGTAACCCAACTAAACCCCATTCCCTCTCCCTGCATTACTCTAAAAGCATCAAGAGTCTCAAACACTCTACCTTGACCAGCAAAACCCGAAATCAAAGTGTTCCAAGACACCACATTTCGTTGAGGCATTACTTCAAACACCCTAAAGACCTCATCAAAACACCCACACTCCACATAGAACCCCAAAAGCGCATTGTTCACAACTTGATCAGGTTCTTCATCATGCTTCACAATCTGGGCATGGATTGCTTTGCCAACCAGCGCATTACTCAAATCGGAACAGGCCTTGAGGGCGATGGAAAACGCAAAATTCCCAGGCTTCACAGACCGTGACAACATGTCACGGTAAAGAAGCAACGCTTCATTGGAAAACCCGTTTCTTGAATACCCAATAGCCATAGCTACCCACACTGGTTCTGGCGGGTTCTCATCGCTAATTCCCTCTTGGAACACACTGTGAGCCTCATCCACTCTGCCACAAACAGAGTACAGCGTGATGAGCTTGCTCTTCAATTTGGGGTTCTCCAAGACTGCGTTTTGAGAATGAAGCAAGTGCCAGTGGAGTTTTTGGCCATGTTCCAAGGACCTTCTGGAGATGCATGCGTGGAGGAGGAGAGAGACGTGTTCTTCTTCAATGAGTGTGGGCTTCCATGATTCGATTAGGCGAAGAGCCTCCTCCAATTTACCCCATTTGCAGAGTGATTTTAGGGTTGAATTAAAAGGTGTTGTTCTTTGTTTGTGAGTATTTGGGGTTCTGTGTGTGGCGGTAGCCGTTATGTTCGTTTTCACAGTTATGTTTGTTGGGAGAGAAATGGCGGGTAGCATGTTGGATTGGAATCGCAGTTTATGGTTAGTTCGGAAATTCCAATGAAGGTGTCACCTCTGAGGAGAACCAACATCAACGTGCTAATTTTACATGAAATGGAGAACATAGTAAGCAATACAATGAATTTGCAGTTCAAAAGTTGACTATGATTCAACTGTTCGAGATTCACATACGGCTACTGAAGGAGTGAAAGAGTTCTTTCTCTCTGTCACATGGATAGACTTTTTCTCTAAAACGTAAAATTATTTTCATCACTATAAACCTAAGTATATGTTTAGATGAGGTTTTGTAATAAACTTAATTTTATATAATTGATTATATTTTAATTGAGTTTAAAATGATGTAACTTATATTCAAAAATTATTTACTTAGAAGTAATTTTTTAACAGAATTTAGTATATTTCTTTTAAGTTAAAGCAGAAGTTATAATTTATCGCGTTAACTCGTATTTAATTTTAGAGGTAAAATTAATTATATTGTAAAATTTTATAACATATTGGCACAAATTTTTTAATGAAGTTGGGATGTTCAAATTTAAGCCATGGTTGTTTCCTTCACACACATTTAATCTTCATTCTACCTACTCTCGTTTCATTATAATTTCACTTGGTGACATGCTATAATCGGAGATCTTATTGCTACACCTGTTTGTTACACAAAATTCATTAATAAGTTTATACTAAAAAAATCTTAGAAAAATATGTAAATTTATCAAAGTAACAACACCATCTTCTGGTCTTTGAAGTTTAGCAAAATGAAACTCACAAAATGTTTCACACAAAATTTACCATCCCATTAAAATTGATATTAAAAGTCTGAAAACAATTATAGAAGAAAAAGTCTGATTTTGATAGAAACGTAATACTAATAGTATTGTTCAATGTTTCAAGTAGAAAGTAACAACCTTAATAGTAACACCGAATGGAGATAGGGATAAGATAATATACAAAATCAGTGTTAACTAAAATAACCGATGACAGTGATTTTAGGATATCCCATAAATTTTAAAGAATAATATTATTCTCATAATAGTTTCCATAAAAAATAAATAAAAATGAAAATATGATTAAAAAAATAATAATATGTAGACATTATGAATAGATTAGAGAAAGTGAATGAGCGCCACGTGGTTTCAGCTTCCTTCGATGTTCCGTTCGCTTTCTTTGAACCTCCCAACACAACACAACACGCTTAAGCAAACTTAACCAAACCACCGTTCTTTGTTTTTGCTTTTTCTATCCTTCCCAGATCCCAAGCCCTAATCTTTCTGTTCTCTTCTCTCTCACTCTCACTTCATAATCTAATTCTTCATCTGGGTTTGTTCTTATCTCCCTTTTCTATTTTTATTTTTATTTTTTTGCACACTATCATTCATTCAACGATAAAAAAAAATTGGTTCGGTTTTGATGAAGTTTTGATCGTTTCAGGAAGATCGGTTGACGAATTGAGAATCCCATCGCTTGCGACGCACTAGGGTTTCAATCGATCGCAATCATGTTCAACCGGATATTTGGTAAACCTAAACAGGAAACCAATGCTGTTGCCACTTTGGACAAGTTAAACGAAGTAATTTGCCTTTGATTTTCCTTAAACAGTGTTATTTTCCGTTTTTCATATTCGATCATTGTTTTTCTTTTATTATGTTATGGTGATATGTGCATATTTGATGAATTCAACTTTGTATTTTGACTTGAATGAATTGTATTGTTCTGTTTTGCTCTTAATTGTTACCTTGTGGCGGTTGACACTGAATAAGCAGTGTTGTCGTCATGGCAACTTTGCTTCTTAGTAGTACACTTCAGCTATGAATTATGAACAATAACAATTGTTCCATGTCCCATTTAAAATCTTAGTTAATTGGCTTCACATGATTGCTAAAAATATTTTGTTTTACTGTAGTATCTCCAAAATTATGAAGTCATTGGCAGAATCTTCTTCCAAGTTTTAGACTGAGCTGATTATCTGAGTTTTTATCAATAAATTTTTTGGTCTGTGTTTTAATGCTTTTTATTTGAAATGTGTATTTAAATATTGCTTTGAGTGGTAATTTACGCTTTGAGAGAGATTTATCGTGATCCATTTGTTTTGAGTGGTAACTGTCACTTTGAGAAAGATTTTCTGAAATTGGATGGTTTGTTCTATGAATCATTTAGACACTTGAAATGCTGGAGAAAAAGGAGAAAGTGCTCCTTAAAAAGGCTGCAGCGGAAGTCGAAAAGGCCAAGGAATTCACTAGGGGGAAGAACAAAAGGGGTAGGTTACTAAACTCATGGGTACTTCAGGGTGCCTCCCCGCTCCCCCCCCCCCCCCCAACTTATTACTTATTTTGTGGCATGTGATTTGAGATTTTGTTTCATGCAGCGGCAATACAATGTTTGAAGAGGAAGAGATTATATGAACAGCAGATAGAGCAGCTTGGAAATTTCCAGTTGCGTATTCATGACCAGGTGTGAAAGCAATGTTGTATTGTTGTATATAGCAACTGTTCAAAAGATGATTTGGTTAATTGAGCTTCTTTTCCATCTTATGCTGTTAATTTTTGTTACAGATGATAATGTTGGAAGGTGCTAAAGCCACAACAGAAACAGTAGATGCATTAAGAACTGGAGCATCTGCTATGAAGGCTATGCAAAAAGCAACGTATGTAGTTTGGTGCTATTTATGTATAAAATCATTAGTGATTTCAATCTTGACATTTTCTCATGTTTCTTTTGTCATATTATCATGCTATGGCCTACTATATTTGTTCAATTTTTTATTATGATTTATGACATTGTTGACTTGCGACATTTTTTTCAGGAATATTGATGATGTTGACAAGACCATGGATGAGATCAATGAACAGACTGAAAATATGAAACAGATTCAGGAAGCATTGTCAGCTCCAATTGGTGCAGCTGCTGATTTTGATGAGGTCATCTTCTCAGATGTTTATTTTAGTTGTGTTATTTTGGTTGGAAACAGGATATTTGTATCTTAATATTGTAGTAGTGTTCTAGAGTACCAATGCATGCTCGTGGATTATTCTGAATAATTTTCTCCTCTCAGGATGAATTGGAAGCAGAACTTGAAGAACTGGAGGGTGCTGAGTTGGAAGAACAGCTTCTTCAGCCAGCAACTACAGCTCCTGCAGCCCCTGTGCAGGTCCCAGCCGGGCGCCAACCTACTCGCCCTGTTCCTGCAAAGCCCACTCCTGAGGAAGATGAATTGGCAGCTTTGCAGGCTGAGATGGCGCTTTGAGCAGGTCCCTTTTCTCAGCTGTGACACTGGATTTGTATTGTTATCTATGCATTAGTTTGTTTTAGGCGAACTAGAGTTGCATTTATCGCGACAGTAAATGATGTGTATGCTCTATTTTCATGGTGAAATATCCCACTTCTGCACAGTTTAATGCGCTCATATGATGTATCATAGTTTGAAACGTATTGCCTAAGATCACTTTCTGAGAATAAGTATGAGAATCTTATTTTAGGCAGTTGTTCTTATTGGTTTTGCCTCTGGCTTTGATTTAGCCAGAATTTTGCAGGCATTTTTATGCATGATGACAAGTGGCTTCAGTGATGAATTATCATCACTATGATGTGGAGAATTCTGCTTCTCTCCCGCTCGCTTATCTGTGTGAAATTATTGAACAGACCAGAGGATGTATATAAAAGGTGAAAAAATATTAAACACATGAGTCCTTCAAAAATTGACTACTTTTTTTCTCTTGGATGAGTTCGAACCCCCTTTTTCATGTATACGTATCAAATATTAATACATTTGGCTATATCCTATGCTTCGTGTGGTCAAGTTTAATATTTGGCATCAGTTTCATCAATAATGTATATCTCAAACATGCTACAGCGTAGGGTAAGGAGTAAGAATCGGTTGTCCTATGTCCTATAGAACACAACCAAGGTTGTGAATAATGAATTTTATTGTGTCTCTAGGAGGATTTACAAGCTACATTGCAGGGGGAAAAGGGGGAAGATTTTAATATCCTAAATTAAAGTGAAGCTCTAGAAGAGTTCATTTAATGTTGAAAATGAAGACGCTAAAACTTTTGAAACGCTACAGATGAACATTGTCTTGATTACGAATTTGTTGAATTTAAATTGTCTTTTTTTATAGCAGAAGATTTTTTAAATTTCAAAAAGTTAAATAATCTGATTTATATAATTTCAAAGTCTTATTTGAGGATTACTAGTTTGACACAAGCGTATAACGGGCCGCAGATATTTGTATACACGTTTTGATGCATAGCATAATATATCAGTATTTTAATTTACTATGGTTTATAAAAATAAGAATAACTGGCCTGTGCATCTGTTTCTCACCATTGTGGGGTTATGCCAACGAATCCTAGCATTTCAAAATCATGACATTCAAGACTCGAATAACCTCTCTCTATCACCGTTTCTAATTCGGAACAATTATAATATTGAGGTTCTTCTAATAAGAGCATGTTTTCTTAAGAGATCTGAGTCTATGCCAGGAGGAGAAAGTAATTAAAGTGGTCAAATTCAGTGACATATAGAATATTTGGATTCATATTTAAATATGCATGAAAATGCACTTATTTCAACACAACTAATTGTCAAGTTTTGTGTTTATTTAAAATATCACATTACAACGCGGGTACCAAATGTGGGCAAATTTTGGGACGAACAATTTCCGAGTTAAAATTCTCAAAGAAATAAACAATAAATTTTTATGTGAAGACGAAATAAACAACTTTGCTTTAATCGTATCGTTCACGTATTATATTTTATTTCCATTGTTTTGAGACTTGAGTTGGGTTTGTCGTCTTCTTTCATAATCTTAGCAACCGAAGACGAATTTGACATTGCAAGTTGTTTTGTGGAGACCACGCGTACAACTATCTCTCCCTAAAAAGCAAAAGGAACCCAAAAAGCCAAAAATAAAAATTTGCTTATTCCACCCCTAACCCCAACCCAACCTTTTTTTTTATCAGCCTATGGCATTCTGCCAAAATTTGTCAAAAATGGTGTGAAACTAAGAAATTAAAATAGCTATGATTAATTCCTTCTGTTTCAAGTAACAAAATTAACCAATTTGCAAAAATAAACGGATAGAGGGAGACTCGTGTGTTAACACATACACATATCAAAAAGAATTTCATTGAAAGAATAGAATCCAAAGAAATAAATACAAGACGAGAGCTAAAAAGAAAACATAGCTAATAGAAGAATGGGGTGATTAATGGATGATGTAAGTAAGGGCCAGAGCCAGCAGCATTAGCAGATAGGCAATTCCTTGGTCCACTGCTATTCCTGCAATCACAGCAAATAACATCATCAGCCACAACCTTCTCTTCAGCAAACCCAATGAGAATTTGGACACAAAAATTAATTTCCATGAGAATTGAAAAGAGTACACATGAAACAGAGAGATGATATGGATTTTAATCTATAGTGTTATTGAGTTTCAGCAAATTCATCCCGTAAATTTTTGATTTGACAAAAAATATATCTTTCTCACTTAGTAATCATATCATGTTAAGAATTTATATATGATGGAATTTTTAATTTATTAAAATTTACACAACATCACTAAATTTAATAGACTGATAACATTAAATATGAATTTTTTTTATAAAAACTTACTATTAATTAATTATTCTGATAGATACATGTTAAAAAAATGGATATTAATACAAGATTCATATTGGAATGATACAGAGAGGGCAGAGCATACCATCACTAGTAGGAGCAGGGGCAGGAGCAGGGACCTCAGCGTTGATGGAAGGTGAGACAAAAGCCAAAGCAAGAGCTATGACAGACATGAAGAAAAGCTGAACTCTCAAGACCTCCATTGTAATTGCAACTCTGAAAATTGAGACTTTGCTGAGGCCAAGATTTGTTTATAACGAGGGAATGGAGTGAGAGAATAACAATGAAAATGCAAATGCAAATGCAAACGCAAAGGGGTTGAGAGAATCTTGGCCACTCTGGCTAGCAATATAAGTAAGAGAAGAGGGCCTCCACTAGCCGTCGATGGATGCCACGTGTAGGGTCAATATTTGCTGCACGTTACACAGTCTAGCTGTAGAGTAGAGAATGAGGGAGACCTCGTCCAACAATTCAACAATCATTGGTCGAACATTTACAACTCTCATTCTCTTTCATCTTTCAATTCATTTTCTTTTATTTTTAATTATAAAATTGTCTTATCTTTAAGAGTTTGCAAAAAAAACATTTTAAAAAATCAAATTTTGTCCAAACTCATAAGACGATTGAACCGTTACCTTTGGACGGCTACCGTTGGATGCGGTGGGACCACATAGAACACAACAAATAGATGACAGTGTTATGAGTTACATAATAAGATTCGATAATCCCAATGGTTTGAATGAACGATAGCTTATCAGTTACTATATGTTGTATAAAAGTAAAGTTTTATTTTTAATTGTAATTTTCAATTTTAATTATTATTTTATTCATTTTAAATATTGTTCTCTCTCTTCAATTATTTAATCATCATATATATAAATTCAAGTATTAATATGATATTACAGTATAAATAAATTTGATTCTTATTTTTATCACAATTTTTTTTGCTAATTATTTTTATCATGATTTTATCTTTACACACACCCACACTCAAATCAAAATATTTTATTAAATAAATAATATATGTGTAACATTTTGATAAAATAATTTATTTTATAATTCTCTGTTTTTTCAAAAAACTTTATAATTTAATTTAATAATATCAGTATACTGTAAAAAAAACAGTTACTAGTAATAATAATTTTTATCCATACTATTTAGCCAATACTCTATCTCCATTTTATAATTACAAATTTAAAATTTTAATTTGATTACTACTTTTTTGATTTTTTTTCTCTATTTGACTATAATATATGTTATTCCTTATTATACATATAAATAAACATTTAAAAATATTTATTAATATGATATTATAGTTTTTTTATAATTTAAAACATAAAATAATATTTTATATTATTTACTTATGATATAATAATTAATTTTCTTATTACATTATAAAAACACATCGTTAACTAAATAATAAAATATATTTTTTTATTAATTAAACACGTGATTCGATTAGTAAAAAGTTATTTTAACTTTTCTCAACTACAAATATACAGATGTAAATTATATTAAATACTTGAATAAAAGCTTTGTTTAAATATTAAATAATTTTGATGTATTATTATTATAATTTATTTTACGCTGTCACTCAATTAAAATATATAACTATTAAAATAAGTACTATAAAAATTAAAATTAGCTGGTGTTACAGTTCACAATAAACTTTATAAAAGAAAGGTAAAGGATACACATTGGAGCATAAAGTGTAAGCTAAGGTGAGGAAAATGCTTTGCAGAGAATATACTTTTAAGAATAAATGAGAAAATAAATGAAGTAAATCCACATTTATTTATTGGTTGTTATCTATAGTATCTTATAATTTTTTGAGCTGTTAATTATATATAAACAGTTAAAAACTTTTTATCCCATATATTCCCCACTTACCCAAATCCGTTTTAAGTTAATCTTTGTATATTAAATTTAAGTTTTTTTTTTCTTGAATGAGAATATTTTTAGTTATTATTTTTTATTATGTCGTATTTTTTATAACTAATAATATTTTGGTTAAATTTTATCAATTATGAACAGTTTTTATTTTAATTTTTAATATATTATAAAATTAGAAATTTTTTCTTAAATAAACTAAAATTTAAGTAATTAAAAGAAGAATTTTATCACCCATAGTCATCTTATTTTAACTTAAATCTCAAATAGATAATATATGTAATTTACAAATAGTTATATATGAATGTTTTGATTCAAATTTTTGTTTAACTTAAATTGATTTAGATATTATGTAAAATTAAATTTATTTAACTTATAGTAAAAGACTCAATTTTTGTTATATTTATTTATTAAAGTTTAATTCCTATAAAGAGTCTATTCACAAAACGTTGTTAAATAAGCGAATATTATATAATTAATGAATAAGTATGGATTTATGAGAGACTAAGTAATAAATATATTATTTTAATAAAATTAATTTAATGAAAATTAAATAAATTTCAGTTTTTCAGATTAAGTTTAAGCATTTAAAAAATAATTTTTATTAAAAAATATATTTATTATATTAAAATTATAAAAAGTAATAATAATAATAATAATAGTTATTTTAGTTCATTCTTCAAAAACTGATGTTAACATTTTTCTAATATATATAAGCGTTTCTACGTTACCAAATTCCTCGCCAAATAGTCTTACCAGAAAGTCGCGAATCGCTTGAAAGAGAAAGAGGCCTCTTTGCAATAGCCAGAATCCCCATAAGAAGAAGATAATAAAAAGAGGGTATAAAATTTGATAGAGCTATTCCTTCAACTTAGAGGAATTCGTCTATTGCTGACAATTTTTGCTTACCCTTACAAAAAAATGTTGCATTTACTAATGGTATTTTACTTATATTTATTTTTCTTAATCTTATTAATTATATTCATTTTACTAACGTTGTTTAAAATTTTACTTATATATCTTTACTCTGATTATTTTGCATCTTTTTCTCAATGAACTATCTACTTCATTAATTTTTATTCTTTATAAGGACCTAAATTTGCCAATGTTGGACCCTAGTGAGATAGTGATCTGTAATTACTTAGTCACTTTCAATAACTAAATGGGATTGTTAGAGTTATACCTGGGATAGAATAGGAAATAATAATATTATTTTGCTATTAGGAAAATCATAATATTATGAGGGGTGTTTTAGTGCCAAGACCAAAAATTGTTCGAGAGAGTACATTTAGAAACTCCATTCTCAATAAGTAAACATTAATATATAGGAGGTTGATAACAATGTGGCATACGCATAGGTCTGTGCAATTGGGATCATCCCAAGCAATTCAACTCATTTCATATTTAAATTATTTCTGGGAAAAGAGAACAACGGAAATGCCAAGGAAATACAAATCAACAGACTATCAAACAATTGGAAGCGACGAAACTTTAGGTGTATGTTAGTTAAACAACCTCCAAGTGGGCAAATCCGAAAAAACTAACCAGTGAACAATTTAACAAAGCAAATGTCATTTTGCTATATCACTAATGAATGAAAATAAAGAGCATTACAAGGAAATTAAAGCCTCATTGTAAATAATAACAATAAGAAACTGTTAAATAGTGTCTTTAAAGAACTGTTAAGGATTCACTAAATTAAACATTTTATTAATATTATGTTAAAAGTGCATTAATAATATTTTTAATAAAAATATTTATTTTTAATCCTTTAATCAGTATCCTTAAAAGGTAGTCCCCTACAAATGAAAGAATTTAATGGAAATAGATTTTTTAATATTAACTTTTAGGACAAATTACAGTTATATATCCTGAAGTTTAATGAAAATAAATTCAATACTCTATACTAGATATCCTTTTTTAATAACACAGACCTCTATTTTCATATAACATAAGAACTTTTAAGAAGTGAAGTTCTTGACGCTCTAGGATGGTTAGTAAGCCACCGATTCAAAATGATTACCTCATAAATACAGCCGCTCGTAGGCCATAAACCACAACACTTTATTTTTCTAACCATAAAAATAAATGTAAAACAGAAAGCATCGATGCAGAACCTCATTAAAGCTAGTAACACCACCGTAGTAAAGACGGTGACCAAAGATAGAGGCAGAAAGCGTTAATCTTTAATATACATGTTGCCACTAGTAGCAAAAAAGCTTCTTAAATCTCATGATTAATACAGCAAGAGGAGAAGGAAAACAAAATAACAAGCCATTTCTGAGGATGTTATTGACAATGCTCAATTTACATTTTCATTGTCAGTGTTTGAGAGAAGCATGATAGCCAATAGTATGCCTTCAGATAGGCTTAAGTAATTAATCAGCAACTGCTTTGAGTGGGACAGGCGCGGACTCCAAATAGTCAAAATCATCTGTTATACCAACCTGCATGAAGACACAAAGTTGCAAGACATGTAAGAAACCAAGGAACGGTATCTTTTAGCTGAGAAAATGCAGAAAAGAATGAATATTTGGTGTGTTAAGCTTGCTAACATTACTATATTTTATCTTTCCATTCAAGTAACTAAAACAAATTAGCTGAGGATTACATAGTGATTTGCAGTGCAGATCAAGGCATTAAACTGAAATGACTGACCTCCTTGTACATGGTTTCAAGTTGTTCCTTAGCCTCAGGGAAGTTGTTTGAACACCACTGCATCAGGGTGAAAATGTTGTCTGCACAGTTTTTTGGCAACAAATAGAGATTATAGAAAATGGAATGTTCAGAGGGAAGTGCACAACAGGGAGAAAGAAGCTCGTCAATATCCTCCACACCATTCTCCCCTCCTAGACAAATTCCATTCAGGGTTAAAGAAAATGACAAAGAAAACATAGAAGGTAGAACCTGTCCATCTGTTGGCTGATGCATGGGCAACTTCAATTGCTTCCTCTGCTAACATTAATACAAAAACATCAGCACTCCAACTCCCAAACTATGACTAGGTATTAACTTTCTAAAACGTCAAATTAATGTATAAATAAGGAAATAAGCATTCCGTAACTCATTGCTTCAAAGGCAGCTGGATCGTTGTCTCTATACTTTGCCAACTCATCCTGAAAACGTCAAATATTACATGACTAGTACAAAACTGAACTGAAGTAATATGATCATACATAATGCATTCATTACTAACAAATAATCCATAAGCCAACCTTCAATTCGTTATGCTTGAGCTCAATGGCTTTTAGATCCGCAAGGGCCTCCTCTCGTTCATCCTGGTGAAAATGCAATATTAGGATAATGATGACCATTCATCTTATTGCCACAGAAGCATAATGAATTGGAACCTAGTAAGAAATGGGCGATAACTCACAGATTCCTCTCGCCCTTTCTTTAGTTCCTCACACTGGTCAGCAAGTTGGGCATACCGTTTCTTACTGCTTTGCAGATCAGAATCAAGTTTGCGGTACACGTTCCTAAGCTGCTCAGAGTTTATAAGGTTGTAATTAGATTACATCAGGATACTATTGAAGGTAAGGGTAGTGAACAACTTATCAACATAAAAAATTTATAACAGCACAATGTAGCTTTTTCATCAAAATTTCACCTGATTTCCAGCACAGCTAGGAAGACTCCAGAAGTAAACCTGAGAGGCAAATGCAGAAGCATCAATTCATTAGAGGAAGAAACTCAGTGAGAAAAACCTTCCCTATATCTTTGACAATTTTCTCATACAACTGGTTATAATGTTAACTTACAGAAGTTCCTATCTTATCTTTGGAAACAAGGTCATCATCCACTAAACTTTGGACAACATCTTTCACAGACTGAGTGATTACCCCCTTTCTGGGACCCATCTTCTCGAGCTCCTTAAGCTGAAATAACAACAAAATAAAAACAATCGCATATAAATCAGTAAATAAATTATATGATTAAAAAAAAACAGAATCCAGGTTCAAAGTAACAAAACAAAAAAATGGGAAATGCTGCTGATTACCAGGAAGAAGTCTTGGGACTCGTAGAAGATTTGAAGCATCTTCTCGCGCTTCTCTTCCAATGAGAGACCCCTTTTCTTCGACTGCACCAAACAAAGCATATCAGCCAAATTTCAATTGACGGCATTTTCACAAACACGGAGAGAGCTGAGCTCCTCAACACGATTTGACAGAAAGCCATAGATCGATTCAGCACTCAAAATGTCCGGTTTAGGTTTTCTTGCCAATCCTAATTCTTAAAATTTAAAATTCCGTCAGATTAAAACCAACAATGTTTCATTACCTAAAAAAACACAGTGTCAGCTAATTGAACCAAGCAATTCGCACAACACGGTACAAATTTGAGATGAAAACGGGATTAAAAATAAAAAACCAGGCATAGAAGCTTTTGCTAAATGATTGAAAATAACAGAATAAATTCAGACGTACAGAGAGAGAGAGAGAGAGAGAGTGAGTTACCATTACGACAGCTTCCGGCGGCGGCGGCGGAGTAAAGCGGAAGATTCCTCAGTGGCGGTTCTCTAGTTTTGGCGGGAAAATGGTTGAGTGAGTCATGTTATTTGAATATTATTTTCAATATATATATATATATATATATATAGTTTTTATTTTACATCAAAAATTGAAAAAGTGATCATACTATACTCTGGCTGTTACTCACACAACATTTTCGTTTCCTTATTTTCTATAGGTATAGATAATTATTTTAAAGATTAAATTATAATTTTAGTTTTTGTATTTAATTCATTTTTTTAGTTCTTGCATAAATTATTTATTATATAAAAAATTACAAATTAATACTGCTACTTAATAATAATAATAATATATTTTATATAAATATCAAATTAAACTATAATACGTCATGTGCAAAAATTAAAATATAAAGTTTTTATATGTAAGTTTAATATAAATATATGAATTATAAAAAATATGCTATATATATAAACTAAGTTTAACTCTATTCTAACTTTGATAAATAGTAGCATAGATGGTAACACTTCAAATTTTGTACTATAATTTAGTTATAAATATAAGTGTTTATGTGAACTTTTATGTGTTGTGTGTGTATATATATATATATGTGTGTGTATGTATGTATATATATAATTATATGTTATAATGAGGATACATGTATGTATGGTGATGAGAATATATGTGTATGTTTGGAACTAAACTGAAAACTTGGCTAAAGTGTTTGGTGCAGGGTGTTCTCGCTGCAGCGAGAGATGTCTTCTTATAGCGAAAGAACCTTGGGAGGAAGACGTGAAATTGTCGCTTTTTCACTGTAGCGAGAGGTCCCTTACTATAGCGACAAAGCAATAGTTTATGGTGCATTTTTTGGTGTAGTCTTGCTGTAACGAGAATTTGCAGAAACTAGGGTGCAGTTTTTTCTGATGTTTTTGCTGCAAAAACTGATGATATATATATGTATGGTGATGAAAATATATGTGTATGTTTGAAACTAGACTGAAAACTTGGCTAAAGTGTTTGGTGCAAAGTGTTCTCGCTGCAGCGAGAGTATCACGAGTAAAGGGGTATTTGAAGGGTTAGGGTTGGAGAAATTCATTTTCCACCTTCCCTCTTCAAAATCTCTTTGATTCTTTCGATCCAAAAATTTATTTCACCGATTAAATTGCTTCCAAAGTCGTTCGTGAGCTAGATTGAAGGTTGTATTTATGTAGGGAACGCTTGAAGGTGAGTTTTAATAATTAGGGTTTCGATTTTCATTCATCTTCTTTATTTTCTGGATTCTCTTTGAGTTCTCATAGAGTTTTCCATGTGTCCTAGGGATGAAATTCGTGTGGAGAATGTTTTCTATCATTGTTTGTGTGTAAGTGTTCAATTTGAGATAAGAGAGACTCTACCCTATCTCATTGTATTTTGTTTACCGTTTATCTTGCTAAACGTTGTAATGTGGTTGAGATAGAGGAAAGAAAATGTGTGATTGATGAAAATTATTGTGTGTTTGAATACAATGTGGTTTGATTGTGGGGTTGACATATTCTTGATTGAGAATATGAGTGAATGTGTGCATGTGCATGTGCATGTCAATGATTGATGATTGAATAACATACATGGTTAGAAATGGGTGTAGATGGCATGTTCAATGTAAATGTAAATTTTGTTGACAATGATGTGTGATGGAATAAGGGCATATGTGTCGAATGTTGTAAATGAATGTGGGCCTATGTGCCGTGTAATGTGAATGATTATGGGCGTTGTGCTGTATACTGTGAATAGATGTTGTATGTAACGGAAATGCGTGTGAGTGAGGCATGTTGAATGTCGTTGTAATGATGCTATGAATAGTTCAGTAATACACTGGAGGTGTGAAAGATATGGACGGTAGAAATACTTTGAGAAAGAGAAAGTGGTGGTAACAGCAATAGTGAGCGTGTGCACCACAGGCCACACACTCTTTTCCTAATTAGACTTCTGACCATTAACTTTGCTGAGCGGTTCGTGACTACCTACGTAGTATCCATGAGGTGGGGTAACTGACGACCATCTATTGTGTGAATCTGTGATCATAGTGCCACAGTAAGCGTAACTGTGTGTGGTGAGTGCATGCATGTAAAATGTTTGATGTCGTGAGTGCATCAATCATGAATTAAAATGAAATGCTTAAAATAATGCTTGTGATTGATTTTACTTGTATGACTATGTTAGAAACTATGTGAAGGGTGACCAAGGTGAATCTCTATGTTGTGTGTATTGAATATTGTAAAGTACTCATCCTTATATTTATTTTTCAGGTGATCAAGACCAAACTTAGTGAAAAAATAGATGTGACTGCTATAAGACTTTGATTTTATTTTAAAATTCTAATATATTTGAATTAGTCATGTAGTAGTTTCGTTGATCAAAATTTGTAGACACTTATTATTCAAAATATTTTGTTAAACCGCGGGTTGGAAAAACCTATTTAAAAATAAAATTTTATCATTCCCATTTTACAAAATTAGTATTTTAAAATTAAATTTAAAGTGATATAGAGTCGTATATAAACGACTTTTCATATAAAGACTTTAAAAAATTATATATTAAGTGTATAGAATAAATTTATAATTATACCTATTTTAAAATTTGAGACTACATATGTTTGATAAACTTTATTTTGTTGGGTTAAATGACATTATTCATCTAAATTTCATATAAAAAATTTGAAAAAATTAAAAAATTGTAAATATAATAATTTACGGTATAATTTTTACTTAAAAAATACGTAAATATTTTAAATATATTAGAGACTTCAATAATTATGTGTTAAACAAGAATTTATAATTTTATCAATCTAAAATTGTAAATAGGAGACATGGCTACTTTTAAAAATAAAAAATGTATCTCCCACTTTCCATTGTCAGAATTTGCATAGCCAAAACAATCAAAGCTTGGCCAGTAGAATTTTATATTTATTATTAGTGGGCATATTATTAGCCACTTTAATCACGGATGTTTATTTTTAAGTTACAATATTATAACAAAATTAAAATAATGACAAGTTGTCACCGTCGAGGTCGATGGGGCCATGCAAGTTTTCCTTAAACTACTAGTTAGTCTGACATTAAAAAGAAAAAGTAAATCCACCATATTCATACATAGATAAAAGAATAACAACAATGGCAGTCAATGTTGACACTATGTTTTAATATCCTCACCAAATCCAAGAGCCCAGGTTCAAATCAAAATGTGGAAATTAAATGGTTTCAAGTTGGACCCGTGTATTATATGATACAGTTCTTGGTACCCTTCTTAAACCCATTTGGTGACAGGTCCAAGTTCAATTGCTTCAGATGATTAACTTATAATTCATTTTCATTATCATTAATTACTTAATTTTGTATGTTTATATCCAAAGTCAAAAGTAGGTGGGAAGGAAGCAATGATGCTTCCAGCCTCATTCTTTACTCCCCAAAAATATGATCATTTTATTGATACCCTTTACTTGTGAGTGAGTTGTGACTTTTCATTGTATTTTTCTTCTATCATTCACATCAGAACTATTTAATAAAACGAATGCATTGTTGTCAATTTCAACTCGAATTCTTTCACATAAATTATTGCAACCTTTAGAGTTGTTGGTTTCGTCCAAAACAACAAACGTGTGCCCAAGTTCACAAGTTGACCCCACTGTTTTGTTTTTGAATCTTGTAGCTAATAACATTCCCTTTCTACATCAGTAAAAAAGTAAAACATTGAACGGTCTTTGCACATGAAGGTGTCTACGACATGTATAACTAATTTGTAACATAGGAGTCTTCGTGTTCCAGTGATGGCAAATTCTTGTGTATGCATCCCGTTGTTCACACTTTGTGTTGTTGGCCTTACAGTTTTTGTTCATGCACAGCAACAAACAGGTTAGCATTTCTCGGCAACATTATTATTATTGAGTGAGGTCATGGAATATTTTCTCCAGGGTAGACTTAACTTGTCTTTAAAGGGTACTTAAAAAGTCTTTGGCTTTGCTCTTGTTCATCATCATTCATCAATCATGATTCATGGAGTACTATGAAGTATGAACATACCTGGTTAAGCTTCTTGCTTTTAAGGCACCCATCTCTTATCTTATTACAGGCCTTTAAGACAATAAATAAACCATGACCCATTTTGGAAAGTTGAAAAAGCTAAAAAAATTTATTCCTTAATCTGTTTTGCCCTTTATTTCAGGCTTCATAAGCATAGATTGCGGTGGTCCAGAGAATTTTCAGTACACAGATGATGCCACTAAAATAAGGTACAGCACAGATGGAGTCTACATACAAACGGGGGTTAATAAGAACATCTCTTCTGACTATGGATACCCAAATAATCCCATTCTGCCAGAACCACTCTCAGATCTCAGAAGCTTTCCTCAGGGAAAGAGGAACTGTTACAGCTTAACAGCAGGAAGAAAAGGAAGTTTACATTTGATTAGGGCTTCCTTCTTGTATGGCAACTATGATGGAGAAAACAAGTTACCAGAGTTTGATCTCTATGTTGGTGTCAATTTCTGGTCATCAGTGAAATTTAGAAATGCTTCGGAGGAAGTTACAATGGAAATAATCAGTATAGCACAATCAGGGGTGACAAATGTTTGTCTTGTGAACAAGGGAGCAGGAACTCCTTTTATCTCAGGATTGGAACTGAGACCACTTAATAGTTCTATTTATAGTTCTGAGTTTAAGGAATCTGCTTCACTGTCACTTTTCAAAAGATGGGACATTGGATCACTAAATGGAAGTGGAAGATATGAAGATGATATTTATGATAGAATTTGGTCCCCCTTTAGTTCCTTATCTTGGGATTATGTCAACACTTCTTCACCAATAAATGTCAATGGCGATGGCTATAGAGCACCATTTGAAGTCATCAGCACTGCTGCTAGACCAAGGAATGACAATGATGCTTTGGAATTTTCCTGGACCCCAGATGATCCAAATTTGAAATTTTATGTCTACTTGTACTTTGCTGAAGTGGAGAAGCTTAAGAAAACACAACTAAGGAAATTCAATATATCATGGAATGGATCTCCATTGTTTGAATCCATAGTACCAAGCTACTTGTATGCAACCACTCTATCTAATTCAAAATCCTTGGTGGCAAATGAACATCGAATTTCTATACACAAAACAAAAGATTCAACCCTTCCACCCATTCTTAATGCAGTTGAGGTTTATGTAGTAAGACAGCTAGATGCACTTGAAACATTTGAACAAGATGGTATGATATGTTTTCTTTGCTAAAATTTCATGTGCAAAAGCAGTGCTCTATAGGCTCTCTGGCACTTGAATAAGAAGAAAATCTCATGCATCCTTGCCAAACAATTGTATTACTTGCAAGTTGCAATTGTTTTTTAGTTTGAATGATTATGCCTTTTAAGTGAATTCAATTATATGTTAACACAGTTAATGCAATGACGACCATAAAGGAGAGCTATAAAATTCAAAGAAATTGGGTGGGTGATCCATGTGAGCCAAAGAACTACTCTTGGGAGGGTTTAAATTGCAACTATAGCATTCAGCTTCCTCCTCGAATCATTTCTCTGTGAGTAATCTCTTCGTATTGTTTCCATTTTTTTCTCTTTTTCCCATTCTGAATGTCCTGATTGAATAATAGGGTATTGCTTTTGAGTTTTAACTTTATATCACGATATTCAAGTTTAGAAGAAAACATTTTCTTTTTATAGGAATATGAGCTCAAGCAGTTTGATTGGGACAATAACCTCTGCTATTTCCAATCTCTCCTCGTTGGAATCCTTGTAAGTACACATGATAGAAAAATTTTGAGTGCGATATCATCTTGTTTTTAACATATACAAAACTTCTCCGTACTAAATAACACTGTTTTCTTCATCCTATATTTAATATCACATAACATACATTTTTTTATTCAGGGACTTGCATAACAATAGCTTAACTGGATCAGTGCCCGAGTTTTTAGAAGAATTGAGATCCCTTAAATACTTGTAAGTTTTTTAATGATGGTTGAATGGCCAATGCATAAAGTGGTAAATTTGAAATGGCTGATGCAAGAAAAATAAAATATTTGCAGGAATTTGAAGGGGAACCTACTTTCAGGTACCCTCCCTACCACTCTTGTAGAAAGATCAAGGGCTGGATTACTTACATTGAGGTATGTCCTCCTATCTTAAACCTAGAGATTCTTATTACAAGCCTAGCTAGTTTTATTTGTCTTGAAATTAACAGGAATCATGTTGAAGAAAGTTAACGTGGAAGTATGAACTATATATGAAGCATCTAAAGATTTATAGGTGTCAACAAACATCTTTACATGTAATTATGACCTGACTGCCTTGTTTTCATCTTTTTCAGCGTGGATGATCAAAATCTCTCTGACTCAGAAGAGAACAAAAAGAGCAAGAAGAAAATTGTTGTTCCAATAGTTGCATCAGTATCATCAGTTTTAGTTCTATTGATTGTTTTCGTTCTCATTAGGAAACTTAGAAGAAATGAACAATCAGGTAATTCTTGTTTTTAATGATATGTAACTCCTTCCATCTGATACTCAACCTGAAGAATGGACATAAAATAAATGGGAAGCAAAATATTAACCATACTTAGACTAATTTTTCTTCTTGAATTAAGATGAGGAGATGAATATGCTCAATAAAGGAGGAAGAACTGTAACAACTAAGAACTGGCAATATACATATTCAGAGATCTTAGACATCACCAACAACTTTGAAATGGTCATTGGGAAGGGAGGATTTGGAACTGTGTACGCTGGTGAGATGAAAGATGGCAAACAAGTTGCAGTGAAGATGCTTTCTCCATCATCATCTCAGGGGCCAAAGGAATTTCAAACTGAGGTAATTAGTACCACATTCTACCACTGAATTAAACAACTTAGATTCCATGCAAAATGATATTTAAAAGCAAAACCATCAAAATAATATAATCATGGCTTGCAGGCTGAGCTCTTGATGACTGTTCATCACAAAAATTTGGTATCCTTCATTGGTTATTGTGATGATGATAACAAGATGGCACTCATATACGAGTACATGGTCAATGGAAACCTAAAAGATTATCTCTTACTCTCAGGTGCCCCCATACACCTCCAGAATTCTGATTACACCTCATTTATCTAATGTAATATTCATGATGTCATAAAATATTTAAAGAGACTAAGAGAGCATGCTGCAATGGAATATCCCATGGTTGCAGATAAAGATACACCTTGCTTGAGTTGGGAAAGGAGACTTCAGATAGCAATTGATGCCGCAGAAGGTCAGTATATCTTGTTGTATATCATCATCACCTTTTGCCTTCAATTTCACATTGATACCACATGTTGTTATGTCCCTAGATCATCACACAGTATTAATGAAATGAAAAAGATGTTTTTCTCATTTTTCTTCCTTTTTATTTGGGATAAAATCTCTCTAATTGTCACCTCATTCAATTTTGTTTGTGGATTGTTTAAACCACTCTAAGTGCATGCTTTATATTTTTCATCTATGACTATGTTACCAAGACTAATAACTTGAAACCCTGTACATGCATAAGTAGTTTTGTGCAACTAAATTCTTTGCAATTTGTAGTGATGTTTGATGAATGATGTGTTTGGCCTTGAAGGGTTGGATTACCTACATCACGGATGCAAGCCACCTATAGTTCACAGGGATGTGAAATCAGCCAACATTCTTTTAAGTCAAGAATTAGAAGCTAAGATAGCAGATTTTGGCCTCTCCAAGGAGTTTAGAAAAGATAACCAAAATGCAGAGTCTGCAGTGATTCATAATGATGCCGGAAACCCAGATACTGCAGTCGTGGGCACCACAGGGTACCTTGACCCAGAGTAAGTCCTAATCCTTGGATTCTTTTTTGTTTGGGTGCTACAATCAGCGTAACCTAAAAAGTTAATGAAAAATGTTAACAACAACTTTTTAAGCAATTAAGAATAATAAGATTTTATATATAAAAAAAGTATTATTTGTTTCTACATGAGTGTTTCCTCACATTTTGGTTTGTGCTATTATAATATTGTAGGAAAATGTAACCAAGTAAATAATAACTTTTCTTAACTATGTTACAACGATATAGACTAGAAATGTAACGAAACACTCCTAAAACATTAGTTTTTTTAATTAGTATAAAAACTAAATTATAAATAAATGTCAACTATCAGAAGTAAAAGTGTATTTTAACTAAATATTTATTATATTTGTATATCTTTAATATAATAAATATTTTCTTTTTCTTTAGTATTCTTAGATACTGTTCCCAACAACATAGTCCAATTACTAGTACAAGATTACATGAGAACCATGCACAAAAAGAGTTTTATCATAGATTTCCCTCGAGGCACTAACTAGATTCAGTAAATTGTCTTGTGCATGTATTCAGGTACTACAAATTAAGGACCATGAATGAGAAAAGTGACATTTATAGCTTTGGAATCGTTCTACTGGAATTAATCACGGGTCGTCCTGCAATAATGAAAGGCAACCCATTAATGCATATACTTGAGTGGATAAGACCTGAGCTTGAAACAGGAGATTTGAGTAGAATTTTAGATCCAAGGCTCCAAGGAAAATATGATGCAAGTTCTGGGTGGAAGGCTTTAGGAATAGCAATGACATGCACTGCTTCAACTTCCATTCAGAGACCTAAAATGTATCTTGTGTTAGCAGAGCTAAAACATTGTTTAAACATGGAGTTGCCTAGTGATAGTGAAACATTTGTGGCCCCTAAGCAATTCTATGGCGAATTTTACAGTTCATCTGAAGCATATTCCTTAGATAGTGGATCCACCACCTATCCTTTCCCAAGATAGTGCAAGTATACATTGATTGTACCATTAGAAAGTATTTAACTAAATTGTAAAATTTCATGAAACCACTAGGTTGCTACAAATAGCACTTCTTTGCCTTATTTGGTGGGGGAAAAAATAACATATTCCTTTTGTTTAATTCATCTTGTCTACACATAATTAATCAATTTTGAACTTACAGATATTCAATTATGCTTTATAAATTTGAGCATTTATTTAATTTTAAATGAAATAACCTTAATATATATTTTTATTTTCCTCTAGTAAAATAGATATTTTTTATTTTATCATATGTCTATTTTGAATTTCTATATTTAATTAAATCAATTTTTTTCTCGTTACTTACTTGTCTAATAAAAAGGAATTTAGTTTATTTAATAATTATAATTAATATAATTAATATTTAAGTTTCTTCAATTAAAATGAGATGCTTATAACTCATAATTAAAATAATATTCTATTAAAAAAAAATTTAGAAAATTCGAAATTAAGAATTTTAAAAGATCTTCGTTTTTATATTTATTTAACTTTCAATAAGAATAAAATAAATTTTCTTAAATCATTTTTCAAATCAATATTTTTTGTACATTTGACATGGACATGTGCTATATATGTGTGAAATACATATTGATTGAATTGCAAATTCAACATTCAAGATAACGAAAGTGTTTGATGTATTATTTGGAGAGATATTTGAAAGGTTTCTTTTTTATATTTCGAATGTATTTTTAAAATGTTACCATATTAATTTTTAATAATTTAAATAACAAAATTATACAAGCTAAATAGTTATCATCAACGAGTATGAGTTGCTATAAATTTAAAGGCGGGTATGTAAACTTATCAGCTCATAATAAATAAATATGCCAATTCACCTGCATTTTAAATGGACTTAAAATATCCTTTGGAGCTGGTAAAACTAATATATATGATATACTGTATAATGTTTAAAATACTAAGTTTTTTTTTTTTTAAACACAGATGATTATTTTCGAGTAAGGTAGATTACTATTTACGGCAAATTAGAACAATCATCTACTACTTTATTTACATCCATTTACATGTTCAGTAGTAAAATACTTAAAATTTGATTAATACATGTCACCAGTTCAGAAACTGTGCTTTTAGGATGTAGGAAAAAGATTTACATCCATTTAAACCTAAATTAAGATTTTTGTAATTACGTTATATTTGATAAATAAATAGATCTTAGCTTGATGAAAGTAGATAATTTGCCCCAATTCATTTTATTCAAGGTACTGTGAGAATGGTTTATACTTATATGCAGAGATTTTGACAAAAGAGAAAAACTTTTATAGGGATTGATCTGAAATCTTGAATAGTTAGTAACAATTAAATTTATAAAAGATCAATTTATTTTACAAACGAAAACCTGTAATGATTAAGAATTTTGATAGAACACACCAATGACACACTATTTTTTTTATTTTAATTTTTTTGCTAAGAATATCCCACATTGAATCTTTTACTGCAGAATTTCTGGCATGTCCAAATTAAAAATATATTGGTTGAGAAAATGAGGAGTATGAAAAGGACAGATAAAGAAATTATTTTATTCAGACCATGACCGAAGAGGCCCCATGGGACAAATCTTCAAAATTGGCAACACTTTCTGGTCATTGTTCAACTTCAAAGAAATTTGTGTAAGAAGATGCGAATACTCAATGTTCATTCTGTTCCTCACATTAGACTTATAACATATAATTTGTTAATTTTCTGCATTCAAATTCTAACATATCAGTATGACTTCAATCGTTCGAATTATCAATCAAATTGACTGTTCAAATCATGTTTCCGCTATTTTGTCAGAAGAAATCGAGTTGCCTTTGCCAGAGCTAACTAAACCTTGTCTTTATAATTGATTCAAATTTTAAATTAATAAAATTTAATTCAGCACACGTTAAAAGATTACATATTCAAGTGAGAAGTTGTATAAACTCTATTGGTTCTAATTCCATTCTTATGAGTATTACTCATATCATACATGTAATATTCTAATTTTTAATAATAATAAAAAGAGTATTCTAACTCTACTTTTTTCAGACCTGCACATTTTAACGCTTAATGCATTAGTGGGAATATAAATCAAGATAAACGGCTAGTTTACTCCAATAGAAGTACACTCTTGTTCAAATATCTTCTTTCGGTAATGCGTTTATTACAAGTTAATTATGAATCTATGATCGCTTTCATTGATTAATTTAGGGGTTGAAGGGTCCAAGAAATGAAATTCGTATACATTAAGCAAAACCAATATTTGGCTTAAATCTAAGCTTGAGCAAAAGAAATCAGGCTTGTTTTCCACCTTATAATAAGATAATATATAGTGCCTGAAATGAATGAGTGTAGAGTGAGGAACAAACACAAGTGCTGAAGAAAGAGAGACACACATAGTGATGCATGCAGTTGTTGTTGTCAGATAGAACCCTTTTTTTCTGCTATTGGAAATTGCTTAAGACCCAACGCTAATTTCGTGATCCCTGAAGCCAAAAAAATTTGCTGACCGCGTCAGATCACATTGTTTGGGTTTGAGGCCCACAGTATTGTAGAAACCAACTATGTACCATAATTAGTGAGATTCTTCTAACATGTGATAAGACTTATGCAGTAGATCCCTTGAATAAGATGTATTTACTTCCAATTACACCGCTATCACTAAGTTTGAAAGTAATTCAGAAGCTTTCATCATTCCTCATACATGATAATGATACAACCAACTACTTAAATAAGAAATTCAAACACTAGCTAGTTACAGTTATTTAATCACTCTAGTACTTTAAATAACTTGATCATTAATTCCACCCTCATTTTCCCTTTACTTTCCTTTATTTTATGGTGTCTTTGTTAGCCATATGACGGAGCAACTTGGCTGTTTTTGTCTTGAGATGCAAATCCATGATTAAGCAGATCGTTAAGCATATAATATTCAAGCAAAATTACATCATCTTCACCTTCATGGTCATACCCAAACCATTGGGTATGTTTCTTCTGCTCCACTGAGGAAGTTGCATTGGAAAGCATTGAAACTTTCCTAGTAGGTGGTGCACTACAACTACTACCTTGGTTATAAAAAGCTTCTGATTCCATAGGCATTGGTAAAGGAACTGGAATTGATGTTTGCTCCGAATCAAAAACATTGTGGGAGTCAAAACAAGCTGAGTTTTGTTTTTGATCAAAAACAAAGGCTTCAACTTGAGGTTGAAGAGTAAAAGTTGAGAAGTGATGAGTACAACTAATAGTATTGCTGATACTGCCATTGTTGCCAGTGGCAATACTAGTGTTTCCTGCCAAAAACTTTTTCTTTAGCTTGGTGTTCCAGTGATTTTTCACATCATTGTCCGTTCTCCCAGGCAATTGAGCTGCTATAAGGGACCACCTAACGCCAAAAACAGTGCTTATTTTCACATGTAGTGATAATGCATAAGCAATGAATCAATGAAAATAAAGATTAAGCGTGCATTATGATATCTATTCCCATATAAAAAAGAATGAACTTGCCTGCTTCCAATGGAGCCATAAAGAGTGCAGATAATTTTGTCTTCCTCCTCAGTGAACCCTCCAAGCTTGATATGAGGCCTTAGATAGTTCAACCATCTTAGACGACAGCTCTTCCCACAACGCTTAAGGCCTAAATGGACACCCAAATATTGAACACAAAAGGAAAGGAGTTTCATATATATATATGTGTGTGTGTGTGTGTGTGTGTGTGGATGAGTAGTACCCTAAAAAAATAATAATCCATTAAGAGATATGCCAGGAAATGATGAATAAAGAGACCTGCTTTTTGAGGGAGAGAGATCCAATTACCACCTGTGCCATGTTTTTGGAGGTAGTTTTTGAGGGTAGCATCTTCTTCAGGAGACCATGGTCCTCTTTTCACGTTAGATTTGTCACAGCATGGAGCCCTTCCCATGGTCTATATTCCTACTTGGCCACTGAACTGATCAATATAAAACCAAGATCAATCACAAAGAGAAGAAAAAGATAGAGAGAAAAATTGGTGTGTGGCTTAGAGAAGATGTCAAAGTGAAGAAAAAATATGTGTGGTTTTATAACCATATATCAACATGGATTGCAACTTTTGAAAGCTTGACTTCGTCTCACTGACTAACTGACATTCTTCTTTTCTTTGTTTCCGTTTTTGTTATCTTTTTCCTGTTCTTTCCATACTCTTAATCAGTGTGCTCAGTATTTCTAACCTTCTGATGAGTTGGCTTTTCTTAAGAAAAATAGGTAAAGACTGAAGAGAGAACGGGTCAATAATGAGAGTATTCAAATGCAATAAAAAGTAACAATATTCCAATGCAAATATCAACCCATACCCAATGGGGTTTAAGGCCAACATGCGCATAAATACAATGCTGCATTTTGCTTCGGATATATTGCCATATATATTTATGCTAGCTGTTAACTGAATCCGTATTTGTTCATTATTGATTCATTTGTCCATTTCAAGCTAATGAACAATCTTCTAGTCCCAACTAGTTAATACGTTTTAGCTCTGTAACTAACTAGTTATATGTTGAAGAAAAGAGTGTGTAAACATTTGTCCATTCATGCAATTAACTTCGACTTAATTCAAGCATTTTTCGAGTGAAGACACTTCATGATTACGCAGTTTGAATGCTTGTTCTTTCGGATGACTATATTATGATTCCAAGTTTGGGGCTTCCTTTTTGGATGATTTGCATACGTTGTTATTGTTTGTTGGGCACATGGTAATTTATTACTAATGGATAATAGTTTCGACTATTTGTAATTTATATGTGACTCTTTTCAGACAATGTGCTAGATATTTGAACATTTTCAATACAATGCAAATTCGTACTAAATTGTGAAAGTAAATATTCATTTGTTGAAATTCAAATTTTATGAAATTAGTAACTACTCATTTTACTTATATGAACAATAATGTTTTCTGTGAATTAAAATTTGATAAATGCAGTATGTATTAAATATAAATGAGCTTGTTTTTATCAATATGTCTAAGTGAGAACATTATTTTTTTTTATTTATATGTAGATTTATAGATACAAGGTAATATTAATTACTTTTTCCTCAATTACACCCTTATGCTATTTCTCAAATCCTAATAAATGTTCTACTATTGGGCATAAATTATTTATAAGAATTTAAAAAAAATATATCATAAAGATAAAGCTATCTATACATTTATTAATGTGTATATGTTTCTTGTCCTCACTGAATATAAACACACTGATAGTATGACAAAAGTACTTTTTTGTGGTTTTGGACTAGGACTTGTGGTACCATACCACATACGCTTGCTACTAAAGCAGCAACAGAGTTGTCCTGGGACCATAACTCACTCAATTTGGAATTTGGTCTAGCAAGTTTTTTACAAGAAAAATAACATTCTATGATGGATTATCCTCTGTCATTTCCTACCCTTAGTTGAAATAAAATAATTTTGTAAGTTGTAGCCCAACAAAAGAACATACTGGCCGTTCTCAACAAGGCCCAATACTTTTAAAAAGTTCAGGTCCAGATAATATCCGGTTCGAGACACCCAAATAAACAAACAGAACCCAATATTTATATTCATTTGGGATGTGAAACTGTGAAAATGTGTAAAAGACTTGCAAACAAGTTTTTCATATTTAGAAATCTAATATGGAATGAAAGGGAAAAAGAATATGAAATGGGGACAGGAATAAAGTATAAGCAAGTATGGTATTGTTGTTTATTCTTAATTCTTGTGCTCTTCTTATCTTAAAGCGAAATTACAAATTCTGACGAACCTTAAATCCCATAAAAGAGAATCTACAAGAAAAACAGTATACATATATCTTAAGAATCCGACCACATCCTTAAATGGTAAATAAAATGAAACAAAAGAAAAAAGTTCCATCTTGGATGGCAATGCTGTAATCTAGCTTAAGCTTAAGAAATGTAACAATTTTTAACCTTCTTTTGAATCGGAGTCCCGGAGAGTGATATGAATTGTGAAGGGCATCAATGATAAACCTAACTCGAAGCACAATAAAGTGAGTTTTATCTTCTTTGTGGGATTCTGTCTTTTGGGATAAGGCCAACTACATTATTAATATTCTCTTTAAAGAGAGAATTTGTGATGAACTTAGACATGCATATGCATAATACATACAAAGCGTTTTCAATTTCATTGTATGGCAGTTTATGGGTCAATTCCATCCCATCTTATCACCAAGTTGCCACAAGCTCTTTGATCTTGTCTGTTGTTTAATAATTCATTTATTTTCTATATTTTAAAGGCCCAAACCTGTTGTCTCACAACCTACAGTTTTTCCCTCAACTCAGGCGATGCTACCAAGCTTTCTCTTTGTAAATATTAATTAATACTTAGTAATTTAATGATATAATAATAAAAAAAAATTAAGAGACGATTTCAAGCTTTGAAATGTGATCAAGTGCTCAATGTTTTATACAGAACAGCAGTTGAAGTGTTGAATGTATAATAAATTCATGAGTGATCTTTTAAGATTGTATGGATTGTGTATTTTAGTCTTAAAATTTTAAAGATCTTTTGTTAATTACTAAATTCGTAAAATATGTTATTCATTTTAATTTTTACTATCATTTTATGTTAAACAAACTTAAAATGAATGTCATTTTATAAAGTCATATACTAATAAAAAGTTTTTAAAATCTTAAAAATTGAAATGTATAACTCGTACAATCGCAAAAAAATAAAAATAAAAAAATTGAATGTTTGTTCTAAATTCATGCATAAAAATGAAAGTGATGTTAACAGTTTTTCATTGTAGGATCTCTATTATAGTTCATTTGTGTCGTATATGCCGTATCCAAACAAGAAATGTCCTATGCAGATACAATCTACGATATATTTAATACATTTTCTCCATTATTTTACAAATATATACTATTAGACATCTTATAAGTATTTGTATTCTAGAAATTTCTTAATGATTAATAGAGTATTAAAGGCATGTTTAGATTTTCTTTTATTTCATATTACAGATGTACTGTGTAACAAAATTTATTGGAATTCAAACTTACATAATAGACAAAACAATGAATGCTCCCATGACAAAATATGAGTATCCGAGGACCTTAAGTGTCCACAAAAGGAAATGGCAAGATGTAGTTGTAATTTGCCATACCCTTCACATGTGTGCCACCTTAACGGTGTGTTTGGGTTAAGTGATTTTAAGAGCAAATACTGTAGGAGGACCCATTTTGTGTAGAAAGGATCATTTTTAATTTGCTTGTTTAGTTGTTTTTTTATTGGAGAAAAAGAGGAGATAATTTTTTGCATCATCTATCAAGCGCTGATCGGTAGGACCACAATGTTAGCATGCAAAAATTTCTTAGGAATTTTGTACTCTATTTCTTGCATGCTTTTCTGTGTGTTTAATCCCATCCTCCAAACAATGCCTTAAGTAGTGTTGCCAACAGAAAGACCAATCCAAAATCCCTGACAATTTTGGATTTAACATAAATATATGTTCCCCCAGTCCATTTCAGGATGACAGAATTATGATCGCGATAAGTGATAGGCTTACTTTTCAAAGTACCTGTTCATGTAAAATTACCCTCACTTACTAACCAAGTTAATAATATAATACCTTCCCCTCACTTTAATTCGCAAATGTCTTCTCAATCGTAAGACTTGTTCAACTTTTCATTTAAATTCTAACTAGTGACATAATGGAACACGCTTTTTTCAATCCAATGTTTAGATCGTATATGTATACACCCTTTTTTTTTTATGGAAGTTAGGCTCCAAGTACCAACACGTTGTCTACTGTTTAGCAAGTGATTCAAACTATGCGTTTTAACAATTTTGGATGTGTCTGGTGAACAAAACAGCAACACATGTATCAATAAAAGTAATTCTACCCAAGTTTGAAAATTAACAAAAACCATAATATCTATGGCTTTATTACATTTAGAAATCACAGGAATCGCCTGAAACAAGTTGGGTTGTTTTTCTTGTCCTGCAATTACATAAGCATGTTATCTGCGAACAAAGTCTCGACCTTTTGAGTGTAATCTTCTAACCCCCGAGATAAGAAGTTCAATATACGCTAAATAAGTAATCCTCTATGTGGGGATCACACTGTTACATCACCAATAGGTTCCCCTTTGCAAATCGACAAATCCTAAAAGAAAACTCAGAACAAGTCACCATTTTCGTGTCAAAGTGGGTTACGAGGAGAAACGAATGAAAGGACTTCTGAAAGAAAATATATTCATTTATCCCAAACAAGTGTTGTGTGCCAAGTCCAAGTCCCAAACTGGGATAGTTCCAGAATACATTATCAACTAGTATAAGAATTTTATTAATACCAATTTTCTCCAATTTTAAACCCTCACATCCCAATTCCGCATATCGTTCTTATCTATCTCCATCAAGATATTTGAGAATAATCGTTCCTGGATTCTAGTATTCTCTACTAGCATAGGAGAAAATTCCGACTGCAAGAATCAAATCAAATCTCCCATATGAACAACAAGAAATTAGTCCCAAATAAGGAAAAAATATAAAAGTCACCACCACAGTTATAAATCACTTCACAGCCACAAAAAATTGAAAACGGGAGAACATTGTGAAGCAGGATGAAACAAATGATGAGAAGAGAGGGGCAAGTCCAGAGCACATTTGGATAAAAATATACATTACATAAATAATTTGCATCACAAGAAGGGGCTTGCATCCTACATATTATAATACATTTATACATCAATGGGATTAGTAAGTGACAACAGACACGCTAGTTAACATTGACACATGGTAATAATTCATAATCATAGTAATAATAATAATAAGGTAGCTATACAAAAGCTTAGGATATAGTTTTATCTCCCAAATCAATGCTTATGGCTGTCTTGACTGTTCAAGAAAAACCCCCCCCCAAAAAAGAGATGCTACTCTTCACCCATACCATTAGAATAGAATATTTACACGGAACATTCACCTTCACAACTCGCTGCTTCCAAAACAAATCTTCAATCGTCCATCTCATTCTTCAAGAAGAACACAAAATACGGCACCGCAATAAACCATCCCTAAAACCCACATTCACTTAACCAGCTCAGAAACCCACCCAAAATCCGGAGCCCCACCCATTTGACGACCCGAACCCGACCCATCCAAAGAATTCTCTTTGCTCAGTTTCTCAAACATCTTAGCCCTTATGTCTCTCCCAGACTCCACCCTCTCCATCACTGGCTCCTCCTCACAGCTCTGATCCCAAAGTTCAAAATAGTTTACCCCAGAACGACCCGGTGCCTGAGTCGGCGTACTTGGAAGACTACTAAACCCGGGTCGGAGCACGGATCCTCTCGGTGACCCGAATCCAGGAGACCCCATTTGAACGTTCCTGCTTGAGGGGATCGATTTCAACTTCCCCAGCTGCAAATTCCGCAGAGAAGCCACCATCTCGTTCATCGAACTTGAGCCCAGTGACCGACTCAGCGACTGCGTCATCGGCGACATCGGCGGCGACTCCGGCGGAGACACAGACGCCGGAGAAGACATGAAGGGCATCGAAACCTGCCTCAGCGGAGACCCATCATAAGAATCCGCCGAGTTCGCGCTCCGGGGACTCTGCTGCGGCATGAGACGAAGCTGCTCCGGCGTGTGTGCGAAGAAGCACACTCGCCTGCGGCAACTAGTCCCGTCCTTGCATGGCTGAGTCCTGTAACGCGCAGGGTGAAGCCAGCACTCGAACACGCCGTGCGCAAACTCGCATGCGTCACCCTTCTTGCAATTCCCCTTGCGGAAATCGGGGCACGCAGTGCCAGAGTAGTGGAACTTCCTCGGATCACGCCGGCGAGCCTTCTCGCCGGGATGAGCGTAAGGACACTCCGTCCAGTCATGGGACCTGCCACGTGCGCACCTCCTCACTTTGAACTCGAACATGCGGAAATGATCGCACGAGTACGCGTCCACCGGCGCGTCTGACTCACGACCCGGAACCTCGGAGTCGGAGTCAGCGTCCGTCTCGTTTGACGGTAAGTAACGCTGCAGCGCCGTTAGTGCTTCTTGCAAATAGTACGGAGAGTACTCGCCAGCATTGCCGTCGTTAGCGGCATACGGAGAATACATCTCCGCCGTTGGATCGTCATGGATTGGCCACGGAGGCACGTGGACCGTTGGATTTGCGCGATGGTGCTCTCCGAGCATCATTTTGGTGTTGGGTTTTGGTTGTATGTGGATGTTTACAGAAACTCCGGCATGGTTAGCTTCCCTTATAAACTGCCACTTAACCGTGGTTCGGTTGGGATTAACCATGGTTGGCTTAAAAAAATCAATGAACTGCAATTTTTCTACTGCGGTTAAAGTAGAGGGAGTTTTCTCCGTCACCGCGCTCGTGCGAGGATCTTATGTGACAGCCTGCTTCCTCGTTTGCCATGTATGACGAATGAGGAGGAATTGTCGTTCCACGTGGCATCTCCGCATTGAAGGTCATTTCCAATTATGACCACGCTGTATTCCGTTTCGACCTTTTCTTTCTCAGACGCCCCTGGTCTTCGGAAAGCGGTGGAGCGTGTGATACGCCACATTAATCAATGAAGATATCTCCATTTTTTTTTGCATTTATAATTAAATATTATTTATTTAAATGAAAGTGGGCAAATTTGGAAGCCCACAGTGTGGTGTGAATGATATTCTTTCAATTTTTTTCTGAAATAAAACCAATGGGCAGAGTGTTGTTTTATTCGTTTTAGTTTTTCAAATAAAAAAATGAGTTTTTGTTTGATATTATTTTACTGCATTCATCAACTTTATTTTTATCTTTTTACAAAAGCAGAAGATTATGAAGACGAAGTTGATAAACACATCTCATTCTTAGGTCATACCACAGGCGTGATTGCATGAGGAGGGCTTCACGTATCCACTGATGAGGTTGAAAGAAGCACGAGTCAGAGACGATTGACACAAACAAAATGGGGATAAGTGGAAGTAGATGCAAAATGATAATCATTCAATTAAAGTTTTCCATTTTAGATAAACAAAAACAATTTTATGAAGTTGAAATCAGAACCAATGATTAGACCGTTTCATACATCAAGAACCTATCATCTATGGTATATAAAAAAAGGGTATTTGAGTTAATAGATTGAAAAGAAAAATGAATAATGTGACCTTTGGTAAATAAAATAGGACATTGAATTGTAGGGGTGCTTCTGCTTCTGCTTCTGTTCTGGTTCATGTTATTTAAGAGTTTTTATCTCACGTCAATATCATCTCCTACTTGATGCCTATCTAATCCATTACTTGACTTTCATGTCACCGGTCATTTTAGCCCCTCACCACACCGTTCTTATCGTTTCCACTTCCCTACCGCCCCTTTTTCTTTTCTTTTTCTTTTTCATTTTTAAGACAACGACAACATCCATTAATTAACAATATATTAATCTTTTCTAAAATCAAGTTATATATCTATTTAAATATACACAATTTTTAAATCCCAAAAGTTATACCACGATATACAATTTTTGCATATTTGAGGAAAAATACCTTAATTTAAAGAAGCACGAGAAAAACGCCTTTAACATACATATGGAAAAGGACAACATAAAAGCCTTTCCGGAACTACAGCAACTAAGTATAATTAGACGCAGATGACACATCTTGGGTTCAGAATCTGCAGTTCTGTTAATCTGAGCTATAATTTTTTCGTAATCTTTTTTATTATAATCAATTTTTTTATCGCATCAATTTCCTTACCATCTATTTATACAAAATTATAGAGTTTTATTATCCCATTAATACTTCTCTGCTACAAGTCTGCAGGACATGAGGTAAAACAAAGTTATTCACTACCTAAATCACTTACCAATTTTAATATTTTGATCATAATATTTATATGTAAAAATATAAGGAAGAAATATATGTTTATAACATATTTTCATATTTTGGATGTGAAGCACAATTAGATGAACGAAGGTTTGCATACACAAAAGTAGATGCGAGGACGCACGCAACCGTACGGATGTCCAGGAAAGTGTACGTCTAGAAGAGGTTTTTCAAGAGAGAATATTGCTTCATTTTTTTATTTTTAAATTACTAAAAACATGTAATTTAAAAAAGTTAATTTAATCAAACATTAAATTATTCTTCTTTTCGTGTTTTTTTTTTTGAAAAGGTAAATGAATTTTGTAAAACCACAACTCAAAAGTAAATTAATTAATTGAAAAAAATTATAAGCAAAAATAATTTATTTTTAAAATTATAAAAAATAAATGAAAGTAGATTTCTTCATATTATTATATATTGAACTTGTTAACTCTTATAACAAGTGACAGAGGTGAATTGCTAATCTTACTCAAACCCTTAGCCTTCAAAAAGCGTTCATTTCAATATTCCATATCATGCTGATCTCTTATGCTTTGGACTTTGCTTGGATTAGAATACTAAACCATATAAAACATATCTCATATACAAATATATGAACTGGAGAAGCAAGCTTTGATATAAATGACATATAATGCTCCTACGATCTCTTCTATCAGCTATTTGCACCGAACCATCCCTTTTACTTGCTAGGTATATTAATATATTCTCTGTTGATTTTGGGTTGTCATTACTCATTATCTCTCACTAGGGAACTAATTTTGAAACCAACAAACCGAAGGTTGGAATGCATTATCATTTCCTTTTCTGAGCACAATATTCTAAATTGTTTGCACTGAAGGAGTTGCATGCATGGAGCCATGCATCTTCGTAACCATGAAACATGTTTTGTCCTGTTTATGAGTGATAGTTGCGATGTTGTTGACGATTAGACGAGAAAGACCGGTGGTGGCATGCAAGAATGATCATTAATTGGAAGCTTAATAGCATGGGGGACAACACTATGGTAAAGAAAATATTGCTTAATATGGAAATAATTTAAATTACAAACTAGTATTAATAAATCATCAAGACTTAATCTCAGTCCTAGTCCACGCTGATGTTATCCTCCCAACCGTAGTTGTTTAATCCCACAGCTTTATTATTTATTCATTTTTGATAATTTTAATTTTTTTATATTATCATATTCTTATATAAAAAAAAGTCACATCATACTATCTTAAGTCTTAACTTTTATTAATTGATCACATGGTGGGTATTATCTTAATATCTATTTAAATAGGTGTACTTTTGAATTATTTATTTACCCATATATATTTGAATTACACACAAGTTATGCTTAGATAGTGATGTGGATGGGATAAAATGTTGGGACAATATTTTGTTCCAAATTTGCATGAGTGGACCACATATCCTTCCGTGGATTGCAAAATCTCATATTGACAAAGCACTTGACAATCAATAAAGGCAACCATTTTGGTAAGAGCATCGAAATGTCATCGATCACAGTGATGTTTTGGCGTATAGTCACAGATCTATGAGAACTGCTTCTGCATATTGTTTCCACCGCATAAATTCTCTCTTCCGTATCATCCTTCTGCCCCTGGTTGGTCGTTTAATTTTGCAAACAACAAGTTCATTCAAAAATATTGCTTTCCAAATCTGGAAATTAATTGCCGTTGCCTCCTCGTTAGGAATCATATTATTTCAACCAAATCATCATAATCCAATTCTATTTTTGTTCTGTGAACTTCCTCAGTAAACAATGAGATTGTTAGATTAAGTAATAAGAAAATTACTATCATTAATTAATAACTTTACTTTACTCGCACTGGATAAGGTGAGTTAAAAATATGAACAATATTATTATAAGATAAAAAGTAATCAAGTAGGAAACCTATCACATTTGACAATTAGCATTTGGATACTTCTGTCTTGGAATCAATTGTGACTAGCCAGCGTGTGAATGCATATGTTTGAGAATTAATTAATTTTAGGGAAGATTTGCCTTGTGTTAGAAAAACTTTACCAAAGGCCAAAGCAGTTTAAAAATTTTACTATTTAAAAAATATATTTTATGGCAATGTTACATATATAGAAGTTTTTAACACACACACACACACTTGACAATAATTCCATTTGAACTGGTCTCTTTCCTTCTTTAATTGGTTTATTTTAAAAATACTACATTTTATAATTTATTACATTTTTTTTAAAAATAAGAATTTTAAAATATATATATATAATACAAATAAAGACTAAAACTAAAATTGAGTTTAGGTAATTGGTTTGATTACTGTTAGTTCATATTTTTTAATTTTTTTACTTAATCACCCATTTTACTTTTTTCTTTAGTTTCTCTGAAAACTGTACTGAAAAATTTTAGTGATTAGGTCCTTTATCTTTTTATTTCTCCCTTGGTTCATTCTAACATCTTCACCTTAATTCAAACGTTGAGAAGTGTTTTTAATTATGCTTATTAATTAATTCTATCGTTGCATTTTATTTTATTTTATATATATAATAATAGAAAAAGATAAGTAACAACAAGTCAACACCAACGACCTTGGTCTGAGGAAAGAAAATATTTGCTTCCTCGCGCCGTGTATTGCGAAGTTAAAATTAAAATAGCTTTCTTGACTAACAATCCTTATCAAAAGCGTTTTTGTTCTTGAAAAATATTTCGTTCAACTTTTCTCTGTATTAATCAAAATTTAAAGTAATTTCTAAATATTGAAGTACAAAATTAAAAAATAATAATTAATTTAACATTAAATTTTAATAAAAACGATTCTGATCGTTTGTATCTGTACCGACAGCCACCTAGAAAAAACAACTCATTTAACTGAGTAGTGAGGAGCCACATTATTATTATTATTCCAAACTCATTAACAAGCTTTATTGTTGCTATATATCATGTTCATCGAAAACGTGTGAATTGTACAAGGTTTGATGTGGGCTGAAAATGAAGCACCACATTAAATTAAGTTTAATGTGGGAAGATAAACTGCATTGATTAAGAACCAACTCTAGAGTTCATTCTTTATTTATCCTTTGGCCATATGCATCTAATGTGTTGATGTGGGGTTTATTCCTATGTGAATCCTTTGGGTAGAATAATGATTGGTGTCACACCTAAGTGAAACAAAATGGGTGGAAACGTGGAGGATAACCTTGAAATGGGCATGTGAAAAGGGATAGAGAGTACTGAAGAGGGAGCATCAAAGATGAGGGGGTGCCAAACTTTAAGCAGCAACAAGCATAAAGACGACTAGTGCAATCTCTGACACCTTTCTGCACACGCTACACTTGGCCTTTTTCCATCGCCTTTGATCGTCCTTTCCTTTAATAGCTCTTCTACGATTACGCCACATGCATCTCCTTCTTTTGTCCTTTTACCCGTTCCTCTGTTACCGTACACGTTGCATTCTTCCGTTGTATTCTAGACAACTCTATCCATATGCTAATCTCCAACTACTCCTTCTGTTACTACTTTCGTTATTCCACTTTTTGGTACACAAATATTATTACTTCTAATCAAATATCTTCCATACACATTGTGCTCGTCAGTTTTGTTCTAATCAAATTCTTATTTTATGTGTATATAACATGAATCGGGTGCAGCTGAGTAATACTTGCTGAAAGATGTAACGATGATTGATTAAGTTTTATAAATATAACTAATTCTGAATTAATATTTGACAATTTTTCACTTTTATTCTCTCATTCTAAAGGTTGATGAAATCTGAAAACACGACTAGTGAATATCATATGAAACTAGTCTCATCAAGCAAAGGGCAGCGCCACAAATGCGCCAGTATGTTAAAGTTATTGGTCGTAGCATGGGCATGTAGGGCTAGTTGTCGTGAATCTAGCGTTGAATTACTAGGCACAACGTATATTTAAGTCATTAATTAGACTTGCTCGTTTATTAAGTTAACTTTTGTCTCTTATCGTAATTTTAAACTAACGGTTTAATTTGTAGATTCGGGCTGTGAAAACGACAAGATTAAAATATAACAGGTTATTCTGTGTGCTGTTATTAAATATTAATAAATGAGTGACGTTTGCTGAAAGACAAGACTAGCACAATCTAAAGTAAATAAGGGTGATTACGTAATTAAATATATACAATAACTAAAAAACTCTTACATATAAGTGTGTTTGAAGGGTCTAAAGCTGATAATATCGTGAGATGCAACTGTGCCAAGGGTTTGCTAACCCTAGTTACAACTAAAATGAGGGACACATGGCCTTCAGGAAGACACGAATGGCCCTTGTACCTTCCGACATAATGTTCAATAAAAAATCTTCCATACATTTATTTATT